ACAGAAAATAGTCCAATCTGCGCACCACACTGTCAGACAATTCCTCCTAGAGGAAGTTTTTCGCGGTCCCAACTGGACGGGTTCCATTTCAAGGCTGAGAATGCTGACCACTACGACGGTGAGACATGCATTACATACCTCAACTTCAGTGACTTCAAGACAACCCTAGCTCGACGGCACCCACCACAGCCACATGTTGCGTCTACCGCTATAGCTCAAACAGCTCTGAAACATAGACAGAAGTCAAACACTCTCCTCTCAGCTATCGAGAAAATCAAGCTAGGCATTCGAGCGAAATCACCAGCTGCTGATGTCGTTGGAACTCTAGTCAGCTTCAACCGAGATGATGCAAGAGCGGCGAAGAAGAAACTCCAACTCGGACACCCTTTCTTGAAGCACGCGTCAACCAACTAGAATTTTCACACAATGAGCTTCGAGAGGTGGAATTCCATGACTTAGGAATCATAGGCAAAGATGATTATTCGCGGGCATGATCTCACCTAAAATCCATGGGGGGGGGGGGGGGGGCCGCCAAACCGTTCGCTGCAAATGACCCTCTTTTCTAGAATGGTGCTACAAAGCTCACCACTATGCCCTCATACGGCTTATTTCTCTCCGCGGCAGCCTTTCCAGGGAAGATAAAAGCCGGATGATGCAGAATTCGGCAAGTGAAGGCGATATCACGCTACTTAATATCCTTCTGAAAGGAGAAAAGCTAAGTGGCGAAACGGACGGGCGTGCCAGACAGCTACCGCAGCTGGTCACCTAGATGTTGTTGAGAGACTCCTGGCTGCGGGAGCTGAGGTGAATGCCGCTGCCGCTGATTATGGGGCCGGTCGCACTGTACTACAGGCAGCTACCCAAGGTGGCTACCTAGGTGTTGTTGTGAGGCTCCAGGCTGCGGGAGCTGATGTGAATGCCGCTGATGCTGATTATCTCGGGTACACTGCACTACAGACAGCTGCCCGAGGCAGCCGTCTAGGAGTTTGAGAAGCTGAACGAGCAAGCGCCTATATGTAAGAATTGTGTGACGAATATAGGGATGCCTGGTTTGATGCCTGCTGCCACAGACTTCCCACTTATATTTATGATCTCCTCTTACCATCTCTCCTTTTTCCCTTCCTTCGGCTTATTTTTTTCGTTGAATTTCTACTACATTGGTTGATGTCTGTCTCTTCGTAACTGAGCTATTATAAATTAGACCTTCCTCTATTGAGAGCTATAGAGTCACTTTCGAGGAGGACAGACTATCTCTAGCGGAATATTTGCCCGCGACCATATGCCTCAAGATGTCAAGACTCTTCTCTTCTACTTAGCACAAGTTTTCACAGAGAACGAGTAGTCTATAACACTAATCCAGCCGCAAATAACTTATAGGAAATAGAACAGGATTGGCAGATAGATCTCATCTGGCTGCAGCCACCGGGATTTTGCTACCTAGGATTAAGCCATCTCTGCATATATCCGCCTTAGCCAGCTAGTTGATCAGACGTACTTTTCTAGACGAGTGGTATCGTGCTAAGTATAGATATGCATTGCCTGTCTCGTTATAGCTCTCATCGAATCAATCGCGCCTTGCTAGGTCTGCACACTAAGGCGGCCTCGCTCGGAGAAGGTTCAAGCTCAGAGTGCAAAAGCTATGGCAGGATGGCATCAAGATGAGACCTGGCTGCCAATCGGTTCTGCGACTGATGCATCGTGCTGGGCACGAATGACTCGCCCGCTTATCCGCTTGATCCAATAGCTACATTACAAATCGCTGTTGCTATTTCTCAGGGAACCGCATATCTGCGCATCGCCTGCGTCCGGTTGTCATTACCTAGGCGACAGAGCTCTGCTTGCCAGTCGTTCCATGGCCTAGGACCCAAAATAAAACGCGCAGGACGCACCGACATGGAGACACCTCCCTCGTCGTTTCTAGTCTGCATGACGCTCGTGCTGCACGAGTAAAGTCTTGTTTCCCGACCGTCCATCTCGTCCTCTCCGCCAATCAACTATGAAGCCAATGGGGCTTCGGCGACAAGGCGCACTCGGTAACAGAGCCTGGGGTAAGCTCCGGAGCGCGAACGACGGTTGGAAAAATGCGTAGGTCGACGGGAATGGATGTTAGCACGCGCCCTCACCAGGTCACCTAGCGAGGTCTTTATGTTCAGAGAGCGTTCCTGAGGTTCGGCATGGCCGCCGTCAGGCCGTACGATCATCGCGAAAGGGCGGAATGTCACTGTTATCGTCTCGTCGACTCTGGCGGATTTAGCAACCACTAGCTAATGCGTATAGCCGCCATCAGCCCAAGGTTGCCAATGCCTTCACTCTCGATTCGCGCCCCCAAGGCAAATTAAAAGCCCCGCTTCACACGGGCGATTGCCCAGAAATGAGCGACGCGTGAATGCACCTCGACGCTCAAGCTCGACGATCGGCCGAACCGATTAACGTGAGGCAGCGTACTGGGGCCCATAATACCTCATCCTCAATGTAATGACAAGAGACCTGACCAAAAATAGGGCACGGCGAGGGAAAGCAACGCAGAGCTGCACTCGAGGGCGTGGGAGACCGCAAAGGACTCGCCGGTTTGCGCCGGCGGCGAAGAGGGTAGCGGAGCTCGCTGATCCGGATCAATGGCAGAAATATCTCACTATTTGGGCATGCATGGGAAACAGGGAGAAAGAAAGAGCACGAGGATGAAGAAACCGCGTAAGGTTGAGCGGGCGATGGAGGGGCTCTATAGCACCTAGCACCGGGAGGAGAGAGGCACGCTAAACCACGTTGCGTAACTCACAGGTGTGGCACGCTACGTGATAACCAACTACACCATCCGGCCATTAACCATATTAACCTGATTGCTTATATTATTCAACAATCCGTCGCCCCGTCGGTGCTCAGGCTCATACTCTAGAAGCATGCGGCCCCATCGTGGGTCTGCTGAGGTTCGTTCTTGATCCGCCTACTGACCTAAAATGGGTGATGAGTAAAAGGTCAGCTTCTTAATTATTCGAACCGGCACTTTCCTTAGTCCTAGTTCTTCACTACTGTTTCATTCCTTCACTTGAATTTTCACGAGCTATTTCTCATTCGACGGCATTTCTATTGTTTCAAGAACTTGACCGTCTCTTGCTTTCTCTATCAAGTCCTCCCGCGAACAACGGCGTCGCCACTTCATGATCCGAGTACCCACCGTGTATCCTTGGTAAAGAATGTGCCACCTCTTTCACTAATTCATGAGGGCAACAGTCTGCGTACAAATATTCATTTATTGTACTTCTTGCTGCCCTTCTGTGGATACTTTTTGACCTAACTCTTGTATTGCTTGGCCTAAGGGCGCATTTTAATACTCGTCTCTACACATGAATAACAGTGAATAACCCGCTGGCTACTTATAGGGCCATTTTGACCAATTACATTTAGGCCGAAAACCCCTCATATTTGATCAATCTAGGCCACACTGAAGCTCAATTTCGCTGCTCCTGCGGCTATCAACAACTTGAGTGGTCATTCTATAGAAGCGATAGTCGACAAGCATATAAAGCCCTATGAGCAGACAGTCTATGAGGCTCAAAAGACGAAGATAACTAAGTGAGCTATCCTAAGCCTACAATACCTAATCTCCAACCATGTTTGACACTCTCGAAGCCGCATATTCGGCTCGAGCCAACCTGAGACTTTCAGGCTGAGACAGGGAGGGTCAAAAGCAGCCACTGGCGAGACATCCAACCGGCCCACCGGTCCGGACTCGCTCAAATCCCCCGCACCAAGATATGAGAATACTTTTGGACGTGTAGATGAATCCAATGCTTATATTTACCTGAGTCATAGGGTCATAACAGACTCATTTGATAATCCCAGCCCTTCGACTTACGCTAGCTAACCATCGTCGATGTAATTTCTTCTATCTCCCTCTGTTTCCCAATTTTCATAGCATTTCTTCGATTTTTTTCTATTTTTACATTATTTGTGAGTTACCAAGGAACTTTTTGTTTATCGCCGTATCAAAGTCTTGTTCTTTCATAGCTTTTATGATCTTAGTCTTCTCTTTGGTCGTTTGGATTCGAAGTCTCATCCTTACGTAATAAGGGCAGCGACATCTTCACTGACCTTACCAATGGCATGAAAAATCAAATGTGAGTTAAATAAATGATCGTCCTAACGCGATCTTCTGAGCAGGCAGCAGACCAGGTAGCCAACAACCTGAAGGGAAGAAGTGAGACGCTGTGTTGATAAAGGAGGCGGTCCAAAAAATTTGACCAGACTGGGGCTCGATCCCAGGACCTTATCGGTGTTAACGATACGTGATAACCAACTACACCATCCGGCCAATGATATGTGGTGTTCGGCGACCTATGGTCTATTACATAAGATGTCTTGTTGGCGTATCTTCAATAGCTTGCTTGGCTATCAATGCTTGTAGCTATTGAACATGCCGCATGTCAAGCCATATATCCTAACCTCTGACTGGGCTCTGTTACTTATCTATCAAATTAAAGGCCTTACTGATTGTTGACTTCATACCTTTTCACCCTTTAGATAGGCCGGAAAGCAATAAATAGTGAAATGGGGACGGCTCGATGGCTGTCTGGCAATCTAGACTGGACAACACACACACTGCTTGTCAGTGTAGCGATCGGCCTGGATTATGCCGTACGGACCGTTCCTAAAGCTTCATCATGAACAGAGAAATGTGTTGGTAACCGGAATTGAATTGGGTAGTTGCTTAGTCTATCTCCAACTCTGTCTTGAAGACGCACTATGCACTTCAGACATTAGATTATGCCTGAGGCCACACATATGCTATTATGTCACCGGTTCTCCCACTACAATAGATAATACGACCCGATCTATGGTGTAATTCAAGGTGTAGAACCTGTGAAGGAGAGGGGTATATACAAATAAGCCAAGGCTTTACCCAAGTACATTCAAGCAATATCTCGTCTCTAGGTCTCCGAGTAATCGAAGCCTAATGTAGGAACCTGTTTAAGCGAGAAAGAAGCCCAATGCCCCAATTGCAGCTAAGAAGCAGAAACTCCAGCGACAGCCAACCGTGTCGCGGCATTCTTTTCGCAATAGTCTGGCGGGTCAATGCCACTGCCACGACATACACGAGCTGTGACGGAGGCATTGATGCTTTCAGCAGCGGCTCTATCAATATGAACCCGGCAAGGATCCGGCGTAGGGGCAGAAGTAGAGTTAGCTAACACTGCGCAGGTGTCATTATTCCAATTCTTGCCAGACCACTCCACGCTCGAGGGGACCTTCAATGTTTTGTCGGATACATTGATTATCATGCCATATTCATCAGGGCATGTCTTGGTGACTGTGGCAGCAACGAGATCCACTTGAGGGGCGGAATCGTTGATGGTGAAGTAGGTTGCCCAAGTAGTCTTATTATGGACTATCCTGGTATGCGATCCGGGTTCTTGAAAGATACTACGTCGCAACTGTCCCAGGTCAGGGACCAGCTGAGTTTGTAGCGACCCTCCTGGCTAGGGAAGCTCATAACCTCGTGTGCGAGGTAAGTTTCCTCGGTCGCGTTTTTCCAACCGAGATCATGAGATAGCGTGAAGGACGTATCATCCGTCTGCAAGTTCCACATCAAGTACTGGATGGAGGGGTTCAAGTATCGCGCACGCTGGGCATTCTGGAAAGCAAAAACGACGGGGAAGTTGTTTGTGGGCGGATATGTGTCGTTGCGCGGGAAAATGAGGTCCACTTCCAGTACACCAGTGCCTGCAGCACCAGCGACGTTCCCTATACAGGCAGCGAGCAGCCAGCTCGCGCGAGGAAAGTGCATATTGAGTGAGCGAAAGATCTCCACGCGTTGGCAAGGTTGTCAGAAAGTCTGAAGGAAAAATCACTCGTGAAATGCTTCAAACCATCAGCACGCGAAGACGATTTCAATGTGGCAATCAACGACGACGGCAAGGCACCTTAAAAGAAGGGGTCATTTGCCATCCAAGGCAGAGGAAATAGAGAAAGGGGTCAATGGAAGACCAGGTAGGAATCTCCTGATCCTTGGCCGCATGAGGCCACGCCTTGGTGGCTATCGTGCTGTCCCCTCACGAGCTCGACGACCCTCGAAGGTTCTCACGGGTGGAATCGAAGGGGGGGCGCGGACCGGCCGTAGGCTTGGCAGGGTCTTGGCCCAGTCTTGGCGTGGCTCTCCGTGGCCAGAAGTGCAAATATTACATTGCCTCGAAGATTGTTCCTGACGCTTACTGGCACTTGGATGTCGATCTACGCCCGGACTTCTCGATTTGAGTGACTGGGTCCTCTTCTTGGCCATGTATGCTACCCTGCGGCTCCAGCGGAATATCCCGCCCCACACTTCTTGTGATTCCAAAGCTTGGCACTTATACCCCGTTGAGGATTACACCCGACCACTACGGCTCCGCCAATCCTGCCTACTCAAAAATGTGGTGCTTTGATGACAAATGGAATGGCTGACAACATATAGAAAACGTACTGACATTGGAATGAGTCAAAAGGCATCGGCATTAATTAACCTCCAATGTACGGGAAGCACGCTAGCATGTCAGAGACATGGATACAACCGGATCAGGCAGAAGCGTTGCCTCCTCGGGACTCTAAGGGCCTTAGGATGTTGTATAAAGCTCAACAGAGATCGCAGCTAGGAATTGAACCATCCCTCCCCAAATTTAAGTGCTTTCAAAGCCTCGAACAATCAGTCGAGGTAGACGATAACCAGCGCGCAGTTGGTCAGGTGACTATGGGGACATTAGGTCGCTCCAATTGTCCTATTGTCTACAGAAAGACTCATATTTCGGTGTAGCGGTTGATATTCTGGGCTCGGTGACTCTGTCTCATATTTTAGGCGCGATGGCCATGACCTCATTGACAGCCGCTTAGGATCCACGGACCCACGGTATGTGCGGCTCCGAGAGATCATCACTGCACATGTGACAGTGGCGAAGAATACTCGGTGTCATTACACAAATTCGCACAAACATGGCTCAAATAGGCTTACCCCGGTGTCGTAATCTTACGGCCGAAGCTATCTTTGGCCACGCCCGGAAGCGGCAGGTCCAGGCTGAGATCGTGCAGGTCTTGGTTGATGTGAGGGGATATACCCTGGACCTTGTTACTAACAGTATGGAGCTGGTTGCGTTGCTCGAGAACCACGAGAATCGGCTTCGCCATATCCAAGAGCTGCTCGAAGGAGGTTGGATTTGTTTCCGGGGTGGGGCCATGGTTGATTCAGGATGATTTGGGCGGGTTCCCCGGGAGGTTTTGGCTTCGTGATTCGTGATTCCAGTTCACCAGTATAATTTCCAATCAAAGCATCTTCCAAGCATTGACCAGATCTCGAAGAAACCTCGAAGGCTCCTTGACCAAACATTGAACAGACCTTAGTGGACCATTTGGATCGTCATTGCTAAGACTGCCGTGTAATTATCGTAGTCGGGAAGAAACACTCAGACTCTCTTAGATCGCCTTCAACGTTTGAATTAAATCCTCAGTTTTAGCGACCATATCGTGTAGCCGCGCAAGTTCCTTCACCTCTACCAGGAGCAGGGTTCTCCATTTCCTCGGCGATCTCAATGTTTCCAGCCTCTATGGCTTTGCTGAATCGCTCAGTCCCTTGTAACGGACTGTTTCCCTCTCTCTCTGGGTTGCTTTCCCCGCTCCCAAGGATGTCGCTGGCCGCAAGCTGCACCGGCCTTGTTGCCGCCCATGGTGACAGTTTGCACAATGGTATTGACCAGGGACTTTACCACATACGGTGTCGAGACCATCTCCAGCCAAGCAGTTCGTGCATGCCGCCTGACCCTCGAGAACCTTATCGGCATGCAGATTGGGCGTACAAAGCCTCAGTATTGTGAGGCTTTTGATTGATGAGCTCGATAAAACCTTGCCCGTTCATGGGCCAAATCCTTTTGCGGCGATTTGGAGCCCGCAATGTAGGCTCCCTTCTAGAAGGGAGGTCTCTCATGCTATACAGAAGCGTTTCTGGTGTTCGAATAGCTCGCCTCCCAAATCTGAAATGACATTCTTTGGCCATGTGGGTCCAGTATCCGGGCGGGAGATTGACTGCGCTGACGATCGGGGTGTCGAATGTGGGAGACTGCTTCGACGGGATGCTGTGATTTTCAAAGTTCTGGTCTTCCATCTTCAGGATAGGAATGTGGTCATCTTCAACTTTGGGTTCTTCCATCTGCAAACAATGAAATCAGCTTGTCATAGATGAATTGAGTGTAAATTACCTTGTTGGAGACTGCGGATAGGGTTTTCAGATCAAAGTGAGTGTTGGGGTATCAGGAGATGTGCCACCCTAATGAAAGTGAGAGTGAGAGAGCTCGCAACCGCAAAGAGGAGTGGACCATGCAGTGGTAATTCAGTGGAAATGAGCTTCTTCGAAATACGCTGGATCAGATGGTTCTAGAGAAATCAAAGAGGGAAGCTTTCGGGGTCGTCCATGTATGGGTCATCTGACTATGATCAACAATCCATCTTCATCTCTCCCCTCAAATCCAGTCAACAACTTACAAGAAGAGCGATAAAAGGTAGACGCAAGAAGCCAGGGGCAAGCGGGGGCCCTATTCAAGCTATGAGGCAGATTTGCCAGGGAAGATGAAGGTGGATTGTCCTAAACCTGCAAAAATACCAACCATCTAGGAAGGAAAATTGTGACTTGTTAGGCCGCAGCCCTCACATTTGACAACAGAGCCAATGTTCTCGATAGAAATAAAAGGAAGAACAAAAGCGAGGAAAGATAGACTAAGAGTTCTAATGCCGGATCTTCTTGAATTCTTCTAAGAAAGCACGTTGATGCCTCCTCACCCCCTCATCACGGGCGACTCGATTCCCCTGCCATGCCTTGTAGATAAATCGGACCATGCCTTTTTCTTGCCGGCCATAGCTTTCACCTGCATCTCGATTGCTTCCCAGAATTCAGAGGTTTCTACTAGAGCAAGTGTGAGATACTGCAAAGGCTTGACATACGGTCGGCTGATCCCAATAGGAGTTGTGTTAATGTCGTGCTTGAGGAGCAAAAACCATGTTCTCATCATCATTTGATCGTCGGACGTTTTTGAGAGTGCCTGACTTGGGTCAGTGTCGAAAATCGACGGGTACTGGAGCCCGAGTTGCTCTCTGAGGTACTCGGCCTCATACATAGCTCCAAGTCTGTAGGCGGTGATCTCGGTCAATTCCTGCACCTTTTCCTTGGGGTAGCTTGCTCCCTTGAGAACCTGGTCCAGACAATTGTGCAACCCGATGTTCGGGGCGTCATTTTCGGCACCGGGTCGCGAGGCAAAATATTCTTGGGCGAGATATTGTAAACGTTTCAGTCGCCGTCCACCAGCTCTAGCCAACTGGCTACTTGCCGGGCATGTGGATGGGGGAACTTGGCGCAGGGACTGCCATTTTTCCTTCTATGAAATAAGAGGCTAACCGAGGCGAGTCTGATAGCTTGTCTCCCATTCGTCGTTTTCCGCAGAGAAATGAATCTTCTGCCTATCGCCAAGCATCCCCATCCCCTTCACACAGTCATATACAGACTTCGCAAGCTGTATGTATGTCGGGTGGTCCATTATCTCTTGAATTTCATCCTCGGCATCTATCAGGCAGCGTACTACTGCGGAGGCGGCCAAGCTGCCGCTGGCCCGTCCAACACTTCCGCTGAGGGGCCACGATGAGGATAAGCTGCGCGGCCCTGCTGCTGTAATTGCTGTTCCGTTGAGCTGATGCTGTCCTATGTCGGGTTGCACTAGCCAGCCGCCGGAGTAACATGAGGTGGTGAAGAGGGTCACTTGGGACCTGTTTCGTAGCACCCGGCGTAAGTCTCCTAGGCGAAGGATCGACCCTCCAACCTCAACACCATGTGTCGGAGATCCATGACCAAATATCAATAGCACAAGATGCTCTTGGAGGTGGGCTGCTTCAGCAGCTTGCTCTTGGAGGGTGTTTAGGTATCGCTCGAGAAGGATGTCTCTAGGCACAACCCGTAAATTTCCAGCCTTCAATATATCTGGGAGCCTCTGGCTATCAAGCACCGCCCGACGATCCCCGTTTGAATCGCCATGAAGGTATTCATGGTACTTGGCGACTAGGGTTACGGGATCTTCAGAGGTTAACCAGATTTGGTTAGGTGCTACCAAAACTCGCACGGTTAGCAGAGAGCGAATAACAGAAGGATCGCACACTCACGGCGAGGGAATGCCGGGGATAAGAGATAGTGGAATAGGTAGAAATCTGAAACGAACCACCCATCTTCACTTGGGCTAGCGACATCTCCTATATCTGTTGTGCCAAGTAGAGCTAGTACACGATGGCGCGAGGGGAGGTCTGGGGGACAATGCGTGAGAAACTCGCGACCAACAAGCTCTTGCTTCGTCCCGGCCTGGCGGCCTATGACGTTGAAATCGGAAAAATCAGCGGGGCGGATGGTGGCCATTGCAAAGCATACAACTTGGTATCCCGGTTGGATGGAATGTGAGTGGTGGGGCTGTAATGTGATGAGACTTTTGTGGGTCAGAGGAAGTTGCGATGATTCGATGGTCTGGAATTTCGTAAGCTTAGTCAGATAGCCGTCCCCATAAGATTGCCAGGAACGGGACACGAAGACCCCTAGCTATGATTCTCCTTCCACCCCAAACAAATTACTTGTGATCAACCAGTAACATTCAACCAGGGCGGTTGGGGATCAGGAAAATGTCTGTTTCAGACGCATCTCGCCAATCATACAACAGTTTGCCTGGCGAACACCTCGAAAGACTAAAACGAGGCCAAAGACACTAAAGCGGCCCCTCATCGGTACTTTCGCCCTTAGGTGGGTCTCCTTCCCGAACTGTCACTCCGGCATTTAAGTACCAGCCCCAGCCACTCTTGCATCCCAAATCCCGACAATAAGAATCCGTCTCCTCTTGAATGGTGTCTTCAGAGTGATAATGGTGCTAAACGACCAAATTGCGGTGGTACGTGGCCATTGCTCTCCTCGAAATGAACAGCGTCTCACTAAGTCCTTCTTCTAACAGGACCCCGTTCTCTACGATCTGGGGAACGAGTATAGCGTCAACGACTGGCAATCGTACGTTTCATCTCGACAAAAAAAATCCCACGTAATTGACTATCTAACTCTCAGAATAGAGAGACCACATCGATCGCGTCCGCGGTGTATCGGGGCTTCATGGAGAATGGCCGAAGGTTCGAGTGTGAAATAGCTGGGGCTCAATTGAATATTGTCAATAACAAGTCCACCAGATATGAAAATCTCAAGCAATTTACATATGCGTGAGTGCTTTGGAAGATTGAAAAACTCAGCATCTAACTTACTTCCCAGTGTCGCCGTCGACGACAAGCAATTCGAGGCATACGAATGCATGTGCGTCCGTTCATCCTCGACACGCGTCGGATATGCTTGTTGACCTTCTTAGTCATATCGTGGCTCTTCTATCAGAAATAAGATCGGATAATCCGTATTTCATCTCCCCGATCGGAGATTCCCCCAAGGTACCTATGAACTCAACGGTTGACCCACGCTGAGATGCTTAATTAACCTTATCGGACAGCACATTCTAGATCTTGGAACCGGCAAGGGTACATGGGCTATGTAAGCTATCTCGCCGGAAGAAGTTGGAGCTTGGACTAATGTCTCTAGTGAAGTTGCCGATCGATTCCCCAACAGTAAGTCATTTCAGCCTCCGACTTGATGGGTTAAAGCTGATGGGAACAGCCACCGTCCGTGGAGTGGATCTATTTCCACCCCCAGTGAACTGGATGCCACCAAATTGCGTCCTGGAGGTAGACGATGTGTTGCAGGAATGGACCTGGCGCGACCCGTTTGACCTCGTCCACATGCGCATCTTAGATTCCGCTTTCACCCCTGAAGAATCGGATCGCGTGTATAAGCAATGTTATGAGTATGCATTTAGGGAGTCCCAATACTAGTAGGAAATCGCTAACACACCTACAGAAATATTCGACCGGGCGGCTGGATCGAGCATCTCGGTCCCAGCATGTACGTGGAATGTGACGACGGCAGTGTGCCGACAGACAGCATTTTGTTTGGATTTGGCGACTTAATAAGTCGCGCCGCCGAGAAAATGGGCCGGCCCATCAATATTTGTCAGACTTTTCGAGGGGCCATTGAGAAGGCTGGTTTCGTGGATATCCAGGAGAAAGTCTACAAGTGGCCGATCGGGCCATGGCCGAGAGATAAGTTGTTGAAAGAGATCGGGGCTCTAAATTTTCATCATTGGTCAAACGGTTTGGAAGGCTATATCATGTTCGTGCTGACCAGGTTCGGGGAGCCGGTGCCCTGGTTGAAGGATGAGGTCCTTGTCTATGCAGCCAAAATCCGTTCAGAGTTGGCCAATCCACGACACCACGCTTATCACAGAGCGTAAGTCATGGCTCGCGAGAAACTTTGGAGAAGAGCTAACTCGAGTTCATTTCAGGACGAGGATATGGGCCAGAAAACCGTTCACTTCGGAACAAAATAGCGTCGAGATCAAGTCAGAGCAAGACTAGGATCTCGAAGGTGGTCAAAAGTCTGATAGGTAATCAAACTTGAATCTTTTGTCTGCGGTACACTGTTTATATTTAGCTAAATAAAGGGGCTAGGCTTGCGACCAGAAGATTTCGAAGTTGAGGCGGATCCATCAAGAGTGGAGAAATCCTGTTATCTGCCCGTTGTGATTACCGGCTTCCAGTTCCAAGCATGCTAAGATATGGGGAGCGACAGGTTGCTTCATGTCAGGGGCAACGTCGGCGATCATACCGAGGCTGATTAGTACGTCGAAGACCCAGCACACAAAAAGTCGCCGAGCTACCAGGTCTCGGACAAATAAGTTGCGCCGCCTACGGCAAAGAACTTGGTTCTGGTGGGACCTAGTCCCAAGTCACGGCTCGATCGCCTACGAATAACCCAAGCGGATTCCTCGGCTCCTGAATTTTGTGGATCCACGGGAAGCCTTCAAAAAGAAATCATCCTCATCGGGCTCGTCAGAATTCTCTGCAATAACCTTAATGACGTGGTGGCCCACCGAAATTGACCTGAAGGGCTCTGTTTCGGGGGTTCTCTCCGTCGTTCAATGGAACAACGTGGCAACTCAGGGACAGACCGCTGGGAAATTCAGGATTGGCCGAGACCCAGGAGTTGTTTAAAGACACGGTCGATTCGCAGTTTCCCGTAGCTTCAATTCCAACAGCATTTCGTTCAAATCACATTTTGATCATTCCCCAAGTATACCACCACCATGAGCGTCACATTTGAAGTCTTCCGTGGATCGCAGGAGGGAAAGATCGTTGCGGATAAGACCACTCGCACTCTTGAGCACAATGAAGTCTACATCGAGACCACTCATTCTGGTCTCTGCGGTACCGATGAGCACTTCCTGAAGTCTGGCATGGTTTTGGGTCACGAGGGTGTTGGTGTGATTCGTCAAATCGGCCGTGATGTTACCAATGTCAAGGTCGGCCAGCGCGTTGGATTTGGATTCACTCACTACGTTTGCGGAACCTGTGAAAAGTGCTTGACCGGTATGTTGCAAACGACTTGCGATGACTGGGTTGAGAGGCTGATCCGACGTGACAGGATGGGACCAATACTGCGAGAACAAGAAAGAATATGGTAGCCATGATCACGACTTGGGATCTTTCAGCGAGGGCGTCGTCTGGGATGCCGCCTGCGTTGTCCCTATTCCCGATGGATATGACTCCGCCGATGCCGCACCATTGATGTGCGCCGGAGGAACCGTGTGGACCGTCTTGTCGGAGTATGGTGTCCGCTCGACTGACCGCGTGGGTATCATGGGTATCGGCGGTCTCGGTCATTTGGCTATCAAGCTGGCTGCTGCCATGGGATGCCATGTTGTTGTCTTCTCCAGCAGCGAGGCCAAGCGTGAGGAGGCCTTCAGCTTCGGTGCCTCTGAATACCACGTTTTCAAGGCTGGACAGGAGTTGACTGACCTCAAGCCGGTCAACCACCTCTTGCTCTGTGGCAGTGCCAATGTCGACTATCCTTCGTAAGTCCCTGTGTGGCCTTTTGTTCAGAATTGGTCGTTGCTAACATGGACTTGCAGCCTTCTTCCCCTGTTGGATATCCATGGAACGATCTACCCTCTGACTGTCGACTTTGCGCCTTCGCCAGTTCCGATGCTGTCGATGAACACAAAGGGTGCTCGCATCCAGGGTTCCCTCGTCGCATCTCGCCACTGCCTCCAGTCGCTGGTCAAGTTTGCTGCCGCGAAGAAGATTACTCCTACTACCATGAAGTTCTCCTTGGATTGCAAGGGAATCGAGGAAGCGATGCAGACTCTTCGTGATGGCAAGATGCGCTATCGCGGTGTCCTGGTGCGCCAGTGAGACTAGCATGCATGGCGTTCGGTTGCAAAGACATATTGAAGCTTTGGGGGAGATTAAACATCAAAGTGCATGACGGTGATAGAAAAGAAAAAAGCGCTAGAATTATTGAATGTACCAATAGACAAAGATATTGGGTGACTTAGGTCGAGTGAATAGCGAGGCATGCTCATGACGGGCCTTCACAATTTCACCAGTCTTTTTTATCCTGAATCTCCCATCAACCTTCCACCCATCCACCTCCAGTAACTCGAGTGCCACGGCACCACACCTTGCGTATGTTCCGACTGGCTTTGATACGCACAGATGCCTCAGGCCCCAGAAGGAAAGCATGAGCGAATCTCGTTATTTAAATCGTACCGCCACCATATTGAAAGTAACGTACCGGCTCGACAATAGCAGCGCGCAGTGCCTCTATGGGGCTCAGTCCAGCCCCAATCAGCTATTTCACATCCCTAGGGATAATCTGACCATGAGTCCCATACGCCATGAAGATATCATCAGCATCTGTTCTCGGATTCACCCGAGGACCCCGCATTCATAGATATTCAAATTTCATGACAAAGGCCGCAGCTTGAACCGAGGCACAACGTGTCCAGTGACAACGCCCACAGTATTCTTGATCTCCCAAGTACGGAAATGAGCTAGAGTCTGTCTCATTCGCGGCTCTCCGATCTGAAGCTGTTCCACGATGTCTACCACCGCCGAATACAGAATGTCGATATTTCCATCCTCAATCTTCACAGCGATACCAAGGGCGCCATTCGATCCAAGCTTCTTGGTCTGCTCTGATGCTTTGACACCAATACCATAACAGCCATCAGCGCCGAGCTTGCCAATGAGAATCCCTTCAAACGCTGTCATCAGAATGGTACAGAATCGCTTGTCACCAGCGACCATCTCTGGATGACGAGACATGGCCTTGAAAATTCGACTCAATGATCGCGTCATTGAGTCTGTGGAATTGCCATTGTCCTCGCTTGCGCCGGCAGCAAAGACAGCGTACATGCGAGCCAACCGATGCAGAGGAAACGCAGGCGCAGGAAGATTGCACCCGTCAAGTCCCCACTTTGATTCACCCTCAGTGAGACCGCAAACTTGATCCACGGCCTCTTTGACTTTGACTTGCATCAAATTTGTGGGCAAATGATACGTCTGCACATCAGCGCCAAGAGCCTTCGTGCCAGCAATCATGCCCGCATGTTTGCCGGAACAGTTACTGCAGATCGCAGTCGGGGTGAAATCCGTTTTGATCCAAGTGCGGTTCACTTCCTTAGAGATAGGAACATGTCCTCCACACCGAAGATCTTCATCTTGAGCGCCAATTTTATCGAGAATGTTCCGCGCTCGCGAAATGTGTCGCTCTTCACTGCTGTGAGATGCACAGATCAAAGCGAGGTCTGCCTCGTCGAGATTAAATTTCTCTAGTGCTCCTGTTTGGACAATAGCCAAAGCTTGTGCAGGCTTGGCCGCAGATCGAGCTAGCGTCACCCGCGATGGGTCACCAACACTGTATAAGAGGTGGCCGTTGGCGTCGACGATGGCGGCGTGCACGGCGTGTCGGTTTTCAATGACACCCGCTCGGTCTGTGACCACATAGTCGGTAGATATAACGGTTCGCATTCTGAGATATGTATGGATCGAGATTCATTGAAGTATGGGTGATCGATTTCTAAACTTTTAGATTCCTGTAGATGTCAGTTCTAATTTTCACAAGTTGTTTTCAGTGTGTGGTGATTACGATCGGCAGATTCCGACTGCTGACAGATCTCGGATGCAACTAAGGCTTCCCCTATGAAATTCTGCTTTCTCAGCAACTACCTGGTGCTGAAGACGCTAGATAGCTTAAGCTAGGATAAACAAGAAGCTGACAAGTACACAATGGTTAAAGCGTATGAGTCATCCCAGTCATTCTTGGTACAGTAGCCTTCAGTGTTCCCTCCGTCTATCTCTGGACTGGGCCTTTGCCGAATACGCTCAGGCCGCTCGGCTGCCGATTCAAAATGATGTCTCAAATGGAACTTTTGATAGGCTCTTTGTATCTGTCGATTCTCTCCTTGTTGATCTGGAAGCATAAGGGAAGACCGGTATCGTGCCAAGTCTGCCCTAAGATGAGCTTGACCAATCCAGGGGGATAGATCAAGATCAGCCCTGCAACCACAAGGTCAATCGTACAAGAAGACCTACCATTACCATGAAAGGCGGCACAAATCAATTCGCCCTATGGCCCTCAAGGGGACTGAATAAAGGTACACTTTTGGGGGTTATCGTAAGGATTACGGTCCAAGTATGAGCTAAACCTTCATCGTGTCGCAGCGGAATTTCTGGTCGCTCTAGAGACGAGAATTAAATCCTCTGGTAGATCTCACTGCCATAAAATTGCTGTAGGAGGTATCGTCGAAGGTCTTCATGAACCCAGACGGTGCCTCGGGGTTCTCACACAGACTCCTGACCCCAGTCCCACCGAGCATAATGGTGCCATCAAGCAAAGGCTTCACAGAGGAAAAGCTCCCCCTATCGTACCGACTGGCCATCGTTTGTTTTTTTTTCCAATTTTTTCTTCCCCAAAAGGGAATGCCACGGAATGAAAGCGTGAGATTGGACACGATTTGGTTGGATGAATTGGCTTAGATCCGGTACCAGATCGGCTGTACAGGTATTGATATAATGAATCACAGTCTTAGTAGTGGTCCATTCGTAGGCGTACAACGCTCCTGAGTCCCTTGTTCTCGCTTTGGCTTCCTGGCCATCGTAGAATTTCACGAGGTGCACATCACCACCAGCAAGTTTATATCCCTCGAAGGCGTCAGCCGCTTCTTTGGCGAATTTCTCGGAAAAGCAAATCTCGAAGGTCGTTGTTAGATTGAAGTCACAGTTGATATTGTAAATTTTCCCAAATTTTTGAATATTCTCCAATACCTTTTTCTAGTTCTTCAAGATCTACCGACCCTGTGAAGTGTATCCAGACAAACCACGGAAAGCGTATAGAATAGGGTTAAACAGTACTGATTCAGAAATAGGTGAAAAGGTATTTTTTACCAGGTCGAATATGACCTGCATTCCTGCCACTAGCACCAATCTTGTTATCCAAGGTTGGAGAAATCTTGTTAGTCGGTAGGGCATCATTCTATTTGCCGCTATATTGCAGAAGGTGTATTTCTCTCTCGAGGAAGCTGAGGATAGTTCTACTGCCAATGTTGAAACATCGGTAGTTATTAGACAGGTGGTAACCTCGTTCTCTACGCGCATTGTGACAAATGGAGCATCTGAGATTGTATTGCAAGAAAGCTGTTCGGCGTTTTGGAGAACTAGAGATTGTCTCCAGTAAATCTATTAAGAATATATGTATATTATCCCCCCCAAAATTCAGTAAATCTTAAAAGTTACTCAATTTAGGATCGGATCTCAAGAGCTCCTCCACCAAGGGTATCCTTTCGTGGAAACCGTAAAGTCACACCAAAACCCACCACCGGATTTACACATACTCTGTGTATTATATCTTGTCGGATGATGGCGCTGTAGTGAATGTCCCAATACAAGTGGTGCAGCCTTGGGACATTCATCACCTTCTCTCGGTACCACAGCTGGACCGAAGTCGAGATTGCGCCATGCGCCGCACCAATTTGTGCAGGAATAGCTCAACTGACCCGGCTCGACGATGTGGAGGGAGCGTTTTCGTTCCCAATGCGCTCTAGTGACAGCTACAGAACGCTCAATGTTTTCCAGCTTTACTCCTTTAATCACCGCGAGGCGATGTTTGTAGGCCAATTCTGCGAGTGAGATCTTGTTTGGATTCGGTGTATGCACAAGAGCGTAGCATGTGCCATTATGAAGGTGGGGTTTATCGACAGGAAGGCCAGGGTGGCGCCCGCGGAAATTCACCGTTGAAGTAATGGCCACGTCCTAGAGGTTTTACATCCAAGATAGGCCAATTTCGCCAAGAGTGAAGTGATAATGTCACCACTTGTTAGTGCTGGCGCTTCTTCACCGTACTTCGCCTTGAGAGCTTTGGTATGGCTGTCTCGAAGGCCTTCAATCAGGCTGATAGGCAGAAACAGGACTCGGCGAACTTCATTCGAGTTGAGGATGAGATCCGGCATAAAACTTAATATAGCCCTGGCCTTCTCTGGTTTACTCATAATACGGAAAGCGTTTTTTTCTCCGAAGTTCTTTCTCAGAAGCATTTTCAAGTCCGTGCAGCGTACCGGGCTTTAGCTCAAGAAATTCCGCCGGAGTTTCTCCCTTGACTAGCTGCATCTACGCGGTGATCAAACTCCCGAAGCCCATCTGATCGGCGACCGCATGAGGCAAGTTTAGCGCGACAACTGTGGCGTCCGTATACCTGGTAATATGGACGAGCAGTAGCGGCGTGTCCGGTGCCTCGAATCTCCGCTCCCTGGGCCAAGTGGATGGAGTCCATTCACCTTCCAGTTCCGGGATAGAGCGTGGCCCGTGCAAGATATCACAATCTGCATGTGTCTCCTTGGGCAGCAACTGGGCATCTGCGAGGGTCGAGTCAACGATATCAGATGACCAGAGAAACAGCTGATACTCGGCTGGGAAAGAAGTGGGTAGGCGATACGCTAGTTTCCCAGATTTGGAAACGGCCTCGAGGCGAGAACCAAGGATCGGAAGGTGATTTCTGATGAGTCGATCCAATGCTGTGCGCATTGCTTCCTCGTTTAGGGTCGCGCGGACGACTAAGAAGACAAACGTGCGGATGTTATCGATCGGCATTTATTGGTCTATAGGCTCCAGCGGAATGATTCTGGAATTCCCGCTGCCGGCCCCGCTAGACCCATTTGCCGGGCCGCTGTCCCTGTTTGTGGTTTCCATCTGGCGTGCTTCAGGGGCTGAAGAGTTGAGAGCTTACCCTGGAAAAAAAAAAAGGGTAAGCTGAGGGACTAGAAGCGAATGTCAGTCAGCATCCAATGTGGCCGATCTTTACTGTGTCGGGTAACTAGCTTGATCTGACAAACACGTGGTCGGTATTAGAATTTGTGAAGCAAGAAATAGATGGAGCGTATAGTCCGTATTTTGACCATGTTTTGATGTAGTGTCTACTCTATTATTTATCCTCTATGTGTGCCGGATGGGAAAAAAACCCCGAAGGATCAGATGCACCTTGTTCTTCAAGAAGCCGCTTTGCCCATGATCCCAGAGCGTGAATCAAAATCGCTCAAATCCCTATAGATTCCCATAAGATCGCTTGCGCTTGTAAAAAATGCATAGAACGCTCAATAAATGCTCAAATGTATCGAAAGAAATCAACAATGAATGTAAATGGTGCATATGTTTGAACAAAATAGAAAAAGAGATCTGTCGTTTAGAAGCTGAACAGACCAGTCCGCTTCTTACCGTATGGGTAGACGATAAGGGCGGCAATAAACAAGCCGACGGTGATACCGATGGCGACCTGGATCATGCCGAGACCAAGACTGCCCACCGATGTTTCAGATAGGACGCTGGTGGATGTGCTGTTGCCGGAGCTCTTGAGGTTCTGTCGTACCTCGTTGGCGTATTGCAGTCCAGCTATTAGGGAGCCACTGGAGGCGAGACCAGAGGGAACGAGTACAAATATACCTGGGAGAATGGCCGTAGCGGCATGACCGCGCCACAGGCGACTGTACAGGTTGCCGAGGACACCGATGGTAAAGGCGCCCACGGTGTTGGCGACTTCGGACTGGGTGCCCAGTTTGGACTGAGAGAAGTAATTTGAGATGTAGCCGGACACGGCGATGAAAACCATGACCGGCATCTGTTTCCATTTTCCGTGGTTGACAATCGCAAGGAAGACGGCGTATATGGCGACAAAGGGGAATTCACGAGTGTAAACGGATCCCCAAATATCCAAGTTGGAACATGAGGAAGCATTGGTGGCGTTACCATCGATAAGGCCGTAAATAGTGGTACCAACGGTGATACCGTAACCGAGGAAGAGAGAGTAGATAATGGCGTAAACCATTCGAATTGATCCGGCGATCATTTGGTGCGATTGCAGTTCCAGACTGCTACAAAGTACCATAAAGCCGGGAAGAATGAGAGCGATTGATGATTGCGCGAGAGCCGAGAAGCAGAAAATGGTTTCACCATTGTGGCGAATACTGCCCAGAGCGCGAGCCAGAAACGAGGTCAAAACAGCAGCCGTGACTTCAAAGACATTGGAGTAGAGAACGGAGCGTGGCGCCAAGATGTGTTGCATAAACCCAACCAAGCAACCGAGAAGGAAAATGACCGGCATATCGATAGGGCGGGCTTCAAAAGCGAAAGGCCCGACAGTAGCACTGGCAAAGCCGTACATGAGAACAATAATCCACTTGTTGAAGCGCGGCTTGCGAGACATAATCTCGTCGAGCTCTTGGGTCGCCTCTTCGACACCAATCAGATCGTGCACGACGTTTTTGTAAACATTGTGGGTGTCGGCGAGCCGACCGAGATCAACACCTTGTACCATGCGCACGAGTTTTACCTCGGCGGTACGAGTGGCCAAATCATCAAAAGACATGATCATACAGCCGGGCAGATACAGAAATTGACCCGACACCTCAAGGACACGGGCAGTCATTTGCATGTACTCCTCGAGCCGGTGGGTGGGAGCACCATACCGCATTAGCGCACGGCACAGCTGCATGATGTAACGCTGACGGGCAATAATCTCGGCAATGTGAACAGTAACGCGAATCTCGTCCTCCAGACGAGTCTTGCGCTTGCCCTTCCTGCGTCGCCTGCCGCCCTGGACAGCCTCGGTGGCGGCTGGAAGGCTAGCACTGCTCAGGTTCAGAGAAGCATCGATCAATGATGAGGTGGAGCGGTGGGCAGATTTCTTGTACCACTTGAGCTTTTCCTTGCGAGGAGTGACAGCCCCAGAAGTGGGCATGGAAGGAGAGAGCGAATCACCCTTCTTTGGGGTGGTCGCACCCGAAGAGACTTGAGTGTCACTATCCGAGTCATCGGTGATGACACTCTCAGGGCGCGAGCCCGCTGTCTGGCTCGCTTGCAGCTTCAGCAACTGGGACAAGATGCCGCTGCCGCCAGCAAGGCCACTGGATCGACGGCGGCTTGCAAAGTCTCGAATGATGCCCTCGGGTGTAGTTGTTCCAGATCGCTGGTAGGCACTTTGCGGCTTGCGCCTCAGCTTTTCCTGCACCTGGGTCATGCTGCGCACCAGGCGATGAGCCTCCGCACCAGGCGCGGGCTCAACCAGAGTCTCGCCAGTTTCGATGGGTTGCAGACGGTCGGATTCATGGCGAGCTCGTCGTGCTTGAAGCTCCTCCATGAGAATTCCCCCTTCGAAGTCATCTGGGAGAACTGATGCGTTGAGAGGCTCTCCTTCATCCTCAGGCCGACCGAGACGCTCACCTAGCTGGTGCGTCTTTTGTCGAATAATCTGACCGGCATGAAGGAATCGATTGCGAGCGGAGGTAGTCCGCTCCATGAATCCTTGGTGTCCATGCTTTTCCGGATCGGCAGCTGAGTCGCGAGATGGCCATTCCTCTGGCGTGGTACTAGTACCGAGTCCGCTGCGCGCGTATGCGGGGGCCGGCGGGGTGATGGTTCCGGAGCCAGCCAAGGGGATTTCGCTTAGCTCCGTGGATGGCAGCAGAGGTACAGCAGACTGATCGGAAATGATGCGGCGGTCGATTTGAGGATCAGGGTGATATCTATTGCTGATTGAGCGTCGGATCGATTCGAAGCGCACACGCGGCGACCGGATTCGATGCTCGACTGGAGGCTCTGGTGTGGGCGCAGGCGCAGGCGCGGGCTCGGGCTCGGGCTCGTGCAGCCCCGCCTCGTACTGGTTCGCATCCACCGTTACTTCACGCTCAAGACTGTTCCTGCTGCTATTTGCAGGAGGTGTAAATATAGGAAACGGGATTTCGTCGTATTCTTCGGCCGGGCTGGGGTGTGGGTTGGGGATTGAGTCTGCCATTGCAAAGAGTCCGAGATTCCGGACACGGAATGCCCGTCTCGGCAGGTTCAAGACGCACGATGCGAGTGTAGAAGAGTCAAGGGAGCACAGGAACCAAAAAGTAAAAAAAAATTTGGTCGTGAATCGAGAGGCAAAAAACGTATTTAAAAAACAAATAGCCTGGAGACCGAACCAAGGTGAGCCGGGGAGGAAAAGGCATTACGGTTCCACGGCAAGCTAGCCTTTTTTTCGCTGAATCCGGGAGTCTAGACATGCGATCGCCATATGATCCACATGAAATCATCGATAGGCAAATGGCTTTTGGTTTTCTATCTGCATGACACAGGGTCCGTGTGTAGTCGAACTTTTGCCTATGGTTGAATTTAGATTTTTCTTTCCGTTCTTTTCTAGTTCCATGTTTCTCAGCCACCAAGCCCTAATCAACCGGCCTGCATCCTTACCCTGTCGCAACCCTGAATTCCCACCCCCTCCAAGGCTCAAATTCGTGCCTTGGACACCCGGGAATCAGTACAGCATGTCGAAATGTTCTAGACTTGAGTACGTACCACTTTGTACATCATCTCGGGTCGGTGGGTCGGAGGTGGCGATCCAGTTTGTCAGTGGCACCGAAGGCATCCGCTGGTTCGTACCGGAGTTTCACAATGTCCTAGTCTTCTTAGCTTGTTCCCTCCCAAACTAAGCTAAAGGAAAAAAAGGATTCGACTAGCTGACTCTAGTCTCCAACTACCCGACTATACAGTTATCTTGGGAGAATGTGTGCCCTTATCTGCTCTACTTGGGTGTGACGATCGTGGGTCCACGATGCTCGGCCACCTCCTGAGCTCCTGTCCCCTTGCAAAGGAGGAAAGGAGTATTGGAAAAAAAAATAAAAACCGACATATTGACCCACAGTGATGGGATCATCACACCTACTCTGATGCCTGATGAAGGTCTATCACAGCCCCGATGGGCTGGTGAGGGGTGGGGAGGGGAGCACAGGGAGTATAAGCCAGCTTCCGCGGCGCGGATTATAGATAGAAACACAAAGACTTAAGACCCACCAGTACACAAAGGAATCGAAACAAAGGACGAATCTCCGAAAGATGACAGCCCAGGGCGCCACCTCGCAGGAAGTGGACCTCTCATGCATCTTATTGTCCTAACGCCTGCGCTATTCTCATCTGAATATCGAGAACGAAATGTGATTAGATCCACCATCGTGAAACTCAATTGCTTATTCCGAGCGCTGCTTCCCTGGAAGTGTCCAGCCATTCAGATATCCTGTGCCTGCGTTCAGATAGCAGGCATATCCCAACCATGCATAGTAGGGAGTCATCAGCCAGAAGGCCGTGCGATCCGCCGACCACCAGTTAGCCAACAGCAGGCTCACGTTGCCAATGAGCAAAGCCATATCACCGAGGGCCGCGGCCGGTCGCCCCACCCCGAAGAACAACGGCATCCACAGGAAGTTTAGCGCCAGCTGGGTCGTATACAGGGTCTGGGCGGTCGCGTTGCTATCGCGCACAGCCAACGAGAGGGAATCGTGGGCGACCGTTGTTGCGTGATGAGAAGCGTATCCCATCATTCCGTAGAGGATGGTCCATGCGGGCGCGAAGAGCCAACCCGGGGGGCTAAAAGGGGGTTGCCGCAGCTTGCGATAGGTGACCTGAGTTGCGTTCCCTGACCGGTCTCATGGGTCAGTTTATTTCCCTCATACCGCAGGCTTCCGTCGGATATCAGGAATACTCACGGTTGGTGAGAAGCGCGATAGCGGTGCCTCCCACGATGGGAGTCCCGACCGCGAGCAGCGGTGAGGCAAAAATAGCTTGCGGGAGAGCGAAAGACCACGGCATCTTGTGCGTAATCGTAAAACTTGGCTGAGCCCTTATTCGAGGAGAAGATTGTGATCTTAAATGCGCGTCAAGACTAACGGTCGTGGCCGTGTCAGCCGGGATCGCGATCTGGCGAAGTTCGACTGAGCTACGTCATCACTCATCGCTCGTCCAGATCGGTTGACCTGTTGACCTGGTCAAGGCACCCGTCTCGCTTAGAGAATCAAGCTACTACTATTGACATTAGAAACGCTAGTGAGCTCTGAGTTAATCGATTGTTTTCTAAGATGAACCGTTTCAGATTGTGCCTACGGTCGTGTCTGCTCAGGTGCCTGGAAAGGCCACTTGTACCTTTGTTAGCGTTCTCATTCTAATCACCGGGGTTTTCTATTTGATTTGTTTTGATGGACACTTTTCACGAGTATTGAAATTCCGTTCAGAGAAGAGTTCTAAAAAGATCTGTGTACTTGGTCTGTTTGCACGTATGATTCCTAGAACGCGCAGTATATCGTAGGATTGCCAAGGCCCCGTTTGTCCTGTGCAACTTGGCCACGAAGCCTATGAAGAGACCAGGATGATTTGAATTGCACGGTGACTTTTTGACCTTCCGGCGTCGAGGCATGCTAAAGGGCCGGCTGATCTGCAAGTCTAGGAGTTGGAAAGAATGGAAATTGGTAGATATATAATGAGTTAGCAAGCGAAGCCAGAAATTATATCAGCGTAAGATCTGTACAGATATACCGCGAGATTGCCAACAGAACCCCTGCTGACGACTCGCAAATTCACACCCACAAGATGCCATTGCGGCTGTTGTGTCTCCACGGCTGGGGGACAAGCGAGAAGGTCAGTAAGTTTCCAACAAAATAAGGATCTGCTATACTGACAGCTAACAGATCCTGCGCTCCCAACTGAGTACAGAAAACCGAGCAATGCTCATATGAATCGTTCTGATAAAGATAACAGGCGGGCTTATTGCGGATTTGCAGCGGGATAATACAGTGACATTTCACTTCCTCGAAGGCGAGGTCGACTCAGACGCCGGTCCAGGCATTGCAGGCTACTATGATGGTCCGTATTACAGCTACTATAGATTTCCGAGAACTTTCTCTGCCGAAGACGATGACGACTCTGAGATCTTGGAGGCGTATGATCTGTTGTATGAGACTATTGCCCACCACGGCCCCTTTGACGGGGTCCTTGGCTTCTCACATGGGGGAACCTTGGCTGCAGGGTTCCTCATTCACAACGCCAAAATATCGCCACAGGAGCCGCCTCTCTTTCGGTGTGCCATCTTTGTCAATTCTTTGCCACCGTTTCGTATGCACCCGGGCGAATATCCTGTTATAGATGAGGGGCTTGAGGGCTACATCAACCTTCCCTGTGTGCATGTTGCAGGGGCCAAGGATCCTTTGTTTGAATGCTCACTTGCACTTCACCGAATCTGTGACCCACAATGCTCTGAATTCGTGGTGCATGGAAAGGGCCATGATATTCCTACTGACCGGAAGAATGTCGCCATCCTGGCCACCGCAATCCGAAGACTATCGGTGACGATGGGGAGGGATGTGACAATAGCCATGTAAACACTTTCCTAGCCAATGATCTCGATTCAATCATCTTGTCCAGGAAGGGAGCTTCATGTATATCGAGATAATGCCAATGCTGTATCAGACTTGTGTTACCATGTCCTAGGATGTAAGCCGGCTATTTTCATTCCCATGTCTAGTGCTAGGGAAATTGAACTTCACTCTTAAATAAACCGAGAACACTAAGTAAGATCCGACGGACTGGTTACGGGCCATTATGACTCTTTAGACTTGAGATGTTGGCAACTTACTTCACTCTCCACAAAGAAGTCCAACTATTCATCCAATTGATCAAACTGGCGTGACTGCTAGTACGTGGAATATGCAGAACCTACCAATGATCATCAAAGCCAGCGACTCAGAGGCGTTTTCAGGGTGCATTGCACCAACGGGGTCGGAAGGCAATGGCGAAATTTTAGCCATCCTGGCCGCTGATGCTTGTATGCCCATTGCAATTGTGGGGATGGGTTTTCGTGGACCGGGCGACGCAACCGATGTCCAAAAGCTATGGGAGATGATTATTGAGCAAAGAGAGGCATGGGGGCCTATTCCAAAGGAGCGTTGGAATAACAAGGCATTCTATCATCCAGACCACGCTCGGCATGGCGCGGTAAGACTCTGTGTAAAGGAATTTTCCAAAACAAAACACTCATATCAATGATGCAGATCAACGTGAAGGAGGGACATTTCATGAAAGAGGATTTATCTCTGTTTGATGCGCCATTCTTCAATATGACCGGCGATGAGGCTGCCGTAAGTCTCACCAAGACCCCGAGTTGATCACACCACTAACGATACATACTAGGCCATGGATCCTCAACAGCGGCTCTTGCTTGAAGTAACCTATGAAGCAGTGGAAAATGGTATTTAGTTCTCTAATATCTGTCAGTCAACTACTGACCATGAAAAGCCGGAATCCCGCTGTCGCAATTCACGGGAAGCAAAACATCCTGTTTCGTGGGATCCTTCAGCGCCGATTACACCGATTTACTTCTTCGCGACCCAGAATGTGTCCCAATGTACCAGTGCACGAACGCTGGCCAGTCTCGTGCGATGGTCTCCAACCGTATTTCCTATTTCTTCGATCTGAAAGGTCCGAGCGTCACCGTCGACACAGCATGTTCAGGCAGTCTTGTCGCTTTACACCTAGCATGCCAAAGCCTTCGAACCGGTGACGCGTCGATGGCAGTCGCTGCTGGTGTCAATCTCATTCTCAGTCATGAATTCATGTCGACGATGAGTATGATGAGGTCAGTACGCCACCCCAAACTCTGGACATTGCATCCTGAATTTCGTGCCAGGTTTCTTTCCCCAGACGGCCGTTGTTACACCTTCGATGAGCGAGCCAATGGATACGCGCGAGGTGAGGCCGTTGACTGCCTCATCCTCAAACCACTCGTTGATGCGCTTCGCGACCACAACAAAATACGCGCCATCATTCGAGGCAGTGGATCTAATCAGGATGGCCGGACTCCGGGAATCACGCTTCCAAGCGGCACTGCACAAGAGACTTTGATGCGGGATGTCTATGCGCGGGCGGGTCTGGATCCGAAAGAAACCGAAGTCGTCGAGTCCCATGGTACTGGCACTCAAGCAGGCGATCCAATTGAGACGGCCGCGATTTCTCGAGTTCTCGGCCTCGCTCGTGAGGCTGGGCAAACAGTAAAAATCACTTCAATCAAAACAAACGTCGGACACCTGGAAGGCGCAAGTGGCGTTGCGGGCGTCATCAAAGCTGTCCTCATGCTGGAGAATCGTATGATTCTACCCAATCGTAACTTCAAAACGCCAAACCCACGAATTCCCTTGGAAGAGTGGAGCTTGAAAGTCGGTATTCCTCGGAGTTCTATATTTGCATTGTCCTGACATCATTAGGTTCAATCAACACCCGAGCAATGGGAAACACCTGGCCACCATCGGGTATCCGTCAACAGCTTCGGGTATGGGGGATCCAACGCTCACGTCGTTATTGAAGATGCCATCGGATATCTTACGAGCCGGGGGCTACAGCAATGGTTACTGGGTTTATCAGACTCGGTTGAAAAGGCTCAGCTTGACTTTGCGCGTCAAGGGTGGCCGTCACAAAGAAGTAGAATATTTGTGCTCTCGGGATTTGACGAACAAGCATGCAAAGAGCAGGTCAGACGAATTCACGACTACCTCGTGGCCAGAGAAGGATACCTGGATCATGAGCTCATGGATGATCTCGCCTTCACATTGAACGAGCGTCGGACTCGGTTCATGTGGAAAACAGCAGTTATCGGGGATTCTGTCTCCACCCTGATTGATGTACTCTCAGGAACTCCTAAAATACGAAGCTCTGTTCGAGATCCGACTTTGGCATTTGTGTTCACCGGCCAGGGAGCACAATGGGATGGCATGGGAAAGGAGCTACTTCTTACCTACCCGGTTTTCCGGGAGTCAATCGCCATGATTGACGCATTTCTAGAAACTCTTCGAGCCCCGTTTAGTGTCTACGGTACGTAAGATAGGTCACCAAGACAAATAGCATGGACCGCAAGGATGCTAATCTATCCTAGATGAAATGACCGGGGATCCAGAGGACTCTCATCTGAGCCATCCTTTGCTGAGCCAGACGTTGTGCTCAGCTCTTCAAATTGCGCTCGTCGATCTCCTAGCATCTTGGGGTGTGTACCCCGCCTCCGTCACAGGTCACTCGAGTGGTGAAATCGCCGCTGCATACGCTAGTGGTGCCCTGAGCTTGGAAGACGCGATGAGCATAGCGTATCATCGTGGTGTGATCGCTAGCCAATTATTGACGGCTCCAGTAAGTGGAGGTATGATGGCAATCGGAATGTCACCCGCAGAAGTACAACCACTCTTGGCGAGAATCAATTCTGGAAAGGCTGTCATTGCTTGCGTGAACAGTCCTCACAGTGTTACAGTATCCGGGGATGCAGAAGCGATCGATGAAATTGCAAAAGCCCTCCAAGACAGCCCTGTGCTCAGCCGTCAGTTAGCGGTGGCTGTCGCCTATCACTCACATCACATGGAACTTGTCTCGAATGAGTACCTGAAGTCAATAGACCAGATTGTACCAAAGAAACCGAATAACCTGACCGGTCCAATTTCGTTTTTCTCTTCGGTCACTGGAACGGAGCTTGAACCCGAAGCGCTTGGACCTCGATACTGGGTGTCGAACTTACTTGGTCAAGTCAAGTTTGCCGAGTCGGTGAAGAAACTTTGTTTCGAGACAAACACTCGGTATACCGGAATCGGAACACCTGCAGGGAGGCGGATGAAGAGAGTGGGCACCGCGCAGAAACCAAGCGTTGATGTGATTCTTGAAATTGGCCCCCATTCGGCTTTATCGGCCCCGGTGAAGCAAATACTTCAAGCAGATGTGAAGCTCAAGGCAGCAGACATCGAGTATGCTAGCGTCTTGGTGCGAAGACAAGATGCCGTATCTTGCGCGCTAGACGCCATGACAAAATTGGCCTCCCTGAATTATTCGCTGGACTTTAAATCAATCAATCGCCCGGTAGCAGCGAGTAATCCACGATGTCCACAACTGCTAGTGGACCTACCCCCCCTACCCCTGGAACCATAGTAGATCATACTGGGCCGAACCCCGCATGAGTAAAACATACAGACACCGGGAATCCCCCCCGAACAGGTCTACTCGGAGCATTGGACAACGTGGCTTGCCCATTCGAGCCACGTTGGCGAAACCACCTGCGCGTCTCGGAGATACCCTGGCTCCTGGACCACAAGATTCAATCTGATATCGTCTTCCCGGCCGCAGGGTACATGTGCATTGCGATCGACGCAGCCATGCAATTGGTCACAGATATCGGTGAGATTGCAGCATTTGTTCTGCAAAGAGTTTCAATTCGATCGGCGTTGATTATCCCTGAAACCGCTGGCATTGAGATAATGACATCATTGCACTTCCATGCCGAACAAGCCGATCGGTTGCATTCGGGATATAGATTCCACATCTACTCGGTGTCGAAAGAAAACAGATGGACGGAGCACTGCACCGGGATTGTCCAAGCGGAGAAAAAGCAAAAAAATACGGCGGGAGGGAAGATCGGCAAAGCGGAGGGCGCGGCGATGTTACCCGAATCTGACTCCACAGACGTCTCAGTGGTCAATATTGATCATCTATATGAAAGGCTACGTCATGTTGGCTTGGATTATGGCCCCTGCTTTTCCAATATGAAATCGGCGCAAACAAGTGATGATGGTATCTGCTTTGCGGAAATTACACTCCCCAATACGGCAGCAGTCATGCCGATGCAGTTTGAGCATCCGCTATTGATCCATCCTTGTACATTGGATAGCTTGTTCCACGCAATGTTTGCCATGCTGTCGGATAAAGCATCTCTGGAAAAAGGGCCGATGATCCCAGTTTCAATCGAAAATCTACGAGTGGCAACCTGTATCAACTCCAGTGCCGGTCAAGTCTTCAGTGCATGTACCCATGTGCGAACAGGTCCAGAGGATACAGTCTTGGCATCTATCGTCGCCGCAGAGATCAGTAATGGAATTCACAGCTCAGAGCCCAAGCTTTCTGTAAAAGGGCTACGATGTAAACGACTGGACATTGCGACAAACGATTCAAAGTCGTCAAAACATGTTGCTCTTATTTATGGAATTGAGTGGCAGCCCGATCCCGGATTGCTTCTCGGTAATGTTAGCTCTTATCGAATTCTCGAACAGCATGTTCAATCAGTGGAGCAAACATCACTGCGTGAAGAATATGAAAAACAAGCGACTTCTCTCATCAAGGACTTCGTTGTCAGATACGATCAACTTGGTCAAACCCAACAAGATACACTTGTAAGCAAGTATAGATCTCATTTCGCTGAGCTTCTCCAGAGACACAATGCGCTCGAAGAGATAAGCCAGATCACAGACATAGGAGACAGGCAGAGGGAAATTCCTCAGTTCATGACAAGACCACTTCGCGCAATCAAAGCATATGTCTCTTCAATTTTTAATGGCGACGATAGGGACACTCAAACAAGCCGACTCGAGCTTTGGGATTCTCGTTGGGAGATTCTCGCTGCCGACCGTACCTATCTTCGTGCCGCAAAGCATCTAGCACTACTTGGCAACAAAAAGCCAGATATCTCGGTTCTTGAGATCTGCGAAGGAACAGGTCAGCCATGCACAATGCTTTTAGAAAGCCTCGCAACCGGATTCAAACATCCCCACCTGATACCTTGCTGCACCAAATACTCGTTCACATACAAAGATAACTCAGAGCTAGAACAGCTCAAATCAAAAGTCACTCGTTGGCCTGAATTGGCTGGCTACACAAAGCTTGACATAGAGCGCGATATCTCCGGACAGGGGCTCGAAAAAAATTCGTACGATGTGATTGTTGCTCCCCACGGCCTTTACTCGGTGCATTCCGTGAAAACGGCTCTATCGAATTTTCGATCACTACTAAAACCATCCGGCTACCTCCTTATTATTGACAACTTATACCCGGAAAGAAGTATCTTGGATGCGATAATGAGTAGTGCTTTGTATCCTTGGCCTATTGAGAAATTGCATCTTCCTTCAAGTAATGTCATAGAAAGGAGAAGTTTAGTCCAAGCGCTCCATGATGCAGACTTTACGATCCGCTATCTGGCCGGAGATGGTTCTGAGAATAGTGACAATGGCACTTTGATGCTTTCCAGCCTGCAAGGAAATAAAGAGTTTGCAAAGAGATCATTCACGATCATCTCTGAGAGAGATCGAGATCAGATCGCTGTCACAATTCTACAGCGTCATCTTGAAGACCTGGGGTGTTTAGTTACCCTGACAGATATGATACATGTTCAAGCCAAGAACCAGGTGTGTGTGGTTTTGAGCGACACGCAAAATCATGTCCTTGCGGGTATGGACGTGGAAATGTTGGAAAAGGTGAAGGATGTTTTCTTGCACAGCGCTGGAGTACTCTGGATCACTCGCGGAGGGACGATTAACCCGAACTATCCAGAAGCAGGACTTGCCTTAGGATTTGCTAGGACAGCCCGCTCTGAATCTGCCGTTGAGCCGATTGTCACGCTTGACCTGGATTCCCTCAATCCACTTCCGGGGCCCGAAGTTGCTGAGCTTATTTTCAGAATGATCAAGACGCGTTTCCTTCAAAAGGGTCATGATACTGATGATACGGAGTATGCGGAGAGAAATGGTGTTGTTCTAATTCCTCGAGTAATCGAGCGAGAGGACGCGGCATCAGATGTTATTCGAGCTGGGAAGGAAAACCGATATTCACAACGGACCTTTCAGCAAAAAGATTGTCCACTTCGACTATCCAGGGCAGACAAAGATCACTTCCAGCCATACTTCACGGTGGACCAACAAATGACCCAGATCCCTGCTGGGCATGTCGGTATCGAGGTGATGGCTTTTGGGCTGAACGAATGCGACGAAATTCAGTATCCAGAAGTAATTGAAAGTCGCGGTACTTTGGGACTGGAGTGCAGTGGTAAAGTCTATGCACTTGGAGAAGGTGTTGAAGGCCTCGCTATCGGAGATCGCGTTATGTGCCTTGGAGATGGAACAGCAAGAACTTTGTATCACGCCGAAGCATCGGCTTGTCACAAACTCAATGCTTTCATGTCATATGAGCTTGCAGCATCTATCCCCGTGGCCTATACAACAGCATACTACGTGGTCCACTACCTAGCACGAGTTCGACCACACGACATTATTTTGATAGAAGACGCCGCAAGCTGGTATGGCCAAGCTATCATTGAACTGTGCTACATGAGGAGTGCCACCGTGATAGCAATTGTGAAGAATGTAACCCAAGAGGAAGCCTTGATCAATCGATTCCACATTCCGCCTGACCGCGCTCTTATCGAAGGGGAAGAAGACATTCTGAAGAGACTTTTGGAGATCACTCATGGTCGAAAGGCTGATGTTGCTATTACCTTCTCAGCTACTACCTCCGAGAGCATGAAGATGACCTGGGGATGGATCGCTCCCTTTGGACGTTTCATCCGGCTTCACACCCGCAAAACCGAAATCGAACTCGACTGCGACGTAGCCTGCCCGGGGAGGAATGGTGTTTTCTCCACATTCAATATCTTTGCCTTCCAACGGGCGAGAACAGACCTGACACGCCATATACTTGGGAAGATCATCCGATTTTTCCGTAATGGGAGACTACTCGGGCCGTCTTCGTTGATGGTAAAGGGGGTTGGAGATGTAGAGCAAGCTTTGGAAATGATACCATCTGAGAAACATGTTGTGATGACGACAGGGGCTGATGATAAGGTCACAGTAAGATCACTCTCTTCTCTATTATTTTCACACTCTCTTAATGCAGACAGACACTACTACCGAAACAAAACAACAAGTTATTCCGAAGTGATGCATCATATATTCTTGTTGGGGGTCTGGGCGGCATTGGGCGTGTAATTGCCCTGTGGATGGCAGACCAAGGCGCAAAACACTTAATACTCATCAATCGGAGCGGACTGTCAAGACAGCCTGCGCAGAATACAGTAAGCAAGATTCAAGGCAAAGGCGTGACAGTTACCATCCATGCCTGCGACATCGCCGACGAAGCCCAAGTGTCCCAGGTATTCGCAACTATATCTCAGAACCAGCCACCAATTCGTGGCTTGATCCACGGAGCCATGATTTTAAAGGTAAGAAATAGGGAAACAACCAGCCATAACTTACCAGTACTATGCTGACAAGCTCCAGGACGTCCACATTGAGAAAATGACCTCCCAAGACTACAACACAGTCCTTCAGCCCCGCTATACTGGAACCTGGAACCTCCACAGAAACCTTCCAACCGAGTTAGACTTCTTCTTGATGCTCTCCTCAATAAGCGGCGTGATCGGAAACGCAACCCAATCCGCCTACGCCGCAGGCTCCGCTTTCATGGACGCTTTTGCCGCGTATCGCAACGCGATGGGCTTACCGGGAGTTTCATTGGATCTTGGCACAATTACAGACATTGGATATCTGGCTTCGAACAAGGACCTTGCGGCTCAGATGGAGAGGCAGGGGTTTCAAGGAACTGATACGCCGACTCTGCTGAGACTTGTTGAGTTCGCTATCTCCCAGCCTGTTGTAGGTGGCATGTCGCAAATTGTGACTGGGTTGGGGGAGTGGAAGGAGGGGCAATCGCTTGGAAATTTCGATACGCCGCTTTTCTCACATTATCGACGACGATACCAGGTAGGCGAAGATGGTGGGAGGGAGAATGATACAGATGACACGCTGAAGGGTATGTTACGTGCTTGTAAGACGAAAGAGGAGGCAGTTCCTATTATTTTTGATGTGGTGAGTGGGAAGATTGCTGCGCAGCTTGATATCTCGGTTGATAGGGTGGATCCGTCGAGTCCGCTTTCTGAGTTCGGGGCGGACTCACAGATGGCTGTTGAGCTTAGGAACTGGATCTTGAAGACTTTGGAAAGTACTTTGTCTATCCTTGAAATTTTGGCAAGTGAATCGGTGCTTCATCTGGCAAGACAGATTGCTGAGCGGTCTCAATTGGTTTGTGTGGATAATGATGAGCAGTGAGGCTAATCTGGGGACTTTGGGGAAGGCTAGGCAGGATGTAGTGAAAGATTTGGATACTTGAAGGCTTTATTGAGTGGTGATTCTTCTAGAGTTTGTGGATGAGGCCAATTTCAAAATTGAGAGACTAGGAAATGTATGTATGATACCAGTGTAAATGTGGAGTAATAGTAAATGAAAGTAGAGACTAATTAAAACCTTTGAAATTGAAAGAACTCCCCGAAATGCCCCTTCTAATAGTCTATTCGAGGAACAGGATGTTTTCATCCGATCACTCAGCCTTCTTGGAGGCCTTGGTCCGCAGCTTCATCAACAGGTAGACCAAAGCATACGAGCTCAGAGCGAAAATGGCAACGATGCCAATATCACGCCAGCCGTAGTAGTATTCCTTCAGATTGAGGGTGTAGAGGTAATCGCTTCCATGAGTGTACTCGCAAACCTTGCAGGACTCGGTCGCGAGGGGGTTGACCAGGTTCATGCGCGAACCGATGGTCTCCATGTAAGACTTTAGGTAGTCTCCGCAGGTGGTTCCGTTGGCAGGGTCGAAGATGGCGAATTCATCTTCCTTGCAGTTCACGTCAGTGTCCCAGACATTGAAAACCAGGAGACCACCCATGAGATAGTTGAAAGGGTTCATCCAATAGATCCAGTACCTCCAAAATTCTTGGATCTGGGCATAGGGAACCAGGACACCACAAAAAGAGACGAGTGTACCGATGATCAAGGGATTGACCAGAGCGGCAAAGGTGGCGTTGGGGGCGTAGGCTGCAACGAACTGACCAATACCAGTGTAAACGAACTCGTAGAGGAGCATCATGAAGAAGACCGGGCCGGACTTGTCAGCAGTGGTGACTCCACCAATGGTCCAGTACCAGCAAACAAAGTACAAGACGGCGCAAATACAAAGGTATGGGATCTCGGACACAACGAGGGCAGTCACGAACGCCCACCAAGAGTACATCTTGGACTTCTTCTCACGCTGTTCGTAAATAGCACGACGCTCCAGGAACAAGGGTTGCAGCTGGTTGATGACACCAGGGGCGACGAAGATGAAGTTAAAGATAGTGAAAAGGCGCAGTTGCATGGCACCAACGCTATCCCCGATCATCCAGAAGGAGAAACCATTGAAGAGAGCGGATCCAATGTGAAGAGCGAACTTGTTGTTGATGTAGTCAGTGTTACGGAAGAGAGCGGTGCTCATGCGAAGGGTCACAAGCTTGGTCTGCTCCACGATAGAAGTAGCGAATTCGCGGCCGTCGTCAAAGGTGCCAGGAGGCTTGGACGCCGCAGTGCTAACAATTTCATCGAGTTCCTGGAGTGCCCGAGAGTGCTCGGGAGACTCAAGCCAGACCTGGTTCCAGTCTTTGCCCTGGCTAAGATGTCCAGAGACGACGTCAATCATATGCTCCGCAGGATTGGTGTTGCTGGGGCAGGGGGCGCCGTAGCGGTCAAAGTAGCTCTTGACAGTCTGACCGTTATCACCGATGTCACCGAAGTAGACGGTCTTGCCACCCTTTGTGAGCAACAATAGAGTATCGAATTCAGCAAACAGCTGAGCGGAGGGCTGGTGGATGGTAACCAGTACAGCCTGACCAACGTCGGCTAGTTTTCGCAAGAAGCGCACCGTGTTGTAAGCAGACTGCCCATCAAGGCCGGAAGTGGGTTCGTCCAGGAAAATCAGAATGCTAGGCTTAGACACAAGCTCGACACCGATGGTGACACGCTTACGCTGCTCAACACTCAAACCAGCACCAACATAGCCGATCAAAGTGTCGGCCAGATCGTGAAGCTCCAAAAGATCGATGATAGTGTCCACGTACTTCAACTTCTTCTCGCGAGGAACATCGCGAGCTTGGCGGAGCAGAGCCGAGAACTCCAAAGACTCACGAACGGTAGCGAAAGGCTCAAGAACATCAAGCTGTTCACAGTATCCAGCAGAGCGCTGGAACGAAACGGGGAGCTCACGGCCATCAACCAGAATAGAACCATTAATGACACCGTCAGTCTTGCGTTGCGCCAGAACATCGAGCAGAGTGGTCTTTCCAGCACCGGACGAGCCCATCAAGGCGCCCAGCATACCCGGCTTCACCCAGCCAAAAACATTGTCAAGCAAAACCCGATCGCCACTGGGAGTCTTCACGGTGTACTTCAAGTTCTTCCAGGTGAAGACCGATGTATTGCGAACCAGCTGTTGGTCAATATTGTTTTCATCGGCGTTACCAGAATCGGACAGGCTCTTGGACTTTTCCTGAATCTGAGACTCCTCATCGGGCTTGGCAACCTGGCGGTGCTTCTCGAGTCGCTCACGGGGAATGACGAGACAGCTTCCGCTCTCGCCGGGGGATTGCCATCTGGAAGTAGCGATAATTGTGACAACTACGAAGAGCACCCACCACGCCCAGTTGATGCCAAAGTTGCGCCACAGGTGGGAGTGGCTGTAGGAGAGCGAGGCCAGGAACTGATCACCAGTGACGTAGGTATTTCCCTGAATGGCACCGCCGACACCAGCGCAAGACTGGTGGGCGGGATCATTATAGCCTGGGCCTGATGGGATGAGGTTGGTACCCACACAAGGAATTGTCTTTTCGTGAAACTCGTTGGAGAGAAGAGCCTCAAAGCCATAAGATAGGGGGTCGATCCAGAAAATCCAGCCCAGCCAGGGATGCATCTGCGGCTTTTGAATCATGTAACCGGTGTACATGATCAGTGCGGAGATAAGGAATCCAGAAACCTTCGAAGCTCCATCGAAGGTGGAGAAAAGAGCTCCAATGGCGCGGAATAGGGCAGTCATACACTGTTTGAAATATTAGCCAATGTGTTACACTCTCGGGAGTGATCTGAAATCTTACCATTGTGGTCGCAAAGACAAGGATCCAGTATGTGAAGAATGCTCCAGCCGACATCGTAAGGCCAACCATGAAGTAGACGACCAGGGAAAACATGCTGATCTGGAACAACAACACAGGGATATCAGCGGCAATTTGCGCAAGGCAGAAAGCCGCGGGATGGAAGTAAGCAAAGCTCTTGTGCTTAATCAAGACAGGGCGACCGTGGAACGAGTCGGTGACCTCAGACATGGCTAGTAGACTGTTGTACAGCAATGAGAAAAAGAGAGCACCGGACTTGACAAACAGACCACCTGAGTTGTCAGGGGCACTATAGAACAGGGATCCGGCAATCAAGGCCTGCGCCAAGGTAGCGACTTGCTTGATGATGAAAGTGGCTTTGTCTCCCCAGATAATCTGGTATTGCCGAGACACACAAGCTTTGACCTGCTCGGTAAAGCTGACGGTCAAAGGGCTGTTCTTCGGGAGCTGCTTGTTCGTCTCAAAGGCGACACCGTCTTTGAAGTCCTGGGTCCGCTCGCGGGCTTCTTCGGTATTCGGGTAGTCGTACTCGGCGATCATCTGGTCATGGATGGCGGATTTGTCGTACACCTCTCGCAGAGCTTCCTTGTTGCGGGGGAAGCGGTTCTCATAGCCGTCGCGAATCCGGCGTTCCGTGGGCACGGTAATACCAGTGAGGAAATCCGCAACGTTAGATCCTTCACGGCAGACAAAGCCAGCCTCCTCCATGAAAGGCCGAGCCTGAGCCCGAGGACCGTAATAGATCTGCTCGCCCTCGTCGAGAACGAGGACCTTGTCAAAGAGGTCGTAAATTCCATTGCCAGCTTGGTAGAGGGTAACAATGGTCGAGAGACCGAGGGTATCCGTCATGGCGCGAATTGCCTTGGTCCATTCCAAGGCAGTGCTCGCATCCAGTCCTCGAGTGGAGTTATCCCAACAGAAAACAGATCCTCGAGTGGCAAGACATTCGATGATAGAGACACGCTTACGCTCACCACCGGAAACACCACGAACGTATTCGTTACCGACCTTCGTGTCCTCCGTGTGAGAGATGTTCATTGACTCAAGTAAAAACTTCTTGGTTTCTTGACGATAGGCTTCGGCGGATTCAACGCCATTCGGAAGCTTGAAGGGAACCTTGAGGCGAGTCGCAAAGTCCATCGTCTGACCGACCGTCAAGGTGGGGAAGAATAATTCTTCCTCTGTGTTCATCACAATCTGACCACGGTACTTGCGGGCCTCATCGGAAGTCAGCGAGCCGAATCGCACATCTCCCGCGACTGACTTGTAACCTGCGCGGCGGTTTGAAAGCAACTTCAAGAGAGTTGTACAACCTGAGCCTGGACGACCTAGGACGAGGAGCATCTCGCCCGGCTTGACGCAACCATGGCTGTTGTTCAGAATCGTACGAAGCGGGGGCTTGTTGCGCGACTCCTTGATGTGCTGGGGAATATTGAACTGTGAGAACACGTTTTCATTGACGGCAGCTTCTGAGCTGATGACATCGACTGTGAGATTTTGCCAAGTGACGCCCAGTTCCTGTCGCTTGAAGCCCGAGGCCAAGTCTCGCTCATGCTGTTCCTGGACGCGAGATAGCAAGCTCCAGTCGTTGTGTTGACTGGGGTCGGGGCTGTTGTCTTTGCGAGGAGTCTCATCGCCCATGACCGTGGCCGCACTCTCGGTTTCAAACTTGATGTCAATCGACCCTCTCCGGGAGGACGAGGGATGGGTTGCACCCTCCATGTCGAAATGTGTTGGAGTGTTATTTTCTCCTCACAATGTATTAGCGGGAGCCTGAATCCTTTATACTGGGCTTAGAATACTCGAACGGCCTCAGTGGGGCCTCTTCACTGACGGGTTTTGGGATTACCCCGAGCGTCCGGGCCCAATTGAAATCAGCCATCATAAGGGCATTGGCGAGATTCTCAGGTTTTTTTCCACATAGCGAATAGACTATTTCGTTTCACAGACCCCCTTTATTTCATGTGAGATGGCGTGGGTGCCATGGATGACCCACGTAACGGGCCAGAATCTCTGCGAACCAAAGACGATGTGGAGCTTCGGACGATCCACGGAAGGAATGAACAGCTTCCTTCCGCTGAGTCATCTAAGTGTCTTTCAACCTGAGATCCAATGTGACCTGGTGCCTGGTGTATCCTCTGTTCAATGCATGGATCTGATGAGATCAGTCCGCTGGACAGAGCCCAAAGTCCCTTACTTGGAATGCCCCGCGAAAGCCACTAGATAAAATAGAACGTAGACCCCGAAATGGGACTTCCGAGGCCCAGAGTCCGAGGAGTTCCAAGGTGACTCGTCGAATCTCGATCTCGGCCCTTTGCAGATGCCGCTGAGTCAGCGGAGTGCCGGACATCGGGCCCACGCGGCTGCCACGGTGTTTGCTTTCGGACCTTCAATCCCCCCGACTCACGGGCACCCGTATAATCATAGACGGCGTCAGATTCGGAGATAAGAGCGCCATCCCGATCGATCCTAGAGATATTGCCAATGGCCCAGAACATCTTATTTCAGTCCTGAATGTCTTCCTGACCGTCTTCCTAAATATATTGCAGGACATCCTGTTCTAGATCTTTGGAGATATCCCGTTGGTCCTTTCTCGAAGATGCCCTTTTGGGAGTTGTAGTAAATGTGGAATCATCTTTCTTAGGAGTTGTAGTAATTGTTGAATAATCTTTCGTAGGAGTTGTGGTAATTGTTTAATAATCTTTCCCGGACAAATAACATATTCATGTCCGCTTATAGGGCTCAATCGGCTTGTCTACTCGGTGTATCGGTGTATCAGCCAGATCGGGAGTGCGCTGTCTTATTTCCGAGTGAAGACTTGGCTCTCTGTTGGCTCCATTCATTCGCGCCTCCAATCTCCGCTGCACATAGCCAAAAATGCCGGCTCTACATTTTTTGGTTTGAACGGCTAATCAGACTCTATATTTCGAATCCTTCCTTTTTTTTTTATTGCTTTCAGGGCTACAGTCCCCTTTTTTGTTATTTTTAGCCGTCTCGACTATCTACACTTGAGTCCCTTGTAAGGATCTCTCGCTATCATTGCTTTCCTCACCAATGCTGCTGCCACTACTCTCCTTGCTCTCATCCTTCTTCTTTAGCTTCTGGTTGCCCTCCTCATTTCCGACTCCCTATTGTTCATCGTCTTTCAGTTCCTCCCCGCTCTGTTCCCCCTCCACTTCTTCGTCCTCCTTCTCACCCCGGCACTTCTCACAGTACATATGATGCGTTCCCGTCCTGCCTTTGAATGCGGCCTCGTCGGCTTCATGCCTACCTTTGAAACACCATTCTTGCTTCGGCTCTAGACAGTATACGCAGATTCCGTCATATTCCAGTCTCACGCTGCGATCGAAACTACAGTGGACACATCGGAAGAATTCAGGGTCGTCCGCTGACCGGACGCTCATTTCCTCTTTGCGGTCATTCGATGCAAGGGACCCTGTTGGTGAACGAGGACGAGAAAGAGGAGGAGCGGTGATGCCAGTATCCATTGTGAAGTGGGAAGCGGTATCGGTGATCTGTGACCCCAAGACGGTCGATTCAGTCGAGCGTCTCTGCGGATCCGACATCGCTGGAATCATTGATTCGGGATAACTATGGCCGTAGGGGTAATGAGGTCGCTGCGCAAGCGGCTGTTGTAGAGTATTGAAGGGGGTACCTGCCAAGGTAGAAATGGTGTCAGGGATCTGTGATCCCAAGGCGCTTGATTCCATCATCGGTCTCAAGAGGTTTAGCATCTGCGGCATTGTGGGGTTCGGGTAATCTCTGCAGAGGTAATTCGCAAGCTGTGGCATTTGCTGCTGGAGAGTATCGAACCTCTCCCAGAGAGCTTTGTTTTGCAACCGTCGTTGACCTCGCCGCTGTCGTCCAATTAGTCACCAATAATGATTTGCATGATGTATAGAAGTGATAGAACTGGGGTACCTGCCTCTCTATATCTTAAGCGGCACTGGAGACATGCCTGAACAATATATCCTGAGCTACTTAAGCTCAGAAACTCCTGGATGGGTAGTACTTGGAGGCATTGACGACACCTGCGCTGCTCCATGATCTGGATCCAAGTATGGTATCGTGGAGATCGGATGAAATTGTTAACAAATGCAGACTTTCAGTAGTCGTCAAGTATACTGGATTGTATGTGGATACAATCGCAGCAAGGATGTTGATCTGGGCAAAATTAGCACGGATCGACCGTGAATCAAACAAACACCGCGCCAAATGTGACCCACAGAAATGGTGAGAACGATCGGATGATTGGAATATTGGGCGCCTTCTCTAGAAGATCAAACCAGGTTAGAGGCAATGAGTGAGGATGACTTGAGAAACATTCATTGGTCGGTATTGTCAGTGAGAGAGTAGGCAAGACAATCGTGCTTTCCTATAGAGTATTGGCAGCCTTCTGGGAGTGCCCTTCAACGTTAAAACTGGGTATGCATGAGCGTAATTGCTTGTAGCACGATGTCAGGTTTTAAAGTCACTAAATATTGCGGGAGCCAAAACCAATCAACAATCTTGTCGGAGATTGGGAGACCGTTGTCGGGATGTTGGACTGGGACTTGAGCTGGGTAGATGAGCGGGTGTAAAGGTGCAGACAAAAAAGACTTGAGCGTCTTTGCGAATGGGTGCCGATTTGGTGAGATCGGAGATGTCACGGAAAATGAATCGTTTTTTTTTGGGAACGGAACTGTCGGGTATTGGTCAAGATGTAGATGATAAGTAGTGAACAAGACAGGGGGTAAGAAGCGCGTGGGCAATCCAAAAAGATATGGGTACATCTTAGATTCTTTCTGTGGATAAGAGCAGGACTTTAAAAAGTAACTCACAGCACCGGTGCTCTTCAGGACTTATCTTCAGGATATACACCGTGTCAAGGGGAGCAGTGGTGGCGCCTGATGCTAGTACAGTGAGTATCAATGTATTTGCGACGCAGGTACGATCTAGACAAAGGACACGACTATTGAGGTACCGACCCTTGCACTAGTAGATGTCGGAGGCCTTCGTCGCCGAAATACAAAGAGGGGTTATCTCAAGCGATTGCAATGTGGGCGCAATGCAATTGTAGAATGCGGTATTTGGTCTGTCAGTGTTCGTAGGTGAGATTTGATGTCAAAGTGAAGCACTAAGTGAGAGCACAGTAATCACCCAACAATTCATGGTGTCAAAACTTTCCCAAGGAATGCAAGCCTGAATGGCTTCTCCAAATGCATTATGCTAAAGGTGCAGTGAAATTCAAAATTCGTAGAACAGCGTCTCAAAGAGAACAGGGTATCTCATGTCACATTTCCTTGATCTGTTCATAGCATATCATACGAGCAATTTCACCCTTCCTACTCGCTCTTTCTAGATCAGAGACAGCCAGCTCAAGGGTCCTCATGTCCCACATCTCTTCGTCATCGGACATGTCCTCCACTCCAGGAAGAAGGGGTAGTGGTTGGATCCCAGCCCGGTGTAGGAGTTCAAGGCGATGTAAAAGATCTTGATACGCAAGACGCTGCATGGAGTTGCAGGCGACAAAGTGTCGCAGATCAGGCTCATGGGCTCGCGCCTCCTTTTGCATTTTTTTCAAGGATAGCTCGCACAGGTGATATGCAAGTTCGCCGGAATCAGGTGAAGGATTGTATGAGGGTTGAGGTTTGACTGGAGTGGTGTTGACAACACGGAGCTGGCTGCGGCCTCGATTTGGTAAAGCGGGAGTAATGCTTCTGGTGAAGACTCTGGTACCGCACTGCATTGTGGAGGAATTGGGAAACCAAGGAGGTTTTCGAACGGTGATTGTCCCTTGTGTAGCATGGTCTGGGAAGTAAAATATGTTATATCGGAATCTACAGACACATGACATTGCAAAAAATGATTCGGATCAAACCATACTGAGGTAACTCATTCATCGCATGACATACCATTATTGCTGGTTGATTTGCTGGTCGCAAGGGAAAAAGTCGGGATCTTTGGGCGCGCGGATTTTGCCACCCGATCAGACCACCTTCCCACTGATGCACAATGACCGCACTCCTATTTGAAACCTGGTCGAAAGTCAATTAAGAATTTGGATGAATGAGCAGATAATGCCTTGCTCACTCTTCTATGATCCGATGATAGAATATGATCGTTCAAGCTGTCACACCAAGGTGCGAGTCGCTCGATGTTGACATTCACAGCGACACGAGGCACATGCAGAGCCACCAATGGGCCAATCTTGGACGACAGAAAAGCCTTTGAAGTGGCTTTTTCTTTTTCTTTCCTTTTCTCTTTAGGAGGATTTATGCCATCACTCGCGCTCCTGCATCAAATATAGTGCCGGCGAGACAAAATTGCTCTATAATGGTCGGAAAATGCATGTCACGTCAACCGCAAGCCACGACTAGAGACCATTGGCTATTATGTGACAGCAGTGGATCTACGAGCAATGTTCGCGTAGTATATTAAATCAATGATTCTGCACATCATCAAGGGTTCCAAATATACTAGCACCACTAGTGAGCGCGGGGTACTTTTGAGGGCTACGGCTCCACATTAATAGGTACAGGGAACAGGATGCTTATCTGTCAAGTTTAAAAGTCGTCTTTGATTGTTGATTGAAGAAAGTGAGGGATTCTAGTACGAATACGTTTATGTATTAGCGAAAATACAATACCGAATTCGCTGCTCTACCGGCCTCGAAAAGATCGGATGACCATCCCGACAAAACCAGCGACCTCGCGAATGATATCCATCCTGGGACGCAGATCCCAATGGCCCACCCCCATAATTTCATTTGCACCTTTACCTACCTAAGTAAAGTGAGTAGACTGGCTTATAGTTTCAGTGCCCTTGCTCCGTTCAACGCATCTTCATCAATGAGTCATTGAAGCTCGACGCATCGGGATCGAAGCCGAAGATGAGATAAAGCCAACGTACTTGAACCCTACCCTCGCATAACTAGCTCCCTCACTACCACCTCGTCGGAAAAAATCTGAAGTTACTATGGCGGCCGAAACTAAACCGAACCCATTCATCTCAGATCAACCATGCCCAACCCCAGACTACCCAGATGAATCCGGTCCAAGCACCCTCTCTAGTTCCCTCACAAGTCTCGATCACCACAATGATCATAGCAATGCAAGACCCGAATCATTCTTCGAAATAATCGAGCCCCGGGCCCAAATGTCCGCCATAACAACCCACACAACGCACATCCGCGACCCTGGACCCGAGGACACATTCCCCGACGGCGGGACCCGCTCCTGGCTCGTCATAGCAGGATCTTTCTTCCTCCTTATGGCAAGCTACGGAATGATGAACTCGACCGGAGTACTTCAAAGCTATTTCGCAACACACCAGCTCTCAACGTACTCCACCAGTGCCATAGGCTGGATCCCGGGGTTATTCACATTCTTCGGACTTGTTCTTAGCGTCCAGATCGGCCCTATCTTCGACCGGTATGGACCTACTGGCATCCTCATCGCTGGAACAGGGTGTTATGTTGCTGGATTATTGCTGTTGGCAGAGTGTACCCTTTATTGGCATTTTATGTTGACGCTTGGTGTGCTCACGGGTACGGGGGCTGCGTTGTTGAGTACGGCTGCGATGGCTGCTGTGCCGCAGTGGTTTGATCGGAAGGTTGGGATGGCGATGGGGACGGCGATGGCTGGGGCGGGGCTTGGCGGTGTTATGTTTCCCCTTGTTTTGAGAGTTGCGTTCACCCGGCTTGGGTACAAGTGGGCCATTCGAATGTTGGCTTTAATAGTTGCTGTGATGTGTGGGTTGGGGATTTCATTGGTGAGATCGAGGTTACCGAGGGGGAGGAGTAGGTCGACTATTAATCTCAGGGCTTTTCAAGACGCGAGGTTCACTTGGTTGACGATTGGGACTTTCAGTGAGTGTAATTGGCGCTGAGGCGAAAGTGGCATGCTAATTGGTTAGCAGGCTTGGAACTGGAGGTTTTCGCTGGCCTGGGCTTGTATCCTACCTATGTGGTGATGCAGGGATTTAGTACCCCTACCAGTATCATTCTATTGTCAACTCTCAACGTGTATGGGCCGCTCTCTATTTCGCAGATCTGTGTCTCTGATCCTAATGCTTGCAGGTTCTCCACCCTCGGTCGACTAGTGGCCGGAGGCATCGCCGATAGATATGGCCGGATCAATACGCAAACAGGGCTCATCTGCCTTGGCGTGATTGCAATATTCGCCATTTGGTTACCATTTGGAGATACACTACCCGGGCTCTACATGTTCAGCGCAATCTTCGGACTGGCGTCAGGCTCGTTCTTGAGTTTAGCGCCAGCCTGCATTGGGCAGATATCCAAAGCTAGCGAGGTTGGTGGCCGCTTCGGCATTTGCTACTCTTGTGTCAGCTTTGCGTGAGTTGTTCTCCTGTTCTTCCGTTCCAAGACATTCTTTCGTGGCTGATTCTAATGCCTGGGAAAGGACTCTCATTTGTATACCGATTGGTGGCGAGATGCTCGAGCAGGTCGGCAAGCAGGCCATGGTGGCATACTTGGGAAGTGTTTTGATCGTTGCCTTGGGGATGTTTGTCATGGCAAGATGGTCTTGTCTGAGCTATCGATGGCGATGGCAGGCGAAGATATAGGGCTGAAAAAGTGTGGTCAAAAACCAGGTGTGAGTGCGGATGGAATACAGAAAAAATTCACATTAGCATTTGTGTTCAAATTGCGGTATTTAATAATATAATCAAGTTCAAGTCAAGAATACAGTGAAGCTCATGATCGCATAGTCGCTTGGTCAATCAGGACTAGTGTTTTGTCGATGACCCACGTCGCCGCACACAACAGACTTGAAGATTAACCCCGTTCGCCGCCCGGAGTCTTCGCATCTTCTTCTCTGTGAAAAAAGTCAGCATTTATGACCGAAGTGTTCTTTGCGCTTTCATTAGTTAAGAACGATGTCCGTACAGATGCTTATCATGCTCCTCCATATGCTTCTGTGACTCTTCCTGCTTCTCGCGGAGAGCTTTCATTCTGCCAGAATATAAGCATCAAAACCAAACCATTCAAGAGATAAATACACACTTCTTCATCTCCTGCTCTTTGATGTACATCCCCTCCAGTGCTGCCCGCGTTGGGTGAACGCGTCCTTTTCTGACACCGGGGTTAGTGACGTCACACAATCAATAGGAGAGGCACTCACCCATCGAGAAAACCGCGCGGCTTCGGCGCACCAGTATCGCCTTCTCCCATGATTGAAGATGATGTGGAGAGCTATTGAAGAATAAATGGAGATGCGAGAATCTCTTTCACCGGTGAGAAAGCCTGCATGGTTGAGTGACAGGGTTGGGGGGGGGGGCATTGCGGAGAGGGGGCAAAGTCAATGTATGATGCGCGCCCTGGCAGGCCCCGTTCCTGACCCGGATTCGGGGAAAGTGGTTCAAGTCGAGGTAAGTTGAAAGATTTTCCCTACAAGCAGAACATAATGCATGAAATGCTATCATTCATGATCTAGGGCAGCCCAGACTTGAATGGGTGCTCTTCCCCGCGTGCATTGGCCCTAAGTGGTCAGCTCATTGTCTCGCCCCTACGATGATCTTGTTTCCCCGCACGGGGTCGCGTTACTCTGTTGACTTTGGTTTCAACATGGGAGACATGAGACAGTGCACGGCTTTGTACCCTTGCCATGTGGGAGACCCCGATGGTTCGAGTTCATCATGCAGCGTTCTTAATTTGCAATTCTACGCGGCAGATTTATTAGAAAGATGAAACAAAACACATGGTCATGAAATCATATTGGAAATAAATGCCTCATTGGCAGAGTAAGAAAATTACAGCACGAAGCGGAATCCCTTTTGCAACCGCCGCGCAGCAGCGATATCGATTCCCTCGGTCTCTGCCGTCAGGTGCAGCCGTCGGAGCTCCTTCTCTGTGAGCTGAATATCCTCATTCTCCAAGCGTTCCTGTCGCTTGTTGAGCATACGCAGGTTGAAGTACATGAAAGCACCACAAAGCAAACCCAGCACCTGTAGGCCAATGCAGACATACATAGCAGTATAATACTTGGGCTTCTCGCTCGCAAGATAGGTGTAAGGAGTCCAGATACTTGCCGAGTTACCAATAGAGTTGATAAAGGCATAAGCGGCAGCACGCTTGGCAGGCGGGCGAGGCAGCGCATTAGCGATCCAGGAATAGAGGGTGCCGTTCTGGGCGAACACGAAAACCATCAAGAACAAGGAGAAGTAGCGAGGGCCGAAGCTGTCCGTCGTAATAAAGATGACGAAGCCAACAATGGTAGGAATGACTGGATAGGCGAAGAACCAGAATCGAATCCCCACTCTATCCGAGATCCACGAATGTAATAGACTGTAGATGACCATGAACACATATGGCGGGGCGCACAGCAACAGCGAGATCGTTTTACTGTAACCCAGTGTCGCGGTGAGTGTCGGGAAGAAATTCTGGAAACCAGCTGCACCGGTGATGCACATGTATCCAAGGGCAAGAACATAGGTCTTGATGTCAGTCAAGGCAAGCTTCAGGCCCTGGATCTGACTCATGCCGCCTTTCTCGTCTACGTCGGCTTCTGCGGCATCGATAGCCAGACGTCGCTCGGCAATCTTTCGCATTTCGGGGGATAGGAGCTTCCATGTCTCTGGGAAATCGGGAAGGACGAAGCAGATCACAATTCCGACGAAAACAGTGATGCTGCCTTCAATGATGTAGAGCCACTGCCAGGCATCCATGCCACGTTTTCCCGCCAAGCCGTTCAGTATGCCCGCTGCGATGAGATTTCCGAAGGCGCCGCTGACCAGGGAGCCGGAGTAGAAAATAGACATCCGGAAGGCCAATTCTCTCTTGGTGTACCACTTGGACAGGTAAAATAGAACGCCGGCGAAGAAAGGGGCCTCTGTGTAAGTTACCGGTGTTAGTGAAAGGGCTCGAACAATTCAAGCCGATGCCGACTTACCGACAAAACCGAGGAAGAAACGACAAGCTACAATGCCGCCGTAGGACTTTGCCTGGGAAGTTACAGCCGAGACCAATCCCCAAGCGGTCACGAAGAAACCGAGGTATAGGGACGGGCGGCCCATATAGTTCAGCATTAGGTTACTCGGCACTTGCATAAGGATGTATGCGACGAAGAGAATCGAGAGGCCGGTTTGGTACTGGGTGTCGGTCAAATTGAGATCTTCCGTGAGACCCTGAAGTTTGGCCGCGGCATAATTGTTGCTTATCAGAAACAGTCAGACTGGCGCTCAGCGCTCAATTGTCGAACCACTTCATCACTCACCGATCAATATAGTTGAGCAGGTAAACAAGCACCACCAGGGGCATGATCAATGAATCAATGCGACGCCGCAGCTTCTTCTCAAGGACTTTTTCTTCCTCGGTCAACTGTGTCAGATGGACTACTTCCTCGTGCGACATTCCCGCCTTCTCCCCCATCATGTCGCTATCAGCGATGGTATGGTCGTGGTCTACCATCTTGTTGATGCCGATGCTGGTGCTGGTCTGGTGCTGGTCTGGTGCTGGTGCTGGTGCTGGTGCTGGAAATGGAAGGGACCAGGTGCAGCAGTGAGAGAAAAGGGGGATGGAATGTGAGAATACTCCGCAGGGACGGGGGTCGGCACTTTATGTGCTGCAACGCCAAGGGAGCGTGACAGATTGGGCAGGTCATGTTACAAGTCTTGCAGGACGACTAGGACCGGTATGGGACTATTTCTCCAGATGCCTCCCCCAACTGTGTTTACCCGGTTGATTCTGGAGGAGAGCGTGGGGGAGGACCCGCGTGGAGCTACCCACTAAAGTGGTGGATAGACTGCAAAATGCGGGGATTCACGAGGCTTGATGGTGCCATGAGCGATACAGGACCATGATAGGCGGATTTGGGCCGATAAAGGCCTCCACCGTGGGGGTGGCACCGATGGGCCCTAGGTTTTGCGCCCTTAATCCGGGGTGATGGGTCCTCTCGCTATCCCCTCTTCGGCAGCTAGCTCTTGTTTTCTGGACATCCCCCATGGGGTCCCCTCTCGAGTCAGCGGTGCAATCAGGGTTCTCCGGGCATCAGTCGGAGCAACTCCGGGGGGTGAAAGGATCAGCCGTGGACCTCTGAGTTTCACGCGAGACCTTTTTGACTTCGTTCCCCCGCGCGTGGCTCGTAACTCATGGCTCATGGCTCACGGCTCACGGCTCCTGCTTTGTCTGGTATTCTGGCTTGACTAGGCAAAGCTTGGGTACACTAGGAAACTTGTTCCCGAAGCCGTCCTCTAGACATCACTCTTCACGCTTCACCTTTCATGGTCCCTGATGAGTCGGTGTTTGACCGCAGTAATTATGACTTGTTAATCGATGCACATGCACGATTCGAAGGCGGAAAGTGTTGCAACGGATGAACCTAGCTCGATGCCAGATATTGTTGACTACGCATGCCAGAGCTCAGCTACCCCGGACTCTCGCCGAATAACGCCAATAATGCCAAGGTCCACGGCTAGCCAGAACTTTGAACACTCAGATCCAAAAGTACCCCCTAGGGCCTAGCGGTTTGAGTCTCGCACTATCTCCGAGCCAAGTCACAGTCATGTGAGTCTAACTCCTACCTTTCGCCGGTTTCTGGGGGATCTACACATCACGTTGCCCCTGAGGCTCGGGCAGTTGTCGGTGAACATTTGGCCAGAATACATGCCGATACGATGAAGCATCGGTGATATGAGCCGACTGGACCTTGACCGTCCAGTCATTTCTTAGTCCGATACCGAGTGCCGGGGCATGGGGTTTGATGTCGGGAAACTGGACGGAATCTTGGGATAGACATCGCACGAAAAGGATAGTCTTACGGGTCTAGACAGTAAACTTCTAAATCGAGAATGGCCGGGGTTCCTCATCAGGCTCAATGAAAAGAGAAGAAATTGCTACAGTGCGGCCCAAATGACCTTTCGGTGAATGACTCGGCCGTGGTAAAAAGAGCCGATACTGGGGGAAATTGCATGCTTTACACCCGGGCCCCTCGGGTGTGCTTATATCGGATGCCTACATGATGGCAGCTCTCACGATGTGAAGCCACTTGCCCTTCCATGATTCCTTTCGAATCCCCACAAAGATGCAATCACCTATTTTGACGGTCGCATAAAGCACATACTTCATCGAGGCATCTTTGGAGTATATTAAGAATACAATCCAAATATGCTGCGAAGAGCCTTGGACAAAAGAGAATTGACAAAAGAGAGTAGAACTAGGCGAGTTCTTGCGAAAGTTTTAGGCTCGCAAGATCCTTCGATTCTTCAGACCTAAAAAATCCAGAAACAATCGACAGGATTCCTGTCGAACTAGTGGCGGTGCTTTGTACATATGTGCAAGTGATCGAAAATCGCAGACGTCTGTGCAGGTCGAGCAGGAGCATCAACATGTAGACTCTATATGTTCCCAAAGATCGTTGTTCCGAAACTCTGGAGCGCCCTATTCTGCTTTTCGTAGCTGATGATTTCAGCATTCGCAGCTAAACGCGCCGGATCGTCCCCTAGTGGGGCTGATCTCTCTCAACCGTCGTCAGCTGCCTGAGCGCACCTAGGCCTGGCACCCACGTCAGCAACATGAACAATTTATATCAAGGGTCACACATTGATTAGGGCACGAACTACTCAGGAATGAACAGGAAATATTGGGTTTGCACGGTAATTTGAACAAAGGTTACATTTGTTTTACGTTACGGTTATGGCTGGGGACATGAATCATTGCAAGCTCACCTGACCAGAGCGATGACGACACTGGTTGTCGCAGCATAGCCATCAATCAAGAGAGGCTATTGAGCAGGCAAGATGGTTGTTTTGGTTCATTTGGTTGTTTTGAGAACTTCTGGGAAAGAATGTACTAGAATGGCGCCACGTGCGTCTTGAAACCGAGGTCGGGGTAGTGACGCAACGCGATGCTACGAGCGGTCTATGGGAAGTGTGCTGTACTGTACTAGCCAAGGTTTGAAAAATTAACGACCTTATCTAAGTGGCGTGTTTGAATTGGCGGGCTGTCCGTCGTCGAGGTTCAAGTTAATGGAGCTATGACCTAATCCTGCCCACACTGCCCTGGCCTGGGAGTCCTGAGACCCCGGGGTAGAAAAGACGGCCCACCGCCGTCATTCTTATTATCCCAGTATGATTGAGACATTTGGTTGCCTGGTGGTCCCTGGTTCCATGGGATTGAGAAATGAAGATCGACGATATGTACGAGGTGTTTGTTGTTATCTTGTTCTTGGTCGAGTCCAACATGACGCAAAAGGGACAGTAGATTACAAGGGTCACCTTGTTCACGTCGGTAGCTATCCTAGTCTGTTTCGCAATATTCCAGTCTAACCAAAAATGTTCGCGTATCGGGGGCTGTTCTATTTTCGAATTGAATTCTGTGCATAAGGCTGATGTTGATCTCCAGAGTGTGGCGCTGTCCCGAATCCGGTTATGACGTTCTGCGATGTCATCATAGACCCAGTTCCTTGCCAAAATAGCTTCCACCCCACAATCTGACACATGGGTCGCTTTCCTTGGACCACTTAACCGCCGTTTGATAGATTAAAAAAGATCGACATGATGATTATCTTGCTGCCCTTGATCTAGGATCCTACTACGACCAACGTCATTCCTTGGTTCCTTTGTGTCTCACGATGTAAACGGTTTGTGGCTCGTCCAGCATTATAAAAAGGCAATCACTCGCTGGACTTGAGTCTTAATTATCACAATCCATTCAATCTACCATACTTGCAATTATTCCAAGTCTTCTTCAGCACATTTCCACCTTTTTTCAAAATTTACCTCCACATTAACCATCGACCATCAATATGTCTGGCATCATTAATAAGGTCAAGGACGCTATCGCTGAGCACAAGGAGGAGAAGGCCGAGCAGACTGGCACTACCCACAACTCCCACAACTCCTCCAACTATGGCCCCCACGACAGCAATGTCGCCAACGCTGCCGACCCTCGTGTAGACAGCGATCACTCCAAGTACAACACCTCATCCACTACTGGCACGACCTCTACCGGTGCCGGTTTGACTGGCACTACCCACAACTCTCACCAATCCTCCAACTATGGCCCCCATGATAGCAAGCTGGCGAATGCTGCCGACCCCCGTGTGGACAGCGACCGCAGCCACACTGCCCATCACACCACCTCCACTGGTGCTACTTCTACTCTTGCTTCCGGCACCGGCCACACCACCAACTACGATTCTGGCCGCTCCTCTAACTACGGTCCCCATGATAGCAACATCGCTAATGCTGCCGATCCCCGTGTCGATAGCGACCGCTCTGCCGACAACACCACTGGTCACCACTCCGGTGCCGGTATGACAGGCGCTAGTATGACTGGTGCTGGTGTTGCCGGCGCCGGTATGGCCGGTGCTCACCACCACAACAGCCACGGCACTCACGGCTCCGGTGCCGGTACGACTGGTACTGGTATGACTGGTGCCGGTTTGACTGGTGCTGGGCACAACACATACGACTCCAGCCGCTCGTCCAACTTTGGTCCCCACGACAGCAACATCCCCAACACCGCTGATCCCCGCGTGGACAGTGACCTTTCTAGCCGCCACGGCAGCACTGGCCTTAACACCTCTTCCACTGACCACCACTCCAATGCCGGTATGGCTGGTGCTGGAATGGCCGCTGGTGTTGCTGGCGCTGGTGTTGCCGGTGCTCACCACCACAACAGCCACGGCACTCACGGCTCCGGTGCCGGTATGACTGGTGCTGGTATGACTGGTGCTGGGCACAACACATACGACTCCAGCCGCTCGTCCAACTATGGTCCCCACGACAGCAACATCGCCAACACCGCTGATCCCCGCGTGGACAGTGACCTTTCTAGCCGCCACGGCAGTACTGGCCTTAACACCTCTTCCACTGGCCACCACTCCAATGCCGGTATGACTGGTGCCGGTATGACTGGTGCCGGTATGACTGGTGCCGGTATGACTGGTGCTGGTTTGACTGGTGCTGGGCACAACACATACGACTCTAGCCGCTCGTCCAACTATGGTCCCCACGATAGCAACATCGCCAACACTGCCGACCCGCGTGTCGACAGTGATCTCTCCAACCGCCACGGCAGCACCGGTGTTCCTTCAACTCACTCCCGCGCCACCGGCCCTGCCTCCTCCACCGCTGGTCCCCATGAGAGCAACCTGGCCAACAAGGTTGATCCCCGTGTCGACAGTGATCTGAGCAAGGAGAAGACGCACCACTCCAGCATGAGCAGTGGTATGCACACGGGTGGCAACCCCAATACTACCACCAAGTCCTTTGAGCAGGCCCAGAAGACTGCTGGCGTGAACCCTCACATCAGCACCGACAGCACCGATGCTGGTAGCAGCTACAACCACCACGGTAGTGTTGGAAGTAGCACCAACGCCGGACCCCACAACAGCAAGATTGCCAACAAGATGGATCCCCGCGTGGACTCTGACCTTGACAACACCGCTACTACTACTAGCCACCAGCGCGTTTAAGTAAATAATGTACGATAGTTATGCTTATGCTATGACGAATACACGATTAATCCTATTTTGATTTATCATTGACCTCATTTCCTGGTTCCATCGCTTGGCACTTTCTATTCTAGTTATCTTCGTACACTTACTTGGGTAGACTTTAATCAGCTTATCCTATCCTGTGGCACCAATTGACAGCGCCCATGCGCAGTCCAGTGAACATAACTTGAAAAATTGCATACAAAAGTAATATATTAAGCGGACACACTTACTCGAAGTGGATTTCCGCCCCGCGTGGTAGGGATAGCGCTAAGGGTCGCGATTAACTTTCCCACAGAACAATCAGGATCCGTCTCTTGCAGCTTCTCCATTCGTCCACAGTGCCGATCCCGCCTGGATAATTTCCATTTGGAATACAACACTTTGCAAGATTCCTGATCCAGTGCACCTTTTCCACGATCATCTCATCTCAACCGTAACAATGACCACCGGTTCCGCCATGGGCTCAATCAGCAGCTTCACAACCCGTCTCTCGCTACGGTGGGTCCCCGGGGTCCCAGAGGAGACCACCGATACCGTCGTACTGACGGTGGGCGATTGGTTCCTGGATCTGCGCATGGACAAGAAGTCAGGCGCAATTGACTGGGCAATGGCCGGTACCGCCATCAAGGAAAACCCCAACGAGATACCTGGTGCGTGGTCCTCTCCATAAGGAATTGGATGGAATCTCGCGATTCCACCTACCGAGCCCACACTAACAGTTCCCTAGTGAAAGTCTCGTTCACTCGCGAGCTGGACTCGCTTAATGAAATTGGCCTCGTCGACGTGGCCAAGTTTAGCCCTCTGCCCAACGGCGACGAGCTTGAGAGCGGCGAGATGCCGCACCCTGACCTTCCCGGTGCGCCGATGACCGCTTTCGAGGAAGTGTGGAGCGAGCTGCCCTTCAGGGAGGGACCCGAGGGTGCAAAGAAGGGTATCTCGTGGATTCTAGAGTCTGAGCATGGTGAGGTTGGCGAGGGGGCTGAGGTTAGCTTTACCAAGACTTTCTTGGGAAGGATCTGGGGCACATATTTGGCGTTCCAGCAGACTCAGACTCATAAGAAGGAGAAGGATGAGACTGGAACTTGGGTTGTTAAGCGGTCTGGTGAGGAGGTTAGTGCTAGGCGAGAGGAGTGGCGCGGGGCTTGGGAGGATAAGTATGTGGTCGGTCCTAAGCCGGCGGAGGTGCCTTCTATGAAGACTGGATTTGAGGGCGAGGGAAAGGGGGCTTGGAGGATTCCTGGGGAGAAGCTCCTTATTAACGGGCAGTCGTTTATTGTGCGAGCATTTGAGGAGATATGATCGCCACCAAAAAAAGCGACAGAATTTATGCGCTAGGTGTATGAAAGTATATTGAAGTTCTCTATATGTTTGCTTTCCTTAGCTTCAGGGCTGGTCATAGCTTCACCTGAGGTCTGAGCTTTGTGCGCGCCGATCACTACGTGGCTCCTTATCGCTGACTATCCTGGTCAGACCAAGCCCCCAATCGAACCGGATAGCATTGACTTGAATTGAGATTGACTGATGTCAATTGAACTGCGAATGAACTTTGTATGTGTTGGACCGACCAAGTGGACACGATTGGGTCTGGAACATGTAAAGCCGTGGCGGCCCAAACCAACAAAAGCACCCTTTTTCGCGAGTCCCCAGCAGTTACCGCCTGGTACCTGCTTCGTGTCAGTTCAATAAGACGACACCAAGTGTCAAACCTTTGGCAGTAACAATGCCATTGTCATTTTTCTGAGCCTGTGGTGGTCTTCAGCGGTCACACAGATCAATTTGTCAACTCGCTCTATCAGATTAGACCATCACACCATCCGACCATTAGATCCTCAGACCACCTCCCTATGCTCGAATCCAAGTCTCAGCCCACCCCTCATTACCCCATCGAGCGACTGACAGACGGTGTGCAATTAGCAACACGACACGCGCCAATAAACAAACAGAGTGGCGGACCCGGAGGAAATGGCGGAGCTGGAACGGCCTCGGTAGAGCCTATCAGCGGGCCAGGAGCAGGAGAGCTCCCAAGGCCCGAAACTGGGCCTAAGGAGATCCACACCGCAAGCTCCGAGCAAGAGATCTCGGACGCGCACGGCGGAAATCTGGCTCGCCTAAATCCCGCAGCGCCGTTGGTCCATGATGCTTTTCCATTCTCCTCCCACGACAGCGTCATGGCCGACACGCGAGTCCCAGACCCGCGATCCAGGAAACAGCCGAATCGCCAGTCGCGATCCTGTAAAGTCTGCCGGCTCCGCAAAGTCAAGGTAAGAACCGTGCTCAGATCCCCTCGGGAGGGACCGTTCCCGATCCCAGGCCCGTTCCTGACGTTCCACTGGGGTTGTGAGGCTATGGGGTTTAGACGTTTTCAAGCTAATGATGATCCGACCAGTGCGACCGAGTCAAGCCCTGCCACGCGTGCTGTGCACATGGGTATCCTTCCAAATGCGTGTATGAGTATGTGCCCGACGAGGACGCGCAGCCTATTAGCCAGGCGGACGAAATTCGGAATCTAAGGAACGAGATTCGCGATCTGAGGGCGCGTGTAGATGAAAAGCAAGATGGTATGTATAGATAGGGTCCTGTCGGACCCTCGGAGTCTTCGAATGTCCGCTAATGGGGTTTCTTCAAAACCTGCAGGGTCTCAGGCCCAAGATCTCCAGCGGCTGGACCAGCTTGAGAGCTTATTTGAGTCTATTCGCTCGGCGCCGCCGCGCGTGGTGGCATCCCTGGTCAGGGATATCCGGACCGCGCATGGCGGTTTGAAGGATGACCTGGTGCCTGTGGGCCCATGGGAAGGCCATGATGGTGAGAAGTCGAGAAGTAAGACTAGGCTGTTCGTTCATTGTCTAATATTTGTTCCTACAGCATATAAACAGTATGGCAGACAATCGCGTGGCTCTTCCGTATCCACTCTGGTTGTCCGCAACCGTGTGTCAGATGTTGACACAATTAACTTTGACGATCCAGTTGAATTTGATGAGGACGACGATGAAGATGAAATGTCTATAAGGAGCGGGTCTGACTCTTCGTCGTCCCGCACAATGTCCATTATGAATACGCAGCGACCTGTGGTCGATGTCTTTGTTGAGCGGTTTGTTGACGCCTTTGCTCCGGAAGTGGACATCAAATCTGGCCGTGCGGGTGCTCTGCGAGCTGCAGCGGGAATCCGGATGTTCTCACCTCTTATTTCGGATGCCTACGAGGCTGTCTCAGTTGCCTTCTTTGGTAGATCCGTTCAGAATAAGCAGATCGAGGCTTCGGGCTTCCGACTATATCCCCGCGTGCTACGCGGCCTCCAAGATGCCTTGAATGATCCTGAGCGTTGCAAGGCCGAGTCAACGCTGGTTACAGTGATTCTTCTGCTTGCTTTTGAGAGTGTGGAGCGTACAACACAAAGTGGAGTGTCCGCTCATGTTCGAGGTGCAGTGCGCCTGATTGAGCATCGAGGACCGGAGAATCATATGTATGGAGTCGAGCATCTCATGTTTACTGAATTACGACCGTATTGGGTACGTTTATACTTATTCCACTATGCTTCAGGGGAAAAAACGCTAACGACCTAGATTGGCGGTGCACTCGCGGCCAGGAAACCATCATTCTTGGCCCAAGAAGAATGGAAGACTATCCCATGGTCAGCGGGCACTACCACCAAGGATATCTTACATCACCTCTTGGACCTTGCTGCGGAAATTCCCGGCCTGCTGGCCCAGTCCGACGCATTCCAAGACAAGCAGCATGAGGCCGTCATGGGTACGCATGAGATGGCCGTCAAGCAGTCGACTCTTTGGAACGGCATCACCAAGCTCACCGCCAAGTTACGGCAATGGGTCATTGACTGGGTCGAGTGCTATCCGGACGGTGCGCCCAGAGAAGTCGAGCAGTCTGAAGACCAAGACTTCCCGATCTTCCAACGTCGAGACCTACGCACCGGTGCCATCTTCACTCCCACCAAACTAGTTTACCCCAATCTCCTGCTCGCACAAACCATGTGCCTCTACTATTCATTCCGACTCATTCTCTCATCCATTGATAAGCGACCGGTGGACCGGGTCACCCCGATGGAGCAGTATGACTTGGGGTGTGGAATCTGTCGATCCTTGGAATGGTATATTCTAACAGCCCCGGGGAACATGATCAATCGCCTGGCCTTCCCGACGCGCGTGGCTTGGGAGGCATTTCCCGATGGGGGGGCCCGAGCGCCAGTTCATGGTCGAGGTGCTTCAGCTTGTCGAGAAACGCCACGCCCTGGGACTCTGGGGCAGTGCAATGCCAGAGCTATCTGTTCGAGAGAACTCTCCTCTCAACCAAGACTCTCCCTGAACCATTTTGATTCCTTGCTACCCATCTCTTGGGATGAACGGCAACGTCGGCACAACTAGCATTAAATGATTGTATGATGAGCGAGATATCCCCTAGCAGCGAACCTTTCAAAAGCATTTCAATGTTCAATGGAACAACTCTCCTCAATTCAACCTAACGCAGGTCTTGTCCGCTTGCAAGCAGCTGACATGTATGGACGTGATTAATCACACAGCTCTGGCCAAAACAATCCATCTCATCACATTCAATTGGACCAGATTACAAAAGTCTCCACTTGATGGTGATGAAGCTAAACCAAATATCACCACTTCCCCACACTCTCAACCACTCACAGCACACTGTCTCAGATTGACAATCGATAGTGCCAGGAACCGATGGATCCAAAGCTAATCAGGGAAATGAAAAGGAAATGAGAAGAAAGGAGATCGTGGCCCGCTCTCAAGCTCGCCCGCAAAATCATAAAATCCCAACGCTACGGCGCCTCCCGTCAAACTGTCGAGCTTCATTCCACGGAACCATGCCTTTTCTCCGCTCAACCCTCGCCTCAGTCCTACTCGGCGCGACGGCCGCACAGGCCGGCATCTTTGGCATCAACGATTACTCCTGCACTTCCGACTCGAACCCTGTCGTGCTCCTGCACGGGTTGGGCGCCACCTACTATGAAGATCTGAACTACATGCAGTATTGGTTGCAAAACCAGGGTTACTGTACCTACTCCTTGACCTATGGTGCCTATGAGGGATTCCCGTCACTCGGAGGTCTCCAGCATATCGCCGATTCAGCGCCTGAAATCGCAGCTTTCATTCGCGAAGTCATTGACAAGACGGGCAAGAGCAAAGTCGACCTTGTCGGACACTCCGAAGGCGCGTTCCAATCTCTTTACGTGCCCAAGTTCGAGGGCGTGTCCGGTCTCATCGATAAAATCGCCGCCATTGCACCCCCAACGCACGATACCACTTTTGCCGGCCTCTATAACCTGGCCTATCTTCTGGGCAATCTGACGCACGAGGTCGTGGCCGATGTCCTCGATACCGTCGGCTGCGGCGCCTGTGACGATCTCGGTCCCGGTGGCGCTGCCGTTCTTCGCTTGAATGATGGAACCCCTATCGTGCAGCAGGGTAACAAAGTTACCATTATCGCGTCTCAATACGATGAGCTTGTCACTCCGCCTAAGACTGCTTTTATTGATGAAGATGGTGTGACCAATCTGTGGATCCAGTCGGTTTGTCCTTTAGATCCCGTTGGGCACATTGGTGAGGCTTATGATTTGAATGTTTGGAACTTGGTGAAGAATGTTCTGGACGAGACGCCGGATCGCAAATTTGTTTGCTTGCTTGGGTCGCCTGGAAAGAAGCGCTGAATAGTCGATTAATTAATGGGATGGGGTCTGGGCTTTTGGGCTGTAACTTGTACATAATAGCTAATACACTATTTTGTTTGGTCTTGACCGTGATATTGCTTCATTCGTGGTAAGAAAGTGTGGTTGCTTTGGGTGTCTCCATGGAAGGCATTCTGGCACGATTGGGTTCTTGTTCGTATCACGAGCAGGAAATTGCTGATGGAGGATGAGAGGGATTTAGGCGAACGTGAAGATCAACCATATCTGGCAATCACTACCGCGAGATTCGTTGCAGGGTATTTAGCTTTGGGACCGGCATTCCGGCCACAGGGGATTGCCTCGCGGTAGCGAAGTTCGTCGGGTACTGGAGACCATTCTATCAATGGATCGCTTAGCAGGAGAGGCGCAGCCTTATAGGTAATCGTGCATTGCTACTGAGTACCCACCCGGCGTCCGATTCGGACCGAATTCGGGCATTGCGGAATCCACGATGCTAGATGATTCTACGAGCAAGTTGCGGTGAATCTGTACTCACCATACGCCTTACGGAGAGCCCCGGAGCCCTATGGTGCCCAGTGTTGATCCTCAAGTCATGTATACCAAGCCGCTAAGCTCAGAACCTTACGAAGCTACGCCACATTTCATGTTGCGGTGAGTTGGGAGCTCGAATTCCCTCATAGCATCCGTAAACCTATTCCTAAAAAACTCCGTTTGTTCATGTAGCCTTTTCATTTTCTCTTCATGAGTCTCCTGTTGTACACATGGCAATGCACTTGCGTCACTTGCATCGTAGCCCTACGCACATATGCAATGCATGGATCGGCATGATGAACGCCGATGGACCGAACATGAGCCCCTCCGTGGCGCAGGCTCCATCCATGGTCAACCATGGGTTGGTACCACCACCGCCACAGTTATTTACGGTGGCCTAATTTCAGGGGTGCAGTGAGGCAACAGATGACACCAAGTTTGTCGGTACTATTCATAGATCCTCAGCTCGGTCGCGTCACTAGGCCTTTTTATTGGCGATGGTATGAAACACCGCCTCGTCAGTGCCACACTCCCCCACACCGGTGTGGCGTCACCGCATCCAATGCCCCTCGTTGCTTGCGTCACACTCCATACAGGTTGACCAAACTCAATTGGGTCCCGTCTCGTGAGTTAGCGAAATAATGGTTCCACGTCCGGGATTCTGAAACACTTGGCGGGTTTGATATGACTCCGACCTCGGATTAGGGGTGATTTGCGAGAATTTTCCCAATGAGTCGATTTGCCTCCATTGTCTGGTCGAGGGAAGCTTGACCACTTGGCCCAATCATGACCTAGGCCCACTTCCTAATTTCGTTAGCCCGTCGCTATTTATTACCGGGCTATTCTGAATCGGGAGGCCATTACACAACTAAGCTTACTTGGCGCTTCCTCCGTACGTATCCGATGGAGACGATGGAAACCAGACAATGGGTACCTCTGGGTATCTCTCGCCCTCTCCGATCAGGGGCTTTGTTTGGAGACGAGCTGAGCTGAGCTCATGGAGGGGCTATAAGTACCTACCCTCTCACAGCTCTTTCTTTCCCTTTCACCATCTCCCACTACACACCGTCTTCTATCTCTACCACTTCAACTACACTTCCTGCACAATGGGTTGGTTCCACGGTAAGTCACACCCATCTTCTTCTACGCGAGATCTTCGATCTGACTCTCGCTTTCCACAGATGAATCCGATGAGGCTCGCCACTACAACGAGTTCCAGAACACGCCCCGCGAGCACGAGGCCAAGTTCTCCCACGAGCTGATCGGTGGTGCCGCTGCCTACGAGGCCATGAAGGCCTACGAGGACCACGAGGCTCGCAACGGTACGACCATACTCAACTCTCCCTTGATGACCTGGAACCTCTTTTTTTTAACGCATGCTTTCTCTTCAGGTACGATCGACAACCACGCCAAGGCCAAGGAGGTCGTTGCCGGTCTCATCGGTGCCTTCGTTGACCGTGAGGTCGAGACCAGGGGTCTGGACTTCGTCGACCGCGAGAAGGCCAAGCGCCACGCCCAGGAGCGCGCCGAGCGCCAGATGGAGCAGTCTGGCCGCTGGTAAAGCGAGGAAACGAGAGCAGCCTCACGTTTCTATTATTGATACCAACGATGACGAACCATATTAGTCGAGACCAATGAAGGATCGCGATCAACCAAGTAAACATGTGTCTATATTTGTTCTGTAGACGTAGATGGTAGCCTATGGTCATCGCTTTCTACTTTCACCGCTTTACGCTGACCGCCGGGTTCCAGTTGAGTGGGACCCAGAACTGATAGACTGGGACCCAGGATTTTATGACTAATCCTGGGTCCCATTCAGGTGCCAGAGCTGACTGGGACCCAGGAATTCCTGAGTCCAAGTCAGGCTGACCGCTCGGTCCACGCACTTGACGGGCGATTCCCCCTGCCCGCGCGGCCAAATACAGGCGCAAAATATTTGGATCCATCATATGCAGGTTCAACCTCCGCGTGGATATGTCATCCGGTGATAATTTCCTGAGAGTCGGTCCCCGCAAACCTGAGATTCCACGAGACATGCCTTTCGGCCACCGCCAGAATGGCCGATGAGATGGAAGTCAGGAACACCGCGTCCGCAAATCAACAGGACGACAATCACAATAAATCGCAACAGGGTTCGCGAAATGGATCGCAACCCTTGTTGCCGTTCAATCCAGATGAAGTACCCGATATATCGATCTACGAGCCCCCATATGTGCCGCTTCCGAGTTTCAAACGCACATATGATGAGATGCAGGGACCGGTGGATGAACTACTGGAGCGGATGGTGAAAATGAACGAGGATATGAGAAAACGGAGGTTACTTGTCGAGATGCAGGACAGGTACCTTGAAGATCAAAGATTGTTTCTTGAAGCTCGCGAGCGAGTTCGTCTCCAAGTAGAAGCTCAGCGTCGACTTACACGCAGTCTAGAAACGACTGCTTATCAGCAGAATGGGAATGGTGTCCTCAATGGTACCTACAATACAATGTCCAATGGCGAAACCAAGGACGAGATCACGATTTTGGGTTCGGCTCGGAAAGGCGCAGCGAATCGCGCCGCCAATTCGAATGAATCAGTGGAAGAAAATATGAGCCCGTCCAAGTCTGCAGCTCCTGGGACACGAAATCGAACCCCCCTCAGTTAGCGAACAGGGCTCCCGATCTCAGACCCGTCCCCCGGTCGAGCGTGGTCGACCGACTACACCTCATCCCTCCAGTTCGTGTCACAGCGAGACACAAGAGGCCATTGATGAATTGAATCAGACGACTTCTATGGCCGCCGCCACAACAGACCAAGGAAGCGAAGCTCCAGACTCGGAGCTGGGCTCCGAGGACTACGAAACGGAGGATGAAGTAGACGCCAAAAATGCTGCCGACGAAAATGAGGGAGAGTCATTCGTCTCCGCCTCCGAGCATGAAGAAACCCCCGACAACACCGATGAGACAGCAGGCACTGCACCTCAAGACAGCCTACATTCATCCGAACCATCCAGCCATGCACCGACCGGCCCTCGCCGAATGCTACCCATGCACACAGAACCCAGCAACACACCAACAGGCCCACGACGGATGTCACCAGTGGCCCCCGACCCCTGCCTCGCGCCCTGTCGAGCCAAAAATTTCCCTGAAGTACGAAAGTTCCTCACCCTCATGGAATCCCATTTCGCCGAACACCCAGCCTACTACAATGATGACCGAAAGGTGAACACCGCAAAGCGTTCCTTGGTGCCTGCCTTACAAGCTAAGTGGGTCGCGCATGCCAAACAGCTCCGCAGAGTGACCTGGTTCGACATGTGCGCATTCCTTGCCGGAGTTGGAGGCCAATCCTGTCCCAAAGAGACTGCCATCAAACTGTTTCACGAGTCAACACAGCGCAAATACCAAACCGTGACGGAATTTGCTATCTGGCTCGAGCAATACACGCCTTGTGTCTCGCTTAGCGACTATGATCGGCTCTGCCATCTTGTGGATAGTATCCTTCCGTCTATCAGGAAGAGGGTGGGCGAGAAGTGGATGGACTATGATGATATTCCTTCGTTCGTTGCATTTTTGCAAGAGGTTGAATTTTCCACGCCTGGTCGTGAAAAGGTGACCAAGAAGAAGTTGGCGTGATGTTCGCGAGTCATGGTTACTTCTGGCTGTGGTTTATCATCGGAGCTTGATGTGTTTTGACTTGGTTGAAGGCCATCCGGAAATCTCGTCGACAATTATGTTACAAGCTTCATTTAATTTGTAAATATATGGATATTCTGTATAATGTATTTCAAGTCATGGAACTGAAATTAAAAAGATAAAAAAGAAAAAAAAAGAAGAAGTAGAAGACCTGTACTAGCCTCACTCCACTTGGCCAGCTCGGATAACATCGGTCAGTACCTTGTATAGTCTTGGGTGGAAGTGGTCTCAACAGAAACAGGTCACTTATGGTGTAAACTGCCAGAATCCAGGGCAATTCAATGGCAGGACGAACTAAATGGCATTAAATAAATATCCGCGCGCAATTGAACGTCATTTAGCGTTCCGATGTGGGTGTCTAATTGAGACATTCGGGACTAAGAACGTATCTTCACATTGGAAGCAACTCTAGATCTGAGCATCTGACAAGCGGGTTCTCAATCAGGTCCTGGGGCGATGTACGCATAGACGATGGTGTTTATGCAGGAGCAGGTGCGGATATGGCGAGAGCGGTGTTGGATTTGCGCGAGGCAAGATTTCGCGGACGGGCACGACTCATATCATTGCAAGCGATTAGACAGGCCAAAGCATGATGGACATTGGAGCGTAAGGGAATGGAGAGCGGTATACAGCATGTTTTTGGTGTGGAATGCCGCGAGTATTTCGATGAGTGCGGTAGTCCCGTAATTTCCAGCATTGGACCCGGGAGATTTACAGCTGGGTCGAGGCTGATGGTATGCACGATCGTTGCCCACGAGACATGCATAGCAAAGGCATGACATTGCGCATACACCCCTTGCATACTTCCATACTTGAATGCATCGACATTACTTATTGAAGGAAGATACTATCATCATTACAGGGGAGTTCTCTGAACTCGGCGGCATGACAATCGTTGTGAATAGATTGTCCAGAATCATGAGGAACCTGATATGGCCATTCATCTTTGCACGTATTGTCTCGACTCATAGCACCTATCATCCACCCCCCACAGCCATTACGCGCAATGGGACCATCCAAGGCGTACACCTCCCCTCCTTCCAGCAAGATCTATTCCTGGGGATACCTTATGCTCAAGCCCCGCGATTAGACAATCCTAAGCCTATCAACACCACCTACGATCATGACACTCCATTTGACGCCTCTCGCTACGGGAACACATGCTATGGCTTTGGCTCCAACGAGCTTCTGGGACTGACCCAAAGCGAAGACTGCTTGAACCTGAACATCATCCGACCCTCCAGAGCAACAGCGGACAGCCTCCCCGTCTTAGTCTGGTTATACGGCGGAGGCCTGCATCAGGGTTCTTCCGCAGACCCAATGTGGAATATGTCGTATATTGTGCAACGATCTGTGATTGAAGAACAGCCCATGATCGCCGTGAGTCTAAATTACCGTCTTTCTTTTCTCGGATTCCCAGGAGGAAGCGAGGCTTTAAATGCGGGGGTGACCAATCTGGGACTGAAAGACCAGCGATTGGCCCTGGCTTGGATCCAAGAGAATATCGTCGCATTTGGTGGTGATCCGGCCCGGGTGACCGTCTGGGGCGAGTCTGCAGGCGGAGTCAGTGTTGTGCAGCAGCTAATTGCCTATGGAGGACATGGTGGCGCTGAACTGTTCAGTGGTGCCATTATAGTCAGTGGGTTTGCTACAGGGGCTGCATTACCGGAGATAGAGCAGATGCAGGCTGGATTTGACAAGCTAGTGGTAGGGGCTAACTGTTCGATGGCGGAGGATAAGCTTGACTGTCTTCGCGGGACCTCGTTGTATAATATGTATCCTATTGAAGGGAGTACGGAAGGGGGATGGGGTCCAGTGATAGATGGCGAGTTTCTACGAAGGCCTGCTGCTTGGGAGATTCATGATGGCAACTGTGCCCGTGTGCCTCTCCTTTTGGGCAGTAATTCTGACGAGGGTCTGATCAAATTGACTGCGTCGGAATATTTTCCCAACTCGACAAATGAGACCACAACCTTGCTGAAGTCCAATTTTCCTCTTCTACAAAGTTCGGTCATCGAGCAGCTATTGAGTCTTTATCCAGAAGACGGACAAGGCGAAGCACCACCCTACTCTCTCCCGCCAGACTTCCCTTGGTGCAAGGCTCTGCACGCCGCCAATCTCCCGTGTGGCTCTCAATACCGCCGTGCCGCGGCCCTGCTGGGCGATTATGTCTCACATGCGCCCAGACGGTACATGGCCAGGCTATGGTCGCGACTCGGTCTACCGACGTACAGCTTCCACTTCAAAGCAGCCGTGACAGGGGTCCCAATCCAGTTTTTCTACGGCCTGGGACCTGGCTTTGCAAATCACGGGGCCGAGTTAGCTTATGAGATGGGATTGCCGGGGGGTTTCACTACGCCGATTCGGTTTTATCCGCCGGTAAAGAATGTCTCTGGGCATGTGGCTTTGTCGATGGAAATGAATCGACGATGGATTGCATTTGTGGCGAGGAGGGATCCGAATCAGTTGAAAGGTACGTCTAGATGCACCTGAGTGTGCGAGTGGTTTGAGACGCTGGTATAGCTAATGGCTTGAGTAGATAGGAATTCGTCGCTCAAGTGGAGCCAGTATGAAACATCCGCATCGAACTTTGTTTTTGATGCCACTGATGAGGACCTCAATTTGTATATGGAGACGGATGATTATCGTGAACGTGCATGCCAAATATGGACGGACAATGTTGCCTATACAGATTATTCTGGCCAAGGATTGTAGGAGGCTTGACAAGGAGTGCCCAGAACATCCCGGATCGAGAGAGCAATCAAAAAGTACAGTATGTTAGATGATTCGCCGTATTAGATGACGCGGCTCCTCTTCATAGTAGATGAGCGATCTATCTTTAAGATTATTTAAAATTCTTAAGCGTTGCCAGGCAAATCAAGTGCATCCTCTGCAGATAGGCGACTAGATGGTAAAAATCGCATCAATCCTTGAATCACATGAAGTAGAGGTTTAAGTGTCGGATTAGGCATCAACCCAGCAAACTTCCGTTCAAGCTTCGATGGTCCGTAATCTTTGGGCAAAATTAGCAATAGGTTTATTTGTGTTTTAATTTATTTACCTTTATCTAGCTCCAGATCATGGCTCGACCTTATTAACATTGATGTCCACTGAGACTCCCAGTCGGCCGGCAATCTCTCCACAAAGCCAATCATTTGGAAAACGAGGACCTCATCCTCGCCAAGATACCAGAATGGCCATGTCGTGAACAAGAAAGCATAAATCTGCATATATTATCTCCGTAAGTATATCTGCTTCAAGGAAAGATATGTTGACGTATCATACAACCTATGCGCCATAGGTCGACCCGATAATCAAAACTGTCCTTGAAAGAAAGCCTCTCCAAAATCAAAGAGCCTGATATCTCTCGTCATCCTCGTCTATCCACTCATCCTAATCTGCTGCTTTGATCAGCTGGGTCGGCAATCCAGTTCCTAAAGGCGTGCCGTCAACCCGGGTTAGCGGCTCAACTTCCGGGAAACCGAGAACATCAAAAAGCTGCTCCTCTGTCTTTCTCCATAAATGAGTGCAACCAAATGCGATGTTTCGGCCACTAATGTCTAGGAAGAAGTGAGTACAATGGCATTAACTCGCGCATAAATACAGAGGGACAGCACTGTGAATGAATTTGACAGCTTTCAAAAGCTGCGTAGACATTCGGAGTATTATTTCCGAGCAGATCTTATCGTGGCTCTCATGGTAGTCTGAGAGGACCTTGTCAACTGAAGGGCCTAGTAGTTCAGTTACAAGACAATGGTGGACCCCCTTAGGGCCTTCGTGGGTGAAGGCGTCTAGCAGTTGAATCACATAATTCGAGGAAATTCTCTCCTCCGGAATGTCTTTTCAGGAATCCCAACATTTGCAGCTCTCGCGATACCGATGAATCTGCGGTCATGATCTTCAAAGAGACCCATTGATTGTGACTGGCGTGAGATTAGCTGAGAATAAGCTATTTGAGTTAGGGATCAACTCTCTCTCTGTCCTTCGCAAGCCAAACTGTGGAAAAGCCACCCCACCCTAGCTTGTGATGTATCTTGTAACGATCATCTTCAAAGGTGTCTCCAAGGTTGACTGGATGATATCCACCGGACTGGTATCTTGATAATGACTCCTGTGTGTACAGAAGATTGCTTTGTCAGAACAAAGATAGACCCAAAATGTAAGATAGATCTATAATGTAATAAAGGTCGACGGCGCTTAGGGTTGAGGCGAACATCGTAATCAGAAAAATCGTGATGCGTCGGGAGATAGGTTATGTGGCTGCCAAGCCGTGATGATTAATCCGACCCTGGTAAATCCTTCATCTATTGGGACATTTCTTGACCGAATCTACTTGATGCTATGACGATGAAATGTGAATGATGAGAGATATGATGATTAATGATGGATTCTAGAGATGAAGCTTTGGATCTAAATATCATGGAGGCGGAGGCAAGGGTGCGGTGAAGTGGGGCAATATCCCCAATTCAATGCGAACAAATGCAATCTGATTGGGGCGCTGGGAAAGAAAGCCTGTGTGTCTTCGAATTCTACGGTAGTGCGGCCAAGGATAACACAATTTGCATTAAGCAGAAAACAATGACATGAGGCGTCTGTGCCGATTTGGACTGATCACAAAAGCAGCGCGATCGACAACTCAGCCCCATCGTCTGTAATAGCGGACCTTGTAGTGCATCACCAGCTCGCGATCAGCAGTTTGCACAAACAGATCAGCATCTCAGCCCCAAACATATCGAGCAGCGATGCCCCTAGCTTGTACGCACTAATCCGAAAAGAGAGGAACGCATCAACAGCAACCCATCAAAACGCATTAAATTTATCAGTGCCGTGTCCCACCCTCTCATCCTGCATGCGTCAGCCAATATTATGGCTTACCGGTTTCCAATAAGCTCGCGCTGCTGAGCGTATCGTGAGGGATCAACGCGACCGCCATTATTTGCGACCCACGATAGGTGTCGGGTCTCTGCCCCTCCCACTCGATGGACCCCCTACGATCGACTATGGTTTCAGCGCCGCCTTTCCAGATCTTCATCTGGTTACCTTTGCCAGTTCCTGAAGAGGGATCTTGGTGTTTCTAAATGCCTACGCATGCTATCTTTTAGAGGTGTATTTCCCATCTTTGACTTGGTGTTTGTGTTTTCTCCCTGGTGGATCAGGAAGTTTCGTGAGCCATGGACGGGAAATTGATCGACCCTCGCCCGGCCCCGACCCCGCGGACATTCCGGTCAAGGCGAAACATCGTAGGACGATCGATCATTGCGGTGGTGGTTGGCCTGGCGTATCTATGGTTTGTGGTTCTCGAGTCTTCTGCTGAGCCCTCGGTGGTTGTACTAGAGTCCAGTTTTAGCTGGGAGAGCGCCCCTCCTTCGGAATCACTAGAGTATCATGACTGCGGAGATGGTTTCCAGTGTGCTCGGTTGGAGGTCCCGATGGACTATAATCGCTCTGATCTCAACAACCGGAAATTCACGTTAGCTGTGGTTCGCATTCCAGCGAAAGTGCCAGTTGGAGACCCTCGCTATGGAGGTGCTGTTCTGATTAACCCAGGTCAGTCGACGCTTAAGCATTTACTTGCAATAGAACAACCTTCTCATTACCTTGAAAGGTGGTCCGGGTGGCCCTGGAACCTTGCAGGCATTTTTGACTGGTCGCAATCTACAGACGATTGTCGATGCGGAGAGTGATCCTGTTTTCCCGGCGCCTGAAAGCGGCGAGAAGTATTTCGACATTATTGGGTTTGACCCTCGAGGCGTAGGGTCCACGACGCCGGCATTGACATGCTTCCCGGATCCCACATCCCAGCGCAACTGGGAATTGCAAGTCTCGGCGGAAGGCATGCTTGGAAGTGGCCCGCAATCACTGGCTAGAAACTGGCAGCGTACTCAGGCTCTGAATTCGGGATGTTCTTTCTGGGAAATGGCAGATCTAGCTCATCAGAATGAGTCCATGATGGAGTATGTGAGTACTCCCTTGGTCGCGAGAGACATGATCACTATCATTGAGCGCCATGGTGAATGGCGTGAGAAAGAGGGTCTCAAGGCACAGGTTTCCTTTGATCAGACTCACGGCCCTGATGAATCGCGTGCAATCTTGCGACGCACTCAGTGGCGTATCGATCAGGAGCCGCTCTTGTATTGGGGTCGCTCTTATGGGACTCTTCTTGGCACAACCTTTGCAGCCCTCTTCCCCGATCGGGTCCAACGCGCTGTCCTCGACGGTGTCGTCAACATGGACAAGTACTACGAAAACCGCGGCCCAAGTGTACTTGTTGATGCCGATGCCATCTTCAATCAATTTGGTCAGTACTGCAATGCCGCCGGTTCAAATAACTGTCCTTTTTTCGTGGAAGGAGGAGCACAAGCCATCATGGATGCATACTGGACACTCGAGGACCAGCTTCTTAATATGTCGATCCCCGTGATGGCATCGGCGACTCGGGGACCCGAGGTTGTGACCTGGACAGACTTGAAGACCCTTCTTCGCGTCGCTGTTTATCAACCCTTACTTGCGTTCCCAGTGCTGTCATATCACATGGGCGAGCTGATGAAGGGGAACCCGGTCACTTTGGCGGATTTCAAGCATCGCAGTCACTTTTCCGCGTGTCCGACGAGTGAATGCAGTATTGCTGGCCCTTGGTCACCGGAATGTTCGCGGGGCCAGGATAATAGTCTCTATGCGAGCGCTGCTATACTTTGCACTGACGCAGAGTATATGACTCGTTGGAGTATAGAAGAGTTTGAAGCTGAGTGGAATCATCTTAGAGCCGATAGTGCCACACTGGGAGATTATTGGGCTCAGCTTGAGCTGAGTTGTGTCGGTTGGAAGGCTAAGGCCAAATACAAATTCACAGGTAAGAGTCTAGAGTCTAGGTAGCAGGGTTTTTCCATCAACATTAATCATTCCTAGGTCCGTGGGCGGTGTTACCTCTCATCCGATGTTGTTTGTGGCGAATACACTTGACCCTGTAACATCGCTGAACAGGTAAGCAATCAGTACCGCCGATCTAGGTGAAATCACGCCGTGCTGACTTGAAGTTACACAGCGCACAGCACATGTCGCAACAATTCCCCGGGTCCCGATTACTCCAACAAGATTCTGAAGGGGTGAGTTCGTTTCAGCCATTTTCCATGTAAAGTGACGTGTTCAGACTAATGTGGATGAAACTCAGCACACCACTGTTGCGGCCCCTTCAGTCTGTGTTGCCAAGTCAATCCGCACCTATTTCCAAAATGGCGATCTGCCTGCGCCCGGAACGCTCTGCGAAGCGGACTTGAAGCCGCTCGTCGGCGCACCTCAAAAAGCTGCCGCCCTTTGTCAAGACATGAATGACGCTGATAAAAAACTATTCAACGCGCTTTTGGCCGACGTCCATCTGGGCCACTGGCCCGGACTGCCCTTATAGATCATGCTGTAACGAACATCATGACATGCTGACATTTTTCTTTCGTCCACATCTTTCTTCCATGTTGTTACAAGATTGACGCCATTATGATACTCTAGCGATCTTCCGTGGTATCTTCAACTACTGTGACTACTTGGGACATGCTCTGCATTTACACACTTGAATAGCATAAAATGTGTACTTCATCTCTTGTATAACCTCGGGCCTCCAATCTCAATCCTAACTGAGCCAGGCGGAAGAAGCGGAGAAGGCACCGCAACCTCGGTTGCCTTCCATCCAATCCTGTCGCGATCGAAGATCAGCAACCCCGCTTCTATGAAAATGTAGTTGTCTGAGATCATTGAAAGTCAACCTCGACCTCTTTCCATCGAGTCCATTTCGCAAGAACTCATCCACTATGGCCCCTTCAACCACCACCGAAACCATCCCTTCCACCATGTCCGCCAAAGGCCCGCAGTCATCGCAGACTGCAGGCGCCGAATCCGCCAAGGTAAAAATGCAGATGCCTACGATGCCGAAATTCGAGAACAAGCTCGAAGAGCGCGAGTATCTCAAGGGTCGTCTCGCTGCGGCGTTTCGCATTTTCGGGAAATTAGGCTATGACGAAGGTAACCGATCTAAAAGTCGACCCGCGCAATATTCTCGAGACTACTGACACTGCTGCAGGTGTCGCGGGCCACATTACGCTCCGAGACCCCGTAGACCCCACTACATTCTGGGTCAACCCATTCGGTCGGGCCTTTTCGTTGATGACAAAGTCGGACCTGATTCAAGTCGATCACCACGGCAAGGTCATTGATGGTGGTCCGAACCGGTTACTGAATGCCGCGGCATTCATGATTCACTCGGCGATCCATGAGGCTAGACCCGATGTCTTGTGTGCAGCGCATAGCCATAGTATTCATGGGCGCGCGTTCTGTTCGCTGGGTCGGCCGCTGGATATCATTACGCAGGATGCGTGTGCTTTCCATAATGTGAGTTGTTTTTTTTTTTTTGGTTGATGAGGTGATGAGGTGCAAAGTACCCAGCTCTGACCAGGGAAATAGGATCATGTCGTGTATAAACAATTCAACGGTGTCGTGCTGGCTGAGGAAGAGGGTAAACAGATCGCAAAAGAGCTAGGCGATAAGAAAGCCGCCCTCTTGCAGAATCACGGTCTACTGACTGTTGGAAAATCAGTAGAAGAGACTGTCTTTTGGTTTGTCAGTTTGGAGAAATGTTGCTATGCACAGCTCCTTGCAGACGCAGCTTCAGCTGGTCGCGGAGGTGAGACGGTGAAAATCGACGAAGCTGATGCGGCGTTCACCTACAAGACGGTGGGGACCCCTCTCGCAGGCTGGTTCAGTGGGCAGCCTTTGTTCGATGTGATTCATGAAGAGAGCAAAGGGGCGTATCTTAATTAAACAGAATGGCCTGTCGTAGCTTCTCCAAGGGGTGAATTTAACGATATTGGAAATGTCGGACTGCATTGCTTTTTGTTCTCCTGCCTCAATCGACCAGTGAATGAGACGAAATGAACAGTCTAATAAATCTCAAGTATTTTGGTACAGTTCAAGGTACGGGGGCTGTGGTCTTGGGCGTGGTCTAAGAAGCCAAGAGAACATGAGGTTCGTGTGTGAAATGAAAAATCCTTCGAATACATGAATCCTTCGCTCCGAATAATCCCCACTTTCTCTCTCCCGATAAAGAATAAGTGAAAAAAAAAAGAAAGAAACAAATATACACCCATCCTTACACCGGGGACAATCTATCCCTGATAATCCAGATCACAAACTAACCTCACCGGCCCTGGGCTAGCAGCACCCCCAATACCATCATGATGCCTCTTCGACTCCGTGTAAGCATTCACAACCTTTGCGGCTCCCGGAGTAATAATAGAACATCCTTGTCCATCGGCCAAACAAATCCTCATTCCCTGGACGTCATGGCCGGCAATCTGCGCCTGAATCGCCGACACATCCCACCCGGACCATCCATTATTCTCTCTATCCCCGAAACTAAACTCGCCCCATGTGGACGTATATCCGCCCCAGGTGTCAGTAGGAAGACCTTTTGTTCCAGGCGCGGCACCCCATGCACCTTCCGCGTCTTCGTCAAACACGACGTAGTGCGTTTCACCCGGTGCAATGACGAAGGTCAGTGCGGAGTGCCCATACCAGCCGTCCAGTTTGCCATCGGGCCCGACTTTGTTCCATATCACGACCGTCCAGGGTTGGCTTTGGGGTCCGTTGAATTGAACGACGTATTTGTAATTATGGGCGGCTTCCGGGCTCACCGAAAGGATGTTGCTGCCCCAGGGTTTGCCGACGTTGCCTTTGTAGTGAATGTTGCTGCCTGACGGGGAACTTTGCCCGCCGAACCCTTTACTTGTGAAGGCTGAGGGGACGGAGGTCCGGTCTAAGACGGCTGGGGAGCCGGGATGGAGGACTTGGTCCAGGCTGGGGAGACCAGGGACTGGAATGACGGTTGCTATGCTGGGGAGGAACTGGTTTACGTCTCCTGGGATTTGACCGGGTAGGTTGTCGAGGGTTTGGAGCACATGCGGTGCTTGCTCTGTCCTGGTGGGATCGGGCTTTGGCCTTGCCTCGACTGATTCCCTGGGTGGGCTGCTCTTCGCAACTGTAGTACCGCTTGGGGCTGTGACATCGGCAGTGACTTTGGTGGTTGATGCGGTGACTGTGACAGTTGCTGTAACCGTTTTTGTCTTGTGAATGTGGATGGTGGTGACTTCATCGGGGGTCGTTTGAGACTGCAGTTCTGAATGAGTGGAAGTTGACACTGTGTTCTGTGGTTGTGTTGCGTCTGGTTTTATGGACTCCGGCTCGAGGGCCATGATATGGGCTGGCTTCGAAGGGAATGGCTTTGGCTGCATGACCTTTGGGTTGGTCAACCCATGCTCAGGCTTCGTCAAGGTTGGCTGAGGGATCATATTGTCAAGAATCTTTGTTGTCAGACCAATGTTTGTCGGCGCACAATTACAAACGACGGGCTTGGTGAGAGTTTCGAACTTGGTATGCACCACTTCAGGAGCAGTATCAGCCCAGGGCAAACCCCACGGCTCCGTCATTTCAACGCCTTCAACCGCTGGCTGGGCATGGTTCCGCGCACGATGACGGTGCGCATGAGATCGGCCATGGGAAGCCAAGGCGTAATCCACGCCAGCCAGGAGGAGTAGAGTAGTGCTCCACAGCATGATAAAGGAGATTCAATGAATGATTGTCGGAAGTAATGACAGATTGTGATTGAGGATTGAACCGCTGAGAAGGGATCGAATAAAAGAATGAAGTGGTGAGGTGATAAAATGATCGTAGTGTCAGTAGATTCGAGTTTCTTCTAATGAATGGACGCACCCGTGTTTACAGGAACAGGGTTGCAGTTGTCGTCTTCATGGTTGTCGTTGTCGATGGAGCACAACATGCGCGAACGAGGACGCGACGGGGATTTATACAGGGGCGTGAGAGTCTGGCCCATTTGAGATCTGGAATGTTGTTGACGCTGGATCTTGACAGAGCAATTTAACACGGTAACATCCCAAATTCCACCCTGCCTTGGCTAACATCATTATCAACTAACCCCCAAGCACGGTCAAATCGCACCAGACTCGAGACTCATTTGGACCATAGCTTCAGCGGGGCTATGAACGAGGCACTAAATTTTCAATCTTTCCTAAACACGGCACGAATTGGGAATGAGCGTGCTTTGGTCCAGGGCTGGTGAATGTCCTTCACGCGAGGGGCTCAAATTGTGGTCCACACGTAGAATTACCAGATGTGATGTGATGTGATGTGTTGGCCTGACTGCCTGGAAACAGCATGGGTGTTATTCTTCCATGCTCGGAATTTGAGCAGGGTACCCCTCCGATCATCTTGTACGTCCCTGTCGTACCCGAGGCTATCACGATTCACACTCTTCTAACAGCTCCGAGAAAAGTATCTTGGGCTAAGTTCGACACCCGTCATTGCTGATGGCTCGCCAATGAAAAACGACCTCCCCAATATCTGCACTTATCAAAATGAGTTCTACACGCTAAACCGCTTTGGGGCAAAGATGCGCCCGGTTAGAGTTGGCCGGAGAGACATCCCAAGGTACGAAGGAAGGAACCAGGTACCGCGGGGGATTTAAAAAGTCTCGATCTGCTCTTCCCTGCCAGACTCCAGACTTCAGACTTCAGACTCCAGACTTCAAGACTCGGACACAATGGCGAGCTTACATCCATTTGACCCCATCACCGCGGGAGAGATCCGGTTAGCGGTCCGGATCCTCGAGGCCGCCTTTCCCGGTGTCAAGTTGCGTTACAAGCGTATTGATCTCCAGGAACCCACCAAGCATGAGGTCGTTCCGTACCTGGAGGCCGAGCGCCGTGGAGAGCCGCGTCCTCCCAAGCCCGCTCGTCTGTTGATGGCCTTGTTCCACCGTCTCGACAATGGCTCTTTTCACAAGGCCTTTTTGAACGCAGACACCAAGTCCATCGTCTCAGCCAAGGAACTGCCCAAGGAAGTCCAGGGGCCCGTGGATGTGGACGAGATGATGGAGATTGAACAGCTGTGTCTTGGTCACCCCGCCGTCAAGGCTGAGATTGAAAAATTACAGCTGCCCCAAGGCATGACCGTCTGTGTCGATCCGTGGATCTACGGCACGGACGATGCTAACGAATCCCGCCGCTTGTTCCAGTGCTACATGTATATCGTGGCCAGCGATCATCCTCAAGACAACCTGTATTCTCTTCCCTGCAAATTCTCTCCGATCTTTGATGGGATTACCCATGAGCTCGTCCGTATGGACTATCTGCCCGGAGGTGCAGACTTCCAGACCACGGACACACAGCCGTGGAAGCCTGTGAAGGCAGTTCAGTATGCGCAGGAGCTCTTGGATGAACCGCTGCGCACTGATCTAAAGCCATATATCGTGCAGCAGCCCGAGGGCGCCTCGTTCAGTATTATTGGAAATGCCGTCTCATGGCAGAAATGGCGCTTTCGGGTGGGCTTCAACAATCGCGAGGGGTTGGTGATACACAACCTCACCTATGATGGCCGGAGCACTTTCTACCGCCTGTCGTTTTCCGAGATGACCGTTCCCTATGGAGGTAATGTTCTCACTTGGTTTTGCACAATTTGGAACCTTGATACTAACGTCCCCAGATCCTCGTGCTCCCTACCACCGCAAGCAAGCCTTTGACGTTGGCGATGTCGGTTTCGGTATCACGGCCAACCAATTGGCCCTAGGCTGCGACTGTCTGGGCCATATTAAATATTTCAACGGTTACCGTACAGACGCCAAGGGCGAGCCTATTCTCCTGCAGAACGTCATCTGTATGCATGAACAGGATAACGGCCTTCAGCACAAGCACACAAACTGGAGAACGGGCGCCGCTACAGCCGTCCGGAACCGCCAGCTCGTCGTCCAGATGATCGCAACAGTGGCGAATTACGAATATATTTTCCAGGTTATTTTCGATCAAGCAGCCAACATTGAGCTCGAGGTTCGCGCAACTGGTATTCTCTCGACCGTTCCATTCGCAAATGAGAATGGCCAGACCGTTCCATGGGGAACCAACGTCGGCCCTGGCGTCATGGCACCCTTCCACCAACATTTGTTCTCTCTGCGTATTGACCCGGCACTGGATGGTTATAAAAACACCATTTACTACGAGGACAGTGTGCCTATGCCAGAGGACGAAAATAACCCCTACTCGGTGGGCTATATCACCGAGCAGCAGGTCATCAAGACGAGCGGCAGTGCCTCAACTAGCGTGGAGAAACACCGTGTCTTCAAGATCCGCAACGATTCTGTCATCAACCCGATCACACACCATCCGATCGCATATAAGCTGATGACCGCCCCCAGTCAAATGCTTCTCGCCAAACCCAAATCTTTCGGGCTGAGGCGCGCCCAGTTCGCCACACGCCCAATCTGGGTAACTAAATACCAGGACGACGAGCTCTTCGCTGCAGGTGAATTCACCAACCAGAGCAAGGAGTCCGAAGGTGTAGAGAAGTGGGTTGCGCGAAATGACCCAGTTGAGAATGAGGACGTGGTCCTGTGGCACAGTAAGTACCCTCGAAGATGTTGAGTCGTTTCTTTCGCTGATTTGTGATTTTAGCTTTCGGTCTTACCCATAACCCACGGATCGAGGACTTCCCAGTTATGCCCATGGAGCGTGTGAGCGTCATGCTTAAGCCGGATGGCTTCTTTACTAAGAACCCAGCGTTGGACGTTCCGCATTCGGATCAGTCGTTTAACAAGTCAACTTTGCATCCCGAGCCTTCCTGCTGTGCTGAACCTCAGGATCGCAGCCAGGTCAAGTTGTAAATGACTTCATATCTCGTGTATGGGTCTGCAGTGGAATATTGCAGGTGGAACATTTTAAAGTAGAGGTATATAGCTTCATGAATCATGATACACATTTTTGTCTACCTTATTCCATTATTCAAGAGCCTATTAATCTCCTTAAAAGATAAAAATAACTCTATGGTCGATTATGTTATCCTTACTCTGAACATATCTTTCATACAGTTCGACTACCCTAATACCTTCTATGCTCTAGAAAACACGTACATGAGATCTCTTCGTAGTCTAGCCGTCTTAGCGGCCTACAATCTATCAATGTCGACTACCCACGTAATCAATCAAAGGACTCCTGTACTAAAGGAGGACTAACGCACGAGAGGCGGGATTATATCGAGGGGACGAGGGAATATAGACGGAGTAATTTACTATAGGTATCATTTCTTCAGGTCTAACTCTAGATAGGCTAATCATGTATAGAAGTTAGGTTATCACACTCATTCCTGTCCCGCCTCCCTTTCCCCCCCCCCCCCTCCTGGCGGGTGTCTGGGCTCCCTGAGAATCCCTGTTCATTTCAAAACGCGATTCTGCATTCAAGGACACCAAGTTCTGCGTCAGTTTAGACGAGGCGCATGCATAGCCTTGATAGAACTACTTAGGCTCTAATGGGCCAATAGAACTTTGAGTGATTCATTGACAGGACACAAAGGGGCTCAGCTATTCCTGGTCCCGTTACTGCAACGAAATACATACCTTTGAAAAGTGCTCCTGCTTCTCCAAAAATCGATATGCCTCCTTACACTCTTTAAACCCAAAGACCCTTTCATCAACAACAGGTCTAATTCCTTCTTCTCCACGATGAACCGATTCATCTCATTAAATTGGTCCCTAGTCCCCAGCAAGACTCCACGCGCCGTGCAAACATTCATCAGACAATCCATCAAGGAAGGAATTCCTTCGTCAGCCGTTCCTAGCACGCCGGTCAGAGCAATCAATCCATTCGTGCGAATGGCTTTGAAAGATTGGGAAAGAGTAGATAGACCCCCAACGTCAACGACGAGATCAACCCCTTCGCCGTGGGTAAGATACTTGGCAGTCTCGCCCCAGTTTGGATCAGTACGGTAATTGAGAACGTGATGGGCGCCTAGGGATTTGAGACGTGTGGCTTTTGCGGAGGCACTTGTTGTTGCAATTACCGTAGCACCTGCGGCGACAGCGAACTGTGGAAATTTGTGGCATGAGACGAGTTATGAGATGCGAATGTGAGCGCCGGTGGAGTGTGATCGTACCTGCAAGGCTGCTATAGAGACACCTCCGGTGCCTTGAACCAACACATAACTTCCTTTCTTGGGTCTATGCTCGCTGATTCCAAATAAGGCATTCCACGCCGTTAACCCCGAGCAGGTCAGGGTACTCGCCTGGAGAAAGTCGAGGCTCTCTGGCATTGAGACGAGTGCAGATTCGTGAAAGACGCCATAGGAGCGTAAAGTTCCATCGATGTGCTGGCCGAGTCCGGAGCAAATGTCGGTCATGGATGGTGTTTTCGAGGCCGGCATCTCGGACGTAAGATGGGTGCAGACGCGATCGCCCGGTCGGAAAGTCTGGACTTTCGATCCGACTTTTTCTACGATGCCGGCGCCATCGGAGCCTGGGACAACTCCTGAGCGAAAGAATGGGAGGGGAACGGAGCCCTGGGGTAGTGTTGGTGGGATTCATTCTGGGGATATGGGCGTGGTGGGCTCTGACGTACATTTGCGAGGACTATATCTCGATAATTGAGAGATGCTGCATGCAATTTCACGAGGACTTCGAAGTCGCCAACTTCGGGAAGTGCTTGTTCAATAGTCTCTAGACTATCAATGCCATTTTGTTCTTTCAAGATCCATGCACGGGTGGTTGAAGGCATTTCGATAGCTGTAGGATGAACAATCGAGACATTCTCCATTTTTCACATTCAGAGGGGCTCCTGCCTCATTGCCAGATGTTGATTTTCATTTGTAAGCGGGGCTCACTCCTCGGGGTGGAGAACATGACTCGGGTATGAACTTGTTGTCTTGTCAGTCGGATCCACCTGGTACCTCTTAACCGAGTCATTCAAGCCGTAGATAAGGTGGATCTATATCATTTTCTGTCTGTGAAAAAGTTGCCCCTCAAGGCTAAGGATACACTTCTCTCTGATGTCGACTGAACGACTATCTCCGATCACCCCCCCCCAGACATAGAACATCTTTGATCTCCCACTTCCTGGACCTCAGCATTCAACTGATCAGCCCACCCTTTTGCCGTAAGAATAGTCCCCATCTTCCCAAACACCCTTTCAATCAACAACCAATGCACCTCCTCGTCCTGATCCAAAAGCAAATCTGAAAGAACAGTCACCTGCAAGCCGATATCCCTCGCATGGCAGATCGTAGACAGGATGGCTCCGCTCGTCTCCGAGCCAGCAATGAAGACACGATCCGTGTCTGTTCCCCGCAATGTAGCGTCGAGAAAGGTGCCCAAAAAAGCTGATGCATGGGTTTTCGCGATGACGAGCTCGCCCAACGCGGGCTTGATGGTTGCGTGCATCAGGGCACTGTATGGGAACTCGCCATTTGACTTGGCTTTGGCCAGTAGCACAGGGTCGAGGAGCTCAGGTCGCGAGGCGGAGATGATGTGGATGATTTTGATGTTATTCTTGCGGGCTGCTGAGACCGTGGGTTTGATGGTCTCCATGTAGGCGGATAGCTCGCTGGCTTTGGCTGGATTGAGAAGCATGTGGAGGACACCGCTGTCGATGTCGATCAATAAGAGAGTGGTCGATCCCATTTTGAGGGTCGAGTGTGTAGGTTTGGTAGAAATTGAACAATGAGAGAGATTTCTGGTGAGAGACCTAGCGCTTGAGTGAGGAAGTACCGTGAAGAAGTAGAAAGAAGACGGAGCCGAAGTCGAAGTCGAAGTAGAAGAAGAAGTACAGCGTTTGTTTGTGTTCCTGGATCGGGTTGATCCATGGTTGGAAGGCACGAGTGACGCAATTCGAGTCCAACTGCTCTTTTCAGGCAACTAAAATCGGTTCTTTGATCTGGAGACTAGTATCGCATAGTTTCATGTGGAAGAAGTGGTGACGGTGATGAGAGCTGGACTGTGGGGCAGCTTCGAAGCTCCGGGGAACAGGCATCACCATATTATGAACTTCACCCATCATGAGCTCCAGAATGAGAATGAGGGAGCTTTCCATTGTAATCATGAACCTATCAACTGAATGCCTTCTGCATCTTTTCGACCCAGTCTAGCATGGAATGATCGAGCGGACGCACCCAGCCTTTTCCAGATCCTGAAACATTCAGTCTATCCGCAGCAGAGAATAAAAGCTCCTACGATAACATCGCCGAGGTGCCGGACCATGGATGCATAGAGCTTATGTAAGTCCGATTACGTCGAGTGCGTGAACACAACAACCTCTCGGTGCCACCATTCCTCATGGCCGACAAGGATCACCAGGGCCGAGTCTCTCTCACTATTCTTATGGGCTATCACGCCAACTCTCAAGCCCATCCACACAACCATGGTGCAAGCGCCGGTTCCTCTCAGTCATGGCAGATATGGTGCGTAACCCTTCCCGCCCCAGCTCAGAACGGACCCTGATAGCCAGAAGACAAGCTGAGCTCAGTCGCCCGCTTGAACGGTCGCGTCTTCGACAACGACCCCGTCATCGCGTACATGCTCCTGGATATGAGCCGGGAACAGCGGCTGCGGTACCTGCCCAGTTACTGGTATAAACTCGCCAGGTCGGCGCTGATGAACGACGCGCTCATCACGGAGGCGGATGGGTGGAAAGCGGCGTCCATTGTTATCCCGCCGGGACGGGACATTGATAATGTTTGGACGCTTGTGTACTCCGGCTTCCTGTGTATTTTGTGGAGAATCGGATTCTCGGGTCTCAAAGTGTGGTCCTTACTGAGCCGAGATGGAATTTTGTGTTAACCTATCACAGCGTCTTTGGACTGAGTTCTCCGGCATGACCGACAACGCGAAAAGGAAGGGCCTCGGAGGTCAGAAGCGCTACTACTACGTCTTCAGCATCGGCACTGAGTATGAGCATCGCGGAAAAGGTGACTTCCATTCACTGGGCAACTTGCTGCCAGCTTGCTAATCGTCACACAGGTCTTGCCAAAGCTATCATGCACTATCACCAAGAAGTAGCGCAAGCAGAGAATCTCCCGATCTGGCTCGAGGCCACGACTGAAAGCTCTCGCTTACTTTATCTCTCAATGGACTTCCAGGAGGTCGAGGAACTCTCTCTCGGAAAAGGGAAAGTTGCTGCGGATGCTACGATTCAGCCCGGTGGCCCAGGAGTTACTCTATATGCAATGGTGTGGTGGCCGAAATCATCAGACCGAGGCTCAGAGCCTGTACAAGCCGCTGACACTACATCAAGCTGACACTCCTGTCTTTTTCTTCAGTGTCCATTATCAATGGTTTTTGAATTTTTCTAAGCTTTCTCTTGTGGCTGTCGCCGAGGTGAAAACAATGTGTCTGTATAGATGCGAAGTGGTATGGATTTGGGCTAGAATAATGTGCTATTTATACGGACTTCACATGGCATTGAGCGGGTGGTTAATTTTTTTTTTTTTTGGTATTGGAAAATGCACCAAGCGGGTAGATCAATGTTTGAAGCCTGGCTCCAAGGGAACCTACCACAAAATATCTAATCTAGCAGACACTTGCAAACGAGTTAATATCTTTCAGAGTAATGCCGTTCCTCACAGCATCCGTGATAGATTTCCATTGACCGAAACCCAAAGGAAAAAGTATCGCATTTCAATGAGACCAAGATAATATCCAACTGCGCCTTCCACGCCTTGAGTCTGGTCCGAGCCCCCAGTACGCCCTTGCATAGGTGACAGACGCCTGAAATCAAAGTGTGCCACCCACAGTAGAGCCAATGAGGCCCACGAGAGTGTTCGTGACTGAGTGGCTAATGGCCATGATAGTCGCAGCCATCACGGCCGTAATCATCTGCGTAACCAGCGCGGCAATCATCCGTTGCAACTACCGGCGCCCCAAATACTGTTAGCCCCACTCACCCATATCTCCTCGGTAGGTAAGAACTATGTCATGACTTTACAGCAGAGCGTCACTTCATCAGCTATAGCGTCTCTAGTGAGGATTTAGTAAGGGCAGATTAAGAGATAAGAGAGGATATATTGAGCCACAAAAGATATTCAGAGAGGTCTGGCTTGTGATGAGCAAGGTCGATTGAGATTGATAGGGGCTAGGTCTTCTTCATGCCCCATATCTAAGTCGTGGCTGTCATTTCTCACTTCGATCTCCGACCCTAGGATCTGATACCACGCCGCTGGAGTAGCACGAGAGGGAGAGATCCATTCAAGATCAGAGATCATCCATGGATGGCTTGCGTAGGAATCCTAATCCCAGGGCCAATGAGACAGGACTCACCCGACGCTAGACAGATGGACCAGGAAATAAAATAAATCAGATTCGGGGTTGGTGGGAGTGGAGACATGATAAGCATGGTCGATCAGCCAAGGTTTTTGAACGGCACGGGCATTTCTCGGCCGGCCGAAGCACTCTCTCCACACTGGGCAGAACTACAGGTGTACTTGGGCCGACGGAGATCCCCCCCCCCCCGGATCTTGTGTTTTTTCTTTTCATCTTTCTGATCTCTGCGAATGGGTGTATGTGTGTCGCGGTTCTCGCTGTGGAGTCGTGCCGAAGGCAACGCGACTCTACTTGAATCTGGGATCGGCCGGCGGTGGCGGAAGAGAGGACTAAACCCCTAAAGTGGCTTGTGGGCCACGGCTTAAATGAGCTAAGGGCAAAGGGCCGGTATGTGCACAAGTCTTGAGAAACGAGTGAAACAGACTAATAGGTTCCAGAACGTTGTATTATGGTGTACAGTCCGTGCTGATGACCAATACCCCATGCAGAGTGCTACATACAGGGAGACAAATCCCCTTCTCTCCGCGCAATGCGAATAATGTTCTTTTTTTTTTCCCCGAAGGTGTGATTACATGATGTCGTCATGTAACTTCCCGGGACGGGATTGTCACTCATGTTCGGGAATAACATCACGTTTGATACCCGGCCTAGGATGTTTCGCATGCTCCAGTCCTCGAAGGGCATCACATTGTTGTTCGCAGCCAGGGTCACCGGTACCTTTGGGCTGGCGTCAACTGATGACGGGGATGGCAGGTTCAGAGGCGACAACTTCTGGCCTGGTATTGAGGCCGGTTGTCTCTTTGTGCGCGCATGGAAAGCCTCCCGGATTTCGCGCAATGCACGCAACGACGAAGCCAGGTGCTTTGCGGAGTCGGTGCGGCTGTTGTGTTCCGCGTTTCCGTCTTCATAAACGTGATCGGCCAGAACATTCTCTAATCGGTGAACGAGAGCCCATGTTTGAGCACCGTCATCGTTCGCGACGAGCAGAAATGCCGAGGCAATTGATCTTTGCAAGCTGATCCATGATCGGGAACAGTGAGAGTTGATCTCGTGCAGTTCGACGAATGCGTCAATCGTATCGATTAAGCTGTTGATACAGTCTTCCCGGATCAGAGCTCGATGCGTATCGGTCATAGGCGCATGCGGGTCTAGTGATACTCGGCACAGAACTGAAAGGAGGTAAGAGGAATGCAAGCGCAACTCGGTTCGTTCGATGTGGTCCGCTAGTGTCCGACACTGGTCGAGATGGCGCAGGTGGGGTGTGGCCTCTGCTATCATGCGGTGTATGCGATGCTTATATTCTCGGATGTCGTGGAAGCGCGGTTGTGCAGAGCTTGGATCCATGCGTGAGCGCAGAACTTCCAGTGCCAGTGATACGATGCGGCAAGATGTCTCGACGTAAGTCCGATGTCCCGGCATGGACTTGGGTTCAAAGGGGATCTCGGGCTGGCTGACCATCGTGATAGATGGACGATCATAGGCGAGCGAGAAATGGCTATTCTGAAAGGCCATGGCCCACCAAGTGCGCCTCCTCACAGCTTGCTCTGCACTGGAGAATCCGGTGGACTCGACATGAAGGCCGAGAACGAGACACATCCGCTCCGTCATGCCTGTACTTGGATTAGAAGCTATTTGACAGAGGGGCCCGACCCGACTTACCAAGCAAAGTATATGATGCACCGGCATTCATATTATACGAGAGGACATTGCTGATGATGAGAAGAATCTGGATGACCTCGACGGTAGGTTGCGAGACATAATTTAACATCCGCAGGCACTGGTAAGCACAAGATACTGAGCAGAGGGTCAGTATCGCCCTCCGGGATTTGCAGAAGATCACGTACCGTATACCCACGAAGTCAATTCGCGGTCCTTCTCAGACATGTCCGACAACTGACAGCCCGAGGCAAGGAGCGCAAAGAACAGACTGAAAAAGGGCAAATCAATGCCGAACGGTTTGACTAGTCCGTTGGCATCTGGTTTATAGACCCCTCCAGCCCGACGCCGCCCCTCCAGTAACCTTTCCGACTTCATTTTAATCTGGTTCAGATCTGGTAAAACCGGATACAAGACGGCACCGATTTCTTTATAGAATCCCAGAAACCTGGAACAATTGTCAGTACGCATCGTCTCGCATCCGACGGAACGGGGCTTACCGATGGCATTGCGCATCGTCGGGAAGCACTGCACACACTCCGGCAATATTGAATGTGTATGGATCAGAAGACCACAGATCCACGAACGGATAAGCCGCCGACTCATTACCCATGGCGAGATCAGCAAGCAGATCCTCCTGGGTCAGCGCCTGCGCTATATCCTCAGATCCTTTGGATTTGTCCAAGATGTCCACCAAGGCTGACCGGGAGCCAATGTGGACAGCACCCGTCTTCAGCACGTTCGACCCATAAACACCTTGTGACGGTATGGAGACCTTTCGTCCTACAGGCTGATCATTCTCATGTCGGCGGGACGAATGCGCGTTGAACAGCGAATGGAGACTCCCGAGGATCTGCTCCATAGCGATCATTTTGGTATTAATGTCATCCCACTCGGCCTGCGAGATGTCGATGACCTCGGGTGGATCCGAGTTAGTGCTAGCCGTAGAGGGCCCGTCGGCAGCGTCGTAGGCATCGCGCGGGGGCGGGTAGTAGGTCGGAGGGATCGTGGGGGAGACAAACGAGGAATGCGGCGTGGAGGCAGAGGTGATAGAGGCGGGAGGTATAGGATGTTTGAAAGCGGGCGGCCGGCCGTAGGAACAGTCGAAGTTGCGCTTGACGCAATTGCTGCAAGGGACGTTGCGATCGCAGCGAACTTTGCTGGCACGGCAGGGCAGGCAAGTCTTGCACTCGCGCGGGCGGCGGCGGATAGGATACGTCGGCATCGTTCACTTCATCCCGGGGGTCATGGGCAACAGAACAGAGGCATAGGAAGATCGGCGCTGCAGGAGACGGTCGACAATGGGAGTTGGCTGAAAGTCGACTTCTAAGCGAGCTGCGTGGCGTAGGAGTCTATCAGCGGTCCGTGAGTGCGATTCCGGGGAAAGATTCAAGATCTCGGCGCGGTTCCGTCTTGACGACGATCACGTCGAGATCAGCGAGTCCAGTGGGTTTAAGTTAGGTTCAACGGAAGTTCAGAAGGTTCCAAAAGTGGATGATCTCATCCGACAGCCGCGTTCCCTGGTTCAACGCGCCCGAAATGGCCGCAGTCAGTTTGTGGAGGCCCTGGCCTGATCCTGTTCAACATTTTCTTTTTACTATCTCCACTTGGTCTGGACTAATCGAAGGCTACGTTTAATATATTTGGGGCTCTTCACTAAGAAATCCAGGAAACGTGAGGAAAATCTGGAGACAAGAACGTGCCTTTGCTGGTTTGTCTAGTAACTCAATGCTAAGCACAAAGTTCCCTTATAAACACTTTGTAATCTGTCACTTCTTTTTCTCCAACACTTGGGGCACGATCCACCAGTCATGCCAATGAGTCTTGGAGCCGATCTCTGGGATCGTCACCTGCAGCTTCTCCGTTCGAAGAGTCGCCCGTGATGGTTTTTTTCACCGTTTCAATAGCAATGCTCGCCCCGATGCAAGCACGCATAGTATCCTTAATATCACGCTTCCAGTCCTCCTCAATGGCAGTTGGGGGTCTTGAGGTAGGTGCCGTGGGATCCTCAATGAAAGCACCGTGGGCAAGCGTCGCTTCCCACGCTTTACGTGCCTCAGTAATTGCTTTTGAGGCCCGATCGAGGACGGTCGCATCGGTGTCGCCTTCTAAGGTAGCTTCACGCTGATACTCCTCAAAGGGAACCAGCTCCGGTAATGAGATCGGGATGAAGGGTTTCATTCGGAGCTCATAGCGAAGTTTATCGCTGGAGTATGCCTCCGGACTCGAGGTAGACGGCAGGATCTTGTGCCGGGCCAGTAGAGCATACAGGGAGTGGAGTGCGATCGCAAATGCATCGACCGCAATAAGTTGAGTGGTCAAACGCTCCAGGATTTGAAATGATTTATGGAAAGCGGCGGATTTCTCGGCGGCATTGCTCCCGCGATTGTTGGTCATCACAAGATCGTGCTTTCGAGCAGCCACGGTGAATGTTCGGATTCGATCAATGTGACCGAGATGCGCGGAGCAGATGTGAGACAGGTACCAGTACATGCCGGGGAGTTCTTCCCGGGGGATACATTGAGAGCTCGAATCCCATTTGGAGGATTTGCCGGAGCTGCGTAAGTTTGTGGTGATAGGCCCAGCTGCTCAGTGGGAAGGAAAATGTAGGCTCTCCGCCCTGGACTTGCAAGCCTGGCTCTCTGGTCAGAGGCTGAATTTGGAGATCAATATCCTCGGCCTGATAGGTCATTCTGTCAGTCTGTCACCTTGATCAATTGGGTTGAGTCTTTCGTACCTCCATTTGCAAGCCGTCCCAATTTTCAACGGTGTGGCAAAGCGTTCGACGAACACGGCATCGATTCAGACAAGCAGATCGGACTGTGTCAACAAACGGCTGGGCGAAACGCCTCACGAAAGCATTCATCTGTTGGGCAATTTGGAAGCGAGGGTCCGTCGGCAATTCCACATCGTCGGTGTTCGCTTCAAGCAACAAGTTTGCGGGTAATACGAGCTCTGCAAGGTCGTCATAAAGAAATTGTTTGACAGAGACCGCTCCTAGAATGGTCATTTCACAAACGATCAGGGCCTGAAGCAGTGATCGGATGTAGACCGAGGGCTGGGGCTTTCGGGCTAATAGGGTCCACACGGCAGTCTGAAGTTACAATCAGTAAACATGCACACAGCAGCATTCCAATCAATCCTACCTTGAAGTTGGTCGGCCCTGTGTAATCTAGCATCTGCTGCAGATCGATGGCATCTTGGCAGAGCCGCTGCAAATGGGTAAGCGCAACAGTGGTGCTGATATTGACAATCGGGCGAGGTGGCACAGTGCTGGCGAGTTTTCGTTGAATCTTCATACTGAACGCCTCGGGCACTGCCTTGCCCAGAGACACGGACTCGGTCAACGCTGCCAGATGGGACAAGCATGATGAGAAATTGTCGGTTGACCTGGTATCCAGGACCTCGAGATCACCGTCTAACGCGCATAGAAACTCGCGTCGGAAAAGTAATCTGCATCGAATTGCGTCCCGGATATCTTTGTTCATTTCCTTTTCATCATCAAGCCAAGCCACCGCCTGGTCCAGCAGGCGATAGAAGTGTGACGAATCGAAAAGAGATAGCAGATTACGGTTGTACAGTTGACTGACAAAGTCCTCCTCCTGCGCAGATCCATCAGCAAGGTACAACCACCGCAATAGCTCAACATACCTCATAGAAGTACTCTGTCACAATCCGAGCATGAACAAAGTCACAAGCCTTGATCAATCCAAGGCAGTATGCCCGGAGTACAACGCTGATAAGAGGCGAGTCACTTGGTACTCGATCAAATCGGGCATCCTCTATGGTCCTCGGCACTGGCCACAGCAATCTGTCGAGGTAGATGGATGTAAATAGCGTTTGTGACAGAGGGTGGCCCATATGCCAAGCCATCTTCAACCTGTCAGTAATAGTCCATACCACAAGAGTATCAAGCACGCACCTCATGGCACAGCAGCTGATCCATCAAGCCTACAACCTGCTCCGGTGTCAAGTCTTGCCGCACGTCGTAATCGTCCTCTAGCGCCTGCGCATGGCTCTCGCCGGGTGCAATGTATCCACTGTCCATTTTTGGGTCCATGATCTGCCATCAATCCCACTCTCATCAGCTTCCGCCCAAGTCGTATCGCTGTGTGACATGCCCGTACCTCTAGTGCGCCCACGCTCTCGAACAACGTGAAGTATTCATCCTTAACGAGCTGACCAGTGCGTAGTTCTGTCATAGAAATGAAAAGTTAGACCAATGCTCATTTTCGAAAAGAATGGGCTTACTCGAAGCGGCCTCTGTGAACTCGGCGGTAATGTCGCGCGGGACCGACTGCGCAGCCCGCGGAGGGGGAACGCGAACTTCGTTATTTGGCAGCATCGCACAGAGACTCGAAGCTCTGCAATATGCTGCCGGATCTTCTCATGAGGTCAAATAATCAAATACGTCGAATCGAGGCAACGGTCGAGGGTGAGGAAGGGAATCGAGGGGTGGGCGGGGAGCGGAAAAAGCACTTGCGGGCTGGGCTGGGACAACGGGCCCTCTCTGACGTGTGGCTGCGCACCGAAACATCTACCTCTCTCTCTACGGGTATTCGGAAATTTCACAGTTCGATGATACGAAAGACGAGTGCGATTTCAGAGGTCTATCTGTTCCAGGCAGACCTGTATTGCTACACATGTACAAAAAGTTGAATGCCTCCCCGTGAGGTCCACACCCTCTTGTGTCCCAGTTCCACGCCCGGGCTCGTCACACCTCCCAACATGACTAGATCATGTTCACGGTATCGTTCGGGGTATGGCGCCCTTCGTCTATTTCTCGGCCTGGGCAGCAATGGCGGCGTTGTTAGCCTTGGCGAGGGACTGGACCTCACCCTGCTTGCCGTTCTGTGATCACAATGTTCCGTTAGTTTCCATCCGCATGGTCTCGGAGTTCCAGCGCTTTCACTCACATTCCACTTGGCGAAACGAAGGTCCATCACACCGCGGCGCTCGGCGTTCAGGCGGGGAGTCTCCTTGAGGGACCGGCGCACGGTACGGGCGGCGATGGCCAGGTAGCGGTTGTAGCTAGTTCGGGGTGAGCAATTATCATGATTATTGAATGGTGGTGACGTACGTCAAACCGGCGGCTTTCCAGGCAGCAGTCATCGTGAAGGTTGGTGAGTTGAGGTGGTTCGATTGAAGGGGGTGAAAACGGCTCGGGTGAGTTTGGAAGCATTCGATCCGGAGAGTCGGGATGTCGTATCACGTGATATGTATCTCGACCGGGTCACGTGTTAACCTGCGCTCAGCTCACGTGTGATAGTTTTTCCGAAGTATAAACCGCGTCGTCAACATCCCCACCGGTCACCCATCCAACTTTGACAACTTCCGTCATGTCTAGCAACCATATTATGAGCACAATCCCACCGGAAGACAGACCCAAGCGATATCACACGCTCCCGTCATTACCACCACAAGCTTCTCAAGGCTTCTGGGGCTTCTGGTCAGCACTGCGCGTAGAATCAGGGGCCGCAAGTGACAGCTATATCCACAGAACCGGAGGTGTACATTGCTGATGCAAGGTCCGCCGAAAAATAATGCGAGGCTTTTTTAATTTATAAATGCACTATACCATGACCAGACTCATGAATTATCCGATGGATTCTTTCAGGAGTGCGGATACAATCGCAGATCCTTCACGAACGAAGCACGAACGGGAAGGACAAATCTGCATTTCCAACAGACACTGACACAAAAGCTTCTGCAAATTCCATCTTCTTTGATACAGGGGAGATCATACTGCTTCATCAGGATGTCTATGGACTTACGAAACGTTCGGCCATGGTTAGATGCCATGGCTCATCGCCTAAAGGGCATCATAGTAGGTGGCATGGAATAAAAAAAACCTTAGACATTATTTCCATCGGTGCCTATTATTCCAGTAGGTCGGTGGTATCACATTGATCCTCATGCAGTTGGATCCTCATGCAGTTGGAGCCAGGTGTAGCTGTGACTGCCGGGGTGGACGAGGGTATGTGAACTCAAGCTTTTTCAACAGGGGGTAGATCAAGGGAAGCGACACTCAGGTAAGCGAATAGCGGTGCCTATTCTAGTGGTAGCATAAAGTGAGACTAAGACTATGCCGCGATTCTTTCTCACTACATGGCCAACATTCTCGATCTTTCCCCCATCTGTATGGACAACTCGTTTCCTCGCAAAGACCACTCGGGTAGAACGTGCTTGGAGATCTCTATTTACTGCAAGACCACGCGCTATGAATATATCTTATCGCGAATCATTGAGGTAATCGAAGTCGAGGCATGAGCACAAGCTTCAGCATGATCTTTGTTTGCACTGCCGCCCGCCAGAATCACGAGCTCTTCCCATATCCCAAATCGCACCTTTCTATCCATTTCTTCTTTCCTTCCATCCACGAACGTCCCGGTACTCAGTCTTTTCATCTTCCAACAGTCAATTCTCTTGGTAAGTTTCAGTTCCATCTCGTGTGACATTTGTCTCGTTGCTTCCTGGCCTTTTCACGTCCCTGGGGCTTCCAGACAAGTCCACATATGCGACTGATGGATGCATACCCTCTGCTCCAATGCTGGAATGCTCGAAACTTTCGTCAACGGATACATGTGCGGAGGAGACGACACAGATATCGTCGTCGCTGCCTCCGCAGCAAGTCAAAATGAGCACTTCCCGTCACTCTGGCCCGTGCTCGCAGGGGCTTGCCCGGAAGATGGCGTGCTGGTGTACTACTGTATTATTGCACGTCAATTCCATCTGTACTTTCATCGGGGGGGACAAGTACAGACAAAATTATCGCTGCATCGGACGCGCCATGCATTCTTTCCGTCACTTCTTCCCTTCTTGCCTCGGCATTTTTGCATGTCTGGTACATTGGGCTAACGATGCGATCTCGCTTCACACAGATACGAGTAAGACAAAAGGCTCCATGTCAGCTTTACTTTCCATGGTTCGCATGATACAGTTGATGTGCAATGCTGACTGTTGACAAGACCATTTGCATTTATCTTTCATGATGGAAGGAAGACGCAGCAACTTCCTGACGAAGGGGAACCCTAAGAAGGCCCAATCCAAAAAAGGCAAGAGACAAAACCGGCCAGAGGCTATTGAGTACGACGACCTGTCCGACGACAAGTCCCAAATATCAACGCCTTCTCGTCATAAAGGAGGTGGGGGAAATAAGGGCCGACAGCTCGTCCGTTGGGATGGTAAGCGTACTCTCCGTCCTGTTATGGAGAAATTCAAGCTGTTTCGTGCTGAGTTACGTTATTAGATGATCTCGATATTCTTCTCCTCATGACTCTGCAGGCCGTTTGTACCAAAAATGGCCTCAAACTGCCGTGGGATAAGGTCGCCCGAGCCATGGGAGCCAAGTTTACGGAGGGTGCAATTGTGCAGCACCTGTCAAAGCTCCGTGTCAAACGCATGTCACAGGACAAACCGGTTCCGCAGCTGCGTGCCCGTCCCAGCGGCGGAAGCAGAATTAGGCTGAACCGGCGCAAGGCCGTTGATGACAGCGAGGATGAGAGCCGGGACAGCATTGGTAACGAAAGCGACAAGGACAATGTGAAACGCAGTGCCTTGAAGGGATCTCAGTCGAAGTCCAGGTCCAAGAAACCAAAGAATCCGGCAGCCCAAAGCGGCAAGGCCACTGGTCGCAGAAAAAGGAAGGTGGACTTCCAGAGCGACAGCGATGTAAAGTACGCAGATGCTCCCTTCCTTGAAAGTGTTCATGGAGAGCTAACCAAGCCGCGTAGCCTTTCACATGCTGATGACAGTGAGGACTTGGACGGGCTTGAAGAGCCGCCCAAGAAGACAGTCTTTTTTGAGTCGACGCCCGGCAAGTACATTGCTCGCTTTTTGCTCAAGAAGAGCTTCCTTCTGAAGATGCAAGTTGAGGAAGCGATGAAAGAAGAGGCTGTGAAAGAAGAGGCCTTGAAAAAAGAGACCAAGCCCAGATGTCCTCCTGCAAAGCGCCAGAAATTCTTTGAAGATCCCAGTGATGGCTCCTACCCCGACGTTCCCCCGGCCTGGTCTGGAGACACAATGCATATGGCACACCCGCAGATTCCAAACCTGCTAGAGGACGCCAACAGGCTGGACACCATTTCTCAAAATTTTCGAGATCCTCGCATTGTTCAACTTAATCGAATGGCTCCCTCTGGTTCGTACGACGAAGATTCGCAGCGCCGGTTTCCCTCAGATCTCAGCGGCCCTGGCGTTCTAGTACGTGGTCATTCGCATGATTCTCCGCGGGGTCTCTACCAGGCTCTGGCTCCTGTCGGATCTGTCTCGCATATGTATCTTCAGTCTCCTCGGGTTTCCCGTATGGTTACTCCGTCCGAAAGCAGCCCATCTGCGTTCAACTTATCTTACGGATATCCTCCACTCGACCGAAAGATTCCGCGGCAGCAAACACCTCAGGGACCGTCATTATCCCCAGAGCTTATTGATCCTCGTATCTTGGACAGGCCCATTGTCCCGCGAGAGCCGAGTGATGACTCTGACAGTGACAGTTTGTTCGCGAAACAAGACCATGTCCTGTATAATTCTGAGCCTCGTTTTAAACAAGAGGAAAATGGGTGGTGATGCGAAGACAACGAGGCACTTGTCATGGGTTTGCTTTTCCTGCCTGCATTCTTCTCATGACACCGTGGGGTCATTGGAGTTCCAATGACTGCCCTCAGCTGGCCCACGTCGTTTTTCGTTAATTCAACATGACTTGCTCGTTCTTTGATCTCTATCCCCATATGCAAATTGCTTACTTCGTCGCACATTTCCTCGCAAGCCCTTCTTACCAGGCCATTGTTTTTGTTTCTTCTTCGTTTTTTGTGCTTCAGTGGGAGCTTCCCGTACGCTTCCTACGTCGATGACCATGATGAGTCAATGACCAAATCATACACATAGCCATAGATGAAGCTTTTGAAATTGATGACTCTTACGACTGCTCATATGGGTGGAATGATGATAGCTTTTTCAGGTAGCATCGCTCTAAGGCCATTGACGACAGGTACAGCGTTGTCTAACGGCAGATGAGATAGTGGCGCGGATCACCATTGACCCGCACGTATGCTGGTGATTGGTATTATGACATGTCCTTTATGACAATAATTCGTCTGTCTCAATGATTCGTAATCTAGCTGTCTTAAATTGACCAGAAACCTTACTGATGTCCCGGATGGCTGCTCGTGGACTGGCCAGCGGATCCACCGGCATCAAGCCCCACGGCTATATATCTCGAACGTCGAGGCCACGTATAGGTACGATGCAGATAATTCACCCAAGACGCGAATTGCCATCATCAGGAAAAAACAGGAAAGTAATATTTTCCTCATCTAAGAACTCCAATTAACGATATTCCGCTAGAAAGATGTTGTAACAGCTGGAATAGTTGAACAGCCGGCCGCCCGATATCCTCGGGATATCACGTGAGCTTCTAGCTGCTTCTGCCGCCAAGCTCTGGGGATGGGGGAAGCGTCTGGAAAATTTTCGAGACTTTGGCTTCATCTTTAGCTTCTCTCATCTACCTTCCCCCAGCCCATTTCATCTCCGGGTTGTCTTCCTCATTCCTAGTCCTTTAATAATTCCTTTTCCGTTTTATTGTTTTTCACAGCCATGCAGCGCGCTCTCTCTTCCCGGACTTCTGTCCTCACGGCCGCCGCGAAGCGTGCCCCTTTCTCCCGCTCCAGCTTGAACCTCCAGCAGCAGCGTTTTGCTCACAAGGTGCGTCATACAATTTCAATCCCATTGCCCTTTGGATGATGCTCCCGATGACACTCGGTTGCAAGTTCCGTCCGTTCCGGGGTTCTCCATGCTAACCTGACTGTCGCAAACAGGAGCTCAAGTTCGGTGTTGAGGCTCGTGCCAGCCTCCTCAAGGGTGTTGACACTCTCGCCAAGGCCGTTACCTCGACTCTTGGTCCCAAGGGTCGCAACGTCCTGATCGACTCTCCCTACGGCTCCCCCAAGATCACCAAGGGTAGGTCCAGCTCAACGTGAATTTAGGAAGACAAGCGAATGACTGACTAATTATTGATAGACGGAGTTACTGTCGCCAAGGCTATTCAGCTGCAGGACAAGTTCGAGAACCTCGGTGCCCGCCTTCTCCAGGATGTCGCCTCCAAGACCAACGAGCTTGCCGGTGATGGTACCACTACCGCTACCTGTCTTGCCCGTGCCATCTTCTCTGAGACTGTGAAGAACGTTGCTGCCGGCTGCAACCCCATGGATCTGCGCCGTGGTATTCAGGCTGCCGTTGAGTCCGTTGTTGAGTACCTCGAGAAGAACACCCAGCCTATCACCACCGGTGAGGAGATCGCCCAGGTCGCTACCATCTCCGCCAACGGCGACACCCACGTCGGCAAACTCATCTCAAACGCCATGGAGCGTGTTGGCAAGGAGGGTGTCATCACCGTTAAGGAGGGAAAGACCCTGGAGGACGAGCTCGAGGTCACCGAGGGTATGCGCTTCGACCGTGGCTACACCTCCCCTACTTCATCACCGACCCCAAGTCCCAGAAGGTTGAGTTCGAGAAGCCTCTGATCCTTCTGTCTGAGAAGAAGATTTCCGCTGTCCAGGACATCATCCCTGCCCTGGAGGCCTCCACCACTCTCCGCCGTCCCCTGGTCATCATCGCTGAGGACATTGAGGGTGAGGCTCTCGCCGTCTGCATTCTGAACAAGCTCCGTGGTCAGCTCCAGGTCGCTGCCGTCAAGGCTCCCGGCTTCGGTGACAACCGCAAGAGCATTCTCGGTGACCTGGCTGTTCTCACCAACGGTACCGTCTTCACCGACGAGCTCGATATCAAGCTCGAGAAGCTTACCCCCGAGATGCTCGGCTCCACCGGCTCCATCACCATCACCAAGGAGGACACCATTATTCTCAACGGTGAGGGTACCAAGGACATGATCGCTCAGCGCTGTGAGCAGATTCGCGGTGTCATCGCCGACCCCGGTACCTCCGAGTACGAGAAGGAGAAGCTCCAGGAGCGTCTTGCCAAGCTCTCTGGTGGTGTCGCCGTCATCAAGGTCGGTGGTGCCTCCGAGGTTGAGGTTGGTGAGAAGAAGGATCGTGTTGTCGACGCCTTGAACGCCACCCGCGCCGCCGTTGAGCAGGGTATCCTCCCTGGTGGTGGTACCGCTCTGCTGAAGGCTTCCGCCAACGGCCTTGACAAGGTCAAGCCCGCCAACTTCGACCAGCAGCTCGGTGTCAGCATCATCAAGAGCGCCATCACCCGCCCCGCCCGCACTATCGTTGAGAACGCCGGTCTCGAGGGTAGCGTCATCGTCGGCAAGCTTACCGACGAGTACGCCAAGGACTTCAACCGTGGCTACGACAGCTCCAAGAGCGAGTACGTCGACATGATCGCCAGCGGTATTGTCGACCCCCTCAAGGTTGTCCGCACTGCTTTGGTTGACGCCAGTGGTGTCGCCTCCCTGCTCGGCACCACTGAGGTCGCCATCGTCGAGGCCCCCGAGGAGAAGGGCCCTGCTGGTCCCGCTGGCGGCATGGGTGGTATGGGTGGAATGGGTGGCATGGGTGGTGGTATGTTCTAAATGCTTCCCACGTCTCTCACGCGCCCCGAATCTCCGTGATGATTTCTTTCATCTTTTGCATCGTCTGATCCTCAACGCGGCCCTGGACCTTTTTTAATCTTTTTTTTGATGTTGCTTCCTATACCTGTATTCTTGTGTGTGTTTTTGGACTCTCCACTCTCCTAGGGCTCTGAAAAAAGGTTCCGGCGCAAAATCTGTATCATATCTTCTTTCTCCATTTGCCTCGTTCTATAATGCATTGATTCAGATGCAGTTTTTGCTGTGTAACTCCACGTGCGTAGATCATATTGAATGTCCGGGGTTGGAGTCAATGTCGATCGGCAGGCCATTTACGCGGGACCGAGATCGACCCGCATCGATCTGCACGAGATAGAACGCTGGCCGTCAAACTCTCATTCCGTCCAAGATGTCCCGTACCGACCTCGTACCATCACGGGAATCCCGTTAAAATTCCACGGCAAGATCCTTGAATTCCAGGGTCAGAGGACGCGTTTGACGAGACGATTGGCGGCTTCCTCGGGTAAAACGGACGTGTGCATGGCGCCAGTGGCGGTCTAGAACTTGGTAATTCATTTTCCCAGTCCTGCCTTTCGCTCCTGCGTCACCCCAGTTTTTTTCCCCCTCCCTCTTTGCTAGTGCAAACTCTCACGTCCCAGAGCCTGAATTGACAGCGGGAGGACAATCGTTTCGAGGGGGAATGTATGCAAGCACCTGTAACTCTTTGTGCTGTCGCACTTTTCCACGAACCTGCACATAACGGTATGCTCAGACCATCTCCCCCATTCTTATCGCTAACATCCCCAGTGTGATAAAACGTGGAGAAACCGTCCGGTCCAGCTAATCTACAACCATGGCGGCGTTGGTGGATTCTGGCCGCCTGGCTTTGGTCAGCGACGCGGACCTCCATCAAGCCCATGTCGCCCTGCAGCATCAACAGAGCTCAGAGGTCTCGGTGCCTCGAGAATTCATATCCCTTATCGTCGAGGAACTCATTCATCGCCGCGAGCAATACTCTTCCATCGCGAGAATCGAACAAGAGTGTACTCACCTCCGCAAAGAACTCCGCAAACACACCCATATCAATGAAGCATTCCAAAAGGAGCTGCTGGAGATCGGAGAGATCATTACCCAGGTTGCTCATGGCGATCTCTCCCAGCGCGCCCGTATGCACCCCTTGGAGATGTCGCCGGAGATTGCAACCTTCAAGCAGACTATCAACACCATGATGGACCAGCTGCAGGTGTTCAGTCAAGAGGTCTCAAAGGTTGCGCGCGAGGTCGGTACCGAGGGCGTGCTCGGCGGCCAGGCGAAGATAGAAGGTATCCGGGGCATCTGGCATGAACTTACTGTCAACGTCAATGCCATGGCAAACAACCTCACGACCCAAGTCCGCGATATCACTACTGTCACTACCGCAGTAGCTCAGGGCGATCTGACGCGTAAAGTGCAAGCAGATTGCAAGGGTGAGATCCTGCTACTGAAGAACATCATCAACTCGATGGTCGATCAGCTAAGGGAATTTGCTTTCGAGGTTAGCCGTGTGGCTCGCGAGGTCGGATCAGATGGTACACTGGGTGGTCAGGCGGTGGTCCATGGGGTCGAGGGCACCTGGAAGAATCTTACGGATAATGTCAATCGCATGGCATCAAATCTAACCCAGCAAGTGCGTGAGATTGCCAAGGTGACGACTGCTGTTGCTAGAGGTGATCTCACAATGAAGGTCACCGCCGACGTCAAGGGCGAGATCCTCGATCTGAAACTTACAATAAACGCCATGGTGGACCGACTCAATCAATTCGCTTTCGAGGTCAGCCGTGTGGCACGAGAAGTCGGAACCGATGGTACACTAGGAGGACAAGCACAAGTGGAGAATGTCGAGGGTCGTTGGCGTGATCTCACAGACAATGTCAACACTATGGCGCAGAACCTCACGATGCAGGTCCGGCAGATTTCCAACGTGACTCAAGCAATTGCTCGAGGTGATCTCAGCACCAAGATCGAGGTTCATGCACAAGGCGAGATCTTGACGTTGAAAGAAACCATTAACAGTATGGTCGATGGCCTCGGACACTTTGCCAGTCAATTAAAAAGCGTGGCAAGAGATGTTGGTGTTCGAGGTGTCCTTGGTGGGCAAGCAAATGTTGATGGCTCTCTCGGTATCTGGCGTTCAATCAGCGAGGATGTCAACACTATGGCTGAGAACCTGACGTCTCAGGTTCGAGCCTTTGGAGAGATCACAGAAGCCGCGATGAGCGGCGACTTTAGCAAATTGATTACTGTGTCGGCATCTGGTGAGATGGATGAGCTGAAGCAGAAGATCAACAAGATGATCTTTGGGCTGCGGGATAGCATTCAGCGCAACACTGCTGCTCGTGAGGCTGCTGAGTTGGCGAACCGCAGCAAGTCCGAATTCCTCGCCAACATGAGGTAATTGTTTCTGCTCTGAGAACCCCTGTCAAAGACACAAGCTGATAAAACAAACAGTCATGAGATCCGTACACCGATGAATGGAATCATTGGCCTTTCGAGTTTGGCCCTCGATACAGATGATCTTCCTTCGCATGTGCGAGAAACATTGAATATGGTTCACAACCTTGCGAATAGCCTGCTCACCATTATCGACGACATTCTCGACATTTCTAAAATCGAGGCCAATCACTTGAAAATCGAAAAGACACCATTCAGTCTTGGAGTCACAGTCTTCAGTGTTCTGAAAGCGCTCGCGGTAGAAACCAATGAGAAGGCTTTGAACCTGGTCTATACGATCGATGGAAATGTGCCTGATTACCTTGTTGGTGATGCCTATCGCCTCCGACAAGTCATGCTCAATCTGGTGGGCAATGCAATCAAATTCACCGAGGTCGGAGAAATCCAGGTCGCTATCAAGCGCTCTTTGAATACCAGATGTGAGCCTGATGAAACGATCTTCGAGTTTTCCGTCTCAGACCCAGGGATTGGAATTGAGGAGAGCAAACAGAGTCTCATATTCGACAAATTCCAACAAGCAGACGGGTCAATGACTCGTCGCTTTGGCGGAACTGGCTTGGGTCTTGCCATCTCAAAGCGACTTGTGGCTCTTATGGGCGGAGACATCTGGGTGGCTTCACAACCGGGCCACGGCAGCACATTCTCCTTCACCTGTCGGGTGAAGCTTGCCGAAGCTCCCCTAGGATTTGTGGAACAAATTTCCCCTCACCGAGGCCGTCGTATTCTGATTATTGACGAGGGTCACATGGGAGGATTCCAGGCTGCGCAAATGCTGCTAGGACTGGGGCTTGAGCCTCTGGTCGTCACTAGTCATCAGCTTGCATCCGGACCGTTCAAGACTGAATGGAGCTTCGCCATTGCCGCAATTCTAGTCTCCTCGATTGAGACGGCGGAGAAGCTGCGAGCTTGCGGTGATTTTAGTACCATTCCAATGGTACTCACTGCGCCGCTGGTGTACCTCACAATCAAATCGGCCGGCGAGCTCGGTCTTATGTCCTACATCGCGACTCCGTGTCGCCCCGTCGATCTGTGGAATGGTCTTCTACCCGCCCTGGGTAACCGCTCCAACCACGCGCCATCAGGGTATACCCGACCACTGGCCATTTTGCTGGCAGAAGATAACGGCGTCAACCAAAAAGTGGCCGTACGCATGCTAGAAAAGTTCAACCATAACGTGACTGTGGTTGAGAATGGACTGCAGTCCGTCAACGAAGTCAAAAAGAATCGATACGACGTTATCCTCATGGACGTCCAGATGCCTGTTATGGGCGGCTTCGAGGCAACGGGAAAGATCAGAAATTACGAGAAGGTCAACGGATTGCCGCGCACGCCCATCGTCGCTCTCACTGCACATGCGATGCTGGGAGACCGCGAAAAATGCCTCGCTGCTGGCATGGACGACTATCTTCCCAAACCACTGGACCCGAACCGCATGATGCAGACAATTCAGAAGTGGTCTGCTATGAACATTGCGTCTCTACAGGCTGTCTCGCCTTGAAGCGATCCTCAAGAGTACAGGGATCAAAGTCCATATATATATAAACCATTATTGGCGCTTCATACACGACGAAGATTAAAAACGACCAAGAAGAAGCTTGATTTCCCTTTCATGAATTATGGACCACCAATTGTCTTTTACTGCTTTTACGATTTCATCAACTCATATCTCAGTTCTGGGGAGTGTTCATGAGGTATTGGAGTCTTGCGTATTGTCTTCATCTTTGGATTGGAATGATTTCTATCAGCCGCCTACACTACTGCAAATTTGTCCCGCGGATGGCGTTTTGATGACCTTTTCTGTTGTCAATTACCCAATTTGATTTTTTCACGCAATTCGATACCACAGCTCAGGCCTCAAAAACAAGCAGTATATTCATTCAATACATCTCTCATTCAAAGCTTGACAAGTGCAAGTGGAAAGGGCAAGCATCATTCATGTAACGAAACAAGATAGTGCTCCGACCCCTGTTATCGGCCGCTCAGCACTAACACAGAAAAGGAAAGGCGGAAACGACGAAGCACAGATCCAAGCATGAGGAGAACTTACTTCTTAAAATCCCCCAATTCACAAGATCAATCAATTGAAAATTAGTATTCTTTACAGAAAAAAAAATGACCTCCAATGGTCAAGAATCCATCTACCCCTTAGAGGGAGGTTGCGCCTGCGGTCTAGTACGCTACCGCCTCGAAACCCGCCCCCTCATAGTCCACTGCTGCCACTGCACGGCATGTCAACGTGAAAGCGGATCTGCATTCGCCATAAACCTTCAAATCGAATCCGAAATGGTAACCGGACTCCCTTCAATCGCTGGTAAAATCCCAGCATCCATCAACTCATCCGCCAAACCAGCCGGTCCAACACTCGTCCCTCAAATAGGCCATATCGTCGAGCCAGAGCTGGTTCCCGTCCCTTCTGAATCTGGTGAAGCGCAAGATCTGGCTAGGTGTCCTACATGTGGTGTGGCTGTTTGGTCGCATTATGGTGGAGCCGGATCTCTTGTTAAATGTGTCAAGGGGGGTACGTTGGATGAGGCGTGGAAGGTGCAGCCGGATGTGCAGATTTATACGAGGAGTAAGAGGAGCTTTTTTACGCTTGATGGAAGTGTGCCGGAGTTTGAGGAGTATTATAAACGGGATGGAGTGTGGAGGGCGGAGAGTTTGGAGAGGTGGGCGAAGATGATGAGGGATAACGGGAAGTAGTAGATTTGAAAATCTACACCTGGAGCTGAGAGAACATCTGGAGGGACCGGGTATAAAGAGTCCATTTTGGAAACTGGTATCTGTGTATATGTAATTTGTGTATGTTCAATGATACAATGCATGGACCTGGGGTATCAAAGGTCCAATAAAAGAAAACAGCTTTACTCTGTGCAATGCAAAACGTCAAAAATTAAACAACAAACCTATTCGTTTTTCCCCGAACCTTCAACTCAATTGCCTCGCCAAGTTCATGAGAGTGAGATTTCTTCTTGGCCTTGCGCTCAAGTTTTGCAAGTGGGCTTCGTTCATGTTCCCGCATCTGCCAAAAGTCTTCATAGTGCTTCGTGCTATGACTCTCGTAACCAAGATAATGGTCGAAGCGCTTGCGCATAGCCGAGTCTTCTGATACAGTCGTTGACGGTATTCGATGAGAGAGTGTATCTAGGTGTAGGAATCTTTCGATGGGGAGGAGGAAGAAATCTTTGAAGAGCCCATAGCTGATCTTTTGGGATTTGGTCATTGCTTGGCGGAGTCTTTCACTAAATGCTAAGAGCAGAGAGAGGACGATTATGGCGATTGAAGCTGGGGCTGGATGGTTATCAGTATCGAAAGAGGAGGGAGTGGTCTGGTCGGGGAGCTTGGGACTCACCGGCTATTTCTAGCATTTCGACTAGCGTCAGATTCGACGAAACGCCACTCCATTCACTGGCGTTAATGCCGAAGAGGGACGTGAAGAATGATAACGGTAGAAAGCTGTTGAAATTAGAAAGATTTTTGGATATTCGGAAGAATTCAATCATACATTACGGTGAAAATGGTAAACACCATGACCGATCGTGACTGGTTCTGAGTTGCCTCAGCCTGCCACCGTGCTATCTTAGCCTCGTCAACATTTGCCTGTTTCTGTTTAAGATCCAGCAAAGTCTCAACAGCCTTCTGCGCAAGGTGACTGTTCTCTTTCATCTCTGAGATCTGAGTGCGATATTCATCAATTCGTAGCTGAGCTGCGTCGAGGAAGACTTTCCCACAGCCTTGGATGTCGAAATACTTCATCATACTCTTGATGACTCCGTCTTGCTGGTCAAGAAGCCTAAGGATAGTGGCTAGCTCGTCTTCTATATCACGGAGCTCAAGCAAGACAGATAAATCTTCGCGGTTCCTAAGGGCTATCTTCCGATCTCGCTCGTTGCGCTCGATAGCCGACATTGGTCTTCCCGAGGCCGTGAGATTGTAGTCTGCAGGGCCGTTGGTGAAGCCGCCGTTGCGGAAGCGTTTGAAGGATTTGGTGACGGATTCGGTCTGAGGATTTCAGTCACTGGGCTTGCTAGCAATAGACGGGGGAATACTCACCAGAATACTAATAGACTCCTCAAAAATTCGCAAGACTTGTAGATCATGATGCAGTGTCTTGTCAAGTAGAACAGTCACAGCATGCAGCATAATAAGCGCCGCAAGATCCCCGGCCGTCTCAAACCGGCGTGCCAGATCACCATTCAACTCGTTATAGATGCTACTATGCAGATTCGTCTGTTCGAGCAATTTACCCTCGGAAGTAGTAGCCTCCTGATTAGGGAAGAATGTGACAATGGTCTTCTGGTCGACAATCCAAAGCCATAGCTGATCTACCATGAGCACATTTCCATCCATAAACACGGTACGCTCTGGATCCTCTGGGTCCTCATCGGTGGCTTGCATATAGCTTCTCAGCTGGTCATCAAGACGGACAGGTCGGCGGGTACGCTTCCATAGCATCTGATCGTCATCTCGAGCCACAGTGGAGCGGAGGTTGGGATAGCCGTATTGGTCTAGCGTGCGACGGAAATGAATCGGTGGTTCGCAGCCCAGATATTGCCATATTAATTGCGCCTCTTGGCTTGATTTTGCAATTTTGCTTGGCACCGGGTGGGACCGTCCTTGTTTAAGTCTGTCTTCGACTACTTTGCGGCGCTGGATTAAGTTTCGGTATGTGTCCCAGTGAAGCTGATCGAAGAGGTTAGTATATGACGAGGTTTGTGTCTATTCGTCGAACATACATATGGAGTCTATTACAATCATCAGTCAGGCTCCAAGTATGGAAAGGAGCGGTAATTACATAAAGAGCCAATTGAGGGTCCTCTGGAGTACCTGACTTATTAGGTTGAGAAGCATCTCTCTGTCGAGCATGAATGCATTTCGGCCTAACGAAACGTGCATGCGGCTCAAGATGTCGAGCTCTGTTAAGGTTCAAATACCAATTCTCATCATTGATAAATTTCCTCAGACTAGAAAATGTCATCAGCTCCGGGTTGATATTCTCTGGGGACGGCTATTCATACAAATTCGGTTCCTGTCGATCATGGCATGCCCTTCGGATCACCTGTGACACCCATCCAGTGTGAGTATAGGGAACGTGAATCCAGAGCAGCTTCTCCGTATCGGGCTCTGGCCGGTCAAAGCGAGGTACGGAGCGAGGGATGTCCCGAGTTTCCCCGTGATCGTTGATACGATCGCTGGTGGATGGTGGGATAGACAGAAACCTTGACTGTTGCTGAGGCGACCCGGAGCTTCTGTGTCATATGGTCAGTATAGAGCTAAAGCCAATTCAGAAGAGCCTTACGATAGGCGCGAGCCGCTGGTGTAGGAGCTGCCGTCGGACATACGTCGCTGGTGGGGCTTCAGTGTGTTAAAACCTAAGGCTCGGGTAATTGAATTATTTCGAGGTCGCTCAGCCGGTGGCGGAGGGCTTTCATGAGACTCAAAATACTCCGACTCGTGTGGTACAGTGATATGGATGGCTGGAGAGTGCACCGAGTCGAAGCTTTCACCATGGGAAAGAGTTGGCCTCAAGGGCCTACCGTCGCTTTCATTATGGGCAGTGCCATGATTATGATCGTGCTTATGTCCAAGTTCTTCCGGACTAGGGATAACATGCGGAAAAGAATGCCGAGGGCTGTCAAAACTGCTCACGGAAGAGTTGTCTAATCCAGCAGGCTGCGAACGTTTCAACCGATCCCGAAGACATTCCGAGGGACCCTTGGTGAGATATTCTTCTAGCGAAACACGAGCCGTCCATAATTTCAAGGGAGTCTCATCACTCACACCCAGCGCGGTGTCTTCGAAGAACCCGTTGACTTGAACTATCACATCGGACTCCACATTGACATGAGTATCTATATTCTTGGAGAGCCTCACTGCATCGGTGACTGATTGACTCAACTCGACCAGGAACTTTTCTAGGCTGGAAGCTTGGCCTCGAAAGCAAGCTGTGCCGGCATGATCTGTAGCCAAAGGGTGCTCGATCTCATGCTCGATGGTGAGCAGTCCGGATCGAATGGAAGTGATCGGTGCATGGAATACCATAACATTTTGCGTTTCCACGTCCAGAACGTGTAGCGTCGAGTCGATAGTCTCTAAAAAAGACCAAACCTTCATGTCTGCCGAAATGGTCTTGAACTGATTAGACAAATGCCAAAGTCTCTCCTGACGGGGTCGGAATTGTTCTCGGAGCGCTGAGGGTATCTCCTGCTCCAGATGTAGAAGACGACGTATACTTGTGGAATACTCCTCCGCAGACAAATAGCTAGAGCCCTGGTGAGGCGTCGCGAAGAAAGCGATACCGTAACAGCTGGTGAGGATGGTCTGCTGGTTCGGCTCGGCCCGTGAGGCTAAGGCGAGACATGCCTTTGCTACAAGACCTCCTGTACTATGGCACATGAAGAATAGCGGGCGTCGAGTGCTCTCTGACTTGCGTTCGTGGAGGAGATGATTCAAAAGTCGTTGACCGAGGTCTTCGATTCTATCGTTCTCGTGCAACGGTCCATGGTTATACAACAGAACGCGTGCCCTGGGCATGCGCTTGAGTAGTCCGATCCCGAGCCAGGGTGACCGTGATCCCTGATCAGTCCATGTCTTCTCAGGATGTCCACCGATGGGCGGAACCCCGACAATACTATCCCGATCTGATGTCAGCTGTTAGCTGTCAGCAAGTTGCGGGGAAGCTCCACGTACTCAACGTTTGTATCTTTCACAGCCTCTATATGCTCAAAGCTCGCCGAGCGTGGTACGTGTACCCTTGACGGCATGGTCTCGACTCGAGTGGTACATCTGGAATCTCGGACCTACAATCGCGGAGGTGGAAACCAGTGCAGGATGAGGGCCATCTTTTAAGGGGATTCTCAGCCTCAGGTGCGATCATCTGCCTGCGCCCGGGCGAATCTGGTTCGCCCCAGGTCGGCTGTGTCCGCCGATCGTGAGTCAATGCACGCGGCTGGTGAATACGAGGGGCGCTATTCTATTCTATAGTGATGGGCGGATGAAGCGCCAGCGCAGGGGTCGCTAGGGCTGCAGAATCTCGGCTATAAATGGTCGATGGGAAAGTGAACTTTCTCGTCCGCTTCACCCGGGCACAGTATTTCGAATCGAATTCTGCACCTGGGTATTTTGACAAGTCTGTGTCTCATGCTTCGTATTTCCGAATAATTCACGAACTTCATATGTACATAGAAGTATTCTGAACCCGGAAGACCACCCCAGAATGACCTCAAAAAGTAAATGCAAACTCTATGATTTCCCCGATGCGATATCATCAAAAACAGGAACGCCTGAAAACAAAAGATAAAGGGGAGTTGGGTTAGGGCGGTCGAATAAAAACGGTCGATCGCATGCATTATAAAAGTACAGAATAATTAGGAGTTCTCCAAGTGTCGTCGTTCGTTTACCTCCCGCGCCATACGCTTCCCGAGTTCATAAGTGGAGATCATGATGGCGCAGGCGGGCGCAACCTTTAGGCAGCGAGCTGTCCAGCCGCGGAAGAGACCGTTCATCCCTTCTTCGCGGAAGATATGAAGAAGGAATTTCGGGAGAGGAAACTGCTCGGGAACGACAGCTTTGGGGGATACCGGGGCACGCGGTGACGTAGCGGGGACTTGGTCGTCCATGTGCCGAAATACTTGTTGTCGGGTTTTACCCACGTCAAACGGGGTGGTCACAAATGCAGCGACTGCGCCCGAACTCGCGCCGGCAATGAAGCTATCAAGGAATGCCGTAGCGCTCGAGGGAGTCTCCGGCTCGCAGCCATAAAGATGCGAGGCATTCTTTTGCGCCGACTCAAGAACCTTCTTCACCTCTTCATAGCCCCACCAGTAGAGGCCCGAAAAGGGTACGTCACGCCACATAGTGAGCGACAATCCGCGCCAGAGCGAGGCGTACCCTCTCGCCTGGGTCATTTGGTAAAGTCCCTCCAAGGTCGCCTTGAAGTGACCGGCACCTGTCCCGGGCGTGGCCTGGAGACGCGTTCTGAACATCTCGACGGGACTGGTTGCCGATGCGGCGGCCGTCCGTGCTATTGCGCCTGCCACGAACGGCGCCCAGACATCCGACACGGCCATTTTTATCGGGCTTCGGTCATCTGTGCGCAGCCAATCGTAGCCAGCAAAATAGATGATATTGGCTGGGATGCCCATCATGAGAGTTGGGCTGAGACCTCGCCATAATGTCAGGAATCCTTCATTCCTAGCAATCTTTCTTAATCCGTCAAAAGTCGATGTGAATGTTCGTCGCTGCGATTCTTCAACAGCACAGTCGAACCCTGCGTGTGCCTGTGACCCAATCGCTGTAGCATTAGGACCCAACATGCACATCTGCGCATTATCTCCGACCCAAAATACTTCGCGACAGCAAGCTGTGATCCCGATATTCGGAGGAAGGTTCTTCAGAGTCCGAGTGGTGTGAGAGGTATATGGAGAGAGCTTGTTGAATTGGGATTGTGATTGCAGACGAACTCGAACGACATCCAGCGGTGTGACTGTGAAGAAGAATTAGTGACATTGCCCGGGTCCAGCGACGGTCGTTTGGAGCTCACCTAACAGCCCCGTCAGAATGTTCCCTGCTGTCGCAGAAATCATCCGCTGCCCAACAGAGATGTTGTCGGTCGGTGCAGGAGAGGCAATAATGGGGTCTGAGCCCGTTCCTGATGTGGCCGTCATGGTTGCCACTGATTCAAGGTCGTCGAAATGTGACGTCCATGACGCTTCCGAGGAGTCGATCTCGGCCCCGAATGCGCTACTTGGAGCGCCTGCGTTGCTCGAAGTAGGAAAATCCAGCCCGGTCGTCATTCAGTCGGAGGAAACCGACTGTAAAATTAATTAGACGCGAAGCTGGGCGGGCGACGCTGAAGCTCGAGAGTGACAAGAATGATGAGTCGACAGGGAAGATTTCCTGAAATTCGGTGTTCGGGTGGCGGCGGCGGCGTCCGGGCGGAGATAAGCAACTTGGAACTTCAACTTTCAACTCTCAAACCTTCAACTCCAATCTTTGGCTCTTCAATGGTGAGTGCTGTTGGGCTTGATCAGCTTTGTTCGATTTCAGTTTCATTTTCACTCTGTGATCCTGGGCTAGTGTGGACCTTGCAGGTGGGCTTATCAGATTTGATCCATCTCCGAGGCCGGACGGGTCCCCGCCATGGAAGACAACGCCGAGCTCGAATCATTCCGCCGTGAGTGGCGCGAGGAGGTCTCTCGTCGATCGAAACCCAGATCTACCCCTCGTGCTGCTCAAGGAGTCACATCTGCCACCCCACCGACACGGCTCCCACCCACTCGGCATGCCGTGGTAGACCGCAAGGACCTTGAGGAGGAGGGGCCCCCGCCTGCCTCGTTTGACCCGGAGGAGCTGGCCCAGCAGGTTGGAGAGCTGAGTGTGCAACCAGAAGACGAAGTAGATGGTGATGGATTCACTCGCCGTGACACGACAGAGCCCAACACCGCGTTGGAGCACTTTGAACGTGCGGTCGAGAAGGAAGCCGCTGGTAAGCTGGGCGACAGCCTTCAGCACTATCGTAAAGCATACCGAGTGAGTCTATTGTCTTGTCTCATAGAAAAGCTATCTATTAACGACATTTAGCTGGACGCTGCGGTCGATAAACAATACCGAAACAAGCACTACGCCCATGTATGGAAGAAACCTGCACACCCGCCTGCCAACCAACTCTCTTCGGTCTCTGTGATTGCGCCAGCGCCCGCCGAGGAAGACAAACTTTCTACCGCCGAGCTGATCGCATCTTTCGCACATTTACCCATCGCACAAGCAGAACCGATAATTGAGAACACCCCTCCTCCGCCGTGTCCCATCTCCAAAGTCCCATCGGAGGTGATAGTGGAGATTTTACACTACGTGGGACTACACGACCCAGCGGCTTTGGGTCGGATGGCACTGGTATGCAAGCGATTTGCGTACCACTTTGCACATGAACAACAGCTGTGGAGGCGGATATGTCAATCGCGAGAATTCGGATTTGAGGGCATGCACTACACTTTTGCCTGTGACCTCCACGGGCATCCGATTTTCACACTCGGTGGCACACGATACACGCCGTTCCCAAGGGACGCCCCAGTGGAGATTCCGAAACCTCTGACTTCCTGGAGCGAAGTATTTCAGTCATACCCGCGTATCCGCTTCACTGGATGCTATATCAGCACGGTCAACTACACCCGAGAGGGCGCCGCATCCTCCTTCCAGACCGTGTCCTGGAATAGCCCTATCCATATTGTGACCTACTATCGCTATTTGCGATTTTACCCAGATGGTTCCGTAGTATCACTGTTGTCCACAACTGAACCTGTCGATGTTGTTCCATACATCAGCAAAGAGAACATGATGGCTGCAAGAGCCATGCACAAAAAGGGCCATCAGCGCCAAGTCTCCGATGTTGGCCAGACATTGTCCGGTGCTGCCGATCCCGTCCCACCAGTTGCCCAAGCTGCGCTGAAATACGGTCGCCGGGGTCGCTGGCGTCTGATATCGCCCGACCCCATCCTTGCGTCCGAAGACCAGCCTGAACAAACTCCATTAGAAGAGGCGCCTTCTACCGATCCTCGCGATGTCGTCATAGAGACGGAGGGGGTGGATCCTAAATATGTTTACACAATGCTCATGACACTGAGGTCTACCTCTTCCACAAAGTCGCATGTGAATCCTGCGAAGAATACCAAGCTCGCTTGGCGCGGGTTCTGGAGCTACAATAAGCTCACTGATGACTGGGCCGAGTTTGGTCTTCGGAATGATCGTGCCTTTGTATTCCGTCGAGTCCGGGGATGGGGCCTTTCATAAAAACGATGATTTAAGGTGGTGATGACTCCAACTAGACATAAATGCATAGATGACTGAAACCGTCGAATATAAATTCTCTTTTTTTTGGCACTAAACTTCACCTTTCTAATTGAAAATCTTCTAAACTGGAACGTGCCTCGCGTGCCTCATGTCTTTATTATCGAATAGCGTTGCCATGGCATTTTCGAGAGGTGATCATGTTGGCCATTCAAACAAAGTCCCATGAGGCTCAAGCCTGCTAGTCGGTAGCGGACAGCAGCCTAGACTGCGGGTCCTGCGGGTGCACCATCTAGGCTGCCCTGGACACTAGCATTGCACCAACGCAAGCTAAAGACGCCGTACTTCCTAGTACCACTTTCGATATGAGACATAAGTCCAGGCAGCCTACGGGAGCCTAGAGTGATTGATTGTAGACTGGGCTCGAGGTTACATTCTCGGGTCATGGCATGAGCATATAAACGTGGCTATTGCCCATGAAGAACCTCATCAGCACGGCCACTTTCGACATTTATTCAACCGTCTAAGTCATTAAGAATATCTACGGACTTAATTAAAATTCAAAATGGCCTTTGTTCTTGCGGGGCTTTCTTTCCTAGCTGCCGTCCAAGCATGCACTGTGACCCCAGTCGCACTTCCCAGCGGATGCACCAACCTTCCATCCTACGACTTTTCAACCGGTATCGCAGGACCATGGATCGTCGAGGTGAACCAATGTGTGAACACCACAGCGACAGATAATGCCTGCAACATTGAAGGCTTCGGCAGCGAGGCGGTATACTTCCTCCAGCAAGGCGATACTAGCGTTGTGCGCGGATATGTAAGGACCACAAATCACGTAACCCCATCTTTGCAATAGCAACCGCCATCTAACAGGAAACTTTAGATAGGAATTGTCTCCAGAAATGACCTTGCTAAAAGTCCCCTTCGCTGCAACGACGCGACGGACGCATTTGAGTCATATGTTCCATCGGGTGTGAGCGGTGCTGAGTGGAAGGCTGTCAATGTCACCGACATTCCATACTCGGCGCAGCTTATGTGGGGCCTTGGACAATATAGCTTGCCCATTCAGGCTTACTATCACTACCTGGATGGTGTCAAACAGGACGGCATATTCTTAGGCGCGCACAATGTGACTAGCTGGGCTGTCCAGCTCCAGGATGGATCAGCCGGCAGCGGAGGCCAACCGTACTGGCTGATCAGATTGCTTGGTCAGGGTAGCGAAAATCCAGTGACCGGTGCTGAGTTGGAGGAAGGAGAGTACAAGACCTTTATCCGGATTGATGGAAGTTGAGTGTATCAGTCTTCTTATTCTTGACACATCCGGCATGGAATGTGGGGGGACGTGATATATTCACAGGAAATTATGGGATATAAGAGAAAAATTGCTGTATGTAAGAAATTCTTGAGCGGTGATTAAGCCTGATTAGTTCCGCCAATGAATTATCTGCTCTTCGTCATCATCCACAACTATAACCATCCACACACCGACCTGTCCATTACTTGCGTAGAGTGGTGTACAGTGGACCCAACGGTTACGGCCTTCGGCACTGAAGCGCGTCACCCACTTGATCCGCGCTGTTACGCTGCGGCCAGCTATCATTGCTTGTAGAATTTCTTCGCGCACGGAACTGTTGGTGCCAATTCGGGAGAGGAATGATGATTGTAGCATGCCGGGAATTTGAAGGGAGGGGGACGTAAAAAGAATCTTCAGGGAAGGGTAAGGGCGAATGAGGAGGTACTGCGATATTAATATTAGTACAGGCTGATTTGAAGAGAAAAAAGGTCGAGACATACGTTCTCATAGACGCCCGCTAAAGCCCCCTTAGGCGTGGGCGACTTGAGATCTCGTAGTCGGATAGCTTCGACTTCGCTGTCCACGGAGTTACCGCGCTGGAGCCGGGTCCGATGCCCATTGCGCGAGCTGGACCGTCCGGTCATCGGTTGGAAGAGATCACCTCCATGTTCATGGACTGATGCTAGCTCGCGGGGGCTGAACAATTCGCAGAGTTCTTCAAACTCTTCCTTGGGCTTCGATTCGGGCATTTGGGCGATACTTTCTTCGTCGGGGTCTCGATATCGGGATTGGAGCTCAATTAAGGATTCCATCTGCGCGCCCTCGAGAGCTAATCCTGATACATCGATTTGAGCACCGATGAAGTACTTGACTCGGCCTTTGCTGTCGCACAAGGGTGAGCATTGAAGGAGATTCATAAATGGTGAGCCATCTCGGCGACTGCGGATGTTAGTATACTTTCTTGCCTGAGACATCGGACAAAACGTACTAGTTGAGAAAAAGCTCGGAATGGTGGCGGCATTCCTTAATAGCTTCTCGGAGTCGGCGTACACTGTTTGGGTTCGTCTTGGGACCCTGAAGGAAACGACAGTTACGACCTAGGACATAGTCCATGCCGTACTGTGTTGTGCGATGAAATTCTGCCTCTGTTGGCACTACACAAAAGATCCATTATAGGCAAGAAAACGTACCTCCTGAGGAAAAGATGATGGGATTATCCGGCCGAGAAGGATCGGTCAAACAAAACACCTCGGCCAATGCATTTGATGTATCGCGAAACTTGTAAGGTAAAGTGCCGCGAATGCGCTCTTCCACGATCTTGCTCGTGATGGTTATGCATCTTGATGTGATGTATGCAGGAAGCTCCTCTGCTGTCAACGCCCTGAGGCCATCTTCAGCCCTTTCCTCCAGCACCTTGTTGGCTGTGATGCCGACAGGATCATTACTAGTCTGAAGAACTTGGACTGCGGGTGGTGGCACATCGGTAGACAAGCGCACCAGCGCATTGGCATATTGTAGCGCTTTCAATGCCTTGGCCGCATTAAGGTAGTACGTCAAAGTAGAGATTGAACGCGGTCTTTCCTCGTAGAGAAAGTCACGAAACCGAGCCAGATATCGCGGTGTAGAGAGAATGTGCAGCATATGCTCTGTCCCAAACATCACATCTGTAAGGCGCTCCAGTTTATGCAAAGGCGCCTCCGCGCCATCGAATGGTGCAATCAAGTCATATGACACGCCCTCTTCATTCTCATTCACAGGATGAAACTCCTCCGCATTCTCATAGGGGTTCATCTCCTGTAACAGGGGCAACTCGTTGGTAGTCACATTGCGCCGCATATTCTTCACTGAGGATTTGGGGGTAGGATAAGCCGCTTCCTCCTCAATGATATCGAGATTTTTAGACCGGTTCGGCGGGTGAGGAAAGTCATCCAAGATTTGGTCATTTCTAATGTCGATCCGATCAGCAATGAATTCTGAAACCTCGATCAGATCTGATCAGATCTGTCTGGATCCCGATCCGTCCACTTACCTGGATGATCGGCCCGATTCAGAGATCCAGTCGTGATAGTCGTCTGGCAGAGTCGAAGCGAATGATCGCAATGACTCAGTGTCCATGCTGGCAAAGCCGTCGGTGAGATCCGTGCGAGACATGATGTGGAAATCACATTGGCAACATACTTTGTATTACATGGGAGGTTCCCCTTTCTTTAATACCTCTACTCGTCCCCGCCATTTTGGCACAGGGATGATGCATCAATTGATCTTCTATGTCCGTGGTTCGAGTTTTTGCTGCAGAATCCATGCGAACCGGAGATTGTCAAGGTAAGACGAAACCTGGCGAAGGTCAAGTTGCTAGGTCACATATCAACAGGGGGAGGGCGATCGATCGATGCGCGGCTGAAAACCACAGGATCGGTTACAATTTCATGGCTATGATGCAATGGCATCGGAAAAGGTTCTGTCAGGACTTAGGCTAACGCGAAGAACGTTCTGTGATCGTCGGCGGTAGCTGAGTCTATTGATTTTTGCCTTTGCGTACCCGACCGTGTTCCAGCGCTCTGTCAATGCTCATTGGCCCGATCGATTTATTAGATACATCGATTTTCGATATTTGACGGCCCGAACAATGAAGTATCGCACAATGCATGCCAGCGTAGAGAACAATCTTGCTTGTTACCTTGTGGCGGATTTAAGAATTGAGTCGCATTTGAAATTGGCTCTGTTCTATCCCCGGAAGTCTATCCCCGGTTCCTGGACTCGTACCTGAGAGATAGAGATCTATTTCTGAATTTTTCCCACCTCGGCAAAAGTACGTGATCTGAGCACTCAAGAATGATTTGGGGCTGGCGGTCTAGACTGGATTCAAGCGTTCGCATCCTGGATCTTTGCCTCGCGTTCTGCGCCTGTAGTCCGCACTCGTTTCTTTCCCCACAACGAACGGTGAACCCTCCATCAATATATAAGGTTGAAGTGTCAACCCCATTAGTGTCTTGGCTTGAGAGCGTTTCAAGCCAAGTTCTTAACCTTTTGTTTTTACTCAATCCCATCAAGGGATACATTGCGTGAAGCAGTTCCAGAGCTTGAATAGGATTGAGACCGTGATTACACAAGTCAGGGAGTGCGTGTCTCAGTGGAGCCTACATAATCACATTTGTCATACTTAAAGCAACGGAAAGACCTGGATTCAGGGGCGCGCGCCTGATCGTGGTACGATGAGCTGCCTAATCGAGCGCGACATTTGTCGCGAAGCCGACAACGGCAGGTCCGCTGCGATGGGCCAGCCACTATCACCGATCCCTCGTAATATTCACTGATGTCAAGAGAACTACGGCCAGCAGGCTTTCTAGATAGCTCTTTGATTGGAGAATTATTGGGCACCCAGCTTCGGTCATGCTATGGTGCGGCTTTCTCGCATCTTTTGGCGACCGCATCCTTCCCCCCCCCCAAATCACTATTTTGGCGATGAGAGGTAATCCCTAACGAAAGAGCTTTTCCGTTCCTCGGGTTTTGTGACTGGTCTAGCGAGTCAGGCTTGACTCTGGCCTGTTTGCATTGTTTTGGAGGAGTGGAGTGGAGGTTTATTTGCAAGAGAAGAGCCGAACACATTTACTTCACGATATTGCCTGGTAGCCAGATAATAGCGCTGCGAAATATTGGCCACAATCACGTTCTTTTGGAAAAATTTCGACATCTGCCTCGCGTGTGTGCATCATCAATGCGTGGGATCTGTCGTTGCCGCTGCACCGGAGATTTATATAGTTCGATGAAACTGGAGAGGAAGGCTGGACCTGGCTGGAACCCACAGAGACTTGAGGTTGCCTCGGAGATCGACACGAGCTACTTAGATGACACTCGGCCACCTCACGAGGTGTAGATCTTCGGGCATGAGAGAGGTCGTATTTTCCTCGCTTTGCAGGTCGTACAAACCCCACAATTCCGCATTAAAAGCAGCAGAGACACGGAGATAGGGGCAGCCAGAAGCACCGTTGTATTACGCTCATGAGAAAAAGGATTTCGTTCGTGATACTTCTTTTATTTCGGGTTTGCCGTGGATATCGGTCTTTTTTTTCTGACCTGTAATGTCTGTAGTCGCCGATACGTGCATCACCGCGTTTTCTTATCGATAAGCCGATAAGCGAAAATTTTCGGAGATCGCGGCGAGATGTGAACTTCACGACCTTTTCATTAACGCCCATTCGACATGCCTGAGAAGGTGCACACTCATTTCGGTGACTCGGACGGCGAGTCATCTACCAGGGGGCCCAAGTCAACCTCAGATCTAGCGCCCGTTGAGGACGGCGTTCGGAAGAAGAGGCGCGGCAAGAAGCGCAAGCTCGATGAGGCTGCCAACAACCCCAATCCGCGCAACGGCGAACCAATTGAGGCCCCAAGGCCAACCCAAGAGCCTGCTTTGGTCGCTGAACCGGTGGTAAAAAAGCCTTTACTAGATCCCAAAGCCGAAGTAATCCAAGCTCCGTCGAACAAGACTCAAGTCGCAAAACACAAGCCCAAGCCTAAACCGAAGACCTTCACCGACACCAAGACGAACTTTGCTCCCCTCCGAGAAAAAGCCAGTGCGCTTTACGAACTCCGAAAGAAGCTCCCAATCTTCGGCCATGCCGATGAAATCCGCCAGAAGCTTCGCGAACAAGATGTCATGCTGCTGGTCGGTGAGACCGGTAGTGGAAAGAGTACGCAGATCCCGCAATTCCTGGTGAACGAATTCTGGTGCCGACCGATGCCCGTGCAAATAACCCAAGAGGATGGTTCCACGAAATCTGCTACCGTGGGTGGATGTATCGCGATTACACAGCCACGTCGAGTCGCTGCTATCACGCTGGCTCGACGTGTCGCCGAGGAAATGGGTACACCCTCGGCTCGTCATCTCCAGCGAGCAGGGTCGGCTACTCAGTTCGATTCGATACATCTGTCTCGCCTAGCACTCGTGTCAAGTTCTTGACAGAGGGAATGCTGTTGCAGGAAATGTTGCATGATCCTTGGTTGACCAAGTATAGCGCCATCGTGGTTGATGAGGTTCATGAGCGTGGTATCAACGTTGATTTGACCGTTGGTTTCCTGCGCAACTTGGTTTCTGGGAACAAGGAGGGTCGCGGCGGTGTGCCTCTCAAGGTCGTGGTCATGAGTGCTACAGCGGATATGGAGAGTCTGATGGGATTTTTCCAAGAGGGATTTAAGATGCAAGTTCAAGAGCAAAAGCGCATTTCTAATGGAGATGCTAGCGAGAAGGAGAAGGCAGAGCCCGTCAAGGAGATCACGGCCTGTCATATCAAAGGCCGACAGTTCCCCGTCAAAACTATTTACTCGCCTGAGCCTGTGCACGATTTTGTGGACGCAGCTCTCAAGGTCATCTTCCAAATCCACTACAAGGAGCCTATGCCCGGTGATATCCTGGTTTTCTTGACTGGTCAGGAGACCGTAGAAGCTTTGGAGAATCTGGTTAACGAGTACGCTACTGGGATGGATCCATCGTTACCTAAGATCCTGGTCCTGCCTTTGTTTGCGGCTTTGCCTCAAATCGCTCAGCAGCGCGTCTTCCAGCCAGCACCACCACGCACCCGCAAGATTATCCTGGCAACTAACATTGCTGAAACATCCGTGACAGTCACTGGCGTGCGCTATGTGGTGGACTGCGGCAAGGCAAAGGTCAAGCAATTCCGCACGCGCCTCGGTCTCAGACTCCCTGCTTGTCAAGCCTATTTCCAAGTCCGCTGCTATCCAGCGAAAGGGTCGTGCAGGTCGTGAGGCAGCCGGACAATGTTTCCGTCTATACACCGAGAAGGATTACCTGGCTCTGGACGAGACAAATACTCCCGAGATCCTCCGATGCGATCTGAGCCAGGCCCTTTTGAACATGAAAGCACGTGGTGTGGATGATATTGTCAAATTTCCATTCTTGACGCGTCCACCGCGTGAGGCCCTAGAGAAAGCCTTGCTTCAGCTTCTCAATATCGATGCGTTGGAAGATTCGGGCAAGATTAGCACTGTTGGCCAGCAAATTGCCAAGCTCCCTCTCACACCCACGCTTGGACGAGTCCTATTAGCGGCTTCGGAAAATGGCCATGATGTTTTGCTCGATGTGATCGATATCATCTCGTGTCTCAGCGTTGAGAATATCTTCCTCAACACCACGTCGGAAGAAAAGAAGGAAGCGGCCGAATCGGCTCGACGAGATCTGTATCGACGGGAGGGCGATCATCTGACAATGTTATCAACGGTACGAGCGTATGCGTCCGAGAATGCCGACCGCAAGGCATGGGCTGAGCGACACCTGGTCTCGCATCGTGCGATGCAGGCAGTCATGGTATGTCTATTCTATTTTCCCTCCTGGAGAAGTGAAGCTCGATCTAACGCACCACTCTTAGGATGTCCGCAAACAACTCCGGAATCAGTGCCGCCAGGCCAAATTACTCCCTCGAGATGACGGACGGGAGCATACGTCTGATCCTTCACCGATCCTTATCCTGCAGAGCTTCCTGTGTGGATTTGCGACCAATACCGCCCGCCTGGTGCCAGATGGAAGCTATCGCACGGTGGTTGGCAACCAGACGGTAGCTATCCACCCGTCGAGTGTGCTTTATGGCAAGAAAGTGGAGGCGATCATGTACAATGAGTTCGTCTTCACGAATCGTAGCTATGCACGCGGGGTTAGTGCGGTGCAGATGGATTGGGTCGGTGAGGCGCTGGCCGGTTAAATTCTCCCGAATTTCTTTTCTGTTGACCTTGGTATATATACCCCTGAATGATCACATTATACGAAGAAAGATATACTACAACCAGGCCTGAGTATCACGTCGAGTAGGATATAGATACCGTGGCACTATCAACTACGGTGTGGGTGTACACGGTGATCAAATGTGATCACCGCATCCTTACATCCGCCATCCGCCAGCAAGGAGCGGAAATCTGTCGATCCCTTTCGCCACAGCCTCCACGTCAGACTTTGGAGTATCGTAAAAGAAAAACAGGGGAAAACAGGGGAAAACAGGGGAGATGTTGGGCAATCACACGCGAGCTGTCACATCGGCCTGTCGCACCTGACGACGACTTGCTCCGTATTATCTTGATTTCTTGATTTCTTGATTTCTTGATTTCTGCGGTGTTGATTAGATTGAATTTCTCCCTTGACCTGGTTTGTTATCGGTTCACGCATTTATCCCGATCGAGGGCTGTTTACACGGTCGTGTGGTCCGATACCGCCAGTTGCATCATCCGGAACTCCACTTCTTATCACTTATCTACGCATCATCAACCCGAGCTTGAAAGACGCCCAGTCCATCTGTATTGTTTCTCCCCTTACTATCATCACTCTATTGAAACATTCCTTTCAGGTGCTGCCGGGTCTTCAACTGACCCGCCATACCTGGCCGCATCGGCGGTCTCCTTTCGTGGGACAGAACCAACTTCGTGTCGAACCGCTTATCGGGGTTGCGTGTGCACCCTATCCCACTATGGCCTTTCGTGCACCAGCGCAAGCTCCTCGCCGTAGAACCTCGTACTCGGCCTCGCAAAGACCTCCCTCGATCCAAATACCTGGATCTCCCACCGAGCAGCCCGAGGAAGATACCGCACAATGGGTCCTGTTCTCCCCGACCGCCCCAACGCACACGACCTCGACAGACCGCACTGCAGGAGCCTCACGACTGAGCGACTTTGGTTCCTTTGGCACTGCAACCCGCTCTGCCGCTGGACCAGAGGGCGAAGTGGACGACGAGGAAGCTCTGGATGATCAGTATGATGAAGATGGTACCGAGTTGGATAGCCTGGACGATGGTCTCCATGCGTTTCGCGCCCCATCGTTCTCCCCTGCGTCCCCCACTAGGTTGGACCAAGGGCCGCCGGCGATGCTGCCAGCACATGATGGCTTAGGAAGCTTTCAAGCTTCCAGTCAACAGATTCAAGACCAGCTCTGGCAACATGAGCAATACAATCCCCAACGGCGACCGTATGGCTACTCCCAACATCGCCGTCATTCAAGTGTCCAGCGACACTTAAATACGGTGGATGAGGGCGAGACGAACGTCGAAAGAGATCGGTGGCAGCGAATCGAGCAATGGAGAATGGACCAAAGCCGGGCGTTGATGCAGGAAATCGAACGCGAGACCCAAAGGAGGAGATCCACTCGTGGAAGCCAGTCAACTGTTCCACGCTCTATCGATTATCTTTCCCGGTCAATGTCACAGATCCTCTTTCAGAAGAGGAACATCCACCGGAGAGCGAGGTGGAAATTGACAAATCGTTCTGGCAACGCATAACGCGAAAAGTCATTCGCGATCTGATCGGTATCGACGAGAACTTGCTGTCCGTTATCTTCGGCGAGTCTTTGCCGCTGGAAGCAGACACTCCCGAGAAGGACACCGAAGACCTGAGTATAGAATCTGTGCTGGCGCGGGAACCAGAGGCGGAAAATGGGGAGCCGCCTCTGTGGCAGTCTCGCGTCCTTCAACGGATTGCCCACGAATTGGGAATTCTGGTTCATCAGCTCTGCGAGCACCCAGGTGCATTCACCACCTATTACCAGATGACCAAGGACATTTCGAGCGAGTATGCAGGCATGTCGCTCAATCGGCTGGCTGAGAGCAATATCTTGCAGAACTCCGAGTCTACCGCCCAACCCTCTGCAAATACAACGGCAGACTCCATGCCATCTCCACACTTCATGCCCACGCTCCGTGACCCAAACCGCGAACATGAAGCACAATGGGGCATTGAAGAAAATGAGTTTCCCGGCCCTGATTCAGTCTCCGAGTCTACTCGTGTCCAACAAGAACAGGAATACTGGGAACATGGCCTAGACGTCATGATGGTCTTCCGCTACCTACGTACGCGCTTCAGTCGCCGTGGGTACATGTCCAACGACAAATTCACCTCAAGCCCTTCACCGCGCCATACTCAAGATCCCTCTCGGCGAGCGGCTATCATCCGTCAGCATCACCCACTCGTCGCCCGCGCACACTCCCGCTCCCAAACACAGTCTCGCCGCGCATCCCATGTCTCCGGTCCTGTCGGCGTGTCGTCACCTCTAGTTCGGCCCCATCTCCGCCGTCCCAGTTCCAGCTGTGCGAGCCAAAGCAAGCTGTCAGCTATCTCTAGCCGTCGTACGCTGACGGGATCCAGCAGGAACTACTGGGACATCGGCGGCAGTGTGGGGAGCAATAGTGCCATTGGCGTTGGTGGCGGAGCTGGGCTTGGCGCTTGGGGTGAGGCCTGATTATTTACGTGTCTATACGAATCGTTCTGGAGTCAATGGGTTGCACATATATAATGAAGAAGAAAGAAACTACACATGTTGATGGTGGTGACGGGGTTCGTGGATTGCGCTTTCGGCTGGCCATGTTTCATTTCTCTCGGTTTGATCGGTGTCTTGGATATTACTCGGGATGCACATTGTTATTTGTCTCTACTCATCTACTGCCTATATCCATCTAAGCGGGAATTCATGGCAAAGAAAGCTACGTATATACCAGTAGTCATATGCCACGGCCGTTTGATAGAATTTATGGATAAAATTAAGCACTGAGGCTAGGTTAAAAATCTAGTAGCTTTCAATATAAGGAAAAGCAAGAAAGTTGTACACCATTATTGCTATCATCTTGAAGAAGCTAGGAACTTCAGTTCAAAGATGTGTGAGCACTCACACAGAACTGCCGGCCCTGGAATTGGTACCTTTTAAAAGAAAGGAAAGATAATGACCAAGCAGCTTGCAAAAACAACACGAGTCCAGGATCAACTGAGTTCATAAAGATTTCGAGAATCAACTCTACTGAATAAAAACAAACTACGTCGATGTCTAGACGTAGAAAAGAACAGTTCCGCAGATAAATCACTAATTAACCGCTGCTCCCCAATCTAGATTGCCTTCAAAGATCGGCTAGGCCTTGTTTTCAGGAATGTTCTCATCGAAATCGAACCGGTCTGGAACTTCCAGTCCAACCCCAAGGTGGGGTCTCACCAGGAGCATAGAGACACCATCACGATACAGCCAAGGATCCTCAGTCTGACGCTCCCACGCTTCAATAGCAGTCCGCATCTCATTCAGAACAAGCTGATACTCGGGGTCTGCAGCCAAGTTTATGACTCAATTGGGATCTGCCTGGATATCATATAACTCTTCAGCAGGGCGGAAGAAATAATCCTGTAGAGGACGGGAATCAATCATCTTGGGGCTAGCCTCTGAATTCCGAATCTCCTCCCACGTTAGAGAGCCGGCGATGCCAGCGGCCAAGGGGAATCCAGTCTCCAAGCAATATTGCACTGATATTTGAAGCGGTGATTACGCATGAAGCGTGTTGGCCAGTAATTGGCGATTTCGTGGAAGGTGTGTGAGCTGAATACGCGATCCCAGGCGTCTAGCTGTCTTGATTCACATAAATTGGGAAGAAGAGAGCGCCCCGTGAGAGAGAGATGTTCGGGTCGTGGGTGCTTGGCCCAGTCGAGGAGCGTGGGCAGTATATCCACGTGAGAGATTATGTTTGAGTTGATCACACCAGGCTCGGTGCCCGGGCACTTGATGAGGAGCGGAAGACAGACGCCTGCGTCGTAGAGAGTTGTCTTGGAGTTGATGAAGGGAGGACCGTTTTCACTCATGAAGATGACCTGGGTCTCGTCACTCATTCCGCTGTTCTTCAATCCTTCTAGGACCATTCCGATGCCCTGGTCGTGTCGGGAAATTGACTGGTATTATTCAGAGAATTCGAATCGTACACCAGGAAGATCGTTGACAAGGGGCTCGATCTGGACGTCTTTGGACTTGTGTTCGATTTTCTTCACACGCTAGTCGTCCCTTTCAGTATTTCCAAAACCAGAACGAGTAAGGTCGCGTTGGAGATCGATAAATCCAATGGTCAAGAAGAATGGCTGGTCCGTAGACTTGGAACTATCAAAGAAAGCCTCTGCTTGATCCACCACTGAAGCAACATCGCGACTATCGCTCTCGGCACACATGTCCCAAGGATAGACCTGAGAAGGACCAACTTGCACCTTACCGATCAAACCAGTGTAATAGCCATGCTGAGAGAATAGTGCAGATACAGTCTGAACACGATCATAGGTGGTGAAATGGTGACGTCCGTTGTGTCAACCATACTGTCCGTTATGGTGAGTGTGAAGCCCAATATAAATGACTGATCGACTGCCACTGCAAGATGCGGTACTTGAGAAATCTTGATCTAATCTGGTGCCCTCAGCAGCGAGCTGATCCAGGCGAGGTGTTTGGATCTGGGTCTTTCCGTAGCAGCCCAGTTGTTTGCCTAGATCATCCGCGATCATCAAAAGAATGTTCTTCTTCGTCAAAATGAGACTTCTGTGGAGATTCTAACAATATTTTGGAATCAAGTTCTTCGTATACTTATGCTCGATCCGCCACGGGTCTCGGCTATCGTGAAGGCGCGCGGGGAAATATCATCGCATCTCGCCTCGGGTGTCGCCTTTTCCATTGTGGGTGATAGAGACTGATCAGCTGTTTGCACATCATTTCCGATTTTTTCTGGTAATTTTGGAAATTGCAGAATCTTTCAGGAGAGAACAGATGTCATAATCCTTCCAAAGTTGACGTTTGTGTATCTTCTGATTCATGCAGCCAGATAAGGAAGACAATGCGATTTGTTCTGACTGCGGGAATAGGACTTCTCCTCTCAGACTCTTCTGGAACTCATTGAGATAAATGCTCGAAAAGAATAATGAAAGATAGGAGTATGATAGGGGGACGTCCAGAAAGATGGAGAGAAGGGTCTGAAGAATCAAGTGGAGAGGTCCCCCTCGTGAAAATATCGTCTTCGTCCAAATATGCCTCTGGATTAAACACAAGCATTGAAAGAAAGATGAGAGGCTCGGCAGAAGTTTCGTATGAATGCAATGTATAAATTTATGCTCATTGGCTTCGGTTGACACATCGAGGCTCGGATGTCCGCACGTGCGCATCAACTTTACCGATCCTGATGTCCTCCTGGACCCACCCGATATCAGCCGCGAGCCGACTGGGCACTTGTCTGGCCTTGAAAGCCCAGACACTCTGTTTATCGAAGATCTCATCAGTCTCCTCCAACGACTTGCCAACGGTTTCCTGGAAAAGGAAGAACACATGGATAGCGGCAACAAAACATAAGGTTCCAAAAACACAATACATCTGCGCAATGTTAGGGCTGCACTAAGAGGACAATTGAAAGGATGAGCTCACTCTCCACTGGATGTCCCTGAATCCAGGAGGCGTAAAGAATGTCAGGGCGAAGTTGCAACTCCAGTTGAAGGATGTTGCCAGGGACACTGCCTTGCTTCGGATGTACAGTGGAATGATCTCAGGGGGTAGGCCCTTCAAGAACAGTCAACAACATTGAGACATGGATAGAGGACTTGAGAACTTTTTACCAGCCAAGCGGCCCCCAAGTCGGTGCATATGTCGCGATGAAGAGATAAGAACATGCAATGAGGACCTTCGATGCTTGAGGATTGGTGACCTTCCATGTCACCGTGGGAGAACCTTCAAGACCACCTGGAACAGGATTTCCGTAGGTAGCCATGAGACCTGCTTGAATGAATTGGAAAACACCCATTCCTAGCGCTCCGAGGATAAAGAGTTCGCGCCGAGGAAGGCGGTCGATGAATATCAGTGCAGGAAGAGTCATGACCACATTAATGACATACCGGATGGAAGCGGAGATAAGTGTGCTGTTGCCAGTCAAGCCAGCCATCTGAGATGAATTAGTCCGCGTCGGTATCTTATCTGATATCTTCAACCACTTACCTGGAAAATGTAGACAATATAGTACATCATAGCGTTGGTTCCGGTCATTTGAGCCCAAATATGCGTGAAGACAGCGCAATGGACACGACCAATATTGCGAGAATTGAAAAGCTCGAGCCATGACAGGCTTTGATATTGCCGTTCCTGCCTTGACCACAGTGTCAGTGTCACCCACATGCATAGTCCAGATGAGGTCATGCGTTGAACTTACCCAATTTTGTCGCTGATCTCCTGGGTTTGAGTGACTACAATGGGGGCGTGTCGATTTCCCTGGGCGTGAAGCCGTGCAAGAACTTCGATGGCCTCCTCCATCTATTCTTTGAAGCGAGCCAGCGAGGCGAGCGGGGCATGACCGGTAGATATGACAGGAAATTGATTGCAGGGATCATCTGAAAACCCCAGGGAAGACGGAACGAAGCATTACCCCCGATGAACGAAGCTCCATAGCTGATAAAATACATAATCAGGATCTATCGTAGCGTCAGTGGCGATCTAATTACTTAGGGTAAGCAAGCTGTCCGCGTACACCCCAGGTAATCATCCATTGCTGCAGGGAAAGGAGGCGGCCGCGTTGATGGGGCAAGCTTATCTCGGCGATGAGGATTGGCCTAGCAGACGAGTATCGTTAGAATCGCCCACCGACGTTGGCGTGGCTTCCATACCCTTGACTGGTTAACATGCCGACAGCGAATCCATTGAGAATTCGTGAGACAATCAGCATCGCGACATTTTGCACAGCGCACATCAAAGTCGATCCAATCAACCAAATGATGCATGCTATGAAAAGCGAATCTCGACGACCGAACCGGTCACTAGTCCAAGAGGAGAAGAGCGATCCAAAAAGGGAGCCACCCGCCATACTGGCAGTGATACCACCTTGAAGGACAGCATCGGGCCCATTAAAGTAATTTTTATATTGATCCGTACCAATGATCGCGGACATACTCGACACGTCGAAGCCCTCGATCAGGCCGCCGAGGGTTGTCAACTCGCTGACGAGGTACACATTGCTGAGACCAGGCAGCTTTGCCATAGCGACACGAATTGACAGGCTCTGAAAGCAGGAGAAAGAGGGCAGTAAGCTACCTGATCGCAATCTTCAGGATCTGGGGCCCCGGATTTTCATGTCAGCTCCACTCGTTCAGGGTTGTGAACATGCACACCAATCAATCGTGCGGCTCAAGTAGGCGAGATCCGGGAAGTAGCGACAGCCGTGGGGTGACTTTTGAAATTATGATTCGTCAATGAGGAAGTAGTGCCATCTGCAGCTTGAAACCCCAAACAGCAATATCTGGAGAGCATGGAGCCCTTCGGACAGGAGTTGTGAAGTCTGATCAGTGCGTGGTGACAAGAATAGACTGGTTCTGCCACGGGCCACCGCTGCCGTGTGCCGCTATGCGAGAGCAGCACACTTTCCACTCTGACTTTGGTCGGCATCCGGCGTCATGTCGTGGAATGGAGATGACAGTCAGCTTGTGTCCAGACCAGGCCATGTGTCTGGTCTAAAGAGGTCCCGGTCAGGTTAGATTGACACGCGTGGCTCTTCCATTTGTGCAATCCAAAACTGACTATCAAATTAAGGCTGTATTCTTTGCCGAGCGAGGAAAGTCAAATGTGACGAAACATGGCCAGTATGCATGCATTGCGAGCGTCTCAGATTAGACTGTCCAGGCCCTCCCGGACAGGATTCAGCTACACGCCGAAGTCCTCGTACACCAAGTGATCGTAACGCGGGATTCACTCAGGCAGGTACTCTACGCCAGCGAGTATCCAAATCTTGCCAGCCATGCCGTGTTGCAAAGTCGAGGTGTTCCGGGGGGCCAACTTGTTCTCGTTGCTCCAGAAAAGGTGTGAAGTGTGTTTACATTGTAGAACAAAGGCAAGAGAGAAGAAAGTCCCCAAGGCGCACCAGTCCTTCCAGTGATGTCAAGCTCGGCATTCCAACCAGCAGATCTTCGGAAGAATCTCAACAGGCCGCGTTGTCCCCATATCTTGGAAGTCTACCGAGCTCGGTTTCATGGCTTCATGCTCTTGAGCTACCAAGAGGAGAGAGACTTTGGATGTTGGTTGAGGAGTATTTTGCCCACATCCACCCCTGCGATGTTTTGGCTTTGTGCATAAACCGTCTTTCATGCAACAGCTGGATCAAAATCTAGAGAGATATCGCAATAGTGAATCACTTCTCCATGTGATATGCGCGTTAGGAGCGAAGTACATCATGTGGTCCGATTCCAAAAGCTACGCTGACAGCTATGTAGGTTTGTTGCTCTTGACTATTCTTCTCAATTATCTTCCGAGGCGACATTGATGGCCGGAACCAGTGGGCCAAGATTGCAAAGGCGCGCATATTTCGTGGAGTTGGATGATCTGTCCATGGAAAAGTTAATGGTACGACATCCCTTTGAATGAGAACATGAGACAAAGTATCAAACTGACAAGTCGTTGACTATTGAAGGCCGCAAGTCTTCTTCACGATCACGATCTTCGAATCGGAAGCTATGCAAGTGCTTTTATTTTAAGCGGAATCACTGCCAGAATGTCACAAGCATTGCAGTTGAACCTGGAAAAATCCGCCGATGTGCTTTGTGCCAAATCCGAATCATCCTCGATCGATAATGAAGCCAGACGAAGGTCAATGTGGAGCTGCTATGTCATGGACAGCTGGGTTGGAAGTGGTGTCAATCAGCTTACATTGCTAGAGGATAGGGATCTTAAAATTCAGCTTCCCTGCCACAGTCATAACTTCTCGTTGGGTGTTCCCTGCATAACGGAGACTCTCGATGAAGGGAAGGTGCTCGGCTTTATATCCAAAGACGAGATTCCGCCCTTTCCTGCTCAGAATATGGGGATAGAAGCCTATTTTATCCGCCTTGTGAGTAGCAGGAAGAAAGTACTACGGTGTGTAATTTTCCGAGGCTCCTGTTGATAATCGTCTGACTCGCGAGCAGTTACGTCAAGCAGTTAGATACTTCAAAACCGCCTTGGCAATCGGATTCAGAGTTCATTCAGCTGACCATGGAATTCGATCATTGGAGACACACTCTCCCACAAAGCCTCATGTGGAGTCCCGGTAACATCTATGCTCATAAAGAATCATCTCAGCTTGGTGCCTTGACGCTGCTCTGGTGCACCTATTACCAGACACTGGTGGATCTTTACCGCATTGGAATGCCGGTATTGTTTCGCATCCAAAAAATAATCACTCTTCCTCCAGACCAAAAAGAGTTCCTTGAGAATTGTCGAAGAGCCTGCTTTCGAAATGCTCGCGAAGTCTCGAGTATCATTTGCGAAGCTCTGAAGCATGGGATCAAAATTTTGGCAGACACATGGCTGTGCATCATTACTCATGACAGCACTAGGGTCATGCTGCACTTTCTGAATTCACATACGCATTCATCGCAGGGATTGAGTCAGAATGAAGTTGATGCGACAATTGATTTGGTGCAGAAGAATCTGGAAGCACTACATCAGATGAGAGCAATTGTCGCCACAGCCGAACATTGTTATCTCTCTGTCATAAAGATGATGGCAGCCGCAGGCATTCAACATGAGATGCCCTGTGAAACAGCAGTGAACGCGAGGCTTCCTCATGAAAGGGAAGAATTGAATCCAACTCCAGGATCCCCCGTTCAAGAATCCCCTGAAAATGTACTCAACCCACTCGCGATTCACCGTATGGCACGAACTGCACTTCATGAAAAGACTAAAAAATCTGCCTCTGATTGATCCTCAACAAATACCCCAAACTCTGCAATCACAGCACGTGCTTCTACTCGGGCAGTTGAGGGTAACCCACGAAGGATTCATCAAGACCAGCAACATCGAAACACCTCTCTTCAAGGCCCTAATGGACTCCCTGGGACGGAGCTTTCCTATATTGCCCCAAATGGTGCAACGGGGAGGACACCATGCATGTCATCAAACGGCATGCTGCCGCTCGCTGCTTCGGGCTTATGGGACTCGGCAAATTTGGCGGCCATAGATATATTGGACAGTGGAATTGCTCCATGGACGGAAGAATATCTCACCGATGGCCAATCTGGAGTAGATCCATTCCTCTTCCCTTTCTAGTAGAAGCTTAATATATAATGTATATGACTTGTCAATTACCAATAGATGGAGTGAGATTGGTTTTTCTTGTACCATCGAGAAGAGTTGTAATCTAAAAATGGCATCTGAGATAAAGCTTGGAAACTCTGCCACCATGAGACAAAGACTGAGTCTGAAACTGTTCGCATTGAATTGGCGGTATTGCTCCTCTTTAGCGCATCCTTGTTCTGGCCTTTTTGATATCTAGATCAATAAATTCATCTCTAGAATCCATTATTGATTATCTTTCTTATCTATCCTCTATCTTTATAGGTTATGAGCTCTCTACTCCATTGAGGCTATTTAAATCTAGTCTAACACCCCTGACTAGTACATTTAAACTTAGCGTCGTTGACCTGGCTTCTACGAGTTTCGTGTAAGGGCTTTTATTATTTAACGACCTTAAAACTCCTGCCCCTGAAGGAATACCTATTATATATCCTTATACTTAAGGACCGAAAAGATATCGGCTACGTTACTGAATATGCGCCCCAACCGACCACCTTGGAACCGTCACCCATCACAGAGCAAGCATCATTATATGAGCCTGGGCGACGACGACGTGCATGGGCGATAAAATTGACGATTTCTGCAACCTGCTGGAAGGATAGAAGGCCGCGATCGATATTGCCTTGGCTGATGCAACTTTGTGAGCTTCTCTCAACCAATTCTCTTATTGCGTTGGTGACTAATCGTACGCAAAACGCGAACCTACGGTCGCCGTTCAAAGCATTGGGAAATGCGAGGGTCTCATCCAAGCTGCGAAGGAGGACCTGGGAGCCCTCAGATCTCTGCAGTTCAGATGGGTAATCAATCAATCAACCAACAGCTTGGGGTTGGCGAGAATGACCAAAGCTTTTTTCGCATTCTAGTAGATAGATTGTCTATTAAAATACATCACCGTCGAACCAGGCATTTACAGCACTGAGGATATGTGCTTTGGCCCTTTTCTGGTGTCGGTCTTGCCGACATTCCCCACTGGTGACTGGAACGATGGATTGGTGGCTAAAGACGCAAACGACGGCAAACCATTCTTTGCGCGTGTCTGTCTGGCCCCGTTCCCGGCGTTCGGAACACCTGGCATGGAACCTATGTCGACTACTTTGATCTTTCGATCGGGCGCAAATTACGAACAGGTAATTTATGAAGCCAAATCTTCGTTATTTGATGACATTGTTGTCGCCAAGTTCGCTCGTTTTCCGTGGGAGGTTCAATACATCGAGAATGAAACCACAGCATATCAATGGATATCCGGCCGTAAAATAGGACCGCAAATTCTCGGCCACTTGACCGAACATGGTCGAGTGATCGGGCTTTTAATGGAACGCATTACCGGTGCACGTCATGCCGGCGCTGAGGACATTGAGGTCTGCAGGGAGGCATTGTCTCGGCTGCATAACCTAGGAGTTCGACACGGAGATACCAATCGATTTAACTTTCTCATCCGTGAGTCGAAGGCTACTTTGATCGATTTCGACATGGCTCAGAAATGCGGAGATTGTCGCAATCAAGTAGAAGGTTACTTTCTTGAAGCAGAAAAATTCATCCGTATGAAAGGTCTGAAGCGCAAGAAATCCCGCAAAGTTCGTCTTCTCCATCATTGCTATGTCCTCGAGCGCATATTCCACGAGAGTATCTTCATTTGTGGCGCCGACTCTACCCAGCGTCGACTTGTCCGCCGCACAATAAAGTCTCAGCGGCCTTGCACCGGCGAATATCGACAGTCTGTCTTTTCGTCTGTATAAATGGAAGAACATTCACCAGGAGATGCTTCGCAGCAGTCCTCTGTCGACGAGCACATTCAAGAGCATATGTTGGAAGCAATACGCCATGCACTGACGATCTATTTTTACCGCCGCATCTATAATCTCGATACCTCTCTGTTGCAAGAGAAGGTCGTTAGTGTGCGTGATTGTTTGCTTCAATGTGAAGATGCCGATTCCAGTGTTGTCCATGGCTCTGCTGGATTTATCTGGCCTGCTTTTCATCGCAGCGTGCGAAGCGGAAGCCCCCGAATTGCAGGCATCATTTTCTATATGGTTTCAGATCTCAGGCCATCGTAGTGGACTTTTTTGCTTTGCTCAGACGTTGGATTCAGTTGAGAACATCTGGCAGGAGAAACAAAGTGCGAGCGGGAGTAGTGTCACTTGGATGGATATGATGAAGAGACCGGGGTCATTGCAGCCGCAGTCATAGATCTTTTTGATAATTCATGCTATTGAAGATCTATCTATATGTTAGTGAGCCATTATCATTCTATCTGATCTGTCTGTTCATGCCATTTATTTTTCTGTCCTCAGTTCCATATCCACGTACACTAGTGTCTTAGCCTATGCTCATGTCAGTCTCATTCTACTATCACAGACACTTTCCCCACAGCTTGTGGCAAAATGAATAAAAAACAAACCCCCCCCCCACCCTTTCCCCCCTTTGTGGACGCATAAGAGTGGTGATGGCAATACGTACAGCAGATCGATCAGGCCGCGATCCATTTAGGCAGGCTTCCGCGACAATCCCCACCTCGTGGTTGGTATACTTCCAACCCACCATGATTGATTTATTTTCTACTTAAGGTACCGAATTTATCGTAGATTCCCCATCGATCTTTCCTTCTACATGTCTCATCTCCTACATTTTACCACCTGAAAACTCCGCGATCAACCCACCCAATGGATATCTCCGGCATCGCATTGATCACGGGCGCTGCATCAGGTATCGGCAGAGCATGCGCTCTGGGACTTGTCAGAGACGGTGCTTCTGGTTTTGCCCTCCTTTAAATATGCCAAACAGCTCTCGAGAAAGTCACGTCCGAAATCCAAGAATTGCAACGCGCATGGGGCTACACCAAGCCTTGCCGAGTCGAGATCTATCCCACCAACGTCGCCGACGAGAACAGAGTCATTGAAGTTGTCGAAAACGTCGCGCAGAAATTTGGACGCCTTGACTATGTCGTTATTGCCGCCGGAATCGCAATGAAGCATATCGGCGGCGAGGCTTTCGCGGAGACCGCCGACTGGCAACGCATTTTGGACGGTCAACCTCAATGGCACATTCTATATCCTACGAGCTGCAGCCAGAATCATGTTATCGCAAGAGCCTATTCGCTCTGAGGCCACTGCAGCGGGGTTCGATCGTCAACATTTCTTCTAGTCAGGGTCTGGTCGGTATCACTCTGTCAACGGCGTACAAGACAAGCAAGCACCCAATGATTGGCCTGACTCGCACTGCGTCGGAGGATTACGCTGATAAAGGGCTTCGCATTAATGCGATCTGCCCTGGGTACACTGAGACCCCACTCACTACCAAGTCGCCGGAGATATTGAAGGCGATGATGGAGCGTGTTAGTACAGCGGTACCGATGGAGAGAATGGGGCGGCCAGAAAAGATTGCCGATGGTGTTTTATACTTCTCTGGAGGTCGGAGTTCATTTGTGACAGGAACTGTTGAGTGTGGATGGTGGGTATGTGTCCCGTTGAATCGGCGCCAATTGTTGATCTCGTCGTCTGGGTGACATTATACCAGTCTTTCCGAATAGCTACCAGCAATTCCCTAGTCTTCAAGGATGCTCGTATCCTTTTTCTGAACTAGATAAACCCAAAACAAAATAGTATTACTTGAAAGGGAAGGACAACCACCACTTGCTGAAGGCGGCTAATCCGCTTGCGGGTGTCTGACCTCATCATCGAGTGATGCATCGTGGACTGGGCTTTCGTTCGTAGAAGATTCCCCACCCACATGTTAGATGTAGGGACCAATCATGGTTTGCTTGAAAATAAGCAAACGGGGACATTGTGTCTTTCAGGTATCTCTATCATGTATTCGTAAAGAAACCCTCGACGGAGCACAACCATGCGCAGAGTTGGAATACCCGCAGTCACCTACTACAGTACCTTATTTCGTGCTCGGATCAATTCTACCATTAAAATTGCGGCGAGTAGCCAGCTTAGACTCAGCAAGGCTGCCCCAAAATCATATTCGACTCAAGCGAAGAGTCGACCGTCGTTGTTACCCCGCATCCCTCACCAGGAATATCCTCAATTGCCCAAAGTCAACATGAGCAGCCAGCGTGTACCGATCAAGCCTCAGCACGTCGATGCACCTCTGACTTCGTGTGCGACGTTTCTCATCGTAAAGGTAACCAACAAGCCAGACTCGATTCCAACAGTCCGTTCGACACTTGCAGGTCTAGATGGACTAGCGAAGAATGTCTCGATTCGAGACCTCACTTCTCAGTTCGCCTGCACAGTGGGGATCGGCAGTGATGTATGGGATAACCTTACCGGACAACCACGGCCATCGGAACTGCACCCCTTCAAGGAAGTCAAAGGGGCCAAACACACTGCGGTTTCTACATCCGGCGATCTACTCTTCCACATCCGCGCCGAACGTCGAGATATTTGTTTCGAGTTTGAAAGGCAGTTGATGGATCAGCTTGGGGACTCGGTCGAGCTCGTCGATGAAACCGTCGGGTTCCGCTACTTCGACGTGCGCGACCTCCTCGGGTTTGTCGACGGGACAGCTAACCCAGTCGGGCCGGCTGTTCCATCGTCGGTGCTTGTAGCGGAGGAAGACTCAGCTGTCCAGGGTGGAAGCTATATTGTGGTTCAAAAGTACACGCATGATCTACCTGGATGGAAACATCTTTCTACTGAACAGCAGGAGAAGATCATCGGCCGCACAAAGATTGACAATGTCGAGCTTGATGATGCGGAGTCGGGACAGCGCTCGCATAAGACGCTCACTACGATCGAGGATGATCAAGGCAACGAGCATGATATTCTGCGTGATAATATGCCTTTCGGATCTCCAGGCTCGGGCGAATTCGGTACCTACTTTATCGGATACACGCGCCGTCTCTGGGTGATGGAGAAGATGCTGGAGCGCATGTTTGTTGGAGAGCCGCCGGGGTTGCATGATCGCATTCTTGACTTCTCAAAACCATTGACAGGCGTCACATTCTTTGCTCCCTCGGCCAGCTTCTTGGCCAGTTTAGATAGTGATTGAAGAGAGTGCGTTCACAGAATTTTAGTGATTTGAATGCATTAAAATTGCACTGCACACCGAACGGCCCCTTGCAACAAACATTGAATCCAGAATTGCTTGGAGCTGCAAGGCCTCACCCCATCGTGGGCCATTCGTTCGCTCTTCAAAGCTTGCATTTTTGGGCTGAAGTTTCTTGTGTGTTTGTGTGGTGATGCTGGCTGTGCGGTTTAGCAAATAATTCTGGTTCGCCGTCCGAAGCCGAAGGGGTCGTTGACTCAAGTCAGGCAAAGGAAGCGGAAAACGATCAACGACGCGACAATGCCTGTTCTTGCTTGGAGTCAGTACAATGTTGATATTAAACCCCTCGCATGCATATTTGTGCCTCTAAGATTGCTTCCTCGGCCATCGCTAGACTATGTCTGCCCGGGTGTGTTTACGTTTGTACAAACACATAGATGGGCCCATCTTTCAACACACACGGATTGACCACGCTCCGTCTGCTCTTCGATGTGGGTATGGTCACTTGGAATAAACTTGAAGCTCCCGGAAAATTATCTCGTACAGTTGCGCAATTTTCAAAAAATGGCAAACGCGAAGTCCCAGAATTCTCGACGCATTGATCTGCATCAAAAACCCCCCAAAATCTCGAGCGTTGCAGATTGCGCGCTCCGGAACCTCGGAAGTTACAGCCAAGTCCAGTCAAAGGTATTTCACAGACCTGTTGCGCCCGAAATCCCTCGCTTTGATCCAATTATTTGGGCCTAAATACCTGGAATTCCATGTTATCATGCCGCAGATCACCAGGGAGTCGCGGCAAGGAATGTAAGCTTGGACAGGGCCTCACCATATAATAACCCGAATAACGCCTAGAAAAGTACACTGTCCAGTTCTGTATTACAACTACTAACTTGTGCAAATTTCAATATGAAGCTCTCAACACTCATCCCTCTGGCAGCCCTGCTGTCCGTCTCTGCTGCTGCTGCTGAGTTCCCTGACGTGGACCTGAGCCGTTGTCTGGTATGCAAGATGAACGGATCTCTGTTTCATGGCACCTCGTGCTAACCAACTTGTTCTCGATAGCGCATGTGTCTCACTATGGGCGCTTGGGTGGCCGACTGCGGCTCCTATGTCAATACCTCTTGCACTTGTACCAGTGATGCGTTCAGGAATACTGTTGGCGAATGTTTGAAGGATTCCTGCACCCAGGAAGACATTGACAGTAAGCTCTCGATCTTTTTTCTTTTCTGCGTTATTTTCTCTACTTGATGCTAATCTATTCTTCTGCAGCCGCGGCGTCACTGCACAAGCAGGTTTGTGGTACAAGCCCGCAGTAAGAGCCACTTGAAAGATGTGAGACCGTGCGCTTTCGGGGCTCGCTCCTTGTAGTCAAGGAGTACACCATGTCGCTATTTATTTTCAAAGCTGAAATTTTAAGAAAAGACAGTTGCTCTGATTCTTTTAACTCGTAGCAGGACAAGAATGACCCTGGTCCATGAGCGGCTGCCGTAAAAGATCACGCATCTTGATGGGTCTCGTCGACAGCTCTATTCCAAGAAAGGCATTGCAAAGTGGATGCTGAGGGCAGGTGGAGCAGGTCCAAGCTTGCACCCGCATGAGCTTTGCATCTCAAGGGATCTACATGGTATTAACATCTGAAAAATAATTACTCGAGCCACTACGATCAGAAAAATAGATAAAACCCATGGAAGAACTCCATTTATTTTCGCAAACGAGATATCAAGCTTGATGGAAGACAGTTAAGAGAACATCGAAAATTTTTCGTTCTTGCATTCGTATTCTGATTCAACACACAACCATCTAAGCCTCCTGAACGTTCTCGTAGGCGTCGGGGAAGCGCTTCATGTTCTCGGAGATGAGACCGTGGCCGCGCAGGAACTGGACGTAGGCACCATCCTGCTTGAGCTTGCCCTCCTGGCGCATCTGGACGTACTCCTCACGGCGAACGGGGGTGAAGCCCCAGTTCTTGGAGACAATAATCTTTTGGCGGCCGGGGAACTTGTACATGGAGCGGCGGAGAGCCTCGATGGCGGTAGCACGGTGGGCGTCACGAGTGCGGACGGACAGGAGGACCTGACCGATGTTCACACGAGCAACGAGACCCTGGGGCTTACCGAAGGCACCACGCATACCGGTCTGCAGACGATCGGCACCAGCGCACGACAACATCTTGTTGATACGGACGACGTGGAAGGGGTGGACACGGACACGCAGGTGGAAACCTTCCTTACCGGCGATCTTCACGAGGTACCTGGAGAAGACATGTTAGAGATGAAACGGCCGGGAAGCGAGCGAGAGAAAAGATCAGGACGGATGACGTACTTGTTGGCACAAATACGGGCAGCCTCGAGGGCCTCGGAGGACAGCTGCTCATACTCGTTGGAGACGAGGTGAACACAGTTGGGGAAGTCGTCAACGGAAGCCTTCTTACGACCGAGATCGAAGATACGGATCTTGGCATTGGGGACACCACGGTTGAAGCGGGACTTGGGGTAGGGCTATACGCGAATGTATGTTAGTTTTGGATGTTTTTCGTTCAGTGCAAATTTTCCGTCTCAATTTTTTCGAAAATCCGAATGGGAAAAAGCGCATTCAGCGATCGGGCCACCTGCGTTGCGTTCGCAGATAGTCGTGATCATAGTGCTTCATGCGTCCCCTCACAACCGAGCTCCCGCACACAAAAAATCCCACGAGACCAATATCCGGCGACGCACCTTGTTCTTGCAGTAGCGGTAGCAGCGGGCGGGACGGCGGGCCATGGTGAGTGCTGTTTGAGTCGGACGGCACTTCCTGCGAACTGGGTATTGGATGTCGGTCGTGGGCGAGGGATCGAAGGAGAGAAAGAAAAGGGCGGCACAGTCACGGGATACTTTGATTTCCAAGCAGCAAAGTGGCCACAGCCCTAACCCTAAGATATCCCCGAATCAGAGTCTCTGCCGAGCCCCGCTTTGGCCTATTCAGGTTAGTCGTTACAGTCACAATACTCGGAGACTTTCAATACTGTGACTCTTCATGCCTCGGACAATGCTAGATTACAAATGCTACCGTATTACGGATTACTGATACTGAGACTGAGACTGATATCATATCAAATGTGAGAGAGTCAAGACGTTGGGTTTTCTTTTGCGGAGATTCGTAGCTCATCACTATCTTATATGCACCGTAATTCTCTCATAGAGACATCACTGTACAATCCTCCAACCGACAACTACTCAACTATCTCCCCTTCCCCGAATCCATTTACTGGTTGGCAGAAAGGATGTCGGAGTCACCTGCATCAAGGATGGCCATGGTGGCGCAACGGAAAAGCTTACCGCAGGCGGTACCGAGCTCGATCTGTAGACACTGTTAACCATTGCTCTTTTCCGTAGTTTGGAGGCATGAGAGCGACTCACGTTGTTGCCGGAGAAGTGGTGGACGGGGGTCTTGGCGAGCATAGCATAGTACTCAAGCTCAGACTTGCGGAGAGGGGGGGGTGTTGGCAGCAATGATGACCAGCTTGGCCTTGCCGGAGCGCAGAGTCTTCATGGTAGACTTAGCACCCAGGGTGACCTTGCCGGACTTGATAACCAAGGCAAGCTTGGAGTTGAGCTGGATCGCAAAAAGTTAGCTGACCGCTCGGGACAAAATTTTGTCTCAAACGACAGATGACGGAGATGCACTCACGTTGTCGGAACCCTTCTTGGACTTGGGGGGCCATCTCTGCGCGTGGAAGTTCTTGACTTCGGGTAAGATTTGAGTAGAAAGGTAGGTATGCGCTCCGGCTATCGTGGTTAAAGAGTGGATGCAGAGTCGAGATGAAGCGAAACTGTGATTGTGCGGGCGGAACATCGTGTTTTTCCGTCCCCGGGAGATCCTTGCTTATGTCATGTATGACAGCACGTGACGTTGGTCCTGAAACTTGAGGTTGGCAGCCTTAAGGCATCACAGTGACCCTTTATTTCGTCCCGGTTGAAACATGCGTAGTTGTCCTCGATCTAAAAGGAGTGACGAGGCTCAGCTGGTCTCTCAACCCTTTTGCCTCTTTGTCCAGCATATCTACGACCCTTTGCTACTTTTTCCTTGCCTCGTACCCAGCCTCCAGTCGGCGTCACTGCGGGTATCTAAAAATACCAGAAAGGGAGATCCCGCATTCCTCACTAAAATAAGAGTGTCGACTCCCGACTGCAATCAGTTACTTTCCATTCCTCTCCTGTCATTCCACGCTGCTCTCAGATTGAGGTCCCGTCTTCGATGATTCTCCGGCTTCCAACCATGTGGCAAGCACTTAATCTCTAACAACGCTCATTACATTCCCGGTCCCCAGTCTGTACACGGGCACTCCACTAAGGGCGGTCCACTTTGCTTTTTGACCGCTCCCTCATTACCACCGCTCTCAACCCCGGCTACTCCTTCTTGTCGCAGTCTTATCTCCAGTGACTGAAAGAATCAATTCTCTTTATATACCTTTGCGAGTGTCCCACGGGCCTCGGGACCCTGCAAGATGTCAGCAACGCCTCGCAAGCCTGGAACCCCCGTCAGTTCCAGCAAATCATCGGCCGCAGATCCGCCCTCAACCAACGGGTCCACCACACGAGGGCATGCACGCTCGCCCAGCACTGCGACAAACGGTCTCAACCGCTCCCCCTCCCTCAGAGGATCCACGCCAGTCTCCGCGCGCGCCGCTGCAAGAACTCGCGCCCGATCCAATCTCAGCATGTCGAATGTCCCACGCATCAATAATGACCCCTCCGAAGAGGAGGCAAAGGCGCAGAATGCCGCTTTGATTGAAGAGCTACGGGAGCAGCTGCAGAAAGCCGAGACGGCGTCTGAACAATACCAGAAACAACTCGGCGTTCTACAAATGCGCTTAGACGAAGCCGTTCGCGAACAGAGCAAGTTAGAAGACGCTACCCATGAGCGGGACACTCGAATCGAAGCTCTCAGTGGCGAGATTCGGGATCGAGCACGCCAGATCAGGGATTTGGAGCAGAATTATGAATCGGAGCGAAACGCCATGCTGCAGGAGAAGGAGCAGCAGACTAGCCGGGAGGAAGAGTTGCAGGCGACTATCCAACGGTTGAAGGAGTCAGTTGCGCAAAAGAGCATGCCCGTCAATGCTGAGAGCGAGCGTCAAGTTTCCCGATCTTGTATGTGCTTTTTCTTTCGGGTTTTTTGGTCATTGTTCGCTAACATTATCTACAGCCAGTTTCCGCAATCGAGCCTCTCCGGATGTGGATGGCCAATTCGCCCCATCATCGCAACTCGAACGCAGCCCTTCTCGTAATAACTCCAATCTCCTTCTCCAGAAAGATAAGCTCATTGAGTCTTTACGCCTTGAACTAGCCGAGTCACAAATCAAGCTTGTCGAGATGGAGAATAAAGGCGGCGGTCGTCAGCGCGATTTGGAGAAGGAGCTTTTGGACGCTCGTGTGGCGAATGCTCGTCTTATGGAAGACAATGAAAGCTACCAGCTTCTTCTTAGCGAAAAGACCCTCACGGGTGATTTCACTAAAGGTGATTTCATGCAGCATGCTCACCCCGAGAAAGAGTCTCGAAGTGGCCTAGGTTCTCTAGCAGACGAACTCGAATCTGTGGATGAATCACCTGAATCAGACGCAAATCGCAAGCCGGATGGAGGCGATCTCAAGGCCCTCAGGGATCAAAATAAGGCCCTCACTCTCTACATCGAGCGCATTATTAGCCGCGTTCTCCAGCATGATGGGTTTGAACATGTTTTGGATCGCAATGATGATGATGAAAAAAAAGATGATTCCAAGACCGGGACTGAGAAAGAACTGCCTCCCACTCCTCCGGAGAAGGATGATGCGCCGTCTCAATCACTTTTGCAGCGGGCCAAGTCGGTGGTCGCCGGCCCACAGACTCGCCCCATCCCCAGGTCTCGCCCAGCCAGCATGATGCCCCCGCCTTCAGTTCCCCAACCCTCTGCCAACGAGAATCCGGAGACCGCACCTAGCATCCCGTTCAATCGGCCTGTATCAGTGAGAGCCAGTCATCGCCGTGCGCGCTCTGAACAGGTAGATCCCGCGGCTGCCTCCGTTGTCACGCAAATGTACCGCGGGGGGCGTAACAGTGGTGGGCCCATCAGCCCAACAGCTATGGGGCCGGGATCTCGCCAGAGTATGTTCTCGGGAGCAGCTAGCTATTTCTCCAGCACAAGCCGCGCACCCTCCTTGACTAGCCAGCCCGATCGCGCTGGACGGAGCAGCTCACCCAGTGTCACGAGCGATGCGCCCGGCGACACTGCTTCTACTGGAGCAACCTCTAGCCCGCCTCGATCAAGCAGTGGCATGAACAACTACACTGGTGCAGTGATGACACAGAGCAAGTTACGTCCTCTGCGTCTGGTCAGTGATGCGGCCAAGCTTGAGGAGGAAGAAGCTGCGCGAAAGAAAGCGAACCGTGCGAGCTGGATCCCAGGCTGGTTTAACCGCCCTGTCTCGGACGAGCAGCAGCACCCACCACCACCGCCACCTCCACAGTCTTAGCTGTATCTGGCTCTCAGATTGGATGATTTGATGTGATTTCGAAATTGTCTTTTATCATACCCCTTTGTGATGCACATAACGCGGTCATGTCATGGAACGTAAGGCTCGGAATCGTGCGAGGTCATCGTGTTGGTCCTGTTGCACTATGTGAAACTCCATATTATTTCCTTTTTCCACTGTCATGATTACGTATCTCTTGTGAAAGTGCTCTGTTTCCTTTTTTTCCCAACTCCCCTTCCATATCAGTTTATTGTTCGACAGCCCCATTACTTCCCAGTTGACATGTAGATAACCCGATACCCATCCCATTGCGCCATCCTAATTTAACTTGATGAATACAATTACAATAGATATGAATGATGATCTAGAATTTAGTTCCTTTCCAAACAATAGAAAGGGCCATGACCCAAGCATCGGTGTCTTTAGTTGCGCTGCCACATACACCAACGGAACAACATTAGTGCGACTCCGCCAGCGGCCAGACTGGCTCCTGCGCGCATCAACAATCGAGTCTCTCCGTCAATTGCTCCAACAAACAAGAAGGAAACCGATATCAACATGCCTGGCTCTCTATCTCTCTTCTCCGTGAACGCGGTTCTCGTCATGTCCGCGGACGACGGGTCCCGTATTTTTGCAAAATACTACTCGGCACCCCATCCCCCGCCGGCGCTGCGCCCAACTCGACGGATTACCCAGGCGCCAACCCCTACCCTACCGTCAAGGAGCAGAAGGCGTTCGAGAAGGGCCTTCTCGAAAAGACCAACAAGTCCACCAGCGATGTGATCTTGTACGACAATCGCATTGTGGTTTTCAAGATGGAGAGCGACGTGATGCTCTACGTGGTGGGAAGCGCCGAGGAGAACGAGGTCTTGTTGTACAACGTGGTTCTGTCCATGCGGGATGCTATGGGAATTTTGTTCAAGTAGGTCCAGACCTGAAGCTCGAGGTGTAGAAATTGTGAGCTAACGGAGATGTTCAACAGGGGTGCCACCGACAAGCGTACAATCGTCGAGAACTACGACCTTGTTTCCCTTACTATCGACGAGATCATCGATGACGGAATCATCCTCGAGACCGACCCAGTCACGATCGCCTCGCGCGTCAGCCGCGCCCCCGCCGCCGATGCGCCCAACATGAAGAACATCGACCTCTCCGAGCAGGGTCTGATGAATGCGTGGGAGTTCGGCAAGCGCCGTCTCGCCGAGGGCTTGCGGCAGATGTAGAAAAGCCTTTCCTGGGGGGATTGGAAAGCCTGCATTTTTATTATTGCCTTCTGGAGCATTCCATCTTGTCTTTTACGTTTCGTTCTTTCCTGGCTGGTCCTGGCGTGATATGGTTTTCTTTAATTTGTTTGTTGGTCCGACCTCGCGATTCCATGGATTGAGGACATAGATATTTGCGTGCTTCTCTTTGTGCATCCTGCAAAAAGCGCTTTGCCTATGTGGACTCGAGACATTGTCTCGAGCTAATACTCCCGTAGCTGGTACGCTGATGACTGCAATGAAAAAGACGAATTCCGATAATCAAGACCTGTGTTAATCAAGCATATTAGCTATGCCTAGTTGAATAAGCCGTACCACGGAATTGTGTAAAGCGCATTCTATACCCCGAGGGAGTCGAGTGGGTAAGCGGCTGTCCTGAACGAGAGGCCGACTTGGTTCCTGCCCCGCATACGTCACGCTCGAAAATTCCTTTCTCCTACAACTTCCCGGTTAACGATGAAGCAGAGATTCTCGTCGCTAGACGTCAAGGTAATATCCAGGAAACCGCTCAGAAGAAACAACACACTCACCAGCCTCAGGTCATCACGCAGGAGCTGGCCGCGGAGCTGGTCAACCTCCGGGTGTCCAACATCTACGACTTGTCGTCAGTACGTTCAATTCCTTCAATACAGAGAAGCCGAGCTCCAGCTAAGTGCCTTTATTTAGCGCATATTCCTATTCAAGCTTGCAAAACCGGACCATAAGCGGCAACTCATCGTTGATTCCGGTTTCCGCACTCATATCACTCAGTACGACCGGACAGCTGCGGCGGCACCTTCGCCCTTCGTGACGCGCTTGCGCAAGTTCATAAAATCGCGACGCATTACAAGTATCGAGCAAATTGGAACGGACCGTGTCATCAACATCTCTTTCAGTGATGGCGCATACCACCTATTTCTCGAGTTCTTCGCCGGCGGCAACATAATCCTCACCGATCGCGAGTACACCATTATTGCGCTATTCCGACAGGTTTCCGCGGTGGAAGGGGAAGAGGCCAAGATCGGCATCAAATACAACGTGACGAATAAGCAGAATTACAACGGAGTTCCTGACATCACCGCGGACCGTGTGAGGGAGACCTTGGAAAAGGCGCAGGCATTAGTTTCTCACGAGAGCAATGCGCCCAAGAAATCAAAGAAGAAGAAGAACACCGACGTGTTGAGAAAGGCTCTGTCGCAGGGATTTCCCGAATATCCTCCACTTTTGCTGGATCATGCCTTTGCCATCAAGGAGCTTGATCCGGCGATGCCGCTTGATCAGGTTCTGGGCGATGAGTCTACCCTGACGCAGGTGCTTGAGACGCTGGAGGAGGCTCAGCGAGTTTCGAACAGCTTCAACACTGGTGATAGCCATCCTGGCTACATTGTCGCAAAGGCAGACACCCGGGCTCCTGTCGAGGAAGAAACTACCTCCAAGACTCCTGGCCTTCTGTACGAGGATTTCCATCCTTTCAGACCTCGTCAGTTCGAGGGAAAGCCAGATATTACCATTCTGGAGTTTGAGCGCTTCAATGCAACAGTTGATGAGTACTTCTCGTCTTTAGAGTCTCAGCGGCTTGAGTCAAGGCTTACAGAGAAGGAGGAGGCGGCGAAGCGTAAGCTAGAAGCTGTGCGAGAGGAGCATCGGAAGCGAATTGACGCGCTCAAGGATGCACAGGAGCTTCATATTCGCAAGGCCGACGCTATACAGGACAATATGTATCGTGTTCAGGAGGCGATGGATGCCGTTAATGGTCTTGTAGCTCAGGGAATGGACTGGGGTGAGATCGATCGTCTCATTGAGATGGAACAAGGCCGAGGAAACCCTGTCGCTCAGATCATCAAGCTTCCTCTTAAATTACACGAGAACACAGTGACCCTGATTCTCGGAGAAGTCGGTGAAGAAGAGGACGAAGAAGAAATGGATTCCAGCGATGAATCTGACTCTGACTCTGCAAATGAAGAGTTGGAGCGCCAGAAGCAGGCTGATGCCAACGACAAGATGCTCAAGATCGATATCGATCTCGGTCTCACTCCCTGGGCCAACGCGACACAGTACTATGAGCAAAAAAAGTCTGCATCGGACAAGCAGCAAAGAACCCTACAGTCTTCCGAGAAGGCTCTCAAGAGCCATGAAAAGAAGGTTACAGCAGACCTCAAGAAGGGTCTGAAGCAGGAGAAGCAAGTCTTACGCCACGCACGCGAGCCATTCTGGTTCGAAAAGTTCATCTTTTTCATATCTTCCGAGGGCTATCTTGTCATTGGGTATCTATCCCGCTCTTCGCTCCTTTTTACCATGTCTGACTTCATCTCACAGTGCGCGTGATGCCATGCAGGGTGAACTGCTTTACCGACGGTATTTAAAGAAGGGCGATGTGTTCATCCACGCTGACCTGAAAGACGCACTACCTATCGTCGTCAAGAACCGATCAGCAGACGCACCGATTCCTCCCAGCACCCTTTCCCAGGCAGGAATTCTCTGTGTTGCGACTTCAACAGCCTGGGAATCCAAGGCGGTCATGTCCGCCTACTGGGTACATCCGAGCCAGGTGTCCAAGGTCGCTGAGGTCGGTGGCGGAATCCTCCCTGTTGGTGATTTTCAAATTAAGGGCGAGAAGAACTTTTTGGCGCCATCGCAGCTGGTTCTTGGATTCGCTGTCCTCTTCCAGATTAGCCAGGAGAGTGTCAAAAACCACAAGCAGCATTTCGAGATTTCCGATGTTACCACGGAGACCTCCACTGCGGAGCGCGTGCAACCCGCTATTGAACAGGAGCCAACCGAAGAGTCGTCACCTGAGCCTACTGCAGAGGCCAGAGAAGAGACACAGCAGGTTGATGAGTCTGGAGAAGAGGACGAAGACGAAGAAGATGAGGACAAGGCACCTGTCACGAACCCGCTTCAAAGAGGCGAGTCCAAGATGCCGGCTCGACCGGAGATCACGCCTGATGTTTCTGAGTCTGAATCCGAAGAAGAGGCGGAGGAGGACACAATCCCTTACGATGATGCCGAAGAGGATGGGCCAGCAGAGAATGAATCTACAACTGGTCAAGACTCTATAGCTCCTCAGCAAGAGGAGCAGAAGCTTTCGGCGCGAGAGCGACGTACTCTGCGCCAGGGCAAGCCCCTCGACCGTCCGGCAGAGCCAGCGCCTCCTCGCATCGCACCCACTCGAGGCAAGAAGGCCAAGGAGAAGCGTGCTGCAGCGAAGTATGCTCAACAAGACGATGAGGAACGCGAACTGGCGCTTCGCCTCCTTGGTAACAACAAGGGCAAAGCCAAGGCGGCCGAGGCGGCCGAAGCCAAAGCTCAAAGGGACCGCGAGGTCGAGGCGACCAGGTTGCGGCGCCGAGCCCAGCATGAACGAGCTGCTCAAGCCGAGCAAAAACGGCAGGCCCAGTTGACTGAGACTGGTACCGACGACTACGATCCCGAAACCGCCGCCGCCGAAGCTGCCGACCTAAGCTGGATCCCCGCCCTTGTCGGCACTCCTACTCCGGACGATGAGATCCTTGGTGCCATTGCCGTCTGTGCTCCCTGGGGTGCTCTTGGTAGATACAAGTACAAGGTCAAGCTTCAGCCTGGTACTGTCAAGAAGGGCAAGGCCGTGAAGGAAATCATTGGCCGCTGGGTCCATGAGACTACCACCGGCAAAGTCAAGAAGGACCATGCTGAGGACGCTGGTATCCCTCGTGCTGAGGCTGAAAAACTACGTGCGCGAGAAGGTGAGCTCATCAAGGGCTGGAAGGATACCGAGATCATCAACAGTATGCCTGTGGGCAAGGTTCGCATCATGACTCCGGGAAGTGCGGCTGGTGGTGCCGGTGGTGGTGATAAGGGCAAGGGCAAAAGCGGCCCCAGAGGTGGTGGTGGACGTGGCAAGGGTAGGAAGAAGAAATGATCGACCTGTATAGATACTCTGGTACAAGTTAGACGAAATACAGATTTTTTGAACTTTTCGAGGTTCCTATCAGCTCTTTTCCTTTTTTTTTCCCCCTCGGGGTTTGATAGGTGGTGTCAAGCTCCGACATATACCTGCACGATCTTCAAGATATACATCGTCAAATTTGGAGTTTTTGTTTGAATGTCTTATCTATGATAAATCGACAACATTCCCAGTACCTTCATGAAACCAGCAGAATTCTTGATAGACGTTGCAGGTGGGTTCGGAATACCAAGTTCTCGCATAAATAAACAAGCGCCACGTTGGACATGATGTGGGCAGATCCGAACTTCTTCCTGTCGGCAGGGCTGAGCACCCCTGGCAAAGCGTGACGAGGCGCAACCCCGCAATATAAGATCAGCTCTATTCAAGTTCACCCCCTTTTCAGCCTCTATACCAGGATCATCCCTTTAGATATCATCTCCTCTGATCTCATGGCACAGATCTTCGTGCCCAACGTGCTGAGTCATCAGACGTCATGGGCGGCCCTGGCGATCCACGATTTTTCTGCGTTTCCGATAAGACGCTCAGGCTGCATCGGATAGGGCACGAGATGATCGTCGACCGCATGTCCTAAATACCCGATCCGACATACATCCACCAGAACCAGCGCTCACTTGATAGTGTGATAGTGTGACTCGGGCCCCTTCGCCGTTGACGCCCTTCGAGCACCGATCCCGATTGCGTGTGCGGGCGACAACTGCGTCATTGATCTGACCTTTGCACATCAAATTGCTGTCCCCCCACGCTCTCGCTGGCTGCAGTCAGCGCAGACTTGCGAAATTCTTCACCACAATGGTTGGAAAAGATACACGGGTTGTCTCCGTCCACCGCCTGAACCAGGGACCGGGAGAACGGTCTTTGGCTGAGTGGTGGGCAGACGAACGCAAGAACCAAACGCCGGAATTCCACGCTCTTGAAGAAGCAGCTCAGCTCCTTCGCTCTAGTGATATCCCGGTTGCATTCCCAACGGAGACAGTCTATGGCCTTGGTGCAGATGCAACTCGTAGCGCTGCTGTTCAGGGGATCTACCGCGCGAAGCAACGACCTTCTGATAACCCGTTGATCGTTCATGTTGATTCTCTGTCCATGCTGAATCGGCTTCTGAACCCAGAAAACCCAGTCAGCCCTAGCGCAACCAAGACACGGCGCGTCTCTATCCCCACGATCTACAACTCACTCATCGATCGTTTCTGGCCTGGCCCATTGACGATCATTCTCCCTAATCCTTCTGGTTCTGAGCTGGCTCCAGAGGTAACCTCGAACTTGACGACCTTTGGCGTGCGTATGCCAGCTTCGCCTTTGGCACGTCTGCTTATCCACGCGACGGGGCGTCCGCTCGCCGCGCCTTCGGCCAATGCCTCGACTAAGCCTTCTCCCACCACTGCGCAGCATGTTTATCATGATCTGCATGGCCGTATTGAGCTCGTACTTGATGGAGGCCCGTCCGGTGTTGGTGTGGAGAGTACCGTTGTAGATGGACTATGTGGCACACCAGCTATTCTACGCCCCGGCGGCATCGGCATTGAAGAGCTGCGCGAGTGTGCAGGTTGGGAGAATGTCACATTAGCCTATAACGATGGGACTTTGGACGTGAAGGAGATCCCCCGCGCCCCCGGCATGAAGTACCGCCATTACTCCCCGAAAGCCCGCGTCGTTCTCTTCGAAGCGGGGTCAAACCCGGCCGGTGTGACTCGTCACGTACAGAACGATCTGCACGACACTGCCATCCACGCGCACAACATTGGCATTGTGCGTACCCGTCTCTGGAAGCAGGGCTTAGGCCTTGCGCCAGACACTGTCCTGAGCGGAAAGTCTCAAGCCCGTTGACGCCGCCATTGAGAACCTGCTTAGCTTCACTCTGCCAGTGCAGGAGACTGGGAGCCCGAACAGGCGTACCAAGCTAGCCTACGATTACCATCTCGGCTCCGACACAGCCTCTATTGCACACGGACTCTTTGCTGCGCTGCGCGCGCTAGATGAATGCGACGTCGACGTGATCTACGTGGAGGGGATATCTGACCAGGACGGCGACTTGGCAGCGGCCGTAATGAACCGCTTACGGAAAGCGGCCGGAATAGAGATGAAGGCTTAGAACCTCATTCAACATTGAACGATCTTACGTATTTCTTTGCTTCATCGGACCTGCGGGGGAGTCGAGCATAAAGGTTGAGGGGGATAATACCCTATCCATATTTACGTAGATGCCAACACATTGCACATCTCTTGGACTTTCCAATTCATCCTTAGTCGCATTAAAGTTAACTCTAATGGTCCAAAGAAGAACTGAACAGGATGCATGGATCGGGGACCTCCGACCCACGGTCAAAGCTTATCGGTGTACCTGGCCGCCAAAATTTTCACAACGTGGGCGAGATAAGACGGGGAAATCAGAGCCACTGCCCCGCTCAATCAGGGGAAAGAAAAAGAAAATCCTCCAACCTCGGGTCTTGAGAGGATCGGAGATGGATGAGGATCTGGGTTCCCGGTGAAACAGCCCCCATAGGGACTTTCTGTATATGTAGTCTTCTCCGCACCTTCAATCCAAAGAAAAATTCTTGCTTCCTATACTTCTTCTTCCCGTTCCTTTAGTATCCCCAATGTGTGTATCCGATTTGCATGAATTCCTTCATGGCCTGCCCAAGTGCGAACACCATGTCCACTTGGAAGGTTGCATGAGCCCCGAGCTCATTTTCGAGCTCGCCCAGCGCAATGGCATCGAATTGCCCGCTGCGACCAACCCGGCCTACGCATCCATTGCCTCTCTATCCACGCGCTACGAACACTTCACCTCGCTCGATGACTTCCTCTCCTTCTACTTCCAAGGCATGGCGGTTCTGTGTAACAAGGCCGATTTTGCCGATCTGGCGTGGTGGTATTTCTCCAAGGCCCATGCCGATGGTGTCCACCATGCGGAGGTTTTCTTCGATCCCCAGGTCCACCAAGACCGCGGAATTCCCTATGAGACTATCGCAGAGGGATTCTCAGAGGGTTGTGAGCGGGCGGAACGGGAGCTGGGTATGAGCACCCGGTTGATTCTGTGCTTTGTGCGCCATTTGCCGGTTGAATCGGCGCAGAAAGTGTATGAAGATTTCCTGTCCAGTGGCCATTTCCAGGCGGGTGTGGTCCATGGTCTCGGGTGGTCTTCTACCGAGGTTGGCCCGCCAAAGGATATGTACCGTGCTCAGTACGCGCATGCTCAGACGCAAGGTATCCCGCTGACTGCGCATGCTGGTGAGGAGGGAGATCCCTCTCACATTAGTGTTGCGCTGGAGCTTGGTGCCCAGCGTATTGATCACGGTATTCGGCTGATTGAGGATCCGGCGCTGATGAAGCGTGTTGCGGAGGAGGGTATTCTTCTCACTGTGTGCCCGCTCTCCAATGTGCGCTTGCGTTGTGTTACGAAGGTGGAGGAGGTTCCTATTCGGCGGTTCCTTGAAGCTGGCGTCAAATTCTCCATCAACAGTGATGACCCGGCCTACTTCGGAGGCTACATTCTCGACAACTACTGCGCAGTGCAGGAGGCTCACAAGTTGTCTGTTCTGGAGTGGCGCATCATTGCTGAGAACAGTGTCCAAGAGAGCTGGATTCCAAATGAGCGCAAGGCGGAGTTGTTGGACCGCATTGAGAGTCATGTGAAGAAGTACATGCCTGTTGTATGAATCGGTGATTTGGAGCGTGGTGCTTGGTGTCTGATACCCTGTCATTCAACATTTGTGTTTATCATATTTCTCAACTTTCGACACGATAGATATAAGGGAATCTGTGGTTCATGATTCCCGGTCTGATTTCTTTGATTGAGGGATTCGTCACATATTTGATGCCTGAGGCACTAATAGTAGATCTGGTAAGTCTGGCAGTGCTGTTCTACGACTAACGGTCTCACACCTGCGTCCACTTTGCACGTTGAACTGGATGCCCCGGTTAAGCACTAGCATTTGGGAAGTTGCCCGGTCTACCTCCCAACAACGGGCTTTCAGCCAAAGAGCCATTTCCAGTCTTCGCTCCTCGCCTGGGGTAGTACTTTGGACGTCATATCCATCCAAAATATCAAGCCTCAAGCTTCGTGCCAAAGATTCCATCGCGCTCCGACTTCGTCCCAACTACAGATCGATGTCTACCCCGTCGACTGTACCCGACCGCTACAAGCTGGTCTTCTTTGTTCCAACCGAGAATGCCGAAGCCTGCAAAGAAGCTATCTTTGCAGTAGGCGCCGGCTCATTCCTGGCGGCAAATACACCAAATGCTGCTTTCAGAGTCATGGGACTGGCCAATTTCTTCCGGGAGATGGGGCGAACCCTGCGATTGGGGCGGTTGGGGAAGTTGAGCGGGTCGAGGAGCTCAGGATCGAGGTGATGTGCATCGGGCGCGACCTGATGCTGAAGGCAGTGGAGGAACTGATACGGGCACATCCGTATGAGGAGGTGGCGTATGAAGTTTATCGCATGGAGAATGTGTAGCTCGTTGGTTAGTGGACAGGGCATCGGCGAAATGATGGTGGTCGTATAGGATGCACACTGATGGAAGATATCATGGTAGCGGTCATCTTCAATTCTGAGTTCATACAGGCAGACATAGTCGTCAGGTCTGCATTAGTTTCAAGAATACAGAATGAGAACCATTCAGGATTATATTGCAAGTTGCGATGAATGGAGACAGAATCCAGTGTTTTGTAAGGCGGGAGTAATCTGTCGCTTCTGATTGGCCGAACACCCGGAAAACGCCTCGCCAACTCGATCCGTCATTCTCCTCTCCAACTTCAACCCCGTCTGTTGCGCATCTTTCCTCCAGCCATGGCGTCGAAGCTCTCATCCGTTACACGGGCCAGCCGGGTGCTGCGCCAATTCCCTATTTCCCAATACAGACCCTTTTCCGCCGCTCCCCAACGGCTCAGTGACGCCCTCTCAGTGGTATGCATCCTTCTTGGACCCCTCGACTACCGGTCACGACAATGCGACCGCACGGTAGAACAAAGACCAATGGACTAACAGCACCGCGTCAATAGCACCGTAATAAGCCTCACAACAACCCGTCTATTCCGTTCAAGTTCTCCGAGCAGAACCTCACCCTCGTCGATGAGATTCTTAAGCGCTACCCTCCCCAGTACAAGAAGGCCGCCGTGATGCCTCTGCTTGACCTCGGCCAGCGCCAGCACGGCTTCACCAGCATCAGCGTCATGAACGAGGTTGCCCGCATGCTCGAGATGCCCCCCATGCGCGTTTACGAAGTCGCAACCTTCTACACGATGTACAACCGTGAGCCTGTCGGCAAGTACTTCGTCCAGGTCTGCACTACTGTAAGGCTCCCACTTTCAAACAGAGTACTGGACACTTTCTGACGATATTATCCTTTAGACCCCCTGCCAGCTCGGCGGTTGCGGCTCCGACGCTATCGTCAAGGCCATCAACGAGCACCTCGGTATCACCCCCGGCCACACCACCGAGGACGGCCTTTTCACCTACATCGAGGTCGAGTGCTTGGGTGCCTGCGTCAACGCTCCCATGGTCCAGATCAACGACGACTACTACGAAGATTTGACCCCCGAGTCCATCAAGTCCCTTCTCACTGCCTTGAAGGACTCCGCCAGCGCCACTGGCAACGCTACCAAGGTTCCTGCCCCGGCCCCATGAGTGGCCGTGATACATGCGAGAACAGTGCCGGTCTCACCAACCTTAAGGAAGTCCCCGAGTGGAACCCCGAGGTCATGATGCGTAAGGACGGGGCTTTGGATCAACCCCAACAATAAGGGGCGTGAATGGAATGGTCTTCGTGTTTTCGGTTCAGAAATGGTAAAGTCTATGCCGCGCCCTTTAAGGACACAAGGGTTGCGAAGGAAAAATAGAGGTGCTTGGCACCCTCCATGATGATCAATTGGGGTGTCTTTATTTTGTTTTTTCCCCCTCTACCATGTACAGTACGTGGCTCCTAGCTTTGTCATAGGAGCATCAAGCAAATCGAGCCGAGTTACTATCGGCATTAAATCGCATCCAAATTCCCTTGTTTCTTATCTTGAGTTAGAACTCGATGCATCGGATTTGTTGAGATCGCCTCTTTTTCTTGGAAGTCTTTCTTGGCTTCGCATCACTTTGTGGTAAGGCCAAACCTGACCATTGGCAAACAGCAGGCATTTACGACCAACCTAGATCCTTACAATGGAGACGATGATCACCGTCAGCAGCCACGAATCTGAATCACTTATAAGAGAAGAAAAAGAGAGAGGTGAGACTATATGTATGAAGCGTTAAAGAACCAACAATATCAAACAAGGGGACAACCTGATAAAATGCCTAAAGCACCTTCACGACAGTGAGTGATTGCTCCTGAGCCCTTGACTGATAATGCTGGCCCACCGAGAATATCCTCACGTGGGCACAATCAGCGCCTTCAGATTTCAATACCTGGCTTTGTGATTCTACAAGGCATCTCATTCGAAGTAGCATTTTCTGCCGCACAGTGTGCACCAGCTGAAGTGTCATTTTGCATTGAACATCTAAGCGTACATCTCCAGGAATGTAATTATCCTCAGAAGAAGAAGAGTAAAGAGGGCCGTGGGAATTATGTTTTGATGGTGTACACAACTGAATCTCGTTATGGGCGTAATTTCGGTCACACCAGAATCCACGAATACCAAACGGTTCAGTCGGGGAATGACTGCAATATAGTCTTTAAAGTCGCACATCCACTGCGTGTATATAACAGAAGAGCGGTGTGTAGAAATCCACGATAGTCACTGTGAATATATATCTATGTTGACGGTTGACGTAGTGATAGAAAGTAAAGTCTCGTGCATACAAGATATTTGGGCTCAATGAGTGGAAATGAACGATATTCTCCATACTCCTCTGGCTCCATAAACCACGTTCCCAATAGGTAAGAAGCTGCAAGGTACAAGTCGCAGTTCCCCTAATGTATGAATGTTTCAACTGAACTGAACCGCATCTCTGAAGGATGCTCGACTTAGTCAGCTCTCTGAATACTACTCAGTCATCCGAGCTGATCTTGGAACATGGAGCTCATTAGCTAAAAGGAAAAGATAAACTCGACATCTCAATTTACAGACGATGCTTTGAAGATAGCACACGAGGCTACGTAAAGTCCACAGAACCGGATTCTGTGGATCAGCTAGTCACTACCATATAAAAATCATGATACAGTCTATTCAGAAGCATGAATACGTTCTCAGGAGCTGATACCGAATAGTTTGAAGAGATGACGATGGCAAGTTAGGGCTTCCACGGCTACCGGCGCTTGTTTTATCCGGGCGCTGACTGAGGACGCTTGCTTTTGGTTTGAGTCCTTATCTTTCGTGCAGCGCATGGCGTTTGACAATTGGTTCTTGAATTGGTTCACAGGCATCAGATATAGGATCATTAGTTCCGCAATCTTTCTCGAACGCGTATCAACTCATTTACTTCAAAACATGCAGGCCACTTGTGACTTTCTGATCGAGAAGCGCGCGTCCCCATGCCCTGGGCTAAATCTTGGATTGAGCATGGACGGATTTTAGCTACGATGATATCTCAACAGTGTCAACCTTACCGCAGGCCCGGTGCTCTTCTCACTCACGATGGTGGATAGCTTAACTACAAGTTAAGTCATCTTTCGTCTAAGCCAAAAAAGACAACACCGTGCGTGGGTTCTGGAAATATCAGATTAACTTGAAGGCACAGACTACGTCTGAAGGTATTGAGCTTTGTTAGAGGTAATATGGATTATCCTAGTTTTAAAGTACAGCTGGATTCCACCTTGAAGCTGGTATGCATAATGAAAAACGAGTATATCACTCCAATTGCGCCGCCCTTCGCCATTGAGAAAGTATGAAACATGATGAGAATTGATAGCCCGTGCCAAATGAAGTCTTTTTGCAACAGCATGCCGGATTGGACCGCAAGATCAAAGGTACAGCAATAGGTGAGACATCATCACTACCGCATGCCACCCTGCATAAGCTGCTGACGAAGCAACATGATCTGACTGCGCTCCATCGGAGGCAAAGCATCAATGGCTGATTGGGGCATATTCAGAACTTGCTGCAAAAGCTCGTCTTGGTTGGGCACGCCTGGAGGTGCGGCTGCCTGAGGAGGGGGAGGGGCAAATGGCGTTCCTGCGACAGGCGGGGTACCGATCTGACCAGGCACACCGTATGGCTGCTGGAATTGTTGTGCGGTTTGCTGAACGGGAGCTGGCTGAGCCGCTTGCTCGACGATGGAGCCGAGCAGCTGGTACTCCACAAGGTTCATGAGCAGAAGCGCTTGGAAGATCGCGTATGCGAGCTGTGGAGCTTGACGTAGGAGTTCAGTTGCGCGTGCGGGGTCGGCCACGGCGAGAGCCTTCATCTGTGTGAGGACATCGAGGAGCTGATTGGGTGGGAGAGAGGCGAGAGTGTGAGAGATGGCGTTCGGGCAGTCGAGGTGAGGGGGCACGTCAACGCCCGGAGGAAGAGGAGGCAATGGCGCGGACCCGGGGATCTGCTGAAGCTGGGGCGTCGGATCTTGAGCCATCGATTGCGAATCTTCAGGGTAGTCTGTGGGCACAGAATCCTTCTCGTTGTTGTGAGGCCAATCGACGCGGATTTTGCGGCCCATTATTTCGTAGTCGTTGAGGTTGCGAACAGCTGAAGCCGCCGCATCGGCATCGGCGAAATCAGCAAATCCATAGCCCTTGGGTTTGCCGGTCTCGGGGTTCATCATCAGACGGAACTTGGTGACGGTGCCAGCCGTGCTGAGAATGTCTTTGACTTGCTCCTCCGTGAGATCTACGGATGATTAGTATTGCGCCAGCGGGACCGGTAAAACACACAGCAGAAGGGAACATACTGTAGGGGATGTTCCCCAAGAACACACTCTTTCCCGTGCGATCAGGCGCCATAGCTGCGATGAGGAATGATGGCGTTACAAGGATGAAAGTCGAATGAAGCGCGAAAGAGACATTCTGCCGGACTTTGCTCACCGCCAACTACCTCACCTTCTCTTGACGTCCCGTCTTCATCCACCATCTTTTCAGATCCATCATCACGCTCACATCATGTCTCAGAATCAACGGGAGGCCTGGGAGCGCGTGCAGCTCATGCTGCAAAAGCGCAAGGGTAACTTTGGCGGCATCCCCGGTGGTGGCCGCGGCGGCGGCATGGGTCTGGCTGGTTTGGTGCTTCTCGGTGTCGGCGCCTGGGCAGTCTCAAATTCCCTTTTCAACGGTATGTATGACCTTCAACTGGAAACTGGAATATTCTAACAATCTGTATAGTCGACGGTGGTCACCGCGCTATCAAGTACTCGCGACTGAGTGGTGTGAAGAAGGAAATCTATAGCGAAGGTAAAATCGTCTTTCAAGGAGCTGGAATGAGCTATCACTGATGATCTGGAACAATCGCAGGTACTCATATCCGGATTCCCTGGTTTGAGACCCCTATCATCTACGATGTCCGCGCCAAACCCCGCAACATTGCCTCCTTGACCGGCACCAAGGATTTGCAGATGGTCAACATCACCTGTCGTGTCCTATCGAAGCCCCGCATCGACGCTCTTCCTCAGATTTACCGAACCCTCGGCCAAGACTTCGACGAACGTGTGCTTCCCTCGATCGTGAACGAAGTGTTGAAGAGTGTCGTGGCTCAGTTCAACGCTAGCCAGCTGATCACTCAGCGTGAGAACGTTGCCCGTCTGGTTCGCGAGAACTTGGCTCGCCGCGCTGCGCGCTTCAACATCGCTCTGGACGATGTTTCCTTGACTGTAAGTGCTGTATTTGGATCATTCAAGATGTGCTTCGCTAATCCCGGCCTTCTCCGCAGCACCTGACCTTCTCCCCCGAATTCACCGCTGCTGTCGAGGCTAAGCAAGTCGCCCAGCAGGACGCTCAACGAGCTGCCTTCCTGGTTGACAAGGCTCGCCAAGAGAAGCAGGCTTTCATTGTCCGCGCACAGGGTGAGGCTCGCTCCGCCGAGCTGATTGGTGACGCGATCAAGAAGAGCAAGAGTTATATCGAGCTGCGTAAGATTGAGAATGCCCGACAGATTGCCACTATTATCCAGGAGAACGGCGGTCGTAACAAGTTGTACCTCGACAATGAGGGTCTGGGCTTGAACGTCCACGCGTCGACCGAGGAGGGCAAATAAGTTACATTAATCAGGCGCAGGGTTGTGGAATCATGTACAAATAGCTTTCTAGGAGCATCCAGATGCGGTCTCTTCTCTTTTTTTTCTCCCAACAAAACTACCAAGGTCTTCACAATACCCATGTGCGATGTATCATTAGGTTGTCAATTTGACTGTAGGCAAGGTTCGGGCCACCGTTCACCCCACAGCGTCAATGGATAAGAGACCTGGGCATTTGTTTTTTCTTGAGCTGAGAGATAACATTGAATGCATGGTAGGTAAGTCATATTCCAACGTTCCGAACTGAATTCCAAGGTTCAATGTACGTCTACACGTATTGAAGAGCTGAGATGGCAGAGTCCTGGTATCTTCGGACGCGGGGACGAGGGCGGCGAGCGGGGCTCCACCAACTTTTTTTTATCCGCCACTTTTGAGCTTGACAACGACAAAGACAGACAGCCTTGGTGAGTCCTCACTTCACTGTCGATGTGATCGATCAGTGAACTCTACCTCTCAAAAACTCTGAAAAAAGAAATAACACGCAGCTGCTGACATTCGCCCCCCCCCTAAAGATCACCATGGCTGAACCCACCGAAGACCCCGAAATTACCTTCACGCAGATCGACGTCGATCTTGATGTGCAAGAGATCCTCCTCGCTGCCTCTCAACACGATTTCGCAAAGCTACGCCAGCTCGTCCGGACCCAATCCCAGCTCCCCGATGCAGCCAACGTGAAGGACCCGGAAACAGGCTACTCCCCTCTCCATTCTGCTATCGCTGCCTGCGAGCCCGAAGCAGAAGACAAGACCAACGGCGCCGCTACCATTGATCCCGATTTGTTGAAGTCTGCCATTGCCACAGTCAAGCTGCTCCTGCAAGAAGGCGCGATCTGGAATGATCTCGACAATAACGACGAGACACCGGGGTGTCTCGCCCGGCGCATCGGCGCATTGGAGCTGTACGAGCTGATCGTCGACGCCGGCGTGCGCGCCGAAATGCTGATGAACCGATTGGACGGATATGAAGAGCTCTCCGATGAAGACGAAGATGAGGAACAAGAAGCGAAGGCGGGAAAAGAGTCCGAGACAGCCCCGGAACTCGTCGATGCCTCCGTGCAAGAAACTGCCCGGACAGACGCACCTGCAAACCCCCAAGTCTCTAATCGAGGCTACCTAGACTCGAATCTCACTATCGAACAAGACCGGATCCTCGACTCAGACCAGAATGGTGTCATGATGGAATGGGAGCGCGAGATCATGCGCAAATCTGCCGAAAAGCTCCTCCCGACCCCAGGCCTGAAGGTTTTGAATATTGGCCACGGAATGGGGATCGTGGACGGATTTTTACAGGAGAAGGCGCCTACATCGCACCACATCATCGAAGCGCATGCTGATGTTGTGGCAGAGATGAAGAAGCGTGGCTGGGATAGTAAGCCTGGTGTTGTGATTCATGAGGGCCGGTGGCAGGATATTCTGCCTGCTCTGGTGGCGAACGGAGAGACGTTTGACGCGATCTATTATGATACGTTTGCAGAGTCGTATGCTGATTTCCGCGATTTCTTCTCGGAACAGGTTATTGGGTTGTTGGAGCAGGAGGGGAAATGGGGTTTCTTTAATGGGATGGGTGCTGATCGGCAGATTTCTTATGATGTCTACCAAAAGGTTGCCGAGATGGATCTGTTCGAGGCGGGCTTTGATGTTGAGTGGGAGGATATCCCGGTTCCCAAGTTGGAGGGCGAGTGGGAGGGTGTAAGGAGAGCGTACTGGGTTGTCGATAATTATCGTCTGCCTTTGTGTCGGTTTATGGATTAAGATGGATGTGCGAGATGAGGTGCAACGGAATATACCCTTTCCCTTCTTTTACCCGGGAAGAAAATAATTCGCTTTATGATACAGAGAAATGGGACGCTTGAGAGAACGCTATACCGGGGAATACAAACAACGCTTATGATATGTAATGATCACAACTGAATCAAGTCCACCTCGGAAAAATCTGGTGGGCTGCGACTGAAGATCGTGCGGCATTTGCCGTCTAGGGCTTGGTACTCATTACTCACCCAGATGTGCTTGCTGAAACGCTGGGTCCGATAGATTTCGTCGTCACTGACTCCTAAATCATCACGAGGAATCCAGACGACTGGGCGCTTGGCGCGGAGGGCTTCGTGTTGGAAGGCACGTTGCACCAGTTGGTCACGTTCATCAGGTGTCAGATCCTCCAGCTCGTCATGGATGCCTTCGAATAGAGCATGGCCGACTGCATTGGTGGGAGGCCCCTGGGCCTCCGTATCGTGTGCCATCTTCTCGCGCAGGGCTTGGATAGTCGGACTGGCGGTGGCTGTATTGACCCCAAAAAACTTGGACCTTCGATTAGGGGAGCGATCGGCCCACGATGGTCGCTTGGTGCCACTTCGGGGAGTCGAAAGTAGGCCACTCGAGTTGTTGCGATTCAGATGAGCCCTTCGATCCGCTTCCAAATTATTCAACTCGATATCTCGACCTCGCTCATCTTCATCATGACCCTGGTCACGTTCTTGTTGTTCTAATTTGGCGAGGCTGCTCTCGTGATGATCATTATCTCCTTCCCCATCGTCAATGGCAAGTCCAAGCCGGGCGTATTGAGCACGCTCAAACTCTGCGTCCCGACGAACGGCTTCATCTTCCAAGGTGATGGGCAAATACCGAATCAAGGGCCCGAATGCGTCGGTCAGAAGGATTTGATATCCGATGGTCAAAACCGTAACGACAATCATGATAATGCCCTGGCCTTTGCAGGCCAATTCACCTTTCTCATTCTCGACCAGGAAGAACAAGCCGATCAAACACAGTTCCATGACGTACAATCCAGTAAAGAGCTGACTGATGGCGCGAGGAAACAAAAGACCGCCAGTGTCAAAGCGGAACTTTGTGACGTACAGCGTGTTGTATCGATATACGAACCAGAACAAGCTGAATGTGATGATGTTGAACACTAGAATCAGGGGTGCAACCACGGAGTAGATCAACCCTACGAGACAGTTAGAGAAGTCTAGGTGGAAAAAGAGGTGGGGGCTATATATACCAATAGAGGCAAGCGTCGTGTACATGGGGAAGAAAGTACCCCAGTGCATCTGATTCAGGTTGGTCGTCCGAGCCCACTTCTTCCGAGCAGTTTTGTCCAGGATGGGAGCAAGAATAAACCAGCTAATCAAATGAACGATTTGCACAAGCGCACCGGCGCTCACAGACATGGCTTGAAGAATCATGTAGGAGAAGAAGTAGTTGCTCGACTTGGGGATGTTGTTGGCCAACAGCTGCGGCCAGCTGGTCACGTTAGCAACATTGTCGACGATTGTACTGAAACTGGATGCGATCGTGACAATCAAGAACAGCTGGACAAACAAAAATGCAAAGTAGTAGTTCTGAACTGTCAGTTCAACGGCCATACCCGTATGCAGACCCTGAGTCCGACACAAAAACCGTAGAATCAAGGGTAGGAGTGCCATCAGGATGGCCAAACAAGCAGCGGGTAGAACACCCTGAACGGCAGATATAAACCAATTCGGCAGCTTGCTGATCCAAGCCAGCCATGGAAACGTCCCTTCCAGGTACGCCAATTGAGAGAGAAGGCCGGTGAAGGCGACAGGAAATGCCCAGCCAATAACCATGGCGCAAACCAGGGTAATAATACCGAAGGTGCGCAGATAGCGTTCCCACCACTTGATAGACATGTTATCCCAGATGACATCATCGGGGGGAGATTTCGACAACACGTGGTGCCATTTGCTTAGGCAGATGGTGAGTAACGGACTGACATGCCATGTGTGCAGCGACTTGGTGGTTGAACTGGATGAATGCCGAATTCATCAGCGGGAATCGTTCTGGGTGCTGCTGATCAATCTCGATCTCGAGATTTAACCTAGCAAGTTCCTTGCGACAATAGTCGATCGTATCAACCTTTTTCCCGACGAGCCAGAGCGAAGGCATCCAACTCCAACCAAAGATAGGAAGGCGATGAGTGTCCCGATCTTTTTGGCGAATGTATTTCTGCCACATCGGCTCCCCGTAGTCTTCGTTCTCAAAGTCCTCATTGTAGGCGATGGGATATTGCTCTCCTTCGACCTTATCACCCTCTTTAAGACGCTTCCGGCTGTCTATCTTCTGATCAGCTTTCTTAAATGACTTGTCCGAACCCAGGCGGGGTCCGTTATCGACGGGAGTAACGGGGCCAGTAAGAGGATGTTCGTCGGCTTCTCGCGCAGAACGTTTCGAGGTGTGGGAAGATAGTCGCTGCTTCCAAGACGGACGCCTCGGTGCCTGTTGCGTATCCTGGCACATAGAGCTGGCAATTGGAGGCTCTGGAGTAGGAAGCTTCGTGGCAGAAGAAGGATGTTCAAGAGAAAATTGGTTGGTGTGGGAATCTTCATCATTCTGTGTCGGGGTGACTGTTCGAGGGGGCGCCGTGTCATTCATAGTGTCGACATAGCCGCCTGTCCGGGTCAAGGTGTTATCAAAGCCAACCTCAACCTTCTTCAGGCCCCCCAGCACCGACTTGCCCAATCTGCCGACACCTTGGCCAACAGCACCAACAGCTGCGAGAGGAAAGATTGCGTCTGTCCGCGATCCAGCAGACGTGTTTCGATTGTGTGTGTCGGGTTGTCGGTGAAGTACTTCGCGTAGCGTGTGTGCCTGATGGGGATCACCTGAACTGACACCGGGTCCCATCGCAATCTCAGCCGCACGCCGGTCAGTGGCCATTTTTTCTTTATCCTCAGCCTTGGATTTGTTCTTCCCAGATTTTTTGGCCTCGACCTTTAATTTTTTCAGCGCAGCCTGTTTGCACTTGGAGATAAGTTCCGTCTCAGCGGATTCAAGTTTGAGCGCGAGTTGTTGTCGCGCTTTCACCTTTTCGTTCAACTCATCAAAATTGCGATTGATCCAAATATTGCGAATTCCGCCAGGGAAGACGTCAAAGAGAGCATCAAGGGAATCAACATCATGCCAGCCAGGCGGAATAGCCGTAACCAGTACAGTGGTTGCAGATGCACGAAGTCGATGTTGCGGGGAGGTCATGTAAGCCTGTCGCAAGCGAATATAGCCTCGCAATTCGTCGAAAAAGATAGCGCAGACATAGACAACCACAATAACCGCCATGACAAGGTGAGCCCAATACCGACTAGTATGCTCGGGTTTGACATTTCCCCAGGCCAGCTGATCCAAGCCAGACACGTTCCACGAGGACGACGAGTCTGTCGCATTTTTGCGAGTTGTGCCCTTTCCACCAACACGGTTGATTGGAAGGAGGACGGGTAGAATCAACAGCCCAAGAGGGACGAAGATCTTTAATAGCATCCGCAGATAGCATAGGAAGAAGTATGCGTCTAGGCCGCATTTTTGGATGAATTCTGAGCTGGAAGTTCGAAACACCGGGCCAATCCAGCGGAAGAGACCCGGTGGTGATGGTTTGGTTCGTTCTCGATCTGGGACTAGATAAGTTCGTGGTTGACTAGTTGATGGTCAGCCGTGGCCTTCGCCGCTTCAGTGTACAAGTGAAAGCAGGAACTGACTAAATGCGGGTCAATTTGCCCTTGAGTAGTAGGAAGAGCAGGAATTCGACCACGAAAACGATGATAGCCGTCGCCAGCGACGCAAGAAAGGTCTGGATCGAGATACCCGAGTCGGCTCTGCCGGTCCCACCAGCGTGCTCCAATGCTTCCCCCAACCCCGTCATCGTGATCGGCCGAGAGAGGACACTATGAGAAAGACTGGAACCTCAGAAACTGCAGATATTGAAGAGATAAGTCACAAGCATCCCAGACTTGCTCCCGCACCTATCGACTTGAGCGCAGCGAAGGGCAATGCCGACCTAACCAAGCGAATATAAGGCAAGAAGGACTTTAACAAAGGAAAGTTGACAACAAAGCTTGATCAACGGTAAAGCGTCGATGAACGCTGGCCTTGAGCGTCACACGATGACAACAGTGGCTGGAGTTTGAGGAGGCGCTCAGGGCTGCGCTAGCCCCCCCGCCAAAGCAATGAGCCGTAGGAATGATTGGATCGCCGATCGGGATGTAAAATGACATCAAGCGTCTGGTGAAACAGCCAAGCAGATTTCGGCGGCTTCAGGCAAATAAAAGCCGATTCGATGCGGACCGTTGAGTCGCTGCAGGTTGCAAGTTCTTCTTGGAGACACAAAAGCAGGACACCAACGAAGGGGTCCGATACCTGTTCAGCCTGCTAAGGGTTATGCCCACTCCACTTGTAAACAAGTTGCTTAAAAGGGGAAGCCCTGCTGATTGGCCTGAACGATGTGGCGGTGCTGATTCTGCAATCGACCGCATTATGTAATTCAAGCCTGAGGCATAAGTTCTAGCTATACTAAGATCACGTGCTGTGGCGGCCGACGCGAAGTCCCAACAAGGAAACCACTTAACGCGAGTCGCGCGTCGCGTAGCAGAGCTTTTGCTCCCTTTTTTGGATCCGCTCGACTCCAACACATTTATCCATCCCGCCCTCTCCCCAACATTCACTCACCTCAAGATGTCTTCACCGACAAAGCGGGGGACACGTTCCTCAAAACAATCGACAGCATCGCCGGTCTCATCGGCCCGATCAACTCGGTCAACTCGATCGGCTCGCGAACCTCCTAGCAGCCCGACTCGCCAAGCCACCCCCCGCGCTGCCAGACAGTTGACCGCTGAAGGAAATGGTCTATCGTCATCGCCGATGGCCTACCAGTCATCGCCTATCAGAGGACGCCGAGATACAGAGACTCCAGATGTTCGCATGGACGAAGCCAGCTCCCAAGTTGATGATGGGGATAGAACCCCTCGCGCTGTTCAAAGCGGGATTCGAGGTACGTTGCCAAAGAAGAGCGCCAAATACGCCCCATTAGAATCGGTCAACATTGATTGAGACTGATTCTTCCACAGACTCATCGCCGATCAATTACATCGCCAGCTCTAGCCCCGCCCCTGGTTATGGCCGAACAGATATTCGTTCCGACATCCGCTCCGATGCTCTGAGCGAAAGCAGTGCGCTCTTTGTATCGCCAAGTCACGGTCGCCGGGCTGCTCCTCGTCGAAGCGATCTTCACTCTGGTGGATTTGGCTCAACTCCTGCTCGCCGCAACCGCATTTTCGTCGGTGCCAATGGCATCCCCTCCGAAGACAATGCTCCTCGCTCCGACGCCACGTTCTCTAACATCAACCCCGGCACCTCGGAGGCTGAGGCTATTGCCGGTAACTCCTCGCGTGTCATTTGGGGTACCAACATTTCGATCCAGGATTCTATGTCCGCTTTCAAAAACTTCTTGTACAACTTTGCTACGAAATATCGCCTGTGGGCCGATGGCGCTTCTGAAGACGAGACAAGGATCCTGGGTGCGGTGGCAGAGAGGCGCGAGTATATTACCATGCTTAACGACATGCGCCGTCTCGGTATGACGACCTTCAACCTGGATGCCAGGAATTTGAAGTCCTACCCCCTGACCTTGAAGCTCTGGCACCAGCTGTCCGCATATCCTCAAGAAATTATTCCTTTGATGGATCAGGCGGTCAAGGATGTGATGGTTGATTTAGCTCTCAAGGAGATGGACGTCCTGCGGTCGGAGATCCAGCGTGGTGCTCAATCCCGGGACCGTCGTGGCCAGTCCATCCTTACATCCGATGGCATCGTTCAGCCAGCTGATGTTCCCGACTTGATTGGTGAAGTTGAGGCCGTATCCTACAAAGTGCTCCCATTCGGTCTTGATGAGACCGTGAATATGAGAGACCTCGACCCGGCTGATATGGATAAGCTCGTTAGCATCAAGGGTCTAGTTATTCGGACTACCCCCATCATTCCCGACATGAAGGAGGCTTTCTTCCGCTGCAGCGTTTGCAGTTTCGGTGTCCAAGTTGACATTGACCGTGGTCGTATCGCGGAGCCCACTATGTGTCCCCGTGATAGCTGTAAATCGAAAAACTCGATGCAGCTGATTCACAACCGATGCTCATTCTCAGACAAGCAGGTTATCAAGTTACAAGAAACACCCGATAATGTTCCTGACGGCCAGACACCTCACTCCGTCTCTCTTTGCGTTTACGATGAACTCGTGGACATTTGCAAGGCTGGTGATCGTGTCGAGGTGACAGGTATCTTCCGCTGTAACCCGATGCGTGTGAGTGCTCGTCAGCGCTCCCAGAAGGCCCTCTTCAAGACATACATCGATGTTCTTCACGTTCAAAAGGTCGATCGCAAGAAGATGGGCATCGATGTGTCCACCGTCGAACAGGAGATGTCTGAGCAGGCTGCTGAAGCCGACCAGGCACGCAAGATCTCTGCCGAGGAGGAGGAAAAGATCAAGCTCACTGCCTCTCGCCCGGATGTCTACGAGCTGCTGGCCCGCTCCTTGGCTCCCAGTCTTTACGAGATGGATGATGTGAAGAAGGGCATTCTACTGCAACTATTTGGGGGTACCAACAAGACTTTCCAGAAGGGTGGTAATCCTCGCTACCGTGGAGATATCAACATTCTCCTCTGTGGTGATCCTTCGACCGCCAAGTCACAGCTGCTGCGCTACGTTCACAAGATTGCTCCCCGCGGCGTCTACACCAGTGGTAAGGGTTCTTCGGCCGTCGGTTTGACTGCCTATGTGACTCGTGACCCGGAGACTAAGCAGATGGTTCTTGAGTCTGGCGCCCTAGTTTTGTCCGATGGCGGTACTTGCTGCATTGACGAGTTCGACAAGATGAACGACGCAACCCGATCCGTGCTCCATGAAGTGATGGAGCAGCAGACCGTATCTATTGCCAAGGCTGGTATTATCACAACTTTGAACGCGCGTACTTCCATCCTGGCCTCCGCCAACCCCATTGGCAGTCGCTACAATCCCAGACTGCCTGTTCCCCAGAACATTGATCTTCCCCCAACCCTGCTCTCTCGTTTTGATCTGGTATATCTTGTGCTTGATCGTGTCGATGAGACTGAAGATCGCCGCCTGGCAAAGCACTTGGTCGGCATGTACCTGGAGGATGCTCCGGAAAATGCCAGTTCTGAGGAGATTTTGGTAAGATCACCCACCCTGCCCCCTCTGAATTACTTTTGTTGATTAATTCCGATCTAGCCCATTGAATTCCTTACTGCCTACATCACCTATGCCAAGACCCAGATCAACCCTGTTCTGACCCCCGAGGCCGGCAAGGCCCTCATCGACGCCTACGTTGCCATGCGCCAACTAGGTGACGACATTCGCTCCCAAGAGCGCCGCATCACCGCCACCACCCGACAGCTGGAATCCATGATCCGACTTTCCGAGGCTCATGCCCGTATGCGCCTGTGCTCCGAGGTGACAGCCGCCGATGTCGAAGAAGCCGTGCGTCTGATTCGCTCGGCCATTAAGCAAGCCGCGACTGACTCGCGCACGGGCCTGATCGACATGGGTCTATTGACCGAGGGAACCAGTGCAAGTGAGCGCCGCATGCGCGAAGATCTTAAGCGCGCAGTGCTGGCTCGCCTTGATGAGCGCGGTGGCGTTAGCGGTGCTGCTGTCCGGTGGTCCGAGTTGTTCCGCGACATGGGAGAGCATAGCGACACAGCAATTGATCACAACCAATTTAATGATGCCGTTCGCTCGTTGGAGGCGGAGGGTGCGGTGCACATTTTGGGCGAGGGTGTTCGACGGAGTATCCGCCGTGCCGCGCTCGGCATGTCGTGATTTTGCCAATTCATCCTCATCCTCTTTCTACAAATTTATTCCACGATGCAATGATCCGAGGATGCATGTCCTTGCTTTTCCCGCCTGTGATACAAGGTGTTCATTGGCGTTGGAAGGCTGCATTATGTATTTTTCTCTCATTATTTTTCCTAGTGATCTTATGGAAATCCATGTTCCGAGATGTCGCGTGAGGTCTTGCCCTTTTTGGGTATTGAACACAGTAGGGCCACCCGCTCAACGGAATGTGGACATTGTAACTTGGTACAAATCGGGCTACCAGTAACTATCTGTATGTCTCGCCCGTCGCTTCCCTAACCCTCCCCACTCGGGCTTCTCCGTCCAATTTAGTGGGCCTGGATGGTTCCGGCTCGCCTCTGGTTCACTAGGGGCGTCTAGGAAAATCTATGCCAGCACCTTCCCTTTCTGGAGACTTGTTTCGAAGTAATCTTTCTGAATTCTGCCCGTCCATCTCACTGCCGACAATTGGGTACGTACAGATATCCATATTTTCTAGACTTTAGGCTCTAGACTCTAGACTCTCGGCTTGGATGCCATGGAGGGCAAAGAAACATTTGCCTGTCAGGTCCACACTTTCCCGTTCATTACCCACCATACCCGCATGGGTCTTGTACCAAACTACCTTTGCCGAGAAAAAATGGTGATGATCACGAAGAAACTCGACAAGAGGACAGGCAAAGAGGTGGCTCGGATCTGCACGTGGAAACAGAGACCCTCAATGAGCTCATTTGAAACAGCCAACAGCGCCTCTTGCCGCGGAAGACAGCATGCGTCGTTGTGATATCAAAGAGAACAAGCGTATTTTTACCACGCTTAGTGTCATTTTAGCGCAGCACGTGTGGTTCTGACGGCAGTCATTGGTTCCGATGTCTTCAGAGGCGGGGCCAGCATGACTCAGCAGAACTGCCAGCTACTGACGCACAGACCAATCAAGGCGCTTCATCGTGCAGCGATGCGTAGTGGTAGTGCCCATCCCAAAAAAATAGAATCATGATATTCATTGCACTTTGTACGACCCGGTATTGTCGACGTATCCGACAAAGATAACTTTAATCTGCCATCTTTGTCTACAGTACGCGAGCGCCCTAGTAAGTAACATTGGTATCCTGGAAACGTGTGGGCCCCAAGAGGTGACTTGACCCGTTCTCGGGCGGCGGCCGATAAAGCATCCATTCGGCTCCGTTCCTCTCTTCGTCTCTCTCGCGTTCTCTGTTTTTTCTCCTACGCAATTGCAGCACTTCCTCGAGTTTTTCACACACTCTTCGAGTCTCTCTGCCCATTATGAGGTGAGTACCCTGCATTCCTATGCTAATTTTCCGATTTATTCTCGTGCCCAAGAATGTCCTCTGTTCCCCGCATGCTGACTTAGCCCTCCAGGTTCGGTGAGCACCTCCGATCCTCCATTATCAGGGAGTATTACCCTTATTACATTGCCTACGATGAGCTGAAGAAGGCGCTCAAGACCGACTTCGTCACCGAGCCGGCGCCCAACAATGCGAAGCCCGATCGCCTCGAATGGTCCGAGGACGACGAGAAGCACTTTGTCACCTTGCTCGAGAGCGAGTTGGAGAAGGTCTTCCTGTTTCAAAAGCGCAAGAGCGAGGAGATTGTCGAGAGAATCAAGACGAGCGAATCCGAAGTGAATGATGTAGTCTCGCGTCTCGATGATGCCACCGGCTCTCGCCGCCAGAGCGGCCGTGCATCCCAGCCCCCACCTACTGACGAGGACTTCTTGGTCCTCGAGCAGGTCCTCAGTGATATTATTGCGGATGTCCATGATCTCGCCAAGTTCACCCAATTGAACTATACGGGCTTCCAGAAAATTATTAAAAAGCATGACGTAAGTTCTGATGTCGCGCCAGCCATCGTTCCAGGCATGGCCCTCGAGCTGTCCAGATAGCTAACTCCCAAATAGAAAGAGACAAATTGGTACCTGAAGCCTGTCTTCGCCGCCCGTCTGAATGCCAAGCCGTTCTTTAAGGATAATTACGATGCCTTCGTGATCAAGCTCTCCAAGCTTTATGACCTGGTTCGCACCAAGGGTAACCCAGTCATGGGTGACTCGTCCGCCGGCGGATCCCAGCAGAACTTCGTTCGGCAAACTACCAAGTACTGGGTCCACCGCGACAACATTACCGAGTTGAAGCTGGTCATTCTGAAGCACTTGCCCGTGCTGGTTTTCAATGCTAGCAAGGAGTTCGAGGAGAAAGATACCGCCATCTCCTCTATCTACTACGATAACACCGATACATGGGAGCTGTACCAGGGCCGTCTGAAGAAGACCGAGGGCGCAGAGGCCATCCGTCTGCGCTGGTATGGTGGCATGGAGAGTGACCAGATCTTCGTGGAACGCAAAACTCACCGCGAAGACTGGACTGGCGAGAAATCTGTCAAGGCCCGCTTCTCGCTGAAGGAGAAGAACGTCAATGCATACCTCAATGGCAGCATGACCGTTGAACAGATCTTCGAGAAGGCCCGCAAAGAAGGCAAGAAGAGCCAGGCCGAAATTGACGACCTCGAGCAGCTAGCCCGCGAGATTCAGTACCGTGTCATCACTCGTCGTCTCGTGCCCGTTACTCGCACATTCTATCACCGAACCGCCTTCCAGCTTCCTGGTGACGCCCGTGTGCGTATTTCTCTCGATACCGAGTTGACGATGATTCGCGAGGACAACCTGGACGGTCGCCGCCGTGCCGGGAACAACTGGCGCCGCATGGACATCGGTGTCGACTTCCCCTTCTCCCAGCTGCCCCGGAAGACATTGACCGCTTCCCCTACGCTGTGCTGGAGGTCAAGCTGCAGACCCAGGCCGGCCAGGAGCCGCCCCAGTGGATTCGTGAGCTGACTGCCAGCCACCTCGTCGAGGCCGTGCCCAAGTTCAGTAAATTCATCCACGGCACTGCCACGCTGTTCCCAAGCCGCATCAACCTACTCCCCTTCTGGTATCCCCAGATGGACACTGACATCCGTAAGCCTGTCAATCGTCGCTACGGTATTCAGCGTCCTCTCGCTAGTACATCTATTTCCGCGAATGACGAGGACTCGGATGACGATGAGTCGCCTGATTCCGAAAATGGTCCCCCAGAATGGCTACTACACAGAGTATGGCAACGACGGTGGTCTTTTCTCGGAAACCAATGGCAACGAGCTGGATGTTGAAGAACGCATCGCCGCGCAGCCTGTCGCCGGTGATGAAGACTACCCGCTCTACGATTCCGACGACGAGACTGACGATACGGACGCGCTCGAAGAGGCTCGCCGCGTCGGCGGCGCCTACTATGCCGAACAGCTCATCAAGCATTATGTGTGCAAGACCGCCAAGACAGTGGCCTATGGTCTTCTTGCTATTGTCCCCCGCCCTACCCCTACCTCTCTCCCACCCGCCGAACAGCGTGGAATTGCCGTGCTGCAGGGAACTCAGCGTTCTCTCCAGCGATTCCAGGCTCCTCCAGGAAAGCGTAAGTGCCCTTTCTGTCTTAGCTCCCGATGCATCCATTAACACTGCCCAGGTATCTTCGTCCCTGTTCGTGTCGAGCCCAAGGTCTACTTCGCCGCTGAGCGAACCTTCCTTTCCTGGCTCGAATTCTCGATCATTCTCGGCGGTATTGCTGCCACTCTTCTCAACTTTGGCGTTGACAGCGTCTCTCTCGCATCTTCTTGGGCCTTCACCGTCCTCGCTGCCGGTGCCCTCATCTACAGTCTCGTCCTGTATGTCTGGCGCGTGGACAAGATCCGCAAGCGCCGCGATGTGAAGCGCGTGTATTACGAAAAGTGGGGCCCCACCGTTGTTAGCGTGGGTCTCGTTGTCGTTGTGCTGGTCAACTTTGGTCTGCGTGTTCGTGCTGGTGGCTTCATGGCTGGTGACCAGAAGCCCGGCCGTCATGGCGATGAGCTGTAGGTTTGACTGTCTGCACATTTCGATGTATGATAGCCTTGGCGGCACTTTGTATGTAAGGCGCATGGGGTTGATAGCTAGGCGTTTGGAAAGTGTACATTTTAAGAGCATCAATGTCTTTTGAATATATTTGATCATTAGCATCACTTGGTTTCGGGTCCCAATCCTTTGTTTAGTTTGCCTTCACTTTCGACCCGGTCAATATTGTTCTCCGTCGATCGTTCTTCATCCCTCCTCTTTCCTACTTCCTTCTTCCCATTTCCTATTTCCTTTTCACTTTCCCCAACCAGCATGACTGCGCCGGAGAACGAGCCTGAGGGGCCCATCCGGCGAGAGGCTGCTCTCACCGCTCGTGATGCCATTACCCATCAGTACGCGACTTCAACCAAGAAGGAGACCAAGACACCCTCGACGAAGAAGTTCCCCAACCTCTCGCAAGACAACACTGCTCAAGCGAAGAGACGCATTTCCATTGTCATCTCAGATGCTGAAGACAAACCCCCGCGTAAACGCATCGGTTCAACTCTTTCCACGAACACCACCATCAACAACTGTCTGCAGTGAGCCTTACCCCAAAGCATACTTCTACAAACATTGACTTTCCTCAGACCAAACCCCGGAGCTGAGCCCGTCAGCCAAGCCGATTTCAACACCCTCCGCAGTCTCGTAGCCCGACTCTTGCACGAGTCCCACGCAGACCGAGCTGCCAACCAAGAATTGAAAGACGAAATCGCCACGCTCAAGCAATTCGTTGTCACAGTCTCCACCCTTCTCGAGACTTATGACCGTGTCATCGATAAGACACAGATCAAGGCTCTTGAGGCTCAGCTCTTGTCGGAGCGTAACGAGGTCCGTTTGACTCGGTTTGAACAGGTGGGAAATACCTTGATCTAGGTGCTGGAAACCTGCTGATAAACTGGAGTTTCTGGAGCGAGGACCTGCTTGCATGGAACCTGCGATTCAGTCTTGTAAGGAGGAAGTGATGCTGACTGATAATTAAATGGTCTGCGATGATACGTAAGTACTGATCACTGAGAATCTAGTAAGATACACAGAGTGCTAGTTAATACAATTTGCCATATTCACGATATTCTTGTGCTTGAGCCACCATCCTTTAGTGGAGATAGAAGTATAGAAGTAAAAGATCTTCCTAGCAGGTCACAACGACAGTTCTAGAGCCTCGGCCAAGTGGATAGAATGAGTTCTCACAGATCTGGCGTCCATACAATAAAAAAATCGCATCCAATGTTCATCAAACCCTCACCCTAACTACATTCTATATTCTGATTACCATCCTCTCAAACAAGTCCGTCCCATCGCTTCAAGGATCCCAGCTCCTTCCAATATTCACCTCACCTCCCCTCATCTCTACCTACTTCTCTTCAATATCTTTCATCATGGGTCCGCGTCGCAGTCCACGCACCAATACCTTCAGTTCCCAAGACTGTCAACATGGGAAGCGATCTGACTCCGTCGCAAGCTTCGAATCACCATCCTCAACCCAGCCCAAGGAAGAACTTCAAAATCCCACGATCAATGCTAACACACACACAGACATGGATCTTCCTGTGAACTACGAGACTGTGGATGGAGGTTCAAGCCTCAAACGCCGTCGCACTTTCCTGTTGGAAATACCATCTGGCAGCTCGGCTTTTAGTCAAGGCAACCAGTCGTCCTCCATCAACTCTTCCCCTATGAAATCATCCCCGGTCAAGTCAACCCCCATAAAACAGGAAAAGTGTCAGCCCCTGTCTCGTTCCCCGATTCGAAAGAGACCTTTCAAACCCAATAAATCGACCCCGACGCAGTATGTATCTCAAACAAAGTGATCATATCAAACTAACAAGACCAGAGCCACGCTCCAGCCGCAATCGGACAACACGCCTCGCGCAGAATTTGAAATCGTGAAACTCCGCGCCGAGCTCTCCCAGCTCCGTCTCGATTTCGATATTGAGAAGCAGAGGAATGAAGCCCTTCGATCGCAGTTTGAGGTTGAAAGATGTCTGAACGAGTTCTTGCGTGGCCAGACCATCGCCGAGCAGAATTTGAACAAGTCTCTCTTGAAGCAAATTACAGCCCTGGAGCAGCGAATGGACCGCCTGGAACCTACTTTTGTTACGATTCAGCATCTGAAGCAGGTTCTGTTGACTTGGTTGCGGGATTATCTGGTTCACACTAGGACTGAGTCTGGGGATAGTTCTCAGCAAGTGGGTCGTTCTCAGCAGTAATTCAAAAGGGTGATTCTTAGCGACAGTGTTGAAGTAAAGGAAGAGTCCTTGAAGGTGGGGATAGTGGTATGATACAAATACTTGCAGATACTGCCTCGAAGAAGAGTTAACATCCTGTCATCTACTTTGTGATCGCACGCTATGGAAAGAAGTACTCTATGAAGAGGAGCTCTATGAAAAGAATACTCTATGGAAGAAGCATGTAATTGAAGAAAATCTCAGTTTGATAATGATATCATTAGCCGCAGTGTCTCCATCTCTCCATCCCGTGATGGATAACAAATAGATCAGAAAGTCAATCGCACACAGGGAACGAAACCACCCTGGCCCATTAGGATTAGCTAAAATATATTAAGTTAAGAAATTTGGCCGAATAAAGTGTAGCAAACATAGAAACCACAAGATACCAGATCGAAAACCATCATCATGATGCACAAGTAAGATTGTATTTTCGCACCTTCCGAGGATCATCAGTCTTCTAATCGAGATCCGAATCCGAGCAATCAGTATCATCAGCATAGTGACAGATGAGGTAAACCATCAAATTCACTAGATCTCGCCGACTATAATTTATGGGCACTCTCGGTCACGGAGCAGACAGCAAAGTCCATTTACTTTACACCGCAACTGAGGGAGTGGTCCTCGTCGCAGAAAATATGATGGTTTGTAAAAAATACTGACATCCATCAACGGAAACTAGTCTACCGTTCATGGTCCTTGTGAAAGTGTGTACTCGAAAAGCACGGCTCATATCCCATATCAACAAACTCAACAATAAAGCAGTCACACGTATGGGTTATAGTCAACCACTGGAATAATGGTATCATCAAGACTCACAGCATTGGGGTTACTAGCCCCAACGCCAGAATACTTGTTAATCCAACCCAGAACCTGCTGATGCCATACCAGACTATTCTCCTGGTTTGTGACCCTATACAAATGTCAGTTCTACCATTAAGACTTGGATCTCTAACAGTCAGAAGACTTACCAATGATTTTCATCGGGGAAGTTGAGCAGTCTGCTGGGTACACCACGCATCTGCAAGACATTGAACAGACTGAGACCTTCTGAGATGGGCAGCCGGAAGTCTAGGTCACTGTGGATGATCAGCTGTGGCGTATCCATTTGCACGATGTGTTCGGGAGCTGATGGGTCCCAGCGGCGATAGTTGTCGCGGTCTCCCCAGAAGGTGCCATTGAACTGGGCATGTTAGCAAACGATCCAGGAAGCACGAAGCAGGGTACGTACATCGTGTTCGATGAACCACAACTCTTCCGTCGATATCTTGGCATCGGCAACGAATGTTCCATCATGGCTGACCAACGCTTTGAATTTGCGACCCAAGGGGTTGCCTTGAATCCAATTGATCATGAATCCGCCATAGCTCGCACCGGCCGCAACACCGTTGTCCGTGTCGATGAATTCGAAGTTGTCACGCACATATTCCCAGCACTTCACCAGATCATCATAGGGATAGCTTCCTATTCAATGTGAGACTTTGGATTAAACGAAGAGCATTTATTTGAGACGTACCCCAGTTGTTCGTGATCATATCGGTAAGCTTGTCACCAAATCCAGTACTGCCGGTTGGGTTCGGAGCAACCACTACGTATCCCTGGTCGGCCCAAACCTTGTAGTTCCACCGAGTACTCCAGGAATCGGCCCACGAACCTTGAGGACCTCCATGAATATAGAACAGAAGAGGGTATTTCTTGGACTTGTCGAAGTCTTGAGGATAGATAATCCAAGAATGGATCTAGCAAAATTAGCAATGCACACCTCAGTTGATAGACAAAGCATACATCAGTCCAATTTCCTTCGTAGTAGAACTCATCCACATCCGCAGGGCTCATACCCTTGAGTGCAGGATCAACCTTATTTGCCGAAAAGATGACATTCGTGATACCCTTCTCCGGCGTCGCTGTATACATGATACGACTCGTCCACATCGCCGAACCGGAAACCAGAATCTCACCATTGGGAAGGTTATGGTATGAACTCACGGAGCCACCATCAGTAAAGTTGCAGGGACGAAATCATCACCCGCATTCGAAGGCAAGATGAATAGTCGATTCCGTGCTCGGTCCTCGGTGTTGAGAATTAGGCTTTTACCATCGGTGGTCCATTTGGCCGCGCTAGGCGAGCGATCCCAATCCTTCGCCAGAGCCGGAATTGTCTCCTTTGAGCCAATCGTGTAGACATAGAGAGTGCGACGATCGGACTCGTAGGCGATGTCTGTCATCTGGAAGTATGCGAGTTGCTTGCTATCTGGTGAGAACACAGGTCCACTCGAGTCCCCCTTGACACCCTGGGGGGTGCCTGAGCTATCGGGACCATTGATTGCCTCGGGTTTCTGAGAGCCGTCATGCGGCACGAGGTAAATATATGACGCGGTATTGTTCGCCCTTGGCAGCTCGGGGGGCTTTACTCTTGAACGCGACCCATTGTCCATCCGGTGAAATATCGTAATCGGTGGAGTCTCCGTAGGGTGGATATGGTGATTCGAGGTTCTTTGCAGTAGAGACAAGATTCTTCAAAGAGCCACCGAAAGCATAGTGTGATGTAGCCCATTGTCCACTTGTCTTAAGCTCAAGGGTCCCTGAAAAGACAGCATTGAAAGTCGTCGTAAGCCATGTATCCCAATGGCGCGGGTAGATGCTATCATAGATGCGGGCAGTGCTCAAGGGCTTCACTGCCAGCTTATCGTTATAGGCAGTTCCATTACCGTAAGATTGGCCGTAGACGAGAAAATTGATATCACCGGATCTGGTGGTAGCTGTCTTTAAACCAGAGAGGGAAGCTGGCAATGAGGCTGCCTTGTATCGACTGAGACAACAAGTTAGGTAAATGAAGTAGACATGGAAATCTCGAACTGTACATACGAATTCTTGAAATCGGCAGTGTCAGAAATCCACAGTTCAACGCCTCCAGGAATGCCAGCATTAGTGCTGTTGATGTACAGCAATCCAGAGTTACTCGATCCTAGCCAGATGATCTCCGACACATTGCTGTCATCGGTGAGCTCGGAGATCTTGCCGCTTTTGAGGTCAATCAAGTTCCAGATATTTGTTGACTCATGGCTTTCGAAGGAATACTGCCCTGTTGAGAACAATGCGACTTCCTATACTTCATCAGCACCTATATCAACTACTTTAGTAATTTTATCAAAGAAGACTCACTCCCGACGGGTTTGGCACAGCAGTACTACGTCTCGGAGCGGAGATCAATTGCCTAAGACAATGTTAGCAGCAACCCCGGAAGATTCGATGATCACAACCAACTCGGGCGTCAAGGCGATAGCAGGAAGCACCGCCGATCCGATGGCCAGCAGCTGGAATGCACGCATCTTCACAAAGAGATACGCACACACGTGCTACAGAATACGGTTGAACAAAGCACCGGATTGACTAACAGGCAGGATCTATTTAAACGCTTCTGCGGGGGCATCGAGGTGGCAGCTTCCCAAGGGGGGGAAATGTTACATTCCTCCGTGCCAAGAGTGATAAAAAGGAGCGGAGTTGCTGGGCAGGCCATGACCTGCAGCGCTACACGGCCTGTTGGTCTGCGCTAATTCGTCTTGAGGAAACAAAGAAGCCGCTAGCTTCTTAGGTTGCAGCGCCATAAGCGCCAAGCCTCGCGCCTCCTCTATCTCCCGGTGATAGCCGGTATCTGGGAGCGGAGATATCCCCTGCGGGTGTGTTGGGGGTGAGGAGGTGAGAAAGATGCAATGGGTATGCCTTAAGGTGTCATGAACTATGGTGCAGTATGAGAAACAGATTAGGATGTAAATCCATTGATGGTGTATACTGGGTGGCTCGTGAACGATGCGGTGCTTGCTCATAATGATGAATTCAGGAACCCGACTTCCAATGGCACCATTTGCAAGGAACTTCGGATTGGACTAATACTCAAAATCATCGTCGACACCCTTCTTACCAGATGTTTCCTTCGTGACCGCCTCTTGCTTGCGGTACATTTCTGCAACGGCACGGGTGGTAGTTGCTTGCTCCGGCTTTTTGTCATCACGCGATTTGATGAATCGAGGGAATCGGAGAGAAACACCCTTGCCGCCTCCTGTGGTTCCTTCAAATTCATCTGAGGCAGCCTTGTACCGCGGGCTCAACGTCAAATCAGCGGTCTTGACCTCCCAGACCAGCTGTGGCTCAAACCACACATCAGGCTGATCTTTAGGTACACTCGAGTGAATGTAAAAGGGTTTTGGTCGGTCGATGACCAAAGGACTCAGAACTTGGTGGAACTCTTCAAGTGCTGCCTCCGAGAAGCCGGTGCCAATGTTGCAGATGGTTTCGTACTTTTCGTTGTTCGGGTTGTAGGCAGCTAGCAAGAAAGCGCCATACACTGATGTGCGCTTTCCTCGACCATAGTAAGCACCAAGAACGACCAGATCAAGTGAGTCTCCAACGCCTGCGAGATAATCTTTCTTGACCTAAGAAAACCTTTAGTTTATATTGCGACCACTTTTAGAGATCACTCATACCTTGAGCCAGTTGCGACTGCGTTTGCTTGGTTCGTAGCCACTTTCAAGGGTGTCAAGCATCTTTACCATCAGACCCTCGCATGATGCCTTGACACTGTCTTCCAGCAGATTCTGAATCTCATCGAGGACGTTGGTATCACCAAACTGCGCAAACTGGAATTCACCCTCAGCCACTTGGAATGAATTATGCAGAATATGCCGACGCTCTCGAAGAGACTTCTTAACGCAGGGCTATAGAAAATTTAGCAGCGAAAATGGACTTCCCGTAGCAGCTGATAGCTTACCTCGTCGTTGAAAAATAGTAAATCAAATGCGAAGACACAGACTTTGACCGTGACTTCATCCGCTTTCACATCCTTCCGCTTGCGGGTCATCAGCTGCTGGAATGGCAGCACCTTTTTAGTGACAGTGTCCCAAGCGACAGTCTCGCAGTCCAGAACAAAGCTTTTCACGCCGGGCTTCACCCAACTGCCAAGCTTGGCGAGAATATCCGGATACTTCTTGGAGAGATCCTCAGAATTTCGAGAGAAGATTGCTGCGTGTCCCTTGGCATCCTTTTGCAGGGTCGTAATGGACTCAGGATACTTGTGAATATTATCTGGCGCCACAAAGTGGATCTGAGCTCGCTCTCCATCGTACTTGTATTCGCAGGTAAATTCCTTTCCTTCAAAGCGATCAAGAACCTCAGTAATGGACTTCGTAGGGTTTGCAAGCATGGGCTTCAGAGGAATACCTGGCTGCAACTTGCACACGGTTTGTAGATTGAACAGTCCGTGTTTCAGCATAGCCGGTATGATAACCTCGTAGGAAGGCAGCTCGCTGTAGACCTGCTTGAGAATGGCTTCGCCTTCAGCCAGTTTCTCGAGAGAGGGGTCTTTCTCGCCTGCGGCCCTGGCCTCATGACGGATAATTGCTTGTGCAAGGGCGACAAGAACAGTCTTCTCTGCAAGTCCTAATCTCAATTTGCCCTCTAAGAAGCGGACGATGAACTTGGCCTCACTTGGGCCACCCTTGTCTTTCGTGATGTCCACACCCTTGCTGCCCTTTCCAGCAGTCGCAGCGTCGGCAGCAGACAAAAGCTTCTTAATGCCGGATATTTTCTTGTCCTGGGACCCGTGGCCTTGAACCTTGGCAATGCCCAGCAGGCCTTCGTGCACTCCTCGAACAGTCAAGGCCTTGGGCTTGAACATAGTGGGTTGGTTGGATCGACTTTTCGCAGCGACCAATCCCAAATCACCAATTTCGTGCTGGTCAGTCTTGATGACAGCCAAACTACGACCAGTACACTCCCCGATAGCCTTCATAATCAGCGACTCTCCGATACCGAGTTCAATGCCCGCATAATCGGCGGCCAATTTGTTGATCATGAGCTGGACAGTCGGGAGAAGATCATTGGGGGTCAGGCGCAGGACTTGCTGGAGGAAGAGGGAGGAGTGCGCCAGGATCTCCAGGCGTTTTGAGGTGAGTTCAATCTTGGAGAATGTGGTACAGAGCGCGGCATAAGGAACGGGGTCTCCAGCTTTCCAGTCGGGGTATGGGTCCAAGCCGGTGGCTTTCAAGGTCGCCTGCACCTTTGCGATGGTTCTCTTTTTGGCCTCAGGCTTCACTTCCTCTTCCTCCTCACTTGCAGACTGTGCTTCCTCTTCGTCCATATCTGATGTATGCTCCTCCTTTGGCGCTTCATTCACGACAGGCTTGGGCGAAGGTGATTTCGTCTTCTTGGGCTTAGGAGAAGCGGATTTCTTGGGTGACGTCGACACTTCCTTCCGTGCAGGGGATGATGCATCCTTCGTGGTTTTTCGCCGACGCTTTGATACTGGCTGAACATCAGAGTCATCATTTTCCTCTGCCTCTTCGGCCTTTTCGCGCTTCAATCCTTTGGAGGGCTCAGTCCCATTTTGGTCAATCACCTCCTCCAATTCGGGTTTGACTGGGGCATCAGCAGATTTGTCTTCAGTACTACTGCTGGCTCTTTGCCTATTTCCACCAAAGGATAGTGTAGTCTGCTTCTTCGGGGCTTGATTGCCATCGGAATTGGAACCGAAGAATCTCCTATAATGCGAACGAGGGGTGTCAGCAAGCTGGACAACAGTCTTAACGACCAACACGGAGAGAATCGAGACCGAGAAGGTGCCGTCCTGTTGTGATAAGGCGGACGCACCCTAAAGTTATCTGAGAATCGCGCACATACCCCAGTGTGGCCTGCTTCCTACTCTTGTCGTCTGCCATTGTTCGAGAATCCCAGCGCAATGCCGTTGATCTTGTGCCAAGAATGTGCTTATTCCCTGGTTTTTGAAGGGTGTAGTGTCGGAAAAACTGCCGGGCTGAATCTGTGACCCAGCAAAGATATGAGGTTGTAAAAGGTTCCGCTCCGACGCAGACGGGTCGGCAGCGCGAGAGATATTGAGGCGCAACTGCAATTCGCAAGGCGCGCATAGGCAAATTACTCAAGTTACCACGGATATAAATCCAGGTAGATGACGCTGGATTTAAATAGTTGGCAGACCACAACGCGATCAGGCAGAACACTCTCGACACCAGGCAGCCTTTAGGAAACGTGAGGCTCCAACGCGACTTGACGCGACAATCACGTGCAACCAATCTTGCCCGTTGAAGAAGCAACTCACCGCTTGATATGACTTGCAGAATGCAAAGGCGGCAGATTGCTGCTTGTCGAGACGAGGATTCCGTCAGGACGAGCTCACGGGTCGTATCCAACATGGAAGGATTATATTGCGTCTGAATCTATTGCAGAACCAGAATTTGTACATGGCTGAATACAAGGTCTTACTTTGCGCTCGGTGATCTACATTGACCGCAATGGACAACCAGCAGCAGGAATCCTTCAAGCAGGTATGCCAATCTCCCCGCGGACTATAAAATGGTCAGTGAATGACACGCAATACAGCTGCGCGCACCGTGTGTAGAGCTCAGCTCAATAGGTCTACGATTTCGCGGCAACCAAGCTTCCTCGGCCGAAGTTATTCGAGCTCTTGAACCCGTCCATGATGTCCTAGAGCTTTTGGCGGGGAAAAAGCTCCTCGATGAGAAGCTCGCCGAATATGCCTTCTTTCCTCTTTCGCACATTTTCAACGAAACTCAGAGGTTACCGGCGCGTTGCTTAGAGCTGGCGGTGCACTCACTACGGATACTGGTCGCAGAAGGATGGCGACAGCGATTGTCGCCCGCGTTGGGCAAACAATTGATCATACTCCTGACATTGATCGTCGGAGGGTCACCAGGCAAGGCCGAAGAGAAAGACTTGCCTGCTCCGAAGGTGTCGGAGGAGCTTGCCATTGCCGGTTTTGATTGTCTTCGTGCAATCTTTGACGTTTTACAAGGCCCCGTAGCAGAGAAGACCATCTTCCACGAGATCGGCACAGCTACTGTCGTTGACCGGACTGTCTATATTATGCTGGAGGGCATCGTTGACGAGCGTTCTGATGAGCTTTGCTTAGTCGCTGCGAAGGCCATGCAAGCTCTGTATGTTCGGGTCACTGATCGTGTTGTCCTAGCAAGCATCATGCCTCGCACTGTGTCTGCATTGACTAAAGTAGTGAGGCCTACGACACGAAGTCGTCGGTCGTACAAGCTATTACAAACATCCTTACAGCTATTGACTTACCTGCTACGCGCTGTCATTAGCGATCGTGTCGCCAGCCAACCCACTGAGAAGCCCGCTCTGATCGAGGGCAAAACGGATAGTTTAGCGCTTGACGCCCCTTGGTTGAAAGCAACTTGTACGCAAGTCAAGTTGGCATTGGCAAATGTCATTCAAATTCGGCGCCACCAGCGGATAGAGGTCCAATCAGCTCTCCTCGAGCTTTGTGTGATGGTGGTCGAGGAATGTCCTACTACCCTCAATGACGCTCTCTCCATGATGGTGGAGACTATTGTTGTTTTGTCTGACAAGGAAGAAGAAGCCTCAAATATGGCGTATAACACGATTCTCCATCTTGCCACTACCTATCCAGTCGTGTTGGAGTCACTCAAGGAGTCTGTTCACACGTGGCTATCATCCTTCCCTCGGATTATGCAAAGCAACGATGAGACTGCTAAGCAGTGGGCCATCCGGCAGATATCCACTGTCTTTCAAGTCCTCACTCAAGTTCATTCCCAATCCGATCTCCTTACGGGAAGCCTCGCATCTGGACTCTGCGATAGTGTCGGCGCGGTTGTCATGTCTAGCACCAGTGCTTTGCAGCCACTGGACCTTACAGCGCCAGGTAATTTAAGCTGGGATGTGCTTCGCTACGCTTCTGACTCGATAACATTCCCACCTATCTTACTGGAGCATCGAAGCCAACAGCAAACTTTGAAAGATCTCCAATCAATGATCAGAAGGTTGAACTTTTCTGAATCGGGTAACGAGATCACGCGGTTGGTTGTCAACCGTCTCCATGCCACTTCGGACGGCTCTCTTGTTGCGCCCTTCTGGTTAGCATTGTCCTCCCTTCGCGCCCAATCTCAAGTCGGTGCTGGCTTTGATGAGTTCATCGCGGATGACTTTGTGGAACAGCCACTTTCGAGATCCAAACGCAGCGGTATGATCGAAGAATTGTACTATGTGTCATTGAAGATCTTGAATGACCTTTCCACTGACGGCTCCGGTGACTGGCGGACGTCAGCACTTGCATTGGAGGCGGTGGCACTTCAAGCCCAGCAGCTTGGAGAAGCTTTCAGGCCTGAGCTCATGGATGCCCTGTACCCGGTGCTGCAACTGCTTGCCTCAAACAATTCCAGTCTCCAACGACATGCTATGACATGTTTGAACATTCTCACCTCATCTTGCAATTACTTAGACACCAGCTCCATGGTTATCGATAACGTGGATTACTTGGTGAACTCGGTGGCACTCAAGCTGAATACTTTCGATGTTTCACCGTATCCTCCACAAGTTCTGTTCATGATGGTCAAGCTGTGTGGTGCCCGGCTGGTTCCGTACCTTGATGATCTCGTTGACTCCATATTTGGCATCTTGGACTTGTATCATGGGTACCCAAAGCTCGTCGAAATTATGTTCAAAACCCTTGCAGCTATTGTTGAGGAGGGAGCTAAGAAGCCGGCGTTTTTGACAATCGATATCGGTCGAGAGAGCGGCATACGCGAGAGCCAAAAATCTCATTATCAGCATCTTTCAGTTGCGACCATCGCTACAGATATTGCAGACCGCAAGTCAAAGCATGATAGAACGATCGAAGAAGATATGGAATTCGATAGAACTATTGCTCACCCTAAGAAACCTTGGTCTGAGACCTACGACAAGCCGCCGAAAGAACCGGAGACTATCGAGGAGATGCTCAATATGGCCGAATCCGACGAGCCACTCCCTCCACCGAAAGAGCCAGAGGATAGTGAAAAACCTCTGAGCAAGACTCACTCCCTACTTGTGCACATTGTCAAATCTATCCCTTCTCATCTGACTTCTCCATCCCCATACCTCCGGCGCTCCTTACTCTCGATTCTTGATGAGGTGTTACCAGCACTCTCTCAGAACGAGAACAGCTTCCTCCCATTGATAAATGATTTGTGGCCTACGGTGGCCTCGAGAATCATATTCCCCTCATCATCTGGAAATGAAACATCCTCATCCAGATCTTTGATTGCCCGGTCCTCCATCGAGCTAGAGAGTGGCTCCAAGCAACCTGATGTAAACCCTTTCCAAGAGGAAACCTTCGTGATGATCGCCGCTTGCAAGGCAATTGAAGCTATGTGCAAGGGTGCTGGTGACTTCATGGCCTCGCGCATCGAGACCGAATTCCCCCGCTGGGAGCGTCTCTACCAACGGGTCTGGAGTAAGGTGAAGCAAGATACAGAAGCAGCCAACGCGCGACGCAATCGGCAGCATCAACAGAAGAAGGCATCTTCTGACCTGGACACCGATTTGAGCGTCACAGTATCGTCCTCCCTCACCCTTTCCCCAGCCACTCCAGGATCCAGGGCTTTCACTCCGCACCACACTCTGTGGCGCGCTCTCATCTCTCTCTTCCTGACTGTGCTTTCGACCGTTCGGCTACCCCTGGAGGTAGGCGATGAAATCTGTGAGATGCTGAGCTCATGGATAGCTCTCCTTGTCGGGCCGGATTATTATTTCCACGCTTCTAGGAGCAGTTTTGATCCTTCGACCCTGGACGAAGCCCAAAGAAATGTTCTTGAACCGGCCGAAGATGCCATCAGGGCCATGGAGGCGTGGAATGAAGATCTAACATGGTTCATTTTCGCACGCGAGACGATGAAAGCCCTAGAACAGACACAGAGATCTGTTTCTGGGTCCTTGACTACGGAAGTGTTTGGAGAGTCATTCCACTTCGCCAATGTCGCATTCTAGTCCATAATGAAAAGTATAGAAAAAGTCACGGCATATCCCACCTCAGGTTCACAATGCTCTCCACACATCTATATTTCTTTCAAAGTGACGTGTTCCTTGGCCCGCAAGTGACATAATATTGTCTTTCTACAAACCACCACATAGCCATGCTATGAAAAGTATACCCTGACTCAGATCGGAATCGGGCACCAATCTGGGAGAAAGCGTCAGCCTCATTGCTTAGCCACTAGCGTCTTGGCGTTATGACAACCATCTTGAGGCAACCATGGCCGGACTTTCTCTAATGAAAGTATCTTTTCCTGTTGATCTTCAAGCTTTCCCATCATTTCTAGATAAATAATCACTTCTGTATCTGCCACCTCACCTTAGAAACCCGGCCTTGGGTTATGATATGCTGCTCCTTGAACTGCCGCACGAGATTCTTCTGGAGATATGGGACGCCCTTGATCCTCAGAGCAATGAGGGCTCCAGGAATGCGCTGGTTCAGACATGTCGCTATTTTAGTATCAACTTCAACTTTCGCCTTTACCGGGGCACCATCGCGGTGACGGCACCCTCAGTCCGTGCATTCACATGGGCTGCACGGCATGGTCAAGCGTGGACCATTCAGAAGCTGCTGAATGCCGGTCTCTATCCTGACAATGACACGAGCATGGCTGTTCTAGCTGCGGCAAGTCGTGGCCACCGAGACGTTGTACGGACGCTGCTCTGGCATAGTTTTGACCCTAATGAGAAGGGTCACTGTGGATTCTGCAGACCGATACACCGCGCCGCTACACAAGGGCATGTGGAAATCGTCCAGGACCTTCTGGAGGCCGGAGCAGATATGCAGGCCTTGAACCATGATGATGAGACTGCCTATGCCAGGGCAGTCATTGAGGGCCAGGCCAATGTCGTATCTTTCTTCCTTCAGAGAGGTACCTCCACAGAAACTCTTATCCATGGTGGCTTATCATTAGCATGGGCAGCGAGACATGCCGATTCAGACAGTATGAACGTACTCCTCGAGGCTGGTGCTGATCTTGAGGCCACCACAGAAAACGGAGAAACAATCCTTCACTGGGCAACAAGGTGGGGACAGCCGCAATCTGTGGCGCTTCTACTTGACAAAGGCGCTGCGCCTGATGTCCCGGATCGGCACGGCCATACGCCTCTGCATTTTGCATGCTTCCATGGAAATTCAGCGAAGACCATCACCCTTCTTTTACAACGCAAGGTCGCGATCGACAGACGAGGACTGAGCAATGGCAGGACGCCACTAGCGGCTGCCGCGTCTCTTGGCTTTACAGAAGCAATCAAGCCTTTATTGGAAAGCGGCGCCGACCCAGCTATCAAAGATGTCGATGGTTGCACCCCGCTGGCACTCGCTGCTCGATTTGGTCATGCTAACACTGCGCTGGCTCTGCTAGAGGTGGATGCCAGCGCTAGGAAGAAGTACGTTGACTTACCGGACGAATGCGGTCGAACGCCTCTCTTCTTAGCTACCTTATACGGCCATGAACAGATCGTTCGCATACTTCTCGCCAAGGGAAGTTTGGCAAGAGAGAAAGTGACGTGCGCCGGTCGAAGCCCGCTATCCTTTGCCAATGACCATCAAGTAGGAGAAGTTAATCTTCGAGCCGTTTGGGAGTGGCTTGCCTGTCCATACTATGCCGACATTGACTTTCCTGCCGCGCAGGAGGCGTCTGATAAGGCACGCCATCTATATGTGGATGCCAGATGCGACCAGTGTCAATTTGCACTTTCTAAATACGATACCCATTTCCATTGCACCATCTGTCATAATGATGACTTTGATATTTGCATGGAATGCCTCGGTGGTGGTTTTACCTGTTTGGATCCGTCGCATGTTCTACAGAAGTGTTGCTCAGTGGATGGGCACTGGGTGCCGCTTGCTGATGAAGTTATTCATCAAACTACCCTCAGTTTGACCAGCAATAGTATCCCCGCATTATAGAACGTTAAAAGTTCTATCTGTTCAATATTCGCCTTTCCTTGATCGATGTGCAGATTTTGAAATACAGGTTGACGGACCAGCTCGATGATGTCATGACATGACCAAGTGTCAGGTACAAACCCCTTCCAAAACATGATTTGGCGAACATCTTTCTTAGCACAAATTCCAGCTATCATGCTCATTATTGACGCAGAAATGACGGCAAGAGCCACAATCGCTTCTGGCTCCTTGCTTGAACTCATATGTAAAAATCCATCATGAGCGACAAAACTCTTCCATTGTCTTCTCTCGCGTTCTCGATAAAAGATCGCATCTAAAAACACATTAACTTACATCAAACATCCCGAAATCTTTTGCAACATGTCGAGCAATATTCAGAAAGACGCCACTTTCCAGCCGCCTCAGGCGAGCCAGAGCCAGGAAAAGCCTGGGTAAGACTACATCAATTCCCTCGTTGAAGATCTATATTGAACAATATATACGCGCAGACTGGAATCAAAGATGGCACCGCCCAGCGAAGTCACCAAGCTCGACGGAAGCGAAGGTCTGGTCGAATATGTCGGTGCGAACAAGCTCAAAGGAAAGAAAGTCCTCATCACCGGTGGCGAGTATGTCCGATATACATTAAACTGTCCTCTGGGTTTGTGCCTATGCTAATCCGTTTCAGCTCGGGAATTGGCCGATCGGTGGCAGTCCTAATGGCCCGAGAAGGCGCTGATATCTCGATTGTCTATCTACCTCAAGAGCAAACAGATGCGGAGGATACCAAGAAAATGGTCGAAGCAGAAAACCAGAAGTGTCTTCTCATTCCTGGAGATCTCAGAAAATACGATTTCTGTCAACACGCAGTTGAGGAACACGTCAAGGAGTACGCTTACCACTCTTCAAATGCACGTCAAGTAGATTGCTAACCTTCTCAGACACGGAGGCCTCAATGTGCTCGTCAACAATGCCTCGACGCAGTATTCGTGCAAAGACTTGGCCCAAATCGACTTGGAGAAAGTCGAGGACACTTTCCAGTCGAACATTCTGCAGATGATCGCCATCACGAAATACGCTCTTCCGCACATGTCTAAGGGTGACTCGTATGTTTTTACCACCGGATCGATTGACTCATGACCAAGATAACTCACCACTTATAGGATCATCAATAACACATCCGTAACTGCGTTCCGCGGGACGGCGGGTATGGTCGACTATGCCTCCACGAAGGGAGCCATTGTGGGCTTCACGCGATCCCTGGCGCAACAACTCATGCCGAAGGGTATTCGTGTCAATGCCGTCGCGTGAGTGGCTTCTTTTGCTTTCAGATATTTGCCGAGTCATGCTAATTCGAGAAAAGTCCCGGCGTGATTTACACGCCTATTCAGGTCGATACTCGCGATCCCAAGGGAATGGAGAACTTGGGCGCAAGTAAAGGTCTTGGTCGTCCCGGCCAAGCTAGTGAAGTCGCTACTAGTTTCGTGTTCTTGGCTAGCAATGATGCCTCATTCTACTGTAAGTGTTGCGATACTGGGTGCCAACTTCCTGGTGATGCTAACAATAATGAACAATAGATGGCCAGATTCTGCACTGCTACCCGCTAGGCGACTAAACGGTCCAAAGTCCTACTGAGAAGGAAAAATATTGCGTGGAAAAAAGCGAATTTTGGATATAGGCATCCCAACGAATCTTGTTTATACTCAGCCCATGGTTCGTTCGAAATTGAAATCATCCAACTCCAGGTATTTGCAGTTTCGGAAACGTTGATCATAGTGTAGTACTGTGGTATCTTCAAGTGAAGTGATGTATTTAATGTGATCACACCGCTAGGTTTTTTGAGCAATTATACCATTAAGCTACTGCCTATCGACATTGAAGTCATTCTACATGTAGATTGAGGTTTTTAGCCAAGGCGCGCTTCATCATACCGCCAAAATTTGTCGACGTGATGTACGAAGTCACCACCGGGGGAGCTGACAAGAAGCCAGTAAAGATATACCTTGGCAGCCACTCGCACAGCCTGTTCATGTAATGTCCCAAGAGCTGCCAAATGTATCTAGATCAACATCTATAACCCAATTTGCCAGGTCAAAGCTGTCAAGATCCTTCATGTCAAGTAAACCAAGCTCGCCTGCGCCGGGTGATATTTCACTCGGCATTCCTGGAGTCACCAAAGATTGTGATGGCGTGTTGAAGCCTTGCGAGGCATTGAAAGGGATTGAAGACGCCGGCTTTTGAGGCTCACTTAGGATGATATCAAGCTTCCTTGAAATGGCCTTCGAGGCTTGTATGCAGAATGTGTGATTGGTGTCGCCATGGCGGCAGACGTTCTCCAAATGCGACACCAGCACGGAGAGATTTCTCAATAGGGTAGATGATTTCATGCTAGGTGGTAGGATGTTGTTTAAGTGCAATTTTGTTGTTTCCAATGCGCTAACCAGCATTGAAGCGGAGGGAAGACCATATATTAGAAGCTATTTTTCGTTATTCAAAAGCAACTTTTGGGAGTGGACGATCCTGGAAACCTACAATTGAAGGTAGATCACGAGGGAAATATGAGGCTCTCCCGCGCGGATTTGCTACTTGAATGATTGTCTCGAGCATGTCTCCCGATACGATCAGGAGTTCGGATGACGTGGTCGAAGTACAATCGCAGAGTATTCTGTGAATCTGAAACTGTATATGGAGATATGACAGGTATACTTTCCCTTGCATGAAACAGACCTCCACTGGAAGATTTGACGCCCAATTCTCTTTGTTGTATCGTGTGTGCGCGGGAGTGCGTTCCAAGCTTCATTGCATCGAATCGCCAGATCTCTAAGTCAATTTAGTATTGAGATGCCTTGCGAGCCGGTTCCTTCGGAATAATTACCTGATTTTTGTGTGATCCGTAGACCGCCGAGGTTGGATTTGATATTCCACAATTTCCTCCCGGAACTGCCCCAGGATATATCGAACCCGAGCCCAGGTAGTTGGTCTGTATCTCCCATCCGTGTTCCAGCCATCATGCGTGAGGCTCTTCCTGGTCCGGTCTAGAATTCCCGGAGAGTCTGGGAATAGCTCGTCGTCAGATAAGTCCAAAGGAGGCTTGCAATCTGCATGTCGAGCTGCGATCCGAGGTGGTCGATGAAACACCATTGCAAATAATTTATCGAGATAATATACCTTCGAAAACATTCTTCGTCGCGCTTCAGCAAGGAAAAAGGGTATGAAATCAGGCGAGTATGTCGATTCACGATTGAGACCTAACGCAAAGAGATCTGTTGCAAGATCGCTCATACGTCTCCATACACTGAGACCTTTGAAACTGTTAATAGCGGGCTCGTATCTTATGTCAGTGGTAAATACTCACTAGCATCACCTTCAATCGTCGTTGTGAGTTGCAGGTCCTCGTGTGCAAGCCAAATCATGAGATCAGTGGCTTGCGGTGCAAGATCGCGAGCTAGTCGTAAGCTCAATTTGCTGCAGCGACTCATTTCACGAATGAAGTAATCGTCTCTTTCTTCATCCGAGTATCGGTGTAGATGAGAGCGTGCAGCCACTGCGAACAAGAGTCCCAATGTCTCCACATGCACATTCTCTCCCCAGAATAGCGCACAAAATTGTTCAAGGTCCAAAGACGGTGAAATGACGACCTCGGACGAGGAGCAGCGCAGCATATCACAAGCAAAACGGTCGTTCATCTGGAAATGAATGGAATCTTCTGTCTCTTCTGTAATACGTCCCGATTCCTCGAGGCTGCGTCGCACCAGTTTTGCAAGTTCCAAGATGATCGGCCTTTGCACAAGCGCTCCTTGACTGAACGAGAAGTATGCCCGAATATGCTTTTCAATCGCCGGAAGAAACCTGAGGGCTGAAATTATATCTCTCAAAGCTGTTAGGTACTCATCTCGAGTCTTGTCATCTAGAGCCTCCAGGGTTGAAGCCGACGAAGCTGGTCCATTGGAGTCGATCATGAAAGGCCAAGAATGGAATTCCGGGGCAGCAACAGAGGTAGTTTCTGAGAAACCGACATTAGTCGTGGAACCAATCCCTTGTTCAACAGAACTCGACAGATGCTTCTGTAGAGTCGAGCGTTGTGAGCTCCGCTTCGTCATTGGCGAAGGATGATACCAGCATCGCGACTCACGGCCGCGGCGTCTGCAAGAAGCACAAATTGGCTTCTCATGGTCGCAACGGATTTTGCCTTCGCGACAAGGCTCACACGATGCTAGTGACCGGTTTCGACGAAGAGTCAGGTTCGACATGTTGAGAGACGAGAAATGTCACGTAGTAGATGTGATAGTTAGGATTTGAGTATCGGAGTTGTAATTGCTCCAGATATCGGCTCCTGTACGTGAGACAGTTCTCTTGCTTGATAGGGATAAGACCCGATTTTGAAGGGGAAAACTATATAATTAGATTGGTCATAATTAAGTCTCTGCGGACCTTCGGTTTCCGGGCCTTACCACCAGCAATAAGACGTTGCGGTGGTGGCACTCATGAGATTTGCCGAAAGATTCCATGCCTTGATTCCGTACCGGACTTGTATTGGCGTACCGGACTTGTATTTATGTTGCCGATCAATACCTGAGCCGTTCAATTGAACTCGGCCGTATCTACTGAACGGAATGAAAAGTAGAGCGACAGAAACAAGCCCACAAAATCTCCTAGCTCAAGGTTAAACGCTGGGTTCGTCACACGTGAAACAGTGAGTTGCTACTGCTTGAATTAACCCCAGCAAGGCAAGCCGGATTAGACGGCTAGGTCCGACTCAAGATTTCTCTAGCGGAAACACGAGCTCCTGTTTGCTACAAAACTACAAAGGACAGAATCGAATGAACCATTGAAGGCAAATTTCCGAAAAGGAGTGACTTTAGTGAGTTAGGCTATCAAGTATCTCAATAAGTGCATCCATGAGAAATGGACAGAATTAAAATGAAGACCAAAATAACAAGAAGCAATCGTCCAGATAGAGCAAAAGGTCAAGACGACGAACATCAATGAATGGTTCAGTCGACATCGATCAGCTACTCTTCGTCAGAGCTCTCGTCCTCATCCTCAGTCTCGGCGTTCTCCAGCCACTCCAAGAAAGGTTGAGCCTTCTCACGAATTTCCTTACTGATCGAAAGCTTCACATATTTCTTGCTTGGCTTGGCACCCCAAGCCTTGAGAACCTCCTCATCGACGAGCTCGTGCTCGTAGTAGCCGTGGAGAATGGCGGGGATCTTCTTCTTCAGAGTCTTGCGAGTTTCGGAATCGTGGTCGACACCGACGAAACGCTCTGTGCCGCCGAGGAAGGCCTTCTCGTGGCGCTCAGAGGTGATGAGGCTCTTGAGGAGCTTAGCACGAACGGGAATTTGTGCAACAATATTCTCGTCGAAAATGCTCTGAGCCAGAACGGCGCAGGTCTTGTGCTTGGAATCGATGAGAAGGTCCTTCACCTTCATCTCGATCTCGTCGTTGGTCACAGCGCTCACACCGCCCTTCTCTTCTGCAGTTGCGAGAATCCAGCTGCCGAGCTCTTCGTAGGCTGAAGGGCCATCGGCTTCGTCATCGCCATCGTCAAGGACAACAGCGCGGTTGAAGTCCGCAGAGAGGTCCTTGGTGCGAGCTGCCACAGCCTCAGCGGAGGTGTCAAGAGCCCAGTCGTCGTCAGCGATCTCGGCTTCCACCTCGATAGCTTGGGCCTGGCGGAGCACCTCGTCGTCGCTAGGGGCCTCGAGGGCCTCATCACCATCCTCTTCGTCGTGCTCCGAACCGTTGCTGTCGCCGGGGCTAGCATCATCTCCGTTGGTGCCGTTGGCTTGAGCCTTCTTGGCTTCCCGGCGAGCCTTCTTGTCCTTCTTCTCCTTCTTGCCTGGCTTGGGTTGGTTACGGACAATGAAGGTACTGAGCTTGAGACGGGGGTCGACATCGGTGCGCTGGCCACAAGCCTTACAGTCCAAAATAATCTTTTCGTCCTTGATGCTGACTTCGGTTTCGGGGTTCTTGCACTTCTTGCAAAGCACAAACTTGGAAATGAACCCATCAAGGTAGTCCTGGAGCTTGTTGGCATCGTGGGCGCCGTTGATAATCCAACGTTCATCGGTAGGCTTAGCATTGGCCTGAGCGCCGAGCTCGAAACCAAAGTACTTGATGACATAGGCGGGGAGGACGGGCCAGTGACTGGGCAACCGAGTTAAGATTGACAATGACGGTCTTGATACCGTTGCCTTTGCCCTCGATCTTGGACTGGAGTTTCTCCATCTTGTAGCGATAGAAGGGATCGGTGACATCCCGGCGAATGTTGACGGTAGCCATGATAGCGGTTGGATTTGATTAAAACTTGGTGCTCACGAGAACGGAATGCGGAATATGAAGCGGGAGGGAATCTGGACCAAGATCTTGTTGGCTGAACAAGACATGCGTGTCGAAGAGGATTTTTTAATTTTTTCTTTTGATGTTGGTTCTGTTGACGAAACGTGATTTCTCACAGGTTCTCAGCGGAATCAGGGGAGTCGGGAAAGATCTGAAGATTCAACCACAGGATCTAAGGTGTATGCTACAGGGTTTCGACGCACGAAACGTTTGCAGCTTGAGCGGCAGGTGATATTCGAAATTTTGCACGGAGGACGAATACATAGACGAGTTCGCAGTGGATGTCTTGGGCGGTTTTCTCTTAGGGGCGAGAACGACCGAAGTTGTTCTTTTGGGAATCCGATGAAGATGCCGGAGACCCGGGTTTTGGTGACTGAAGGAAGTGATGATGGCGATACCAATATCAATCAGTGATAGATGGAGTAGCGTAAACTGTGCGGAACAGCTGACGCAGAACAGGGCTTCACAGTGGTGTCAAAGCCGATGAGTGTAATGAAGAGTGGGAGAATAACAGCGATGAGGATTTTAAGCGGGCCTGAGTTATGTCAGCACGCACGTGGTCTCGGAGTTAACCCTCCGTTGAGCGTCGCTTGTATTTTTTTCTCTTTATAGCTTCCGTTAGCTGATGAATGTTCGCCTTGTGATAATATGCAGACAGTCGAATCCTAGCTATGTGTATCTCTATCTACAGACCTCTTTCACTCTGATATAGTAAGTTGAAGTCAGTCATCTGCTGCCTGAGGTCAATTCCCCTCGGCCCCACCAAGACCCCAACGGCGGCCGGGATCGCCCTGGTTCGTGATCGCCAGACGTGCCTTGTAATCTCCCTGTGCGTGAGACTCTCTCCTGTGTAACCAGCAATAGAAAATAAGCGTCTTGTCTGGACGCCCTTCAATCGGCTGTGCTCAAATATTGACGATGGTGGACCTTTCCCTATACCTGGTCACAGACTCGACCCCCGCCATTCTGAAGGGTCGAGACCTGTGCACGGTTGTCGAGGAGGCCCTCAAAGGAGGTACGTGTAATACAGCAACGGGGATAAGTTGACTAATGCGGCCTTAGGTGTCACGGTGGTGCAATACCGAGACAAAACCAGCGATACCGGCGTCTTGATTGAGACGGCCAGAAAGTTGCACAGCCTTTGCCAGTCTTATGGAGTGCCTTTATTGATCAATGATCGAGTTGATGTCGCCGTTGCCATCGGGGCAGAGGGCGTTCACCTTGGACAAGATGATATGAGTCTGTTTTTCGCCACGATTCGTCTCAAGAGCCACCTGACAATCTTTTAGAATTCGAGGAAGCCAAGAGGCTTTTGCCGAAAAATTCCATTATCGGAATCAGCACATCTTCCATCGAGGAAGCTCAGAAGGCCATTGCCGACGGAGCTGACTATCTTGGCATTGGGACAATATTTGCCACTCCGACGTAAGTTCGACGGAATCTCACAGCTCGAATGCAGCAAGCTAATGTCCATATAGAAAGACTAACACCAAGTCCGTCATTGGAACTGCAGGAACTCAGGTCATCCTGAGCGCCATCAGCGATGCCACACATGTAGGCACCGTCTCCATTGGCGGAATCAACCACTCCAATGTGCAACGAGTCCTGTATCAGTCCCAGTCTCCTAAGAAATCCCTGGACGGCGTCGCCATTGTCAGTGCCATCATGGCAGCAGACGATCCCAAAGCCGCCACCGAGGAGTTCGCTAGACTTATCAAATCTCCACCCTCGTTTGCACTGACTCCGAGGTCTGCACGGGCCAACGAGGCCGAGGCACTGATCCAAGAGGTGCCCCAGATTGTTCGCAAGATGGTCGAGGCGCACCCCTTGGTACACAACATGATAAATTTCGTGGTTGTCAACTTCGTCGCCAATGTTGCTCTCTCAATGTGCGTGTCTCATCGCCAGTCATTCTTGTCATTGGAGATATTTTGCTAATCGCCGCACAGCGGTGCATCGCCTATCATGGCTCCTTACGGAGAGGAAGCTGCGGACTTGGCTAAGTTGGATGGGTCTCTCCTCATCAACATGGGCACCCTGAACGGCGACAGCGTACCTAGCTACTTGAAAGCCCTCAAAGCGTACAACGCGCGTGGTGCGCCAATTGTCTACGACCCGGTCGGGGCAGCTGCGACTGAGATTCGCCGTAACGCGGTCTCGACCCTTATGGCTGGAGGCTATTTTGATCTTGTCAAGGGTAACGAAGGTGAAATTCGGCAAGTCTGGGGTACCAATGTCGTGCAGCAGCGCGGCGTTGATAGTGGGCCAAGCACGCTCGACGACCAAGAAAAGGCTCGTCTGACTCGTGACTTGGCACGGAGAGAGCGTACGTTCTTCAAGATTACCTTTCACGCGGTTCTTTGACTAATTCATTGCAGGCAACCTTGTGCTGATGACTGGTGCTGTTGACTATCTCAGCGACGGCGAGCGTGTGATTGCTGTCGAGAACGGCCACCACTATCTTGGCCAAGTAACAGGAGTACGTGTTCCCCAGAGAAATATCACAGCCACCTCTGAACCCCACACTAATTGGACTGATCAGACTGGCTGCGCTATTGGCACCGTTGCAGGTTGCTTCCTTACTGCCCACCGTTCGGACAAGCTCCTTGCCGTCCTGTCGGGCATTCTGATGTATGAAATCGCGGCCGAAAATGCGGCGTCCCAAGAATATGTCCGTGGACCTGGTAGTTTTGTTCCCGCTTTCCTCGACGAACTATACGCTATCCGCACGGCCGCGGCAAAGGGTGACGACAGCTGGTTTGTTGGTCGGGCGAAGGTGCATGAAGTCAAAGTCTAGTTCAATAGCTCGAATGATGTAAATGACAATCAAAAGTGAAGTTCCACGAGTTTCCAGCGTCTGAGACTATCAGAAGACATAAAGTTGCTCCGAAGTTTCCCTTCGACCGCTTCCCCGCATCTCCGAGTTCCCCGCCGGTGCTCGCCGTGCTACTCTTTACTTCTTCACACCTGCCTCCCCCTTTACTACACACATCATCTTAAAAAGATACAACCTCCGCCATGGCTTCTTTATCGCGCGCGAATCGGATTGGTAAGTATACTACCGACACATATTCAGACCAAGCTAACCCAAGAAATAGGTAACCCCGCATTATTGTGCGTCGCCTTGTCGAAAGCCCATAAAAGCCTCCCAACCCCAAAAACTAACATTTTTCCAGCATTTGCGACATCCAAGAGAAGTTCCGCGGCATCTATGAATTCCCTAAGCTGTAAGTTCCTCCCCAGCAACCCGAAGCATACCCATCAGAAACTCAGCATGAAAAAAGCATTTCAACGACCTCCAAAATGCTCCGCGCTGCTCAAACCCTCCAAATACCTGTTTACATAACTACCCAAAACCGCGCAAAACTAGGACTCACTGTCCCCGAGCTCCAGCCCCATCTGAGCGGCCCGCACATCCGCGCGGACGTCGACAAGACACTCTTCTCAATGTTAACCCCCGAGATCGAGTCCAAACTCCCTGCCAACGTTGACGTGATCATTGTGGGCATTGAGACTCATATCTGTGTTACGCAGACGACGCTAGACCTTCTGGCGAGAGGAAACAGAGTCTACATTCTAGTTGATGGTGTGAGTAGTATGAATCCTGAGGAGAGGGTGATTGCGCTTGCGAGGCTTAGAGATGCGGGGGCGATTGTTACGACTAGCGAGAGTGTACTTTTCGAGATTCTGAGAGATGCGGGACATGATTCGTTTAGAGATGTTAGTGGGCTGGTGAAAGAGACAAAGGAGGAGACCAAGAGCGCTCTTGGGGTTTTTTCAAAGATCTAGGTCTGGGGTGCTTGTTGATTGGGATGCTATGTGGAATTAAGCAGTGGATATGCTTGGAAATAAATTGAATTACTTTAAATTGATTACGATGGATCGTTGGTATATTGGGATCAACTTGACCTCCTGCCGTTTCATTTAAATTTACTTTGAGACATCCCTACTTAGAAAGAGCCACGAGCAAACCACCAGGAAGGTCCAAGGTATCAGTTCCCTTCCCTGCATGTGCATCGCGGGTGCTGAGATGGTCCAGATGATGATGAAAAGAAAATGGAGTATCCAGCACGCCGGAGTTCGCGATCACTGTTGATGTTGATTTTTTCCAGATGGCGTTCGCTTGCCCATGACGGGAGGGCAGACCTTGCTTTCTTCGGTCCATTACTTCAGGGCTGTGGAGTGCACGAGCTTCTGCTTATTCATGCGCAAAATTAAAAAAGCCATCTTTTGTAACAAGAGACTATCCCCTCGATATGAGAGTATTCTCTTTTGGTGATTGCTGGATGAGATGCGAAATTAAAGACGGTGAGAAAGCCCGATTGTGTCTATGGATGCATAAACATTTCAGCCCTAGTTCCTTTCATCTAGAACTGGCGCGCACCAGATGAACTCGATTTGAGCCATCCGAATGCAGATGCGCCTCCAACGGGGTTGGACGCTGGAGCCTTGCCAGATCGATTCTCTTCGGTAGAAGCCCGACCTGCAGACTGCCCTGGCGGAATATTCTCTGAGTGACTGCTTTGATTCCCATGGTGATCGGAAGTGGCGTGGGTGGATGTCGAAGCAGAGATGACGCGACTGGAGGGTCGAAGGACTTTCATCGTGCGAGCTCGTGCATTTGTAGCTTTGAGTGCGGCAGCAGCCTCTTGCTTTGACTCACGGCGCCATGGTCCCCACACACCGCCTTCATCAGCCTTGGTACTTGTGGTTTGTGGTTGATCTGTAGCGGTGGCCGAGAGAGGGTAAGTCGATCGGCTGTTTGGGGAGTCGCTGAAATCGTGGAATTGAAGCCTGTGGGGTTCGTCTGCGGAGCTGATGGAAAGGCGTCCTGATACAGGTGCTGAGCTTGATTGATTTGCAGCCGAACTAGACTGGCCAATGGCTCCTATAGAGTACTTCCCATTGGTTTGCGAGGACTGGCAGCTCTTGTGCGTAGTGTCAGGGCCAGTACACAGGTACTTGAATGTAGAGTCTCTCTCAGGACGCACGAGTCGAATGCAAACCCGATTACCATCATCGTCCACCATGGACATCCTGTCGTCGGAAAAAGATATCTCGGCATTAGATGAGCGAAGCACATCACTCTCCAATAACAATCTGAATCGATTCGTCTTCGGGACCGGTTTCGCGTACCAGAAATTTGATCTTCACCGACGGTATCTGGGGCTCAGGTTGGGGGCTCGCTGGGCGTGAGGATGACTGTTGAAGTCTAGCTTCGGTAAGGTACAGAGAAAGCTTAATGTAAGGCCTATCTTCATTGTGCATAACAGACTGCTCAAGTCCAAGCTTAGAAATCAGGGTTGAGCCTAGGGAAGACACGTAAGAGCCCGAACACACAGCCGCATAGAGGAGCGAGTCGTTGGAGAAGTTGGTTGTCAGCCAGCAGCGAATGATGGAGGGCACGGGCCCAAGCAAGAACAATCCAGGGGGTGGAGTCATAGGAGACGCTTCAAGTGAAGAGGCTGACAGCCCTCGACTGTCCAGTCCCAGACTATTAGTGCGGGCCGATTGATGCGAAAATCCAGACGAGCTCATCCTGCCATCAGACCGATGAGAAAGGGACCTCTCGGTGAGGGGGTGGCCTCCCATCCCACTTCCAGTTCGCACAGGAAGATCCGTGCTGGATCGATTGGCTTGTCCGTAGTATCCATGATTCGCAGTCTCGTCAAACCGTACGCTGTTCGCCCGGGAGGCTCCACGTCGAGGCTCGTCTTCTCCCTCGAGCCCAACAGTAGATGTAGACAGCCCGTGATGATGCCCATCATCAAAGCCCTTGAAAGGGTCCGGAGGAGAATTGAAGGTGGTGTCTACGACAAGGAGATGAGTCGAGTGATCAGGACCGCATGAAGGGCGTAGACACTTACCTGACGGGACGGTACCCGCAACCAAGGTCGGAAAAGGCGATGTAGGACCCCAGAGGCTTTTCAACCTCGCATCATCGTCGCGACGACGTTCCAGCCGTGCGATTCGCTCGCCCTGTTCATACTGAGCGACCTGGATCTCCTTCAGCTCATCAAGGACACGCCAAATATCGTCGCGTGAGGCAAAGGGATACTGCGCATCCATGACCGCCAGGCGTCAAAGGGAACGAGGTAATCAGGGTTTGACGAGATAGCGTGTCATGCATTCCACTCGATCCGTTGAGCTGATCACTCAACAGCACTTCGGATCGAAGCTTCCGGGGGTGGCAACAGCTGTTCCCGGCTCAACTTGCCTCAGCCTCCGGCTTCTATCTCCCTCCTACAACCTGCGCGACGGCCCCGTGGCCCACGATAATACGAGTTGCACGGTCTTGTGGTTCAGGTCAAAATCGTGATTGAAAAACACGGGGAGGCGGGCAAGCGATGTCGGAAAAGGTCTGCGTTCGCTGACACTGCGGTAGTTGAAGAGCAGCTTGAGTGCGTCTCGATTCGAAGCTACCTAGGAAAGGGTGAGGTTGTCTTGGATGTGGAAGGAGCAGGGTGCTGCCTCTTGTATGGGGATGTGGGTGTGGGCCTGGTCACAGGGAGGGCAGGGAACGGTGGATCTGAACGGGAGCGAGTGGATTAAAGTAGTAAGATTCGATGATTCTATGGCGGAGAATTGTGATTGATATGCGTTACAGTGAAGACGTGTAGCAACAACCAAAATCGGGGGTGGAGAGGACGGGGTCATCCACGAGGGAGAGGTTGATCTAGACCGCCCGTGCTCCACTAATGGGTCCCCAACAACACTATCCAAGGTGATCTGATTGCTCTGGTTGGTTCCATGTTGTTACAACTCTTGATTAGCTGCAATTTGATTTCCAGTATCGGCTTTATCTAGTCGCTCTTTTCAATGCTCGAAGTGCGGGAAGCTTTCACAATTCCCAATCCAATCAATACAAAACTCATTTCGGAGCCTCGGTCCACGCAGGAAACACCATTGGCAGGTTCTCAGGGGCCTGTTCGGGCCAATTGGCTCGTATGACCTTCAATAATTCATCATATACAATGCGGTATCCGGCTGGCATCAGATGCAATCCTGGAGACATCCAGTCAATACGGGGGAAGCGGCAGATGAAGATATAGATAGTATAGTAAACATACCATCCGTAAAAAGGCTGGCAAACTGTTCATTATTAGGAAGATTCCGAGATCCAACTAGAGGCTGGCCTTCTTTCCAACCAGTAGTCTCCATGAATGCAGTCCAAACATCCGCCACGGGGACTTTAAGAGATGCTCCAACTTCGAGGGCAGCCTCGGAGTACATCTTCGCGTATGCGGCTGTTCGGCTAGGATGCGGAGTAGCTTTCTCACTGTCAAATACCTCGAGCTGGTACTCGTTGACTGGCGGCGGAGTGATAATAACGATGTAGGGGTTTTGAGCCCGAGTAGCAGGGTGTTGGATTATGCTTTTCAGATTCTCCTTGTACTGATCCAGAGGGACGTGCTGGGCATGATTTGGAACGCATGCATCATTGGCGCCGAAGAAAATGGTCTGTTGCCTTTTTAGTATTGGGGTTTCGGTCATCTTGTACAGTCACAAAGGCAGCTTACCATGAGTCGCACATTAGCAGTTTGGGGAGACGGGAAGAATTTTGGAAAGACTTTGATTGCGTGGGAAGTAGTGTAACCTCTGAAAGTTGGTCAGAGACCATCTTGGGTAATATAGAGTCTTTTCTCTAGTACTCACGAGAAGCCTCGGTTGATCACATCCAATTTGCGACTGTAGACTGAATCGGGTTAGCAGAATAGGTGAATTGAACGCCCGTGAACCATCATCTCACCTTCTTGCAATTCTGCAGCGAAGGCAAACCCGAGTGCCTGATTGCAAGACATTTGGGTGATGGAGTCGCCGAAGAGGATGAATTGGTCATACGGCTTGCACACATCCTCGCTTTCTTTGTGAGCTACCGTCTCAGTCATTATGATAGAGTGAAAGAAATATCCAACACAATTCGCTTGAATGATTGACCCAGCTCGAGCTGGGGGATATCCGAAGCTTTTAAAGAAATGGTGGGATGAGCTCCGTGGGCAAAATGGAAGTGGATCTCGATTGCGGTGCGAGCTTATCAATGTTTATCCACCAATTGCCGCTTCAACTTGGACTAACACACCTCTAGGTCTACAATATCTATTGTATGTGCATCTGTATAGAGTAAGTACAAACTCGGTACTCGAGCGGATCGAACTGAAGCTCATAATTTGCCTTGAAGGTCCATAACAGCGTCCCTAGTAGCTTGGTCCAACACTTATCTCATGCAAGCTGGACGATCATTTGTCCAGTCGTAGTCGCTTGTCTAGGATTGAACGAAGAGCCCATCCTGGACCCTGGGGAAGCAGTAAGATATATTTTGACGATTCGCACATGTGGAGGGTTGTTCATCTACAACACCCCACCCCACCCCCCTCCCCGAGCACCCCATGCAGCGGACCTATCGACCCCGCAGAAGCCACGGAAACCCTTCCATAGTTCTTAATATACTGCCAAGAGACCACCTGGGCGGAGGGTCACTTTTTAGATGCAGCAGCGGGATTTTTGGAATCTCACAACTGGCCCTGCGTAGCAGTAACTCGGTTTTGCTCTGTGTACAATTATCATCCTAGGCAATGAAGAAGCCCGGACCGGAAGTGTCAGTACTGGGATGCATGTCGATCCTAGTGGAAAACTTATTTTCCAGTTCAAATATGTGGGGGACCTTGATAGTATGTCGGCCAGTCATGGAGCTTGATCTCGTCAGGCGCACCCAGCCTTGAAGCTGTTTCAGCGTGGTTGGGCTTGGAACATCATCTCCGCATCCTGAGACCAGCTCATCTGAGCGACCGGGCCACTTTCGAGCTCGTGGCTGACAACCCGGCTGAACCCTAGCGAATGAGGTGGTTAGGCCGCACTATAGGTGCTCGCGCACTTCCGTCTGGTATGGACGCATGAGCACGGAGATCAGCGGGACGGCGAGAGGAAAGAGGTAAAAGATGTACGCCCCTCTCCACACTGGAATGGAGGATGGAAAGGACATCTCTTAAGTAGCTGCAGTGCGAACACCCCAAGTGGAGCCGCTGATTGACACGGGAACCCGGAGACTCCTTGGGGGCTTTCACCTGACGCGTCCAAACTACTCCCCTCCCACCTTCGATCCCTAAATCCACTTCTTTTCATTCTTTTTGCTCTGAGATGTCTCGTCGGTAAGATACACTCGTCCGTTGTTGTACCTGATGTACCCCTGACGACCTGCTCTCTCCCTTGCGTAACTGTGGGCCTCACTCTTTTTAGAACTGACAAGCTGCAGCAAGTCCGATATCCCCTCCACTGAAGCGTAGACGCTTCCCAGACAGCGACATGCCTCGCTCTATTCCGCAGTTGGCCTCCACCTCACGCTCCGAGCGGGATGAGGGCGACACTTCTCATGCCCGCACGGCTCCACCATCTCCAACGGCCTATCGCCGAGCTCAGAGCTACCTCGCCGAACCGCATACAGGCTACCAGTCACTCGAATCACATTTGGAGATCGGTGAGACAACCAGTCTCTTAGGCGCCGAAAGCCAACGCAGAGCGCCACGGCGGTCCTACACCAGTACATCGGGTATCTCAGGTCCGGACTCGCTCCGATATCTCTTGACCGCCGGGAGCTTGCGCCGCACTCGCAATCACAGCCGAAGAAATTCAACTACGAGAGATTTCAGTCGCCGAGGGAGTAGTGGAGACGAGAGTAGGCCCGCTAGCTTACCGCCATCTGCGAAGGACGGTCTGACCGCTTCGTCGTTTCTGGACGAGCGGATGTGGTACGATCAATTCACTTCGACTGATTGGGTCCATGACAGCATTGCCGATGGCGAGCGTCTCCGCTTACTGCGGCAGCGAAAGGACTTCAGGGGCCGAATGTTGGCATGGTTTGACGGTGCGCAGGGCTGGGTTCTGGTGGCTCTCATTGGATGCATCACAGCCGCGATTGCCTATTTTGTGGATGTGACCGAGGATGCGATATTCGATATGAAGATTGGTTTCTGCTCGACAAATTACTTTGCTGGACGGGAGAAATGCTGTGATGGCCTACATAGCTGCCCTGAATTCCTTTCTTGGGCGCAAATCTTCAGCGGCAAAGCGTCAGACAACCAGTGGCTCAATTATGCTGTGTTCATTTTTTGGGTCGTGGCTCTCGCCATGATCTCTTGTGCCTTGACTCTCCTTACGAAGACGGTGGTGCCAACGTCAATCTCATTAACTACTCTTGACGAGAACCTCGGTGCAGACCGTAACAAGCAAAATGCTGGGACCCCTGAGTTCGGATCTCCTTCATCTCTGACGAGTCCCCACGGCGCCTTCCCCAGCACTCCTCCGCGCCCGGCCATGGTCTATTACTCTGCCGCTGGCAGTGGTGTCGCAGAGGTCAAGGTTATCAACAGCGGCTTCGTGCTTCACGGGTACTTGGGCTTGAAAACTTTAGTCGTCAAGACGATTGCTCTCATTTTTAGTGTTTCGTCTGGTCTTAGCCTGGGCAAGGAAGGTCCATATGTCCATATTGCCACCTGTGTTGGTAATATCTGTTGCAGACTGTTCGCCAAATACAACCAGAATGACGGCAAGCGACGTGAGGTCTTGAGTGCTAGTGCCGCCAGCGGTGTTGCTGTCGCCTTTGGTGCACCTATCGGCGGTGTTCTTTTCAGCTTGGAAGAAGTTAGCTACTACTTCCCTCCAAAGACACTGTTCCGGACCTTCTTTTGTTGCATTGCAGCTGCGTTGTCACTGAAATTCCTGAATCCCTACGGAACTGGAAAGATCGTTCTTTTCTCTGTTCGTTATCTGACGGACTGGGAAATATTCGAAATCTTCTTATTCATTTTCCTCGGAATTCTCGGTGGCGCACTAGGTGCCTTATTCATCAAGGCGTCCAGCTGGTGGGCTCGTTCATTCCGACGCATTTCGATTATCAAGAGTTACCCTATGCTGGAAGTATTCCTTGTCGCATCCATCACTGGTATTGTCAGCTTCTGGAACCGGTACACCAAGTTGCCTGTCACCGAGCTTTTGTTCGAGTTGGCAAGTCCTTGTGACCGAGTCTCGTTCGAAAGCACGGGTCTCTGCCCTCAAGAGGATGGTATTCTGGATGTCATCCAATTACTCGTCGCTGCCTTTGTCATCAAGAGTCTCTTAACTGTCATCACATTCGGCATTAAGGTCCCGGCAGGTATCTATGTGCCGTCCATGGTTGTCGGTGGTCTGATGGGACGTATTGTCGGACATGCAGTGCAGTATTGGACCATCAGGAACCCCACCTTCTTCCTTTTTGACTCATGTCCCAACATTGCCGGCATGGAGTCCTGCATCACCCCTGGCGTCTATGCGATGGTTGCCGCTGGTGCTACCATGTGCGGTGTCACTCGATTGTCGGTGACGCTCGCCGTCATTCTTTTCGAACTGACGGGTAGTCTTGATCACGTACTTCCCTTCTCGCTGGCAGTTCTCTGCGCTAAGTGGACTGCTGATGCCATCGAACCCCGAAGCATCTATGTAAGAGTCACCTCCTTGCTATGTTGAGCGACTGTTAATCATCCACAGGACTTTTTGACGGACATGAATTCATATCCCTTTTTGGACAGCAAACTACAACCTGTGACCGACGCATCCCTTGGGGACATCGTTCGCCCATACCGCAAGGATCGCATCATCGATATTACAGAATCTCCTTTTGTCCCTGCGTCGGATCTCCGCGTCAAGCTTGAGAATCTCCTAATGGCCGGAGAGCTTGATGGCGGACTTCCGGTCCTGTACAATAACGTGCTCAAGGGCCTGATCCCTGCTCCAGACCTCGAATTCGGTCTGGATGAATTGGGTGCCAACGAAGACAATACGCTTTGTCTCATGTCATTGGACTCCTCTGTTGCCGTTTATGATAGCGATAACGAGGATGCCGTCCACGTGGACTTTACTCGTTACATTGATCCAGTAAGCCAACATTCTTCTTCCAGCTTCTTCACGATCCCGATACTAACACAGCCTAGGCTCCAATGGCTCTGGACGTCCATTCCCCAATGGACCTCGTGTACCAGTGCTTCGCCAAGCTGGGGTTGCGTTACATTTGCGTTGTCCAGAATGGACAATACACTGGCCTTGTGCACAAGAAGGCCTTTGTCAAGTTCATGAAAGAGAACGAATGAGCAGTCTCGAAAGAGATGCTTTACACTTTACATATCTGGGATCTTAACCGCATCGTCTGGAGTTCTCAACGAATTGGTATTTTTCGATTTCCATTCGTCCACGGACATTTTGCATAGCATTGCATATGACCTCATCTGCATATCCCTCGCCAGCTCTTCGCGGCTTCGATGGGTGGCATCTTACATAGAACCATGTCTGTACATCGCTTTTTTTTGGCCTGCTTTATTATTTACAGCGAATACCACTGCACATTTCGGATCCAGCGCCTCCAAGTAAAATCAAATCAAGGCATTCTTTCTATACCAATGGACCACTCTAGACTCAATGTAAACGCTCATATCCAACCATCTGTATTTCGACATCCCCCTCTTCCTTCCACTCCTCCTCAACCTCCTCCCCCACCCACTCCGAAACCTCCTCAGAACTAGCCCGTCTCCACCCATCCTTCTCCGTCATTCCATCCAACGGGAAGAAAGTATCACACTCGAATGAAGACTCATTACCAGCTCCCTTCCTCACTACATTTGTCACAACAATCCTTACAGGCCGCTTCCCCTCAAGCTTCATCCGCAACGCAGCCCCGTAAATCTCCGCACCCCCAATAATCCAAATCTTGCCCAATTGACCCTTCGCCCCATACTCAGAGTCCAGCTCTGAGATTGCCGCATCCAAACTCGGCGTCACAATCACATCCGTAATCGGCTCCGGAACAACCCCCTTGGCCACATCTGTCTGCGTCTCGGCCTCTTTCTCCGCTTTAGCCTTTGCAGCAGCAGCCAACTTCTCCTTCCTCGCCTCAAGCTCCTTCATCACGCTCTTCTTGACTGATCCCGTCTGATCACGCGTAACCACGACACTGATTCGTTTCCCGAGGGGTCGTAGATGGCTCGGCACTGAGTCATATGTCTTGCGCCCCATGATGATTGCATTCGTGGTTCCTGGGACCGGGGGCCGCGATGTTACGCGCGCGAAGAAGTTCATGTCGGCTTTGATGCGCGGCCAGGGGAGATTGCCCTTGAGCCCGATGCCCAGGCGGGTTGGCTCATTCCGGTCTTGTGGGGTGAGGGTAGATGCGATGCGAATTGGGGTTGTTGCGACGATGAGCGTGAGGGGGAGAGTGTGTGGGAGGGTATGGTTTGTTGCCGGTGACATTTCGGGTGATTGGGCCCTTTTGGCTTTAGATGTTGAGCTGGGGTCGTGTTGAGACGCTGATGGAAAGTTTGGAAGGATGAGACGTGTAGACGTGTAGAACCGCGTTGGAGTTGCGATAAGTTATCGGGCCCCGCAGAGTCTGGACATAGAGTGTTAGACCTAGTGCTTCGTTAATTATATGGCTTGAGAATCACGACTCATGTTGTTCAATCATCTGGCTCTAAAGCGCATTAGTCATTGATCGATGACTTGTTTTCGTGGTCCAGGGTGAAGTGTTGAAATGAGCTCGGAGGCGACCTTTGGAAATTTCCATGCCAGGCACGCATGTATACATTGATCGTAAATATATGGAAGGTAGGTATCTAATGCTCGAGAGAACACAACTTAATAAGGCCATGGAATGGTGATTTACGAAATTACAGATAGACAAAGCCGTCTTACATTGTGTGGCTTCTTTCTCCTCCTGCTACTCCAGGTTCCCTACAATAATATATTTCATATCCCAACGCCAGGTTCTAAGATTTAAAGCCTCTCCCGTATACGCCGTCAGGGTAAATGAACCCAATGCAGATGCTGTGAACCCCCCACAAACCCCAGTAGACATATCTCTCTATTTCTCTTGGGATACCTTCAGGAACCCTCCCTCCTCAATGGCCTTTTGAACTGCGAGAACATCTGTTTCAAGCTTTTCACGGCGCTGGACATCACGATCATTTTCACCGAGAGTGTCAAGCTTGCCGAAAAGCCAGGTCTCTTTCATCGTACGGGTCAAGGCGAGAATGTCCTCTGCGGCGCGAATCTGCGATTCACGATGTCAGTTCATCGTATCAATTCAGGAATAATGATTCGTAGAGAAAAATTTCAATATGACTGAGAGATTGAGATATTGCAGTAGAGCTTACCAGAGCAGTGGATTCGACATCTAGTTGATACGTCTCGACGGCAGTCGCCGTGTAACTGGGGTTGTTGACCTGAGTGTAACGCCCTAGTGAGTACTCAGAGTCAATGCCGCATGCATGGCCAAAGGCTTACCGTCGCAGTGGCCATGATATTCTCGAACCGTTGCAACAGTTGCGAGATGTCGGCGTTGATGCGATCTGCATTGTGACGTTGTATTAGCCACTTGCTCGGAGGATTGAGCCTTCATTCAAGTTTCCGAAATAGCTTTTAGAGGTGATCATACTGTGCAGCGCCTTCGCAGTGGGTTGTCCATCCATCTTAATGGCGTTGAAGTCTGAAAGCTCGGGGTCTGCCCATATCAGAACGATAAGCCGGCGGGCGGTGAAAAAGAAGTGTGGGGAGGGCAATCAATTAAGCAGGGGAACGCGAATGATTGACTGTCAAGATCTAGAGTAACGAACGATGATATTACGAAGAAATTAGGCATTGAAGATCGATGAATGGAAACTGTTTCCAAGTCTTGGATCAATTGAAAATTCGATGATATGTTTCGTGTAAAATGGCTATACGATAGCAAAAGGGGATTCCTAAGAACGCCATGTAGTAATGAATTCTTGACGCTTCTTGCCATCTTGCTAGGTCTCTCTGGCATATTACTCCCATTGTCATGGGAGTGTTTTCTGCGCCATGGGTATCTGAAACCAATTGATCGAGCCTGCGACCTACGCTGCCTTGTGGCTTCCAATTGACATAGGGGGTGTTCGAGGTTGGGTTGTTTTACCGGACGTACTTCGACTGAGATGAAGTTAGCAGGAAATTTCTAGACAAAGAAGTATGCCATTGCCCATACCATAAATCGCTTGTGGAAATCAGAGCGCAGCAAGTCCTGGAAACAAGTTAGCCTCACGGACGGTAATATCCAGATCTCAAGGCGGACGCACGTTGACAAACTCCTTGCCATCCTTCTTCTCCGTGCCCCGCGCCTGGTTTTTGAATACCACATCATCGTCCCATCGTCGCTTCATGTTGAAGTCTTGCGAGTTAAGCAGAGGGTTGCCTCGGGCAATGTCGACCTCGCGCTGTTCTTGCTCCTCGGCGGCCCGTTCTTGTTCCTGGAAAGTCTCAGTGTTTGCTTCCAATTCTGCCCAACCCGACTCAGCATACCTCTTTCTCCTTTTGCGCCTGCCGTTCCTTCTTGATCTTCTCCAGCTCGCGCATTAGCTCTGCTGATTCGTCCTCGTCGTCGCTCTCCTCGTCACTGCTCTCTTCTTCTGACCCATCGGAGTCCGCATCTATGTCCCGAGTTTCTTCTAGGATCCTCCTTCGCTTCGCTTCCGGATCTTCTGTCTCGCCACTTTCACCACCATCCGCGGGCGCGGATTCGAGTTGTCGCTTCGGGGCATTCGGCTCCGCGGCAGCTTGTCCATCGACGGGGAGACCGTTCTTCTTGGCAAAATGGGCAGCCTCGGCCTGGAGGAGCTCTGCGCGTAGGTCACGGACTTCATTATCGGCATCACCACCCTGTCCAGGTTGTCTGGGTGACTGTTAGCTCTCGTCAAGAAAATCAACTGGCTGAATGTTGCGCGTACCGGACTTTGAGGTGTGTATATGCGGGGAGAAGGCGCTGGTGATACGCCGGTCCACGAAGGGCCTCTTTGCCTTGTGCCTGCTCGGATTAGTGCTGCGCCTATGGGGAGTCGAGATAGTCCAGAGCTGCATACCGGATCGAAAGTGGGACGATGAGCTATGAAACATATGTTAGTCATTCTGGATGAGGTCCTGAAGAGCGTTCCAAAACATACCTGTAGTCATTTTGAAATTGAAGTGAAAGTTGAGAAGTTCACCGTCGACGATCGAAGAGGCTTCAGATGCAAGTCGCTGCTACCTCTCACCGCTCAATAGTTTTACGCCTCCTATTGGTGCAAAACAGCAACAATGCGGCCAGTCATGGCAAAATGGCCCAAAAAAAGCACGTTTGGTCCCCGCGCAGCTCCAACGCTTGGAATTCCTTCACTGGCACGATTGGGAAATATGTCAAGGGAAGCACAGCTCTCAGTCGCAGAGCGCGACTTTATTCTTGAGGCACTCCGTGAAAATGTGCGCTTGGATGGCCGTGGGCCTGATCAGTTCCGTACTCTGAACCTGTCGTTCGGTGATGAATACGGACATGTGAAGCTCCAAGTGGGCAAGACTAGGTTTGTTTCGCTATCAATTGCCTTCATCAAGGTCGCGTGTACTAATCTCTTGTTCTAGCATTGTTGTGCGCATCTCCGCCGAGGTTACGAAACCTCGCGACGACCGTCCCTTCGATGGCCTCTTTAACATCAATCTCGAATTGTCCGCCATGGGCTCACCAGCCTGGGAGAATGGACGGTAAGCTCCAATGCGTCTCTCTTCTTTCCGTGAATCTCATCGCTAATCGATCGGCATTGCAACAGCTCCAACGACTTGGAAGCATACGTCACCCACGTTCTCGACAGCGTTATCCGGCGCTCGAATGCCCTTGATACCGAGTCACTTTGCATCCTGAAAGGTGTCAGCTGCTGGAGTATCCGCGCTGACGTACACATCCTCGACTACGACGGCAATTTGACCGATGCAGCTTGCATTGCGATCATGACCGGACTTCGACACTTCCGCCGGCCGGATGCTGTGGTCAAAGACGGACAGGTCATCGTCTATGGCGTGGAGGAGCGAGTCCCCGTTGCGCTGAACATCACCCACAACCCACTTTCTGTCACATTTAATGCCTTCAACGAGGGTAACAATATCATCGTCGATGCGACTCGCAAGGAAGAACAGGCGTCAGAAGGAGAATTAGTGATTGGTATCAACAACGGAGGCGATGTATGCTTCCTCTCCAAGTTCTCAGGTGCACCGCTAGATGCGATGGAGGTGGTGACCAAGTCTAATGTGGCCCTGGAGAAGGTCAAGGAGATCAACACTAAGGTTGACAAGATAATGCAAGTCGACCTTGCCCGGCGGGCGAAGCTCGGTATGGCAGATGAATCACGGGCGGAGAATGACCGGTGATCCAAGTTCATGACCATGTTGTATGACTAAAATCTTTACGACCTTGGGATGGGAGTTCCGCATTGCTTTTTCAATTGTTCCATAGCATTGTGATCAACATTTCTTGCATCTGTGTAGTATTTACCGAGGTGCCGTATGGACATTCCCGGGTACGCCTCCTATGCTAAGCTCGAAGCCTTGGAACCTCGGGGCCCGCAAGTAGTGAAGTGATTGACGGCTGCAGCGAATCAAGAATGACAGTTCTGATGGGACCTAGATGTCAAGTAGAGTAGACTGGTTCAGTGCTCCTAGCACATAAATATTATGGCCCGTAGAATTGCAAGAAAAAAAAAAAAGAGAAAAAAATTTAGGGTAATGGATTAATACTCGGAATGGAATGGAGGTTATGTAGTGGCTCTCGTCGTCAAAGACCAAGATAATCTCATCTGGGCAGTGAATACATAGCCATGTGATGGAACAGCCCAGGAGCATGGACAGTGCCACGATATTTCCGTCTACGGCGCCAAGAATGCGCCTATTCTTAGTCCACGGTGTTTCAAGGTCGATCACAGCTAACAAGCACTGGACCCTGCTCTCGGGGAACACATCTTGAAACTGATTTAATTTTGCTCAACTCTAATGGTCATTTAATTTCCGTGTATTGATTGCTCCCAGACGTGGTTTACCGCCCGAATCCGAAAAAAGCGGGACGATCGTCAACACGAACTTGCTGCCTTCACCCGCTTAGCCACCTCGTTCCTTGCCTTTCCACTTTCCTATCGACGCCCTTCACCTACTATATTCTCCGGTGCCTTGGTTAAGAACTTACCCTTGCTTGACAACTCTCCTTCAGGATCAGCGGCGCACTACCTTTCAACCTTATTCTTGTTCCAATCAATGCCTCAGGGGCATTAGCGCTTCGCTCAGTGAGGGTGTCAGCTCACCCGCCGGCAGCATGGCCAGCGGTAGACCTCCCGGGTCGCATCAACCTGCTGGCCGCGATGAAGACCTACTCATTGACGCGGGCCCGACTTACAATTCCGGTCAGCCCCCGCCAGTGAACGACGAATACCTATTGCAAAGGTTCAACATCGACGATTCTGATGAACCCCACGCGCCGCCGCGCCCTTCCGTATCCTACGACCAATTCGTCGGTAGCCAATCTCGACAGGCTGGAGCTCATCAATATGCGACACCTGGTCCGGCGCATGCGGTACCCCTCGGCGCTCACCCAAACGACCCCTACTCCGATGATTACTTGAATCGTACCTACTCGCAGACGTCCGGGCTCGAGAACTATAATCGCTACTCTTTTGACGAACTTGAGGACTCACACTCCGGATTCTACGACCTCGATGCAGATGACGACCGTATGGGAAACGTGCACCATGCTCGGAAAGCGAATGAGCGAAATAGTATTCTGGGGTTGGGCGGCGGGTTCATGGGTAAGGCCAAATACATGTTCGGCATGGGCCCGCACGAATACTCTGAAATGGATCTTCCTTTGACAGAGGCTGGCGCGAGGAGAGCTACAGTGGATAGCACCGATGCGCCGGCGGCTTCCAAACAGCGCAAGAAGTCCAGCGGGTCTGGTCTGAAGTCCATCTTTGGGCGAGGCAAGGCCGATCCCTCTACTATGGGCCCTCGTATGATTCAGATCAACAACCCGCCCGCTAACGCGTCGCATAAGTTCGTCAGCAACTATGTGTCCACCGCCAAGTACAACATAATCACCTTCATCCCTAAATTCCTCTTCGAACAATTTTCCAAATATGCCAACCTGTTCTTCTTGCTCACCGCTGTTCTTCAACAAATTCCCAATGTATCCCCGACGAGCAGATATACGACGATCGTTCCGCTCGCCATCGTGTTGGCAGTCTCGGCCATCAAAGAGTTGGTAGAGGACTACAAGCGACGTATGTCTGACAGGGGGTTGAACAACTCGAAAACGCTTGTTCTCCAGGGCTCTTCATTCCACGAATCGAAGTGGATTGACGTTGCAGTAGGCGACGTGGTTCGAGTCGAGTCAGAAGAGCCATTCCCAGCGGACATGGTTCTCTTGGCATCATCTGAGCCCGAAGGTCTCTGCTACATCGAAACCGCGAACTTGGACGGGGAGACGAACTTAAAGATCAAACAAGCCATTCCCGAATCTGCGCATTTGGTTAGTCCCAGTGACCTGAGCCGTCTGAGCGGACGTATCCGATCCGAGCAACCCAACAGCAGTCTGTATACCTACGAGGCGACAATGACTATGAATGCTGGTGGTGGTGAGAAGGAATTGGCCCTCGCACCTGATCAGCTTCTGCTGCGTGGTGCAACTTTGCGAAACACCCCTTGGGTTCACGGTATTGTCGTCTTCACAGGTCACGAAACCAAATTGATGCGAAATGCGACGGCGACGCCTATCAAGCGGACCGCTGTGGAACGGATGGTCAATATTCAAATTTTGATGCTCGTTGGTATTCTGATTGCTCTAAGTGTGATCAGTTCTGTCGGCGATCTCATCGTTCGTCAAACTGCAGGTAATAAGCTGGCTTACCTCGATTACGGAACTGTCCAACCTGTCAAGCAATTCTTCATGGATCTTTTCACCTATTGGGTTCTTTACTCTAACCTGGTTCCGATCTCACTCTTCGTCACCATTGAGATTGTCAAATACTTCCAGGCATTCCTTATCAACTCCGACCTGGATATCTACTACGATAAAACTGACACCCCTGCCACCTGCCGAACATCCTCATTGGTCGAGGAGCTAGGTCAGATCGAGTACATTTTCTCCGATAAGACAGGCACTCTCACTTGCAATCAAATGGAGTTCAAGCAGTGTACCATTGCCGGCATCCAATATGGTGACGACGTCCCTGAAGATCGCCGAGCCACCGGGGATGACAATGATGAATTTGGTGTCTACGATTTCAAGACCTTAAGACAAAACATGCAATCGCACCCGTCTCAGAACGCTATCCAACAATTCTTGACTCTGCTGGCTACCTGTCACACTGTCATTCCTGAACGCAATGCAAATGATCCGACCCAGATAAAATACCAGGCCGCCTCGCCTGACGAGGGCGCCTTGGTAGACGGTGCCGCCCAGCTGGGATATCGTTTCACCAATCGAAAACCCCGGTCTGTTATTTTTGAGGCTAATGGGCAGAGTACGAGTATGAGCTGCTCGCAGTTTGCGAGTTCAACTCAACTCGTAAGCGAATGTCGACAATTTTCAGGTGCCCGGACGGAAAGATTCGGGTTTACTGTAAGGGTGCGGATACGGTTATCCTCGAAAGATTACACCCTGACAACCCGACCGTGGAGACTACGCTCCAGCACCTTGAGGAGTACGCCTCCGACGGCCTCCGAACATTGTGTCTGGCAATGCGCGAGGTCCCCGAAACCGAGTTCCAGCAGTGGTGGCAGGTTTTCGAGAAGGCCAACACTACAGTCAGCGGCAACCGTGCCGATGAGCTTGACAAAGCTGCTGAGCTGATTGAAAAGGACTTCTATCTTCTTGGTGCTACCGCGATTGAGGATCGTTTGCAGGATGGTGTCCCCGATACTATCCACACTCTTCAAACAGCTGGTATCAAGATCTGGGTATTGACTGGTGATCGACAGGAAACAGCCATCAACATTGGCATGTCCTGCAAACTCATCTCCGAGGACATGACGCTGCTCATCATCAACGAAGAGTCATCGGAGGCCACCCGCGCCAGTTTGCAGAAGAAAATGGATGCTGTCAAGAGCCAAGCTGGTTCTGGAGAAATTGAAGCCTTAGCATTGATCATTGATGGAAAATCCCTCACCTTTGCGTTGGAGAAGGATATGGAAAAGCTGTTTCTGGACCTGGCTGTTCAGTGCAAGGCTGTTGTCTGCTGTCGTGTGTCTCCTCTCCAGAAGGCGTTGGTCGTCAAGCTTGTTAAGAGGCACATGAAATCTTTGCTTTTAGCTATTGGTGATGGTGCGAACGATGTGTCTATGATCCAAGCTGCTCACGTTGGTGTGGGTATCAGTGGTATGGAGGGTCTCCAGGCCGCTCGATCTGCCGACGTGGCTATCGGCCAATTCCGCTTCCTCCGGAAACTTCTCTTGGTGCACGGTGCTTGGAGTTATTCCCGCATCAGTCGAGTCATTCTGTACTCCTACTATAAGAACATTACGTTGTACATGACACAGTTCTGGGTAAGTCTTTGATGGTCTCAGCTCTACTCTTTTTTGACTAACATTCGTCAAGTATTCTTTCCAAAATGCTTTCTCTGGAGAAGTCATTTATGAATCCTGGACTCTCTCCTTCTACAATGTGCTCTTTACTGTCTTGCCTCCATTCGCCATGGGCATTTTTGATCAGTACATCTCGGCTCGGATGCTTGACCGCTATCCTCAGCTATATCAACTTGGCCAGAAGGGTGTTTTCTTCAAGACACACAGCTTTTGGGCCTGGGTTCTGAACGGTTTCTTCCATTCTCTGATCCTCTATCTCGTCTCCGAGCTCATTTTCTTCTGGGACCTGCCCATGGGCGACGGCAAGACTGCCGGTCATTGGGTATGGGCGAGGCACTTTACACTGCTGTCCTAGCCACAGTCCTCGGCAAGGCCGCCCTGATCACCAATCTCTGGACAAAATACACTTTTATCGCTATTCCCGGCTCCATGGCCATCTGGCTGATCTTCCTTCCGGCTTACGGTTTCGCAGCTCCCGCCGTTGGATTCTCGACTGAATACTATGGTACGATTCCCGTGCTGTTCAAAACACCCGTCTTCTATTTGATGGCTCTCGTTCTGCCCTGTATCTGCTTGATGCGTGATTACGCCTGGAAGTACGCCAAGCGCATGTATTACCCCCAGCATTACCACCACGTTCAAGAGATCCAGAAATACAACGTGCAGGATTACCGTCCTCGCATGGAGCAATTCCAGAAAGCCATCCGCAAGGTCCGACAGGTCCAGCGTATGCGCAAACAGCGCGGTTATGCTTTCTCGCAAGCCGATGACGGCGGCCAAATGCGCGTCTTGAACGCCTACGATACTACCCAGGGTCGTGGCCGCTATGGTGAAATGGCCAGTTCTAGGACCCGGGCGTTATGATTGAACCATGTCTGCATCCCGACCTGCATTGATACCAAAGTTTTGGCAGCTTGACAACTTTGTACTTTTTCACCTCCTCCAGCCTCGCCTTTATAGCCGTGCTATTGTTCAGGCGGAAGTCTTGTGACATACTCTTCATCGATGTGATGTGTTTTTAGCTTGATTATTCTCCATTGGACATGAACTCATATATCATCTGCTTCTCTGTATCTTGTAGTCAAATAGACAGCTCGTGACTATAATCATTCATATTGCCAACCGATACTCTTTGGCCGAATCCTTCAAGGATTGAGGCGCTAGAATCTAGCGTCTACTTGATCGGCACCGGCTCTCCAACCCTCTTAACCGAATACACTATTGTTTTTGGGTCTCGTCGTGGGTTGTTTGGTGGCTCTGCTGATGTTGCTTCGGTGGGCTGGGCTTTGAGGAGACAGATTCCAGTTCAGCAAGATAGTTCTTACAACCTGGAGAGGAAGCTATACACGGCGTCCTCATTATCGAGGCTTGGCTTATCGGCGGCATTCCCACCTGTCGTGACCCAGATATACGAGAGGTAGTCTACATATAGAAATTGACCGGAATATCAATATTCCTGTACTAATAAAAATACTTCAACTTACTCAAGCTGCTCTATGATGTCATGTCTTGTAACTGTATTGGGGCCCTTTCTGCGCTACGGGAATTATGATTAATTATCCTGCTCTAAAGTTCTAGGGAGCTGCCGAAGAGATGCGCGTCGGCACTTCTATAGACTAAAGTATCATCGAGCTTCATTATGCCTCAGGCCACAGCAAGTCTGGGCCCACAATTCTCGCCGTCCTCATGACTTCGACTTTAAGCATTGCGCAGGACTAGTATAGTTCGAGGTGTAAGAATAGCGGTGGATAGGTGTGGTAAGTATCCCTGCCCGAGCGTGGCTCCCCAGAACGACAGCGAGATAAGTCAGTGGCCAATAGCAAATTGGTGCAATAAAGCGGGGTATCACCGGGCTGTGCCCAGCTAAGCCGCTGGAAGATATTTATCTCGCGAAGGCAGGCTAGTCCTCTCATCATAAGACATTGCTTTGTTGTTGATTGATTGGATTATGACGCAGATATGTCCACCATCGGTCGAATCTCCAACTCTATTCTCTCCGGGTCGAATGAAAACAACTTATCCTTGGCGACGGTAAACTTTGACTTCTCACTTATTCAGATTGAAGCTCCAAAGCAGTATGAACCCCTGGCGTCGGCTCTCTCGACCCATCGTCGGCAAGATGCAGAGGAGGGTCAACCGCATAGAACAGCCCGCAGGCTTGGTGCTCTATTCGAGGATGTCATTGAGTCTACTCCGAAATTGATAGACGCCTTTGGCCAAAGAGTTTCGCAAATTGTACAGACGCCCGGTATTAATCCCCGGGGTAACTCTACCCATGGCCCCTTTGAGAAGTTCGTCGGTGCGGACGGAACAACTCTCTGGGCTGCTGCCACATCTGGAGTTCCCGCTATTGGTGTCTATCTTCTTTCATGCCTGCTAGCCCAAGCCTGGGATTCAAAACAAGCAACCGCATTGTGGGTGGAGCTAGTCGAACAACGGCAGAGAGAGATTCAATCGGCATATGAGAATAATCACAAGGTCTCCATGTCTACTCTATTCAGTGCGCGTCAGGAAATTTCAAGAGATGATCTGGCACGTTGGGACAACAGCGCTAGATCTTGGCTGCGAAGCGCCAATCAGGCCAAGGCCTTCGAGTGCAACCAGTTGCTGCTGATCAGCAAAACCTGCAGCTTTTTCCAATTGTCACACAGACCGACACTTACAAGAATGTGATGAGTGTCTGGAAGAATGCAATGAATGGCCTAGAGGCGCTTCTTTCTGGGAACCCAGTTGAAGTTTCCGATGGATCACTTTTCCTTGCTTTCTCGTCCTGGCATCTTTTCCCAGACCTAATCGTACTTGGAACAACACCCCCGACTCATGTGCCATTTCGTGACGTGTTATTTCCACCAGGGGGGGCAATGTACTATTCGTCAGGGAGTACCGACAACCGAATATTCCGGAGGGATCAGATGGTCGTTAGCACTTTCGCACCTGCGATACTACGGAGACCCAGTGGTCGTTCGAAACAATCCAGACTCTTCAAGGGTTACATTCCCAGACCTAGTGCTGGCTTTTCTGGGTTACCTCTTCAAACAGTGGCAAGTTAGCGATCGTGACCAAAGTACTGTTGCCCAATGGCTGGTGGATTTGTGGACTGTGGTCAAAAGACATCCTGAAACAGAGGATAAGCCACCCTTTCGATTTGCATGGCTCAAGATTCTAGCTGAAGCCGCCGGAGACTTCCTGAAGTCCGAGCCTAGGGAAAAATTCAAAGCCACTCAACTCATTCGGTTTGGAAGAAGAAGGGGGCAGCTTTTCTCAGTGGATCAGAATGAGACTTTGCTACCATTCTTTGGTATATGTCATCCATTGAGACTAACTGCCCTTTCTCAAAAGGATGATCCCAGTTGTGGGATTAGCTATCTTAGAGCCATGGCTCGGAGAATGAATTTGAGTGAGAGAAATGCCATCATTTGTCATGCGATTGACGGATATCAACACGAGATGCCTGATACAGTTTTAATCTTCCAGGTGGTGACGGCAATTCCACATACACGCCAGACACGGAAGAGAGACTCTAATGGTCTTCCGGTACATGAGGAAGTCCATGCACGGTGGTTCATATCCAGGTATAGAAACATGGTTTGATAATGCTATGATTGAAACAAAGCTGATATTTAATTAGGGGAACCGAGCATAAAGCCAAAACCGAGCTGCTAATGTCTGAATGCATCAAAGAGGGTGAGATCTGTTTGTCTACGGCAACCCAATCTGAAGTGCATGATAAGCACGACATGCATCATGACAAATTCATTTGGCCAGTCATTCCAAACATATACTCTTGCGGATGGAAAGCTTCAATGCCAAGCTGTGCACCAGTCACAGAGGCATCAAAAGCCTCCAACTACTGCGCTTGTTTTGAATGGGAAAATAAGCACAGTGGCGACAGTTCTTCAAGGTCTTCAGCAAGATTTCGATCCATAATTGGTGATTGGAGACTTGGACTATACGTGCAAGAAACCAACGATGTTAACGAGCAACATTTCAGTGACCTACATCAGCGTGCACATGCCTGCCCAAAGATAAAAGATAATATTTCGTTCGGAATTCAACATTTTGCCAATACAAGCTTAAACCCAAGCTTAGTGTCAAGATATCTCAGTGTCGTCACGCGTGTTGCAGATGATAAGCAAGCTCCGTTTGCGGCCATTGAGCGGGACAAGTCACTCAGTCGATGTGCGGCTGAAATGTTACTAGTTGGAAGTCCATCACTACCAGTTGGTTTCTGCCAAACTCTGTTTACCCTCGAACTTGTCTCAAGAGTCTACGCGCACTCGAATGGTGCTACTATACCACTCACGGTACTGTCAGAGCCGTTCTTTGGTAATGCGTGGGTGCCCAGACCAATATGTGAGCCGCTGAGTTTCATGAGGCAATCGAACACTATTCCTCGACTTGTACCAGCTATACCGGCTGCATTGACTCGTCAGCAGGCTTTTTCCTGCGTAGCGAAATTTGAGTCCGGAACAGTCGACCTGGATCCAGATGATCTAAACACGACGCTGGCGCTCTGTTCTGGAGATTCGATGTTTGTCGCTGCAGTTATCTTACTGGATCCCTTTGAACAGCCCGCGGCTTATGAACTACGGCGAATTGTCGGAAACATCAGTCACCCAGGTATCAGTCTGCTCGTTGCACCCGAGGATCCTAAAATCCGCAACCGATCAAATCAGTACACTGCTATCACTCATGCGTCGTATGATTTCCAGCGCGAGAATAATTTTGCGGGGACATCTTTGCACTTATCCTTCACGCATTGGAAATTTCCTCTCGAGGCTGGTGGATATCGAACAATTGATCCGGACGTTCTCGTCGTGGAATCTGTGATATCTGTGCTCGACCGGGGCAAATGGGTCGCGGACTTGGACATTCTGTGCATTGATTTTGAGAGTCTATCGCGTGTTGTCAGAGATTGCGATCGGCATCATCACGAGGCCCATGATTTAGAATATGACTACACGTCTATCGATAACTGGGACGAGCTACTTGACCAACCGGAGAATGTGGGTGTTTTCCGAGCTCACGGAAATTGGGCTGCCCGTCTTGCGGCCATCAGCATATTATCACAACAAGGCCAGGGGCATAGTATTGCTTTGTTTGGGAAACAGAAGGTCTGTTTCAAGTGCCTCGAAGAGAGAGAGAGGAGAATGTGGATTATTTGATGGATCATGAATCACCCTTACCCTCGATCTGTATAGATTAAGGGAATCCAGCTGCGGCGTTCACGATTTACGAAGAATGTCGACTCCATGTTGCCAAGAATCTGATGCGATCAACCTAATACTACGACTCGCTTACAGTTCCACTCGATCCCCAGCCTCACCGGTCTAATCTAAAGGTTCGACAGACGTGGTCAAACGTCCTTTGAATGTTTCTGTTTCAGCGGGGCAGTAGAACGAAGTCTTTGTGTCCCAGCCAGGCTGTCATTCTGGCCAAACTGACAATTGACTACTGGCAAAGGTGATTTCTACTATAACGAAGCTACCATTCCTTGGGTCAATGGTTCATGGGAAACAGATTAAGGAGTATATATTGTGACTCTCGTGATATGTTATATGATTTAACGCGTACATCGCTCCTCTGGGGGCCTCCATCCAATTCCTAATCTTTCCATGACCAACCTCTCCCTTTCCTCCCAAGTTTCCCCTCCATACTCCAAATCTACCACCTTCCCGCCAGCAGTACGCTCCCGCACCCCGCTGGAGTCAAACTTCCAATCATGCGCTTTCTTTGCAAATCGCCTCAAATCGCGCTGAAATGTCGTGTCGCCAGACCATCCAAGCACTGCACAGCCAACTGTCCGCCACGGCGCGATGATAATGTCCACACGACGATGCAGATTCGGATTTCGTTTTCGTCCATCCGCATCACTCGCATCTGTAGATTCGAAGATAGGATCTTGCCATACGACCAGTGCCTTATCGAGCGAGTCAAAATGCTTTCCTGTGTCGTCGCCTCGGAATGGAACGGTAGACTGTTCGCGCAGTGTTGAAGTCAGATGCAGGGAGAGAGTATGCGTGATGTATGCCTCCTTCTCAGACTAGATACCACATCAACGATCAAATTCCGGGTGACTGAGTCGTCACGATGTGTTAAGATGATATCAACATCGCCACAGATTTCTTTCCCACGGCGGTAGCCGCCGACAATGACACAGTCAATGTTGCCCGCATCTGGCCTTACGCGCTGAGCATGTCTCTTTACAACAGCGGCGATAGTTTCAGATTCCAGGCGCGAAACACCAGCTTCAAATTCATCAAAGAATTTGACTCCGATCTGCTGCACCCGCGAGAGAGAGTCCCATCCATACTCGACGATATCGTCTAGATCCCTCCAACCCTTCTGGTAAAAGTCTCTGGCGGTCTTGGCGCCCACACCCCAGATCTTGTCGAATGTATCCAAGACTCTCAGCATAGGGTCCGTATCCAATGCATCTGCCGCAGCCACGTTTCCATTGTCGTCTGTGTGATTGCAGCCTCCGTGCTGCTGAAATTCAGAGAAGAGGTTTGCGATCTTCACGTCACAACCGGGTAAAACGAGGACTTCGCTAGGTCGTTTGAGGACGTGCGGATACGCTGACAGTGTCGCAATCGATGTGCTATATGCTCGCACACCGATTTCATCAAGAGTCAAATGGCGGATTCGGCGGATTTTGATGAGCTGCGCGATAAAGTCGTCATTTGGAGTGTGCAGCGGTGCTGAGCGTAGGCATGCATATATAACATGATCTCTGACCCAGTCTGGTTGGTCTGGAGGAGTGGCAGTTTCGTCATTCTCAGACGTGGTTGTTCGGTGGAGAGTTGGTGGCCTCTGACTAGGTGTCCAACCGTGTGATTCATTAAAGCGCCGTGAGTGAAATCGCCCTGTGGAGACTGGTAGAGGCTGTGAAGCTGCATCTTCTTTGGCGCGTTGAAGAATCTCGCTAGGTAGCTTCTCAGATACCGCCTTTGCAGATGCTTCGCCCGGACGATTGGTCTTCCGGCCCTTGTATATGACAAACGACTCATAACAGAGAACCTTTTCGGCTAAAATGGAGCGATCTAGCCATTCCAGCTTCAGCAGCGTGATAGTCCCTGGCGCGTCCTGGACTCGCACCAGGTGCTGAGAGGGATCATGCCGACTTCTCTCTCCATCTTCTTCGCTTTCAGACTCGGTACTGAGGTCGACAATCTCTAGTCCGGCTCCATTGTGAACTGTTGTACTATCGTGTTCAACTTTTCTTCGTTTGCCTGGAGGCTCCTTATCTCCCAAGGATACCGCCTGAGCAGATACAGGTGTTGACGGAGACTCTTCTGTCCAGAGCCCACGAGAGCGAAGCTCCAGAATAGCACGCTTCTTTTGGCCAATCTTCCCCAAAACCAGACCGGCCTCAGTAATATCGTAGGTTATTCTCCCACCGTGCTCAATCAATCGACTTTCCGTCTCGTGTAGCTTATCCAGACTCAAATGAGTGGGCAGAATGAAAACCGTTGGCTGAGTTGAGAATATTCCCTGGCTACTCTCGGTTGGCTCGTCGGATGCTGAACGCCTGCGGGGAGAGCGTCCTCGACCCATGTCGATCGATATGCGTATATTCAAGTACGAAACAATATGTTCATTCCATCTGCATATGCGTACCTTTATGGATTTAGCAATCGCTGCGCGCCTTTGCCCCTGTCATCCGTCGAGCCACTCTCTGCCGCATGATTCGCGGGGCAACTTCTAATGATTCCCACCACGAATGTATATGGAAATGAGGCTATCAGGGAAGTTGACCATCGTATATGTACTTACTATGCTCTATAATGTTCGTATGGCGAGGAATGGGTGGAGGCGCGCGCCAGGAATTTGCTGACGTCATACTGATCCTGCCTGAGGCCAAAAACAAGTATCAACGAGAGTATTGACCATCGATTATCTGACTGCTATCTATGAATCATATCTATGCAAGTCTGAATAGCCGGTAGCAATCTTAGCGATCAACCCATTCGGACAATCTCCTCCTCGATGTGGGGCTCATGGGGGGCTTTCACCGTAAGTTGCGAACCGCCCTTGCCAACAACCTCGGTCTGCCCACGCTCAACACGACTCCCAGCATTGTGGGCAACAATACCAGTGTCATCACCAGACTCGAGAGCGCCGTCTCGGTAGCGCTCTTCGTCTGAAACCACAGTTTTTCCATGGCGCCTATCCATCCATCGGCGCCACGGCTTATAACACAGTACACTCAGTACGCCAACGACAAGGAAGCAACCACAAATACCCCCACCGATCACATCATAGTAATCGCCTGCGACCTGCACGCCATCCCAGAACTTGCCTTTGGCGTCGGTTACATTCAAGATCATGGTGAGCAGCTGAATCACGCCAATCACGATGGCCACGATGACCGTCAAAGTGGTCAACACAATTGAATAATACAAGAAGGCGATTGGGTCCCGATGATTGTCGTGAGATTGGGGAAGTTCATTCTCTGGCGTCTCTGATGCATTATCGGGGATTACGCTGTCGCGCTTCGGCGGGAGGAAGTTGGCGGAGGGCTGGATGTAGAGCGAGAACATGAGGGCTCCATCGATGGTATCGAGGAGACACATTCCCGCGGTAAAAAGTGCCGGAAGGATGAGAATTACCCAGAAAGATGTCCCATTTGCCGCTTCGACGGAAGAAATTCCGAGGAGAGCGACCTCGGACGAGGTATCAAAGCCCAGTCCGAAGAGGATTCCGAGCGGGTACATTTTCCATGGTCTGTGGTGACTTAGTACAGAATATTTCGATATTGAGGTTTCTTAACGTACCGATCGATCAATTTGAACATCTTCTTGAGAACGGAGAATAGAACGCCCCCGCCTTCAATTTTCCAGGCTTCGTCGGCTTGGTCCTCGGATAAGCTGAAAACCTTCTGCATTTGCTTGATCAGCTTGTAGAGAATGTACGCATTCATAATCCCGAGCAAAATCAGGAACGCAGCGCTAACAGAGCTACCGATGATCCCGCCGATGGTGCTGAAGCTGTCAAATTTGGAGGAAATAGCTGCAGCAGTTGCTGCGACGACGATGGATGTGATGATGACGATTCTTGTTCTTTGATTAGTAGATTTACGAAAATATCTCATCCGGGACGCATCTACTCACGTCGAATGGCCAAGAGAGAAGAAAGTTCCGACGGTGACTGGTTTTTGACCAGTTGCAAGTAGTCGTCGTGTCATCAAATCGATGGCCTGCCGTTCAATCAGTGCTTATGGTCTTCGGCTCTGTAGGCAGGAGAGCGTACAGAGATATGATCAGCATCGAACGCATGTCTCAATCCAAGAGTATATGCGAGAACAGCAGTAGACACCATCGTCCTACGTTCTGTCAGTCTCAATCCATTCTATCAGTTATCCAAGAATTTCTTACGGATGAAAACGCTATATTGTGTTAGCACGATTCGAGACTGCGATAGTATCTCGAATCTGGACTTACCAATACAATTGCAGCAGCAACCCATGCAATGCAGTTCAAAAGCGCAATAAGGGTAATTATGCCGATCGCACGAAGAGGGATCTTGCGTATGCCAGGCATCTTGCTATGCGAGCGCCGAGCATGGCGGATGAGCGGCTTCAAGCTCCAGCTTCTCTCGCTATCCACGCTTCTCGCATCAGCGAGCGAATCGTCCACAAAGGACGTCATTGTTGGCGGTTCCCCAGACGTGTTTCAAAGATCTCCCTCGTCAGCCCAGTGTACCCTGTGGCACCTGCTCTAGGTGGGGGCAAAGGATAATATTTCCCCAACAGTTGTCGAGAGAAAACAAAGTGTTGGCACAGTTGATCGCGAAAGAGCTTCGTTTATAATGCGCAAAGCAAGCTTGCTGATCCTGAGAACCCGAGCAAATTTTCATTAGGCTTATCGGCCGCTTTTTCGTGTCGCCAAGCTCGACTGAGTACTTTAGATCCGCTCGGCACTGAAGTCGTCGGCGTTCGGAGGACTGCTCGCGATCGAACGATCAGAATGACTGTAGGTCTGTGAAGGCCAAGTCAATCAGCCGTCCTTTTGACTCGATTACGAACTTCACACAAGGCTCTTAATTCTGTCCATTACTTTCTTGAGAACTTGATCTTGGGATGATCCGTTAGCCGGAAAGGCACGTGACATTGTGGGGTCACGGAGAGGGCCGATATACGCCGATAATTACTCAACGCGCTTGTTCTGATATGATAATATATCCACTTCATGCGATCGGGATCCCCACATTCGGCGTGTCAACAATGCCGTCTTTGCTCGTTTGCCGACGACCAGGGTTTTATTTTATTGTTGATGGGCGCGCGGCAAAGTCGTCCGTCCAACCCGAGTTCCATTCGATTAACCTGTTTGAGAGGTGGAAAACACTTGTAGATAACGCCATTAGCTAGCTAGGTCTTTTAGTAATCTAACCTGTTTCAACAACAAGTAATAGATGAATTGGGTGTGCTGATGGCCAAGCTTATACTGGGTGTTGAGTAAGCAGATAGATAGCTTTACTTTGGAAAGGACATCCTCGGATGAAATCAAACTAATATGTGGAACAAATGCGGACGATGGAGATCGCCTTCGCATTTCATGACTTCGTAGTACTTATGATACATTCTCGAGACCCAATCTCTTTCCATCCGTTTCGATGGTCTTTTTCAATTTCTAGACCTTGATTCATCGCCTGCGGCCCTCGGAAGCCGTGTGCATGCCGCCCACCTGATGATGAGAAGTATTTCTCGGCTTTAGTTCGTGGATATTCGTGTGGCAATCTAGCTGAGTAGAAAGCAGCATTGGAGCCAGATCATGGGTCCGAAGTCTTGTGCGGGCATCCGCCTTCAAATCTTCCGGCTCTCTTCGAAGCAGAATTCGTTGATGTGAGATCGGAGAGAAGCCAGCGACATGATCTCAGGAGTTGCTTTGGCAATGTTGATGACACCTCTGAAGTGAGTGGCTGCTTTATAGCATGTTACGACACATCCTCAAGAAATTGAAAATTTCTTGACAAGATATGTTTGTAGATAATCCCCGGCACACTGTGACCTCTTCACGCGACAGCATAGACAGTAGGAGATGGAGTCCACTTGGTCACAGTCGGCTGTAAGCGAATATCCTGGCTGACGAGGAAATTCCACTCGTTTCTGGTGATTGGAGTCACATCTGACGCCGACAGGGGCGTCTTCGGCCCTCTCTTTGCTGGAGCGCCGATCCTCTGGATACTGCATCTAGCAGGCTGTGCTGGGCGTTTAGCACGTACAGCCTTCGTCGCCGGCTTCTGGGCCACGGCCTTCTGGGTTATGGATTTTTGAACAGAAATTTCTTGAACAATGGGCTTCTGCATCATCGGCTTCTCAACCACTAGCTGCACTTGCTCAGCCTTAGGTTGCTGAGGCAAGATGATCGCATCTAGCTTGTGCGTGCTCTTGTAAGCAACCGCAATGGCGGTGAGCAGATCATCCCTCACATCAAGCTGCTCGTAGACGCGGTGAAAGAAAGCTTTGCTGAATGGGCGGCCTTGGAAGTCGGCGATCAGGCGGTGCAGGAGTTTCACACAGGAAGCCATAGACTGGTCATCTGAGCGAGAGAATGGACGGTTGGAGAGGATACACAAACGGCGTTTGAATGTGTAGATGCGATCCATGTTGAGCAGAGTAAGACCCTCTTGGCTAAAGACGACTTCGTTTTGGAGGATTGATTGCTGCACCAGGTACTCGTTCGCATGGCGTTCGTACTGGCTACGGTTCAATGCGTCGGACCAGCTTTGGCCCAATGAGAATTTCTTTGCGGCCTTGGAGATAGCCCGCTCGAGGATGCGCCACGCTGGTGCATCGAGGGATGTAATGGGAATAATCATCAAGTCGGAGGGTTCGCCAGTGGGGTAGGGCTTTCCGCGGCCGACAAGGAGAGTGACATGCATCATTCGTTGTTGAAGTTTCTGGGAAATATACTCAAGAGCAGGCAATGTGGAGAGAGTAACGGTTTCGGCATCAAAGTTGAAGTCGGCGGAAAGAGGAGGGGAGATCATATCGTTGGTGAGGCGAACAGGAGAGCTAGGGACGTAGATGCCCGCAGGGCGAGGAAAACGGATGACACCCATTTCGAATTATAATTTGAATTAATGACTCAATTTGATCTTGAGTCTAGGGATATCCTAGGGACCCTATTCTAGAGAAAGGAAAAAAAGCCCCAGGTGCAGCCGAAGGTCCTGATATAGATTTAATTCCTAAGGGGCAGAGCCAACATACAACCAACATGAGTTCCCCGCTCATAAACATCTTAACATAGAATAGTGCCATTTACTCTTAATTTAGCTGCATAATTGTTGCTAATGATAGCCAAAGTCATCTCAAATCAGCCAATCACATCTTCAGATGTGGTGATGAGCCGTTTGGTGGAGCACACGGGGACCAATAGATACGCGCAAGGCCGAGCGCCTATAAATAAATGGAAGCAAATTAAAGTCCAATTGCACTAGCATCACCCGTAGCCGCTGAGGCGTTGGTCCACCAACCAACGTCTAGGTTGGTCACACTCTCAATGGAGCTTCTGCATGTCATCACGTACTAACACAGGGACCCAGCACCCAGGCCAGGGCCTTGGGGCAGAATCATGACTTGTAGGTGGTCTATGTTATGAGACCCCGCCCAGGCTCATTAAGCGTGCGAGAGGATAATTTCCACCTCCAGGGATCATATAGCTCCGGCTCTTATCGACAGGTCGTCGTTGTTTCCCTCCTTAGGCCCTAAGTTTTAGTGCCTTAGTCCCCCGCACGGACGACGAGGCTCACTTTTGTTTTTTCACTCCAGTGCACTGTTGGAGGTTCACTATCACGGAAATGATGCTGCATGCGTTGGGCTGGCGATGACGTTGTTCCCTCTGCATGCGACCTGGTCTAATTGCCCAATTGCAGAAGACGTGTCATCAACTTGTTCCCAACTTTTTCTCGAGCAATATTCTACGGCCTCTGCTTGAAGTCAAATGCGCATTTTTAATCCATGCCTCCATGCTCTTTTAAAACTTGGGCAACAGTATCCGCCTAATTTGGAGCAATCTACGTCACGCCACATGGGATGGTATTGGTTATCCCTATAGTAGCCTCATGATTCACAATGTTGTCGAAAGTTGGTAAGATTCTATCCATCAGTCCTACATCTCTGACCTAGTTGACTGATCACGGTCGGGCACGTGGATACAAAGTGGAAAAGCCGTAGGTTTTCGGTATTTAATTGCCTTTTCCACTCTCCCTACTGATTATTTGATGTAATGACGAGTCATGAAATCGATATCAGACAGAGGACTAAGCGCCCCACGAGCACGGCTAAAATCAGGCTTTTGCACGAATGCATGGTCATAGATTGCTTATTGGCCAAAGCATGTGCTGCTGTCGTGGACGAACGGTAGCATACGAAAGCTCGTGTTTAGAACGCGGTGTAGGTCAGCCTCATCGAATGCAGTGTTTCCTAGAGCCGCAGCATCTTCGACCTACTGCAGGAAGATGCATGGCTCGCATGTAACAAGCTATCGTGGCATACAGCTATTCCAATGGGAATGCCTAGCCTAGGGCGTTCGTTGGGGGCTGAAAGTGAGCGCTAAAGTGCGGAGCAAATAAGGTTAATTTGCATCGAATTGTGATCAACACGTGGTAAACATGTTTGTTATTCCTCCGTTCTATCTAACTAACACGGGATTTTGCTACAAACTGGAAGGTCGCCCGTTTCTTATCCGTTGGGCTGCCTGGGGGGAATGGTTTGAATGTTGAGACCGCAAAATAACGTCACATCACAATATGGTCTAGATCGACGCCCCAGAACTGCTGAATTTCGGATAAGGGGATGCTCTGGGTACGTGATTGGCTTATACTTCCACCCAGGTGGACTGGCTTGTCGATCAGTCTGCTCGAAAGTTCCAGAGCAAAGGAAGCGGCTTGTATTTATATCCAGGAGGCGTGCGTGCCCTCAATCGCATCGCATTCTCCGAGGATTATGGACGAGACCACCCGAGGCTTTCTAGCCCAGGCTATCCGGGACGCATTGACGTCTTCTGGCATCAACCACAACGAAGAGTATTGATTCCTTGATTTCTAAAGTCGATAATGACGGTATGCTAGATGCTCGATTCAGCTAATGGAATGGGTGCTGACCATGATCTAGTCCTCCAGGCCCATCTAGCAAGCCAGAACGGCAACACAGAACCGTCACCGTTAATGCCAACCGGCTTGGCTTTACAGACGCCCCCGGCTTCACCACACAGAGGGCGTGGCTCATATCGAATTCTGAATGCACCGAAAAGGAAATATGCAAATTTAGCGAGCGCAGAACCGAGGAAGAGAAGAAAGCGGCATATTTCGAAGCTTTCGGGAAATTTTGGTGATAAATCTCCCTCCGACCGAATTACCGATGAACCTCTCCAGGAGAATTGTCACAATGTCACTCAATAGGTTTGCGACTTCTACCATTTGACAAACTTGCGCCACATACTTAATCCGAGGCTAACGTCTTTTGGTCCAGCCTGACAAAGACCCTGTGAAAGATGCCCACTATTCAGATCTCCCCGTCATCGTCTCCTCATCCTATCAAGCAGACTCCGCGTATTCAGTTAACGCAATGTCATCGATATTATTTGAGTGCGCGAAGGTCAATTTCGCGATTGGTCTCTACGGGCATCGAACGAGCGGTACCCCGACGATAATCAAGCTTGACAATATCCGGAAATATGTTGATGAGATTTCAGAACTCGATTATGAAAAAGCAATTGACGTCATTCGCAGAGACAATGCTTTGGCCACGGGTAAGGGTCTTCAAAATCGATACAATGAAATAATTTTCTGGAAAATTATTCTCAAATGTGCTGCGTTGATCGATCATACAAAGCTACCATCCGCGAAAGGACCTGCAGACGGTTTCACTATGGCGGAAAAAGCTGCAACCAAGAAATTTATGGAAGATGCTGGATACGGGTTGGGCGCAGAAAACTAACGGCAATGCCGCATTTTCTGGAAAAACCTATTCAAAATACGTGAAGCCGGCATTGATAAACTTCTCTATTACCGCACTAAGGAATTTGACAGCTACTGCAAGGGATAATCAAAAATGTCAGATATCTCTCTTGTGGATGAGGTTATGAGGTAGGAAACCTAATATAGACCTTATATCGAACAACTGGAAACTCGGGTCCTCAGACTTGGGAAAGGTGACCTAGCGCGCCTATCTGATCTTAAAAATCCCTAAGTTCCAGAGAGGCTAAAAGTTTATGAATCCTCTTAGAACAATACTAAGAATGAATGGGCCTTAACTAGCGAGAAAGAGAGCTTCAAGGAAAAGGGTTTGCGGGCTTTCTCTCCTGATGTCACATGCGCATTATACGGCAATTAATTAGCGTCAGAATCTACGGGAGGTAAGTCCGCATTCATCTTTCTCCTTCCTAAAGATGGCAGCTCTCTGTTTGTCTGTTCAATCGTCCCTATGCGCGAGGGAGACTTTTCAGGCATATTCGCTAGCAAGATTCGCTTCTCGGGAGACTTGAGCGCCACCCACGGTATCCGCGGTCCTATCGACTATCTGTGGCTAGAGTAATCACAGGTCACTGGTACTCTGAACCAAATGCAAGTCTCCGAATCTGGTGAACCTGCAAACGTCCGCCTCCCGTGGGAAGTAATCCATGATGGTATTGGGACCGAGAGTCGCACCACATGGAGAGTTTCTGTGAAATCCATTACGTCCATATTGCCATTTGAACCTCTCGTTCGCGTTGCAGCTCAACAGGAGCAGTATGTGCTGCATTCATCCTCTGAGAACGCAAAGCGGGGCTTTCTCAAACTTTGAGAAGCGGACTGAGAATGTTCAACTACCCTTGTTGGTTTGTTTATTCGAATTCTTGCTGTATCCAGGTGATGTGCGACCCTGGAACAAGTAAGGGAAATTAGCCAGGTGTAGTGCGTATGCGTAGTTTTGTTCGCACTCGGGTCGAGCTGTAAAGACGTCAGCCTGGGTCACCTGATATCCCACATAAGCCAAAAAGACCACTATATCCGCAATCAGCGGATATGACCCAGGAGCCAATATGTATGAAGAAAGCTCCCATGAAAATGTATTGGAATCATAAGATGTGTTGTCATGATAATCTGGGCGGACGTACGCTCTTCTGCTGTGTTGTTGTTATATGAAGAACATCACGATACCGCATGCAAACCAAACAACCCCAAAAGACCTGCATGAAAATGAGAACCGAGAAGTTCCCCCAAATGACTGTGTTCCCCCAAATGACCGTCGCCAGAATCCCCACTACACTGTATGCCCTGAAACGATTGCAGTGAGAGGAAGGGTTAATGTCACAGCAAGCTAATACAGTATAGCATTTTATGAAAGAATGGGGCTAATCTACCAAGGGGAACCAATCCAACTAACATGATGGCTTGAAATTAAATTAGTTGAAGATAAAAAGAGCGGATCGTGAGAGGACCTGCTAGTCCCAGGGTCATTTGCTCAGAAGCTCAGATTGCGCTCCGAAATTCGAGAGCTGATTACTCGGTATGGTATGCCCGCTTTTTGGATCACTCTTAAACCTATTTCAGTCTGGTAAAGTTTACCGCTTATGAATTTGTTCCTATGTAAGTATAACTTAAAGCTTAGTCTAATTCCTGTCTCTCGTACTATCATAATAATCGCTACGCTTCTTCTTTATATGCTTTTCTTGCGTAGTATATCTCTTGTGGCGAGCAGACAATTCTAAAATAGTACAGTCCTTCTGCTCGTCTGGAAGCTTGTATTAAATTAATATCTGTCAGGAAAATGGATACTGGCATCGTATTGACTCGTCAGGTACCTCCATGGTAACCTGAGGACTACAATCTTACAATACCCTCACTCCCTGATTTACATGTACTTTCACTGTATGGCGCCACCTCGGATTTGTAACCACCGAGTCGCTGGTATTCTCATGGGTATTTCAACCCCCATGAAGCTCAGTAGCTTAGTTCTACAAAATCAACTCTCTTCTCATTTTTGCATTTCCCTTTTGATTCCGTTGCTCTCAGTGGCTGGTAATCCTTTGGTATTCTATAGCTAGTACAGGTGATTTCTGTCAATATCCTATGCTCTATCTACGAACATCTTATATTGAACCTCCGTATTGCCCGCAAAGCTTAGTTTTCGCTGACACTGTCTGCATTTAATTTCCCATCCTAATGCCATCTCAAATTAACTCCCCAGCTATTCTCCACCTGAGAGACTTCATGGACAGCGTGGGACCTGACCCGTCTCGACCGAAACAAGGACTTGGTCTACAAATCGAGGCTTCTTTACATCTTCCTTTTCAACGAGTCTCTACTCGGACGATGTTGAATTGAATGAGCTTCCGACTACTATACATTTCTTCGCCTCGCCGGGAAAGCCTCAATCCGACGAGGCTAACAAATTGATCTATGCTTAGAGCTCATTTTTAACTTCTGTCGACCTAGATGGGGCTTTGCATCTTATTTTACACGCCTATGAAGTTGACTAGTAAGATACAAATCATAAAGCTACCCTTCTTTCCTCACCGCTAATGGCTGCCTTAGTCATCCGGGCGATCATTCTGACTCTTATGTGTATAATATGCACTGCACAGAGGCCGCTCTCCCTACCGTTAGCTTACTGGGAATAGTCCGAAGTGGAGGGGGACAATTAAATAACGGATCTACTCTGGTGTATGACGACCTCGAGACTAATATCTACGACCCCTCTAATAAGGCGTCTGTGACAATTACGGTTTCCATTTACTTCAGGAACGGAAACCGTTGGACAAAATTTCCTGTTCTTTCTAGGCAGTCCCGAATATTTTTCACGGGGAGAATTTTCGGTATCACCACCATCATGCCTCGGCTCGCAATCGGCGTGGATAATGTTTATTTTATTCCAAATCTCGGCTCTACTATGACTGCTCCACTGACTCCTTCGTCGGTGGGAAGGCAGAAACAAGCAGATAGATGGAACAGTCGTGCCAACCCCACAACCCCCACAAAGAGACCTCGCACGCTGACCTCGAGCTCTGATTCCCAAGCACAAGACGACGATGTCCAGACCTGTCTCTCTACTGAGGCTTGCCTTCCAATAGAATCTGAACTCTAACCCATCGGTAAGGATATAACTACTGACCAACTGACTCGCCTGGAAGACGGTTCGTCGGCTGACACAATCCTCCCGGGCCATCGACCCAAGAGAGGTCGTAAACTCTGTAAGGCGAACTCACCTTTATGATAAGCTTATATATAGCGTTACCTGTCAACCTGTCTAAGGTGAATGCAGAGGAGAGGAACATACCAGATGACTGAGATATGATGGAGCTAAGCAAGAGAAGGACTTACTAATATTTCTATTTGGGGAGAACTCCGGCAATTTCCAGTTCCTATACAAAATGACGCAGTAATCTCCCCCTGCCGCCCTTCCCTCGAAATTCTCCTACAAATCCGTCTTTAATGCAGTCGACGCAGTCGAAACAAGCCACCTAACCGCAGTAAGCCAGCTGCTCACGACTACCTCAGGCCTTACTAACTCTGGATCACCTGCATAGTTTCCAAGAAGATGCCTTCCCAAGCCCCCTCTACTCCTTCTGGCTTCCATTCTGAGGGCCCATCCACCACTGACAATCAACACGGGGCTTTTACTGTTGACACTCGTGAAGATGATGATATGTCGCAAGTCACCCCGCCCTCTCTTGTCCCGCCTAGGGAGGTGGTCACTTGCCTAGAATGCCTTACGTGGATTGCCAGTGGACGACGCCCAGCTGAGATTTATAGATTCAGCTACTGTGCTGTTGAGAGGAATCTCAATATCCCGTATTTGCAGTGCACCCGGTGCGCCCACAAGCATCATATTTGCCACCAAGTTCGCTCCTCCCGCCTCCGGGGCTTACTCCAGATTCTCGAGCTTCTCTGGGCCCAGATCTCTCACCTAATGCACCGTGTCGACTATGCGCGGCAGATATGGGAGATCTACCAGCAGCTCGACCCAGCGGAGCAGGAGTTTTGGGATCTCCTCAACGAGGCCGACTCATCAGATGAGGAGCACCCTGAATACTCGGAGGATAATCCTAATGGGGAGTCCTAGACCTCGGCCTCAAATCTGTATTATTGAAATCCGGTTAAGAGATGACGCAAACAAAATCTCAGTGGTGGATTTTCTATGTTACTATTGACATTGAGATGTTTCGAAGATGCCTTCTTGTGCTGCTGGAATTCTATTCTACCTTGTCTTTTACATTACTTCCATTTTGCCGCAGTCAAATATCCAGTAATATCCAGAACTTCTTTAGCTTCCTTTGGCTCTCTCTGCTCAGTTCATTTTGACTTTACGGATACACTTTTACAGGCTGCTGGACCAATCATTACACCTTCCAGCGCATTTCGCTAATTGGCAGATCCAAGCGGACATGTGGGGGTTCCCACTCAGCATGGTCAGAAATTTAAATTTCTGACCACGCCGAGCTGGGTGCCCGGACATGTGTGCGTACCTTTCCGGTGTGTTATCAAACCTAATCGTTCAATTTTCATACTTATCTTTCTACTACACTCCCCTTTCGTACTTGTTTCGTTTCAGGGCCACAGCGTGCGACAGCGCGCGTCACCAGTACAAAAATTGAGGCGAAATTGGTCCAAAACTGCGATGATTGGCTCGCCGTGCTTCGGTGTTATTGGACGAATGCTTTCAGTGCTATTGGATAAAGGCTTCTACCGGAATCGACTCTAGTTTCCTGTTCTCTGTTGGTGCTTTGTAGATTTCAGTTTTTCGCTGCTATTTTCGTTTTGGGGATGGCGTTTGCGTTACCGTGATATTAATGAATCTTATCGGATTCGGCTACGCTTTCCGAAACTTTAAGCATACTAGGACCTACGTAGCTTTCCTCGGTTTGTTGGGCTCGTGTTGTGAAAGGCTGAAGCAAGACTTAGATCCAATCTAACTGGGCCACGAACTGTATACAAAAAGCTTAAAGGAGAGAGAGTTCTTCCACACGCGTCTACCGCGTCAACGTGCCAAGGTCGCGTGGCACGCGTGACTACCATCTACACTATCGGGCATTAGACCGTGACACGTATCTTTATGATGAGTTTATATGATTACCTTTTCTTCCTCATTACCTTTTCTGTCTGCGCTTCCCCAGTACCCGGGAAAAAGGGGCGTGGTTGTGTACGCGTTTTCTGGCAAGTGCTCCACACGCGACGTTCTTGGCGCTTTTGGCGAATAAACCTTTGTCGAGACATGGAGTGGTAACTTACCACCTAAACAGGGGTTATACCAAGTGACCCACTTTTCCTTAGTGTTTCTTATAGTAATTTGATGGCATTTCGGTCGTCGTAACACCGTGTACTAGCACCATTCCTGGGGTAGTTCAACCTGCCTCAGCACATTCGTTTCTTCTCTTCAATCAATCAATCAATCAACCTGTGCATTCAAGATTGGTTCCGCTTAGTCCTACCCACGATCCCATTCGCCTACGAGGATTACTAGCCTATACTGTCTCAGCTTGCTTCGACAACCTTTAAACCCTTACCAACCACTGCTTACCATAACAGGCTGGGATGCCTGTATAAGCTACGGCGAACTTAACTGCTAGTCCAGTACTAGCAATCTAGCTCAACAGTAGTATGTTGATGGTAAAAGTCAGAATGAGGAAAAAGCTGTTAGCAGTGTTCCATATCTAGGTTTTTACAAACATGGCACCTAGGCCGGGTTCCTGAAAATGCCAAGCTCCACCTACTAGCAACAGATTATATCTAGGATTTACAATCGTGGCGCCCAGGCCGAAGCTCTGAAAATGCCTAGCATCAGGAATTATCAACATCATCCGTGCAAGGGACGTAAAATATATGCCAAAATCCTCCCTGCGGGGTGACCATTCGAAAGTCTGGTTGAGGCAACGCGTGAAACTTTGAGATGCTTATCAAAGAGGTGCCTAGGTGCTCCGGAAGGAGTTAGTGATCACTAGGGGGGATACTGGGATATGAGAACCACCCGACACAAAGCTGTTTTAGTGGAGTGACAGGGCGCCCTCGAGTTCAGCTAGCTCTGGGACTGATACAGGTAACCTGTCTCAGCGAGGGAGAGAACAAAGTCTAAGTGCTCTCTGGAGCAATGGAATTGTTAAGGCTGGCTGGATGGTAGTTGCCGGATGTGTTAACGGCGAGGCCTACACCAAGACCGAACTACCTATTACCTAGGGCACATATGTAGCCAACACTAAGTAGACAGGAGCCGAAGAAAGAAGAGCACCGATTTGAGCGCCATCTTCCCGATGGCCGCCATGCCTTTCTGACCATGTAGCACAACAACGCTCGGGTTAGGGCTGGTCTGACTGATTGATCAAACTAGATAGCCTGGAAATTTTACCGCGGGAATTGTCGTGGTGTGTTCTCAGTCTAGTGGAAATATCGCCAATGGAATTAGATAGGTGGCTAGATACCTGCCAACCACAAGCAGCCACATTCCGATTCTCCATGCCGCTTCTCTCGCTGAGATCGGGAACAGTCTAACGGAAGCAGAATAATGCCTACAAATGACCAATGCTTAAAGTCCAAAACCTGATGATCCATGCGCTGCAATCCACGACAATGCGGGTTCTAATAGTTAACCATGAGAATTACAAGCAGCGACCAGAGCGCCAAGCTGCTGCCGTCCATGCTTGCCAACCGAACGCCCCAAGACGTTGTGCTCGTTGGTTTCGTTGCTGCCGTTGTGGCCGTTGTGTCGTCCACATTGGGAGCGCACAGCTTCGGGTCTGCCGGTGGCGGTGAGGAGTCGACTGTGGTATTGAACAGCATTTCAACCCATTGAATGTCAAACCAGGCTTCTCCGCCGACCGGCATCTCTCCAACCCATGTCGAGTTCGCCCCCCACATGTCAAGGTAGAACCCGCTCGGCGGCTGAGGCGACGGGACTTGCAGGGTGGTCGTGTTCGTCTGGATTCCGTCGACGAAAAAGACGCTCCGCCCCGGCGTCCAGTCCAGTCGATGAATATGCCAGTCGGTCCATTGCCGGCCGCCCGGCATGCTCACATTGACCGTCGCCCCGGGAATGGGCGCCCAGTTGGGAGCACCGGTGGACGAAGGCTGGTTTGAGTAATGCACATAGTTGTGGGGATCCTCTGTGAACATCTCAATGTCCGACTCTTGGGTATCGTTGAGATACGTGAATATGCCGGCACACGCCCCGCGCGTGCCGTAGACGCGACCCATCACCCGAAGTGATGCATAGGAGATGTTGAAGTAGGTGATCTCGCCGCCTTCCTGGGTTTCCTCATTGATTCGAGCCGAGCTGAGCGTCAGGTATGTAGAGTAGTCGGACGAGTTGTCGGTACTATTTGCTGCAGGAATCCGTCAGTCTCGGAACAGACACACCCAGGGTACTGGGGCTTCATACTGATGGTAACACGCTGTGGAATAAAATCCACCGGAATAACTGGCCACCCGGGGCTCTTCCTGGGGTAATTACGGATGTACCAATCCTTCGTCCATGAGCTGTCCGCCACCGTCTTCGCATTTCCACTGAAAGACGACTGTGAGCCCGAGCTCGAGCTGTAGATATTGCGGAAGTCATAGAAGCGGTAGTTCAGAAATGTACTGCTGGCGGCCCCATTACTGGTGAACGCGGTGCAGCTACTGTCAATCGTGCTCTGCACTGGAAGGGTCAATGCAAGGACCCAAAGAATGAACGCCAACATTTTGGGCAGATTCAGATGAGTCTGCAAAAGAAAAACAAGTTGGCCACGACACCTTCCAGCCCTCCATGGCTCTGAGGCAGTCCCATCGATATATCGGGCATGGGCTATGGAGGGTCCCGGTCTAGCCCAAGGCTCGCACTAACCTGGCTGTTCTAGCCGAAGGCTTGGACTGCAGGGTACGTAATCACCAAGTTAGTTCAACCGACTGACTAAATTAGTGTCAAAGCGAGCTGAATTGGTATAGGCTAGTATGCAGAAGAGCGAATGAGAACTACCGGAATCATCAAAAGAAAGATTGATTTGATTGAAGAAGGAAGGAAAAACTAGAACGAACAGAAAAAGGCCTGGCTGAGCTGTCCCATGGCGGTGTAACGGAGTATCCGAGTGACAATACCAAAGTCGAGGTATTACCCGCTCAATACATGCAAACACATACTGTATGTAGAAAATGTGGGTTGGTAACGGACCAATCCCATGTCGCGGTAATAAACCCCTCCAGTTTCCCATGACAATCAGTTACCCTGCCAATCGGGGAGATGGCCACGCCCGCCACCATCTCGAGCTATCGACTAGGAATTCAGCTAACGCCGGCTTCACTTGCCATCCCATCACATCTTTCTCGTCTTTCTCAGTTCCGACAGGGGGGGCAAAGTGACCCCCAAGCTAGATGGCTGCAACCCAGGCTCATGAATCGCCTGTCAGCCCTACACCCCTGTCAGCCCTGCACCCCCTGTCCACCTTGGTGGAAATAGCCCCGGGAGACATTCAACGTTTTCTCGGTTTCCAGGGGCCCAAGCTGATCATGGTTCACCTCCCGACCCCATTCCGTTACTATACTGAGATTATACAACCACAATAGTACCTACAACAGAATTGACATCGGGATTCCGCTCTGTTATTGGCGATTTTGTTTTAGTTGTTAAGTAGTCTGTCCTACTCGTCGACTGCACACGGACAGTAGACTGGAAGAAGAAGAAGAAGAAGAAGAAGAAGAAGAAGAGAGAAACGTAGTTGCTATGGTATGCTATGGAATAAAATGGCTTTGCTGTAAAAGATGGTCTACAGTCATGGGTGCCCTCCAACGCTCTGCACGTCCAGATTCAGAAATTGACAGATGTCCCTGCAGCAATCGTCCAGCGTCTTCTTCGTTTTCCAGCCCAGTGCCTTCAAGGACTTGGTTGGGTCGGCGACGCATATCCCGACATCGCCATCTCGTCGGCCGGTCGCTCTCGTCGGAATGGTTCTTCCCGACACACGCTCCATCGAAGTGACAATCTCCTTTACCGAGTGGCCGGTCCCCGTGCCAAGATTGAAAGTCTTGAAGCCGCTGCCAAGCTCCTTCTGGGCCATTAGCGCAGCCACATGGCCGCGGGCGAGATCGCTGACATGGATGAAGTCGCGGATGGCAGTCCCATCTGCAGTGTCCCAGTCGGTGCCGTAAATGTTCAGCTGCGGCAGCTCGCCAGTCAGGGTCTTGACGACGATGGGCATCAGGTTGTTGGGTGTGTCCCGAGGGTCCTCGCCGAGATGGCCTGACTCGTCACAGCCGATGGGGTTGAAATATCGTAAGGCGATGACGGTCCATTCAGGGTCCGAGACCGCCAGGTCATGGAGGATGGCCTCGCACATCCACTTTGTCCGGCCATAGGGATTGGTGAGCCCGCTGCAGCCCCGATTGTCGCAGTACTCTTCAAGCAGGCGGCTCCCTTTGTTGGCGATCTCGCCGTAGACCGTGGCTGAGGAGGAGAAGACGAAGTTCTTTATGCCGAATCCGCCGAGCATGGCACAGAAGTCGATCATGCCGCCCACGTTGTTGGCATAGTACTCGAGTGGCTTTTGAAAGCTCTCGGCGACGGCCTTGTGTGCTGCGAAATGGATCACACCAGTGATCGTGGAAGTTGCAGGGCGAGCAGACGGAGATTGAAAGTCGGGCAGACCGCGGTATTTTGAAAGGATGGCTCTCATGGCGTGTTTATCCAGGTAGTCGGCCTCGTAAAAGTCCAGTAGTGGCCGATTGGCTTCTGAGGGATAGTGTCCCATGCGCAGGTGTTCGAGTTTGTCAAACACGCTTCGGAATGAATTGTTCAAGTTGTCGACGATGATGACATTGAAGCCTGCCTTCAGGAGCTCCCAGGAGGTATGGCTTCCAATATAGCCAAGACCGCCCACGACAAGGACGAAATGGTCGAAGATGGGCTCTCGTAGGGACTCTGGACCCTCACCATCCTCAAAAAGAAGAGACTTTGCTGTGTCGGGGGTGCTGGATCTTGTAATCGACCAAGAAGAAGTTGATCTTGAGAATGTAGCAGGACGACGAGCATCAGGGCTCGAAGCCCCGGAACTAAATGTCGAAGACATATTGAATATACATGAGACGGCAGGAAAGAACGCAGCGAACGGTGTGCTCACCGGCTGGGAAATTCAGAGCCAGCATCCTTTAATACTTGCCTGGTTCATCGTCGCCTGCGATTTCACTCTTCTAGAGACATAATGATCCCGTATCCAGCGCCACCACATGGAATAGACACCGGGCCTGGGCGTATCCGGCTTACGCCGCATGCCAGATCTGGGAGTCTGGACATTGTTCGATGTCCCGAGTCTCAAAAAAGCTTCGGTGTACAGTCTCCCTCTCCTTGCCCAGGGAGTCAAAACCCTCCAGCCAGGGCACGCAATAACATTTCTGTCTAACCGGAGTTACGGAGGGTCCATCTCTACCAATTGCCATCATGAGCCCTCGGCAAAAAAAGCGGTCCAGCCAGCTGAGCCCTTCTTCAATAGCCAAGTTAGCGCGTTCAGGGCAGAGACAGGTCCCAAAGGCTCTCTCGACTCACTGAGACAGTTCAGACATGGAAAGTCATCCGGCCTCGGCTCTCATTGGCCCAGCTCATGCTATGTAAAATCTCGCCTCTCGGAGCGTAATTTAGTGGAGAAACGTGGCACGCACAGCCCAAGAATATTTCAGATATTTTTCGAACCAATCCATTTTGGATTAGGCCCATTGGGCGTGTTTTCATCTGCGCTTGCATCTTTCCTGGCTGCCACCAATTGAGGCCGAGAGCGAATCCACGGGCTAGTCGTTTATTCGCGATCGGGGAGGTCTCATCCGTTAGCTCGTTGTTCCGGTCAGTAAATCCCGGGGGATATTACCGAGCAAACATCATTCTAATACGATACGTAACAAACCCGCGTAAAAAGACTAGGCTTTTTTAGCTGTCGGCAATGGAGGCATCGAGCTTTTTTCTACCTTATGGACTGATTGGATCTATGCACTCGAACTATACGGACGTCCACACTTCGGCGGCGCATTCCGCCCTAGCTAGCTCGGTCGCGCCCGCTCTTCCGAGCAGATTCTGACTCAGTGCGTGGCGCCGTGATGTCAAAACTCGGTGAAGTTAGAAAATTTTTTCGAGGTTGTTCTGGACCGCCAGGCACAATTCATTTGACACCGCTAAAGAAAACAATACCAAATCGAGATGGCTATCGAGTGCTGCTATTCCACATCATGTTGGTCTCGTCTTATTGAGGGTGTTCCCGAAATATTACTGTTTTGCTCTACGACACGCTGAAAGGCATCTCTCTTGCCGCGATAATAATCCAGGAATTATGTAGTCTCAAGCATCTCAAGTCTTACCAGGCCAGTAGTAGAGTCGCACGAGAAACCGTTCCAGAACAGTGCATCCGGAGTAAGGTAAGGGTTGTCTGTGAAGCAACCGTAAGTGACTTGTCTAGAAGAGTTCGCGGGATATTTTATTTTTCCCTAATGTGAACTGGACAAGTTAGGCGATACGCCGTCAGGAACAGAGATGAACTGCGTTGGCATTGGCAAGAGACCAAACGGATCGGACGCGAGAATTTCTAAAATTAACACTAGTCACGGCCGCGCCGAAAGACTTCATGTAGGTTTCACTAGTTCAGTAACCGTGCGTGCATTAAAGCATCGGCCTGCACCTCAGTTCGCTACCGGCATTCTTGGAAGAACTAAAATTTAGTCGCTCTGTATTGCTTATTTCACAAAATGAGGCAGTTTCAAGCGAATGCTCTTCAAGCGCTTCAGATGAGGATCTAGCCATGGTCAAATGTCCGGGTCTGGAGAGAAGCTAGCATGCATCGCCTCTAGCATCATATTTTTGCTTGCGGCTGAGGGGGCGTTGGGTACTACTTATTGCATTGTCTTCTTTTCAAATTCTCTCTGTCGTTACTTGCTTTTCTATGCTCTCGTAACGGGAGGGACGAGCCTTTTGCATTTTCTACATACGTTTGTCTTCAGGACTCGTCCATTCGCCCCATCAGTAGTTTATAATTTACCCCATTGCCCATACCCTATTGTTCTCTTCACACAGGGTCCTTGCCAAAAGGGCCACCTATGGGTAGAGTTTCAGCGGTCCTCTATCAGAAAGATTCAAGTACTGACAACCAATTCGCAGAGCCGAAGACGATGACGTCCAGAGAGACTGGTCAGGACTTGGTTGCTAGCGACGAGCACCGTGAGATTCCCTCGAAACATGACTTCGGACTGCATCTCGAACCATCGCCTGCCGAAAATCCTTTCGCAGATCCCATCAGCCCGACCCCAATTCACCGTTCCCCTCAACCAGCATGGCCTCTTCAACAACCACACTTTCAAAGCTCCTCATTGAGTGCCGGAGGTCATGACTCGAGGAGATTATTCGCCCCGGCCACTCCTCTATCAGGCCGCTCTTCTGCTAATACGAGCGTCGTAAGTCTCGCCGCGTCAGATGACAATGGACTGTCTTCAGGTAAGTGTCACCGTCAAGAAATCTTTTGGGAGAGATGAGCTGAGAATTCTCGAGCAGGCCTTCTGCGCAAAACGAGTAAGAGCCCCCACGGGTTCTTCCCCCGCATCAAAGACAAAATTTTCAGCCATGTTGACCCTAAGTCCATGATCCACCTGATGGACTTTCGCCCGTGGTTCTGGCCCATAACCCCCAAGAAATATTTCGTTCTTTTCTTAATCGCGTGTGCCATCGCGGCAATCGTGGTTTCCGAAGTATTTTTCCACTGGATTGAGAAGTCTCTGGCCATTACCAGAAGCACCATGCTGCCAGTCCTGATCATTTCTGTCTGCGCGGAGCCAGTCATTATCATGATCATCCTTCCGGTGGCGAAGATCCCCGACATTCCCAAAGCAGATATCGATATGATCATGAACAGGGAAAGCGATGACGTCGAAGTTTTAGGACGAAGAATGCCGGAAGGTCCATTTGAGACTGCGTTGGTCATCCCGTGCCACGACACTGATGAGGCTGCAATGCGAACCACTCTCGAGTCCGCCTTTCTCAGCTTCCGGCCCCAAGACATCTTTATTGTGGACAACGGTAGGAGCAAATATCCCAAGCACCCGACGTGCAACTTCCGCGAATATATCCGGAAAATTCATCCCGACATTGTATACATTTGGTCGCCGATTGGAAGCAAGAATGTCGCACAGTTCGTTGGCGCTCTGGCGGCCAAAGACTACAAGTACATCATGACCGTGGACGACGACGTCTGTATCCCCAAAAACTTCCGCCCTCCCACGGAGATGATCGACGACAAGTTCAAGGCCGTTGCATATCCACTGAAGGCAATGGATGCGAATTGCAACGTCCCCCTGTTTCTGGTGGCCTGGCAGGATGTGGAGTACCGTCTGTCCGGTCTCTCCAAATTGGCAGAGGATCGACTTTGTGGGGTGCAGTATCCCCACGGGGCGGGGTGGTACGCACATATAGACCAACTGATGCAAGCTGTCCACTCAATTGACTGACTCGTCATATAGGTTTGTAGAGCGAGAGTCCTTCATCACCCTCCTGGAGTACCATCACCCGATGGACTTCATCGCGGAGGACTGCAACGCTGGCCTAGGCTTGAGTAAAATGGGGAAGGGAATCCACATCGACGCGCGATCATTTCTCGCAACTGAAGTGCCGACCACCTTCTTTGGACCCGGCTTGAATTGGTGGAAACAGCGGCAAAAGTCATGGGAAATGGGCCGTCATGGCCGCACGTTTGCCTTCATTCAGCAGTTGCTCTTCGGACTCCCCATCAAACGTACTCTTCAAGCTATTGTCTGGTACAAGACAACCTACCTCTACTTGATTTGCACCAACATTATCGACTGGCTCCGGGTCGCCATCTTCGTGGCTTTCGGAAATACAGGCACCTGGTGGCGAAATGCTATTCTCCTCATGCTATTCTCTGCCATACCTCCCTCATTTACAAATACATCAAATGTCGTCGGCGGCCCGATCTGGCGCCGCGCTTCTGGGCCGCCCTCACCTATCCTTTCTACAAACAGCTCTATTCCCTCGTGTCTCTCTTCGGGGCCATCCGCTGCGTCGGGTATTATTTTGGTGGCCACGTACGTCCGCTCAACATCCAACAGATGCTGAAAGCGAAGGACGAGAAGTGCTTCTGGCTCGACCCCCGTTTCGAAACAAACCCTGCGTTCCTGGCCGACGAGGCGGAAGCCCAAGAGACCAAACCGTCGGAAGAGCCAAAACAGTCCCTCTCATGCGAGAACCCTGACGGGAACGCAGTGGATATCAGGAACTCGGTTCTGGAGCCGCTGCCTGCCACTTTTCAAGTTCCTGGTTCACATGATCTCCCGCCACCTACCAGATCCTCGTTCAGATCCAGTCCTAGACTGTCTTCAAGTGGCAGCAGTATGCATCGAAGTCAGAGCGCGACGTCGAGTGATGTGGATAACCCCGACATCCCTTACCCAGCCTTGGCGAAGTCGCTTGCGAGACCTGTCCTTACGCGAGTAGAATCGCCGCAACTTGCAATCCCTGTCTCCGATCAGGCTGTTCCCGATACCAAATCGGGAGTAACCAAACAATGATTTCAGCAATTGACGCAACCCTGGTGGAGTAAATATACAGTAGACGTGGCTCAAGGGCCCCCCCCCTCATCGACGGAGGTACCCTCTAACTGGCGAATGAGCTGGCTTATTTGACTCCTGCAGTCATGGTTTGGCAGGAAGATGTCAGCAGGTTTTATGTTACGAGCGGAGGGACATCTGTCAAGGAAAGTGGAGCCGTACATACTTGATGGTAAGCGCGAACATACCCCTGAGACCTAATGCAGATCTTGGGAAAGATGGGGAGATGGGCTGATCTGACAGATAAGGCATATCTCCGTTCATTATGTATACAGATTGATTTTCTCTCGATGCCACGAAGTGCGGTTTAAAGGTGGGTAAGGATAAGGTATTCGATTGTATTTAACTGGTGTCCCACTAGACGGAGAATACAGGATCTTTTTCGCGGGAAACGGCATTGAAGATTGGGTACATGGGTATAGAAATATGAGGCATCTAATGCGGCGGACCTAACCCGTGGATTATCTACACAAGCTTCAAGTAATGGCCATGAAATACGTTTTCGATTTTTGAGATATTTTTGCGGGGACCCTTGATTCTCCTGGACCTTTGGCCATCAGCCTGCTCAATACTGCGTACAGAGACCACCAGAAGCACGGCTTGTCTTATAAATACCTCGTAGAGGTTCGATCCTTCCAGCATTTTCCATCTAAAGATCATTACAGGTTATGCCAGCGAACAAAGTTCAGTCTGCCTCGTGCACAGATCCTAGAAGGGAAAAGCCTCGGCCTTTGGCGTGAAGGTCTCGGCGATTAACATCAACACAGAGCCTGTTCCTCGCCCGAATGCAGTATTTACTTCATCAAAAGGTTTCTAGTCACCCGGTGGAATTCTGCAACGAAATGATGATCTTGTTGTGTCCTGCTAATCATGAATTGTTAGGGCACTGGTCAACCTGACGCTCATACTGTCTAAGGCCTGAACCTCGTGGTTCCGTGGCTCGGGAGTTCGGTGCGGGGCTTGACGGTCGGCACAATTGCGGCTAAAGATTGTAACTTTGGACTCGTTAAAGTTTCGACCAGTCGCGGTTTGTTCTGGCTCCCCGTGTAGAATAATTTCCGGAGAAATTGTAATCCAGGGGTGTCCTGAACAATGTCGACCCCGCGGTCTGAGAGCTGACATCCACTAAAATCGGGCAATATTTCTCGCCTAGGCTCGAAACATGCAGCGTTCTTGCCGAAGACCGCCAAGGACAACATTGAAATGACCTAGCAGGCACAGGCGAAGGAATCACTATTTGCTTGTTGAACCCACCTGAAAAAACAATGAGCGGGGGATACAGGTATAGACTGATCAATCATTTTCAAACAGATCAACCAACGCCCATCAAGCATTCAATAAGTGCAGTCCGCGCAGCGAATAGGAAAGGCTTTTTGAAGTGGCTACACTCTCGTTGCTGGTGTTGAGGACAACATTGTTAGAGCCCTATCGCATTTTGCGATATTTCGATTCGCCATGACTTGGAGCATATTCGTAGTAAGAGAAGAGCACCACTATGGGCTCAGTGGACTATCACATTCAATTCAGGCACATGATGAGATCGAGGCAAGAAATTCTTTTTCTGGAAATGTTTGACTTGAGGACTGGAGACAGGTTCCATGTGGGCCGCCGACTTGTGAGAAGATCTAGATTGAACCTGAGTACGACAGGCTAGATTCGATCAATTAGTTTTACCTCCTGATCTGTTCGTAAAGTAATCAATGTCGACCGATATGAACTTGAGCAATGGCGAATGTTCAGTTTAAATCACGCTACTAACTTCCATGGCTGGCATCAACGCATTCTGCGTAGCCCATACATGACCCGTTCTCTCATTCACAAGCCCGCAACCCAACAAGCCTTCAGCACGCCCAATGATTTCATGAGATCAAGAATTGAGTACTCGCATGAAGTTCAAGTGGTTATTAGTGGATCTCCTTGAGAGCGGCAGCGTCTGAAACAATTTCGGAAGTTGTTGGAGCGGAACGGCGTAACCTCGAAATTGGAGAATTTTCGAGCCGGAATTCTCTTTTCGAACAATATATCAAGTTCAGTATGTGTGTGCCCCTTGAGCTCGGGCAACCGGAAGAATGACCACACCAAGCAGATAAGACAGAAAGGTGCCCAGATGAAACCTCTCTTGCCCTTGAGATCCCAGCCAGTAGAATTAAGGATGGGGGAATTCAGGAGGTTGGCGCAAATACTAGCAATAGTGTAGCAGTTCCGGGCGAGCACTGCGCTCTTGATTCGAAGACGAATAGATGGAATCTCGGAGATAAGGCAGTACGTTACTTGTCCAACAGTGAGATCATAGGTGAAGACGAAGACAAGAAGGAGAGCAGCTGATCCGTAGCTAAGACCCGAACTTGCGTGGCTTGGAATACCCAAGAAACCAATTAACATCAGCAACATGAACATGATGCCGAGACCGGTGACGAACAGCTTCCGGCGACCAACGTGCTGCATAATAAACCAAGAGCAAATTGTACCACACCAGCCGATAGCGTTGACGCCGAGACCGAAATCGAAAGCCTGGGTGTTGGTGAAGCTGATCTGGTGGAGGAAGTAGACAATGTTTCCACCGTACCAGATACCGCAGAAGCCTTGACACATCCAAGCACAGCAGACAATTTCAGTACGCCACGATCAACTTCCTTCAGACAATCCCAGTATGAGACTCCTTGCCGGGGGTCAGTTGTTCGTGGGTATTGGTGAATATCATCAGCGCTGCAGCGTCTTCGGCGTCGTACTTCAAGTTTCCAGAGCTGGATAGCTGACTGAGTGACTTTTTCGCTTCTTCGACTTTGCCGTTACGAACCAACCACCAGGAAAATTCAGGTTCAAAGAGAACGCCAACGATGGTTGGCACAGGCCATCTCCACTGAACAGCATAAGAAATACGCCATCCCCATTCATCAGTGCGACCCAAGAGACCTCGCAGCACTCCGGTCTAGATTAAATTTCTAATGACCCAGCACAAGTTCATATAGGTGGTCAAATACGGACGCAGGACAACGGGGCTAATCTCGGCGGCATAGGTCGTGGTCAAACTCTGGAAACCACCCAAGGAATGCCGCAGAGGACCTCGCCAGCAAACAACATCCCAATGTTCTTGGCAAAAAACATCAGGAAAAGAAAGCCGGCCTGAAAGACCAAAGCACCAACCATAATCTTCTGGTACCCTCATCGATCGGCAATGAGACTAGCGACAAGTAGACCCAGGATCTGACCCAGATTCGTTCCAGTGCATGAGAATCTGAGCGACGCCATTTGCACAGCAAGAGTAGCGTGCGGAAAGCGAGTCAGGCGGGTTCTTGTGTTCCCGAGGCTTAGAAAAGGTCACAAGGGGCGGAAGACGTTGTGTAACGCGGCGAGCGAACCTCGATTTTGCGAACCCAACCACACACGACGCTGGAGAGTGAGAAGCGATCTCAGCGAAGATGTAAATCTTCAATCCATTTCTCGCAACGTGTGGTGCCTTAGACATTTGTAACCGGGCGTCGCCGTGAGTCGCTCCTTTTCTTGGTAACCTCATTAAGATTCAGATCAGCCAGTAATGAATATGTATACTGAATCAAGATGAGTTTTGGAAAAGTCAGGCGGTATAAGTGGGTAATCTTCGAGACTTGGTTCTGTAGTGTGGCGCGCGTTCTTGATCGCATGCAACGCTGTCTCCGACCCATGATTCTTTAGAGAGCCCGGGCATTCGGCACTAGAGATATAATTTGTGGCTTAGACATTCTAGTATCGATCCCCGCATTTTATCGCATTCTAGAGATCTGGTGTGGGTTCCATAGATTTGAAGATCACTGCTGATCTTCACCAGAAGGCATATAAGTCCCGGCAATTGTCTATTTTGAAAAATGAAAGGGTAGCAGCAGACACAAGAAATTTGAAGCTATAAATTTGAATGAACACTTGTCAAGAATGCATGCTTCGCATTTATTGTTGCTGGGATTTTACATCCTGTTATTCGGTTCCGCCGCTGTAATCAATCAGCGCTCAGTCGTACAGGGCTGTCTCTGCAGTCCAGCACTTGCCCTAGCGGCACCAAATTTTGCGGTGGAGGAGCCTGCTGCCCTAGTGGACTTTATTGCTTCGCTGCTCAGACGAATGAAGTAGCATCATGTTGCACTTCGAGTAAGACTTATTCCAAATTCTTTTTTTTTCTTTCTCTCTCCCTTCCTTTGGAAGAATACTGACACCGGCCCAGATTCAGTGTGTGTCGGTGCCATTGAAGGTGGACCAAAATTTGCCGATTCGAGTTGGTCCCTCTGGCAAGGGCTCCAAGGAAATTATTTCTGCTGTCAAGTTGGCTCCGTGGGCATTTACAGGTCCAGTGGGAAAGTTGCTGGTACTTGTGTTGCCTCAAGCCAAGCTGGCACAGCAACCACTGCCCGGCTGGTGAGTTGAGCAAAAAGCAAAAAATTCCTTATTTTGGGGAAACGAAAAAGGGATAAGAAGGGATTGGTATTGACATTAATAATAGATGTCCAGCGGCACTGGAACTCTAGTGACTACTACTGCTGGTACAACCACATCAACAAAATCGACAACTGCTACTACATCGACAATGTCGACCGCTACCACCACGAGTGCAGCGAAACCTACTGGCGCCAAGGGTGTCTTTGCGCACTATATGGTACTTGATTTTCTGTCTCTTCGTTTTTACCTCTTACCATTCTAACGTAGGACAGGTCGGCTCTATGACATCAGCCGAAGCTGTGACGGACGTGCAGGATGCGATGAATGCTGGATTCGATGGGTTCGCTCTCAACACCCACACCATCAGCTCTTCTGACACATGGAACACAAATGCACTGAAGTACCTATTTGATGCTGCCGCAGGCACCAACTTCAAGCTATTTATCTCATTTGACATGAGTTGGGGCCTAGATGTTACACAGCTTGCGGCGTTCCTAGCACCTTATGCGACTCAAAATGCCTATCACAAGGTAAATGGTCAAGCTTTTGTTAGCACCTATACAGGAGGCACGATCTCAAACTCCGCATGGCAAACCGGGTTTGTCCAGCCTCTTACCTCGACCTACGGCATTTCTCCATACTTTGTACCTGATTTTGATGACTTCCCCGGGTATCCGACCGGAATTTTCCGTTCGTACCCTATATTAAGCGGAGTCTTTAGTTGGGAGTCTGCGTGGCCTTCACCGCGTACCACGCCGGCCAATGTCAGTGGCAGCGTGGACGCGGCTGCTTTGCAGCAAGCGCACGCCGCAGGCAAGACCTACATGATGCGTGAGCCTTTCCAACGTCATGATCGATGAAATAAATGCAGCTCTAATCTCTGACCCTAGCTCTTTCATCTTTCCAGTTCAAGTACCTCGGCAGTGGCCAGGACTGGTATCGCATTGGTGAGGTCAATCTACCTCAGCGCATGGGACAGATCTTGCAGCTACAGCCCGACTTCGTCGAAGTCATAACCTGGAATGATGCCGGAGAGAGTCACTACGTTGATAACTTCTGGCAAGAGCAGATTGCAGGGTCTACCATCGGTGACTATGCCGATGGGTTCGACCACAAGGGATGGTTGCAGATCATTACGCCTTTCATCAAAGCATACAAGGCAGGCGCGACAAGCTTGTCACAGATCATTCCTCCCAGCAACAAACCCGTCGGATCTTTGTGGTATAGAACCCTCTTGACTAGCGCCAGCTGCTCTTCTTCGATCGCCAATTCTCAATCCGCGCGCGATGTGGTCAACTTCGCTGTGATACTACCTTCGACCGGCTTCACAATCATGGTATATAGCAACAGCAAATTGATCGGCAGCTTCGTTGGTCAAAAGGGATTGAACTACAATAGCGTTCTTGGCCTTTCCCCAGGGGGCGGACAGATGCTGCATGTTGTCGACAGCTCTAATAACATTGTCGCCTCGGCCACTGGGACGAAGAATGTCTTGACTGAAAGCACTAACGTGACTTGCAACTGGAATTACGAGGTTGTTGGGCTGACCTGAGCTAAATTTTTTTGACCTGGTGGATTGAGCATGACGGCATTTGCGCAAAGAAGCTATCAGGTTAAATTGAAAATATTGAGCATTAGAGTCAATGATATTCACTCAACCCCAATTGTTATGCTTTCATTGCTGAGCAAATTTCAGCCGGTTGACCGCTAGTGAACCAAAATACATAAAACAGCCGCTTCTATTGATACTCAGCTTCGCCGCTTGGCTTTTTACCATTCCCAGCATCAATTTGCTACAATTGCTTCACTGTAATTTAGTATTTCTGTACTGAGGTCAAAAATTCGCTGTTAATCTACTCCGGCCGAAACAACACACACTTAAAGATGTAATTTCACGGTTGTTTTACATGCCTCTCGGGGCAATGCGTCTACTCACTAGTATTTAAAGTCCATCAACTCAACCTTTTTAAACGTCGCCGTCAGTGACTGGCTTGGACCTAAGGTTTCAGGGAAGGCTCATTGGAGATTGCCGACTCTATCCCAACTTTCCACAGGCTCTGTAGGTACATGAAGGGCAAACTATGGTATCTCCTCACATGTTCAACTCCAAATGAAGAGACCTCGAGAATTTTGTTCAGAAACGAAAAGCTGATTGGCGGCTTCACTTTCCACAATCGAATGTGGTATTTGGTTCGAGTCATGGCCCATCCGGCTGCTAATGGGATCTGGGAAGGGTCGGCAAATGGGGTCGGCAAACTGGGAAACATCAATGTTGCGGGCTACGAGAATGAAGATTCTGTACTTCATTCTGGCTATGATGCTAGTCACGGGCCCGAAGAGGGAAGTGGTGGTAGTCCACAAGATTTTTGTGGTGGCGGCTACGGATGGGGTTCAGGGAATCCTCCCAGTGGCAGCGGTTATCTGCCGACCGTCACTGTCAATGACTGGTAATTCAAAGATACCTAGAATTTTGTATTCTATGCTTGTACTGGTACAGCACGACCAGTGCGCCTACCACCACCGTGACCGTCACTATTGACGCTAGCGGCATGGGCTCTGCGACTGTCACGGATTCCCAGACAGCATGCATTGCGACCGTTACCGAAGAGGGCAATGACTGTTTTGAAACGGATACTATCACCAACACTATCACCAATACCGTGACAGAAAACATTGCCATCACTAGCACCGACTGCGTCGTCACTGAACTCACCACGATCACCAAACTATCACCACTGCCGGCCCCACCGCGACTTCCACCGTGACCCCAGGCGTGTCCACTGTGACAGCAGCCGGCTCTACTGCAACCGACACCGTAAGAGACAGTCAGTCAAACGTCCACTCGATCACCCATAACGAGATCATCACCTAGACTCAGACCACCACCGAAACCATCACTGAGCCAATGACCACAACCGGCATTGGAGACAACTGCACTCCCACCGCCATAACCAGGCTGACTTCCCATTCGGATCATCGCCGACCATTGATACGCCAGATGCCTTGATTTGCAACCGCTTGAGAAGTCCATGTGATGCGCCCCAGGCAACCCTTGACCGATGTGCGGAGGCGATGGATGCTGTTGCGAACCTGACTGGACAGGAAGCCGCGGATGTGTGGAACTCTATGATGACTTGATTTACTTCATTATTTTCCCCCAAAAAAACTTGTTAGAGCTAGACTTCGATGATTAATAATTAATATGCTTAGGAGTCTCGGATCATGTTAGCCATAAATATAGCACCCTTGAGATCTATTCGTTTTTGCCTTTTTTGCAGTCTCTAGGCTACGAGATAACTGTTAGTCTTAGTCTCCTCATATTGTTTGTTTACCGCAAAAAATACCTCGATGGTCCGCTAACGCTGATGTAATCAATCAATCGCCATCGGTTGCAGTAGTCACGTTGCAGGATTTGAGTAATTGGATGCACCCTCCTCATGTAGTCAATTGTTGGAAGATCCAGCATTCTGGGTTTCAATCTCACGATGATGCTTTTTACGGACAAAAGAAAAACCCTCCTGATTCCCCATGGCTATTTATGATCGATTGTTTTGACGTCTTCGCGCGGAGTTGGGTGGCGCACGGGTGAGAAATGATGGAGTCAGCCTAGCGTTGTGCGAACGGGGGCCTACTGGACCGCTGGCAGGGACATGACGCATGGGTAAACGGAATGCGAAAGGGGCCACTGGACCCTGGTGTTTCAGAGCAATTACGGGCGGTGCATAAACTTGGAATCAAGCTCAGTGACGGACCTCTGCGAACCCACTTGTGCCGGGTGACGTCGTGGCTGATTCCATGTTTAACCCGTGCCCTGACTTGCCCGGGGCTATAATATTCACGATCGCTCGATTGTAGATGACCGGACTTTCTCTTTCTAGCTGTCGTGTCAATCGCTGCCTTACCACTATCGGACATTCTCTAGTTGATTTGGTACTGGAGCCGCGCGATCTTGTTTATTTGACAGGTGGATTCATCCCAGGACCCTAGCTTGTACCCCCGTCCACTTGGCGTAATGAAGACGACTTCACTTGCACATCAGCTTCTCGTGGAGGCATGCCTTCTTTCAATTGCCTTGGCCTCCCCCGCTCCCACTGCCTTCGTCAATGACAATGTCGCACCGCCCAATCCTGCCATTACACCTTCCCCCGTCGAGCGCAATCCTTCTCCCGTCGTCGGCCGGGATATTTTGAGCGACATTGATTCTGATGTCGGAACCATCCTTTCGGGCCTTGGGTCCAACCTACCCTTGTGGGTCGCATCCGGTGTTCCCAACTTCTTCCAGGGATTCCCGACCGGAGATGCTGTTGTGAGCTCCCTAGGCATACAAAGCTCGGACTTGGCAGCACTGCCAACCAACGTGCTGAATATCGACCCATATGCCAACTGGACCAGCTCCGGTTGGAACGTGCGCTTCCATGGCAACGTTTATAAGCAACCTAATACCTCGGTCAAAGACTTGAACAAGCTTGCCAATGTCTTCCTCGGCAATACGAGCATCTCGGATCTTCCTGAATCCCAACAGGTTCAGGCTCGTAACCTGACTGCGGAGATCTTTGTAGTCCAGCAGGCGGAAGTTGCTGTGAACACGATCCATCTCGAGCCGGCGCCTAGTCAAGGAGCCAGCGGCCAGCCCGGCGGCGGCGGATCATCAAACACCACGGGGGGCACGCAAGACCTGACCCTGCCTTACAACACCACAGTCGAGGGCGATTTCGACACCTTTGTGCCTATCAAGAGCAACGGCCTTACTCCGGGAAATGAAACCATGGCAGTCCAGAGACTCAACACTTATGTTGAGGGGGCAACTATCGGAAATAGTACCGCCTATCTTGTGCCTCCGACCGGCCTGACCATCATCTCTGACATTGACGATATTCTACGCGTCACCAAGATCTACGAGCCGGAGCAAGGTCTGCTCAATTCTTTCGCTCGCCCGTTCCGGGCTTGGGAGAATATGCCAGACATCTACCGTAACTGGTCTACCAGCCTTCCTAACATGCATTTCCACTACCTGGTGAGTTGCCATATCCCTGGACTTCCTATTTCATCTTCGGAATCTAACTTCCATGTCAGACAACTACCCCAGAGCAAGTCACCCGAAACTACATGCAGTTCATCTATACCAACTACCCTGGTGGTTCCTTCGACACCCGTCCCCTGAACTTTAGCGACGTATCAGCCACCTTGTCCATCCGCAAATTCTTGTTGCAGAAGATCTTCGAAACCTTCCCCCAGCGCAAGTTCATCTTGATCGCCGACACCAGCAATAGCGATGTCATGCGCGACTACCCGGAAATGGCAACCGAATTCCCCGGTCAGGTCCAGTGTATTTTCCTTCGCAATACCTCCGCCACCGACCCAGGCGACAAGTTCCCGTACGACACTTCTGGGTTCAAGAACCTGAACCAGACGCAATACATGTTCTTCCTGAACCCGGATGACCTCACCAACTTGGATATTGCCAATGGACATTGCTACAATCAGTCCATTGCCCAGAACTTGACATTTGGATACCAGGGGCTGCCTGGTAAACTTGGATCCACATCAGCATTCAACGGGTCGGCAAACCACACTGCCAAAGGAGCTGCAAGTGGGCTGATGACGAAGGAGTCCTCTGGCGCACAAAGCCTTTTGGCTCTGGTCGCAGCATTGACTACAGCCACTTTCATGTTCCTGTAAAAAGCATATATGCAGATATGAGTAATGTTATTAACGCACATGCAGTATAGTCAACTGACTGCTGTCAATATCAATACTAGTTCAATTTTTGATCATCCGTCTTTTGAAGAGTGATCTCCGTCATCATTCTTCTTTGTTATACTCTATAAAGCACTGGAGTGAAATCCCCTTGGACGTAGCCCGACTCGTGGATCTCGCACAATCCCTGGACAATCTGTTTCGCCCATACCTCTGGTCTTTCGAAGGATATTTCCCCACGCTGCTCGTACAAGATTTTCCTCTCGGCATGATTCTGGAGCTGAAAGATGGTCCCCGCGCACTCATTTCTATGCCTAAAGTCCATAAAGGCCTCGTGATTACCAGAGATCCGCTGCTCACACCGTCGTCTTTGAAGGAACTCATAACTAGTGTCCGAGTTCATTTAACAACACTCAAAGGGTTTTAGCTGAGCGAGAATGGAGGCTGCTCCATCGCCCAAGGGAGATAAGGAAATAAGCATCCAACTCATTCGTTTGGGGGACCATTTCAAAGGCAGCTCTTTTCTAAAGTTCAGAAATGCCCTGGACTAGAAGCGCCTGCCATCATCATTGGCCATCAGCAAGCTAGGAACGAATAATCCTAGCTAGGATGAGGCCCTTGCTAAGTTAGGCGCAGCATGCCAAACACTAGGCCGGAATGGACGCTTTTCTAGCTGTCCCTCTCTGTACATTCAAAACGAAAATTTGATCGAAACAACTTATTAATGAGAATCATATGAGCATCTTCCTATCTCTAATTTGCCAAGAGGACATGCTTGTACTATTGTTGGTCATCATAACAGAAATATTAATCAACGCTGGCCTGATCATGTATTATCAATCCCTTTCAATCAAAGACTTCACTTTCCACCCGACAACAAGCTCTTGGCACCGCCCAGACCTTCGGCGACATAGCTCTGAGCAGACTCAGCGCCTTGAGCCAAACCTGATCCCACATTGCTGACACTCTTCTTGCCAGTATCGAGGTAACTCTCTGCAGGTCCCGTATGAGATCCGTTCTCATCTTTTCCGTTTCTCTCGGCTCTGTTGATTCCCTCCTTTGAGGCAAACTGCCCGACTGGCGCGAACAATCCCTTGTCGCCGACCTGGTTTCCGACGGTGTTGGACACATCGTCTTGAATTTGATCGACTTGATCTATTCCAGTGACTTTCGTTTTGTTAAGGGTATCTATGTACCCAATGTCAGCTTGGAACGAGAGATTCTCAAGGCGCCTACGACCACTCACCTTTCGTCGCGTAGGAAGCTTTGTTATCGCCTTTCCCGAACCATCGGAGATATTGATCCTCAATCCATGGCATCCACTTCTCATATTGATCATTGTAGGTTTCTTTCGTCCACTCTGAGTAGGTCTGCTTCTTTTGGGCGTCTTTGCCCGTAAGCTTATCAGGGTTGGTTGAATTGTTCATTGCGCGAATGTTGGTGATTCTCAATGGTAGTGCCGGATAAAGGCTTTGTATAGCTAGTGCTTGATTCTCGACTCTGGAAAGCCTTGTAGTCTTGGTTGATGTCAAGGACTCTTTATGGGATCCATCTAGTCCGATGACGTCAACGGCTGTATCTCGGTCATATTCCAATCTATTTTGAACCAACATTGGAGTGTCAGGACATCACTGGTCGAACCTCTTCGATTGAAGGCACAATATCACAGGCACAATGACGTGGTCTCTGGGTAGTCAAGCCACGAGAGAGACTTATATTAATTTTTGTCCATGGGTGGCCACATGGTCCCACTTAACCACCCAGACAAGATCCGTGCCCGGCTATCGTGCAGTGACCAAATCGGGCAGAGCTTCGATCTAACCTCACCCAATTTTTTTTCGACAGCTAAGACACCGGTGTTGAATGTCAAGATTAGCTTGCATGACTCGCTATGTCACTGCTAGGTGTGCAGTCTCAGTTTTTAGAACGAAGAGGAATCTGTTTCTTACTTTCAAGTCGAAGAACATACAAGATGTGGTCGGTGAAATTACGTCGAAGATCTTGTGTCATCAGCCACAGATTGTGGAGTTCATCTGGGTTGTCATCCATGTCTAAACCTCGAGCATGATTGAAGACCTGGAAGGACTTCGTCAGCCGAGGTGGGGCGTACCAGGGGTGAGTAGCGTCGGTTGGACGAACGAAATCCACCGTGCAGGGGGTCTGACACCTGCACAATTCTCCCGCCATAAACGGTTTTCAAAGGGACATGGATATTTGAGAGACAATGGGTCTCCACAATCTGGGCACAAACATCAAGTCACTTACAGCTTTACGGGCTACTGGGGCAGTTTCTAGGATATTTAGACGACCTTTGCGGGCACGGTGAGGATGAGGAATTCACATGGGGGCTGGCGCCTAGCAGAGACCGGGGGCGACTTGGCAAAAGAAAAACCACGGATGAGCTTGAGACCTCAAGAAGCAAAACTTATACAAGGGGATGAACCTCGAAAATTCTTTTTTCTGTCTGCTTGCCCCTTTCTAGGTCAATAGCTCCTCCGTAGACGTAATGGAATACCTCGTCGATCTAGTAACGTGCCGTCAATTGACTAAATCTGGTTTCACAGCTTTAGTATACAGACACATCTAGTCGGTGCTGGCTAAAGACGGGCTTTCTCGGGATATACTACCCCACAAAGGTCGAACTCAGCCTTACACTTCTTATCCAGCCATGCTTGGTACCTCATTATGGTGACAGGCCGCTATGATCCATCTTTGAACCATGGCTGGGACGTTATGTGGTTTCTCTTGGACTTTGGAATGATTGGATTTTTCACTGTTACTTTCCTTTGTTTCAAGACCAAGTGTGTATGGCCGGGCCGTTCAAATTTGAACCTTGGGGGATTGAAGGCAGAAATGTATACCTGTGAAGCTCTTCGTCTGCCTCGCCAGGAAGAGAAAGTGGGCATGTTTTTGAATACGTTATTTCCCTCGGCTGAAAGTTTTCAACGCTTTTGCCCAACCAACTAAAGCGCAAAATGTATCTTTCATTGATGTGTACCTTCTTGGTTCCTCTTCCAGCCAGCCCTTGTGGTCAAATTGCATGAACATCTCAATGGAAGTCAGTCCACCAAGGAGCATTGATCCGACCAGGCCTGCTTTTGGAGTTACTCGCGTTCACAAAACGATCACAACAAAGGGGCAGAGAAAAGGACTTATATTGTAGACTCATGATTTGTGAAGGTAGAATTGGAGCTGCTAGGCTTAATTCAGACGCCTCCACCGATTGCCCTGTTCCCATAGAATAAAGTTTCCCTCGCTTGTGAGGACATTCCAGCGGGTAAAATGGCAGTCAAGATTGGCTTGACCACAGTGATAAACGTGTGGAAGACAAAAAACATACAACAGCAGGGATTCGCTGGTGGTCACCCACCCAACTACTAACCTGCCGGCGTGTGGCTTAAGTACGGCTGAGCGGACGGGAAGCCCTGTTCTCCACACCCTATGGTCGTATGTGCTGGGAGAGACCCAAAGATGTGTTATATCATAACACTCGCATAGATAGTGCCCGCCGCCTGGGTGTTGACTGGGGTGAGCGCCATTTTGACAGTCCAATTAAAGAGGCTGTTTCTCCCAAAAAAAAAAGCACGACGACATTACGATCACAGAATCAAATTTTATGACAGCAGCGTAGAGTGAGGGAGGCGTTCAGTCGTTGACTCTTCTTCTAGGGATAATGTCGAGATCTCAGAATATATTAGCTGGATACGATAACTGGGGAAGATAGGATAAAGCATTTAAGAGATTCTTAACTTTTTTCTAGGAGACAGAAATAACCCTCTTTAGCTTAACTTCGACTTAACCAATTTCCCTTTCTCTGATATTTACCCTAATCGATACACTACGCGATATTGCTACGGTGTGTCGCCTAGCGAAGTAAGGCCTAGGTATATTCTCGATCCCTATTTAGAAAGCGATTAGAGGTCTTTATGATTAAGAAATTGCTATCTAGATATAAGAGCTTTATAGTTTAGCTATAATTAAGCCTGATGTACGAAAATCCTTAACTAGGTTACATATATTAAGTTTAATAAGAGTAATCGAGTACTTTTAGTATTATATAAGCTACCTACTAATAGAAGTAATATGCTAGATATCTAGAGAATCTAGTATTATATCTCTTAAGCTCTGTAAGGAGTTAACTACGCTGTCTCTTTGATATAGGCAAATAAATTTTACTATAATTCGTTTATATTTATTAGATTAGAGTCCGATAGCTTAGAAGTATTGTCCTAACCGCTCATAGAACTAAACCTTATTTCTTTTTAGCTAATTCTTAAACCTATTAAAGAGCTAAAAAAGGTAATAAACCTGGCTTCTGAATTCTCCGATTCTAAAAAGCTTTTATCTGTATCCACAAAAGTCCTAGGTCTTATCTAGTCGAAAGTTCCTGATATCTCCGTTATTTAGTGGTACCTCTCCCACTATGCGCTAATAGCTTAATTTCCCTGCCTTAGCCTTCTTTTATACTGCTTAGTGTATATCGGACCTCTTCAATTTTTTTTTCTTTGAATTTTTCCGCACGGTAAAAATAAGGTTAATGGGTCTTCAAATGCAGAATATCTATCGCTTGTTGGTAGCAGAACTTGCCAATCTCACTTGTCTGGATAACATGACCCGAAATGCTTCTCTTGTCATCATGTCCCGTGAAAGCTCGACGATCAATCCAAAATCTGGATTTTGCCTCCCCCTTGTACTAGGTCTTTCAGTTCCTTGTAGTTTACCTGCCGGCTTGAGGCCCATTCATGAAGAGGCTCCCATTTCCGGCATGTATACGTAGTCTCCATGTCCAAGAAAAGCGCTGATGTTGCCTGATCTTGGATGGTACCCATCTGGGTGTGGGATGAATTGTTCAGCCTCTTCTCGTGCCAAAGCATCGGAGTTAGATCGGCTTGGCATTGGATGCTATGCCTCAAATAGTTTATGCAATGCCCTGTGTGCGCCATTGTGTAAGACTCTCCGTGCTCTTTTGCGAAATTGGTCTGGTTATATTAAGACAGGTACAGAAACTGTCTCAACCGGTTCTGTGCCATTAGAGGTTAGGTCATGCTCTGAATAGCTCCAATAAAAACGAAAAACCCACAAGGCAATGAAGCTGATGATTGAATTGCACACTTTCTCCCAGATAAATAGTCAGTGAATTGAACACGATTGACTTGGCCAAAGTCAGGAGGATGAGGGCCGAGCGACTTACCCAGTAAAGAACTTGCCGTCTTGTGGCCATGAAAACGTATCTTCTGCAAACTTGCCGATTTCAGTTGTGTCTAGATTGACATTCAACCCTGTAGTGTTTTATCAGCAGCGGTACATCATTCAAAAGGACACTCTGTGCCTAAATGTAAGTTACCGTAAATAAGGCGTATCCATGCATCGTCCACCTCTTGACTTGGCGTCCCGACATAAAGATGATCATCACTGCCTTTCATCTGTCGCTTTTCGAATTCAATGAGTTTTCGGGCCACGACTATCTTACGGAGCTTGTTAACAACCTTTCTCAGATGACATACGGAAAAAGGTTACCGACGTAATTCAGTGTCGAAACCAGGCAAGCGATCCCTACTATATTCACGTATAAGTAGAACTCCTGATAGAAGACCGAAAACGCCCGCCAGAATCCATGGAGCAGCTTGCTTCCAACGTGATGAAGGCTTCTGCGAATTCGCCGGCAAGTCGTCGGCCTTTTAGTATTGACCAAGCAAGTGTTCCGCGTCGCCGTCGGGGGTGCTCGTCATCTTTGAATGTTCTAGGAGACCAGGTAAGAGGCTATTCTGTGCCGACAGAAAGTCCAAACTTGAACGATCTCGAGATGTATGGGGGCGGAAGGTTCGCTTAAAGACTAACTAACATCCATTTTTTACGTACTCCCATCCCACTAAACGAATCATAGCAATCAATATTTGTCTCCACCCGTTAGCACAATCATCCATTTGAGAGATCTACGCACTTGGATGTAACTCAGTTCTCGCCCCCATCTTTTTATTAACCCTTCTGACATCATCGATACTTTTTTCAGAGATATTTTTGGCAGCCCTCAACTCATAATAGTCAAGTATACCGAGGCTAGATCTTCGACCACGGAGGCTAAAACTTTCAGAAAATCGCAAGTATTACTCTGCGGCCTAGAGGTGAAACTACGCTTCTGCAAAACACCCAGAATTTTATTCTAGAATTCTCGCGATGTCGCTCTTGTTCATACATACATTTCTACCCAGATTAGTCTAATGACTCTTGATAATTCATAAATCTTCATCCGATATCAAAGTCCGTATTTCGAGAATCAGATGGGAAATTATACGAATATAGAGACCATGGACGCCTGAAAATATTGAAAAGAAAACAGGATCCTAGGTGGAATTCCTGGGTTCCCGTTAACAGGCTTTGGAGACTATGGCCGCCTGAAAATGTTGAAAAAAAGTGGATCTTAGTTGGAAAACCTGGGCGCCAACTACAGGCTCTGCCTTATGCCCCGGTGGACTCTGGGTTTGGCCCCCAACTGGGGGCCACGACAGCCGTCCACATAAAGCCATACATTTATACAGTCTGCTGGTGATCAACATCTGTATAGTGGACATAATACCATTATTATCTACGGAAACATCGGATGTAACTTCTCGATGTGACTTCTCGCACTGAGTTCTCTTGAAGGATTCCCAGGCCTCGGTCGTTCACCTAATCCTTGACTAGGTAAGCCGCCTAATACTGGTCCTTTCTGAGATTGTCTCCCTTTGGGGCTGCTAACCAACAAAGACAGTGTCTCAATTGCCCCTCTGTTGTTATGAGAGGAATTCAACAGATGCCTCTGGGTTGAGAAATCACCTCCCTCCGGATAAGATATAAATACTATTGCTCCTTCCCCCGACCTTGACCTTGACAGAACTTTCGATCACATCGTACACATTCCAAATCCAACATCTTCGAGTTGTCGACACTGACTTGTTTTTATCCGGGATTGCAAACCTTTGCGACAAGATGAAGATCGTTACTAGTTTCTTGCTTCTCACAACTGCCGGTGTTCTGAATGCTCAGGTGGTGTCACCTCCTGGCCCAACAGACACTATTTGTACCTCCCAAATCACCGATCCATGTGGTGGGGATGGACAGCCAGCATGCTGTTACACTAAGTATTCCAAGAACGGCCTAAGCTGTTTGAATGGGAACCTTGTAATCAACATGCAGCTTCCTGACCCGCAAAATGACTGCGGAGAATGGGAAGGTTATCAGAGGGACGAAAGCTGTTCATGCCCAGCAGATTGCACCACAGGTGATATTGATGGGAGAGGACAGTGTGTCTAAGGATAAAGCTGAATTGAAAGGTATCGTATTAGATGTTCTCTAGATACTCATTTTGCTGATGTGCTAATCTTTTCTTGGGAGTTATTAGAGAACCTCTGCGCGACGCCATCATGAAACTGCTCAGCAGAGGGTCAAGGCACACCGTCAACTGTCGAGTCCTTAGGGAAGATTAGGAGACCGTCGACAGCTGCAATCAGATTTGTCTAATTTCAGTTCTATTATGTGGGGTGTTCTGAGAAGGAATTGAGATTACTATTAACGGTCACCAAGGCCTGCTAGTAGAAGTGGAGAATCGAGTCTATAGATAGAGGTCAACAATGATCAAAGTGATGCTATTGACGAAACGCGACGTTTCGATGCTGATACGATACACGATGCGACGGAGACAATGGACAGTGAAAACGAGATAGAATGCCTGCCCATGTTTATCCATATCCACTGCCGATTCTGAGTGCTCTATTGATCTGTAGTATGCTATGGTGACGATACGACGCATCGTTTGCCTACATAACGAGGGGATTCGAGCCCATCTTGTTACACAGCGGCAATATTATCAACTTGTCTGGCTAGAAGTAAACACCGTTTCAACCCTTGCCGCGATTGCCATTGTAGGCTGAGCAATGTTAGATAGTTCAGTTGCCAGTGGTTCAAGTGTGTTGTGACATAGAGCGAATGGGACCGTAGACAATTAAAGAGATTAAACATCTTTGCCATTGAAGCGACAAGCTCTTAGGGCCCGGGAACTACGTTCGAGAATTTTTGGCATGCTTCGTAAGCTTTTCATGAACATTTCTTCCCCTCTTTATTTGGGAAATCTGTCTAGCGAATTAAACAGAATTGATTTCATTCATACTTGATCTAATGTTTTCCTCATTCGAGATGAACCAAGCCGGCCATACAAAACCCAACATGGAACAAAAGTGTAGGTAGCCAAAAAATACCGGATCTTCGTACTTCTCATTGTTTTGTTGCTCCTGTTGTAAGACGGCCGACTTTACATTCCATTTGGAGAGCACCTGGGATGTGATATTCAGAATTGTGTAAAGACCCACATCAAAGGGGGCTTGTGGTTTAGTGGTATAATACTCCCTTAGCATGGGAGTGGTCCGGGGTTCGATTCCCCGCGAGTCCATTTTTTGCCTCTCGCTTTCTGTAGTTCCCTTGAGAATGAAGTATGTGTATCAAAAATGATCGGCCGTAGAGATGCATCCCAGGTGGGTCTTTCCAGAAAAGCTTTGGCAAATTTTTTTGAATGCCGCGAAAAAGCCAACACTGCCTTCAACTAGGGAAGAAGATTTTCCAGATATAGACCAAAGGTACCTTATTTAACATTGATTCCTAGCTCACATTAAAATATTGTCACGGCAATGTTCCTTCGATTCCTTCGCCTCATAGACACCGATCACGAAAACCTCGATCACCGCCTTCAAGCATTGCGCATTGATTATTGTCCCCTGAAATTGAAATCCCTTTTGGAGTCTCTTCAGACGTTTTCGAAGGGACTAAGGAAGGGTTCGTGGCTCAGAAATTTTGAGTCAACGATAACTTTTCCGAGGGTGCTAAGAGACAAAGGTTAGAATACACTTATACATCCAGTCCAGTACATACGACCATAGGGTGTGGAGAACAGGGCTTCCCGTCCGCTCAGCCGTACTTAAGCCACACGCCGGCAGGTTAGTAGTTGGGTGGGTGACCACCAGCGAATCCCTGCTGTTGTATGTTTTTGTCTTTTTATTTTGTTTTTAATCCCCTAGTCATAGAGGTTAGCAAAATGCCAGCCAACTTTCTCTCCCACCATAACCCTGACGGTCCTACTCGCATGCTTAAACGATCGAGCTCTCAGCTTCGATGGGTTATCGTCAGCCGGAACCTACAAGCCTCAATGTGGCCCCAATACTAATAAGCCAACTCAAGATTCTTCGCAGTATTGTAGGCGTTGATTGGCCAAAGAAGGGAGCAAGCAAACAAACGGGTGCTCCTCAGGCCAAGATTCGAGCTCAGAATAACGAAGAGGCAGCTGCCAGTCTATATGGGTGAAGCCGAAGCGTTCAAAAGGAAGATATGACCATGAACAAGAAAGTACGGTCCTATGGCCTGGGATCATTTTTCACTACGATGGAGGTGCTAATATGATCCGATAGGAGGTATTTGGCCTCTAACTTTCAATTGGCATGTCGTTGATACGGTAGCTTTGATAACGACCGCATTTGAGATTGGTTCGTAATAAGCAAAGGGGAAAGTATTAGAAACGATCCCAACGTGAGTAAAAGATAAGATCCAACGTTTGTCGGTCTATCTCCGGTCATTCAACGGCTCCCTAGCTACGTTGAACGTTCTGTGCGTTGATGAAAGCGTGCCGTACATAGATTGAGAATCAAATCAGCGGGGTGAAGACAGTCACATGTTGCTAAATCACAGGAGAAGCTGACAAGAAATCAGTATTAAAATCAGAGTGCATATATTGCGGTGAACGGTCTTGTGCCCCCGTCATCCAGGCATACGGTATATGTAATGTTTTTTAACAAACATAGATTGTCTCGGTCCCTGCATTAATGCAATCTACCACCAGGGGGTGAAACGGCTGTGATGCTAAGAGCATGCAAGGGTGTCAGCCCTTTCTCCAAGATTAGCCCATACGGGACGTGCCGACACGAATCGATCTTTCCTTGCGTGGATGCATGTGCGGGACCGGGCCCACCTTTGTTGCTCAAGATTTTCCTTCAACCGGGAGAACAAGATGTTCCCAGACTTAACGAACGCCTGAGCACCCGATATTCCTGGTCATCTCAAAGTTAATGGTCATGTTTGCTGTTTAAGTTGATCATCCATTCGTGTTTCTTGTTGGTGCAGCTCTGTTGGTGTTATGTATCCATCGATGGATTCAATACTACCAGTCATGGGTGTGTATCAAGTCTTCAACACCTCTCATTTAATTTCTTGTCAAGTGTGTCTGTCAGCATTAGGAAATAGCTGACACATATTTACCGTACTAGGTCAAAGTTCCCGTCGTTGAAGGAATCTTGGAATCTTGGAGGGCCGCCCGTCGTTGCAATAGCTGTGCCTCCCGGTTGCTTCAAGAAGGATATGAGCTGGTAATTCTTTCTCTTGAAAAAGGCATTTTCCTTTGCCAGTTTTGCGGAAATAGCCTTAATTGTATTTGGATGGACAGTTGTGGTGTCCACGACAATCTTGTCAGTCAAGACGCCGGCCGAGATAATATCTGTGACGATGGTCTGTAGCGCGTCATCGTTACTGACCTAATTTTTTTGTTCTGATCAGAAGCCTGGAACATGGAACAAGTGGCGGTGCGCTCCTACCGAGATGAAGATAATCGTGCTATCCCTGACCACGGCGGCGATGGAGTCACATTGTATCCCACCAAGACTAGTCAATGCATCGCCTTTGCAGGTTGTGCGATTCCAGAACCGCAAGGGTGCTAGGCTCTGAGCGCGTAGATAGGTTTGGAGATTCGTAGACATGGCAATAACCATGTTCCCGAGTCCTGCAGGAAACCTGGAGTGTTAGAGAAGAGGCACAAAACGCTTTCTGTATTGGCGGGACTTGCCAATTCATCCCAATTGGGGAGTTGCTGGGATAGTCATTAGGCTCCGTGGTTTTGAGATCTTTTTCAATGTAAAGCTGAGAATTTCGCCATATTTATAGCGCTATGGAATTTCGAGAGATCTAGCCCTCTTGGTATGGTTGCTTCAACTCCTCCTCCACGTCATACAGAACATCCCCATTCAAAACTCCAGACATAGACATGCCCCAGAAACAATTTACATGAAGCATAATCCACATGTACCACTCCTTGCACCACACAGTCCCTGGTGATTGATTACGACGCATCCTGCCATTGCGCAATGCAACCTCATCAATGCGCTGGATGAGCGGGCGACGGAGCCGATCGAAGCGGGTAAAAACCTCCTCGAGGTTTGTATAGTCACCGCCTTGATACTGGGCCAGCAATCCCGACAGCAACAATACATTCTCCAACGCTAAAGCGACGCTCTGTCCGGCGTGAGGTTGAATGGCATGCGCTGCGTTCCCGACCAGCAGCACCCGGGGCGATCCCTGTGGAGTACCCGATGGCAAAACCACCGACCCCCTCAGGGTAGGCGATAATGCGGGTAGAAATGCACATCCCGGCTGGCGTCCACGAGCTGCCGCAGATAGTCACCCACTGGCGATGCACACAGTCCAGCACGTTTGACAGCGAACTACGACAGTGTGCCAATTCTTTCTGGCGGTGAAGCAACCAGCCATCACGGACGTCGGCCGAGGAGGTCCCTTTCGGCAGAGGTACCTCTTTGCTGAAGAACCAGAAGATTTGCTTGGCGGCGCAAGGCGCGGTGGCCAGCATTCCATGCGGGGTGATTGTGGAATGGAGGCAGTCTGTTTCCATGGGATCTTGATCTATCACATCGTCCACAATCGACGATATTGCCGAGATTCCCGAACACACGGGGGTAACCCCTGGATCGACGTGCATCTTGCGTACTGCAGAATGGATCCCATCGCAGCCTAGTAGAAGGGACGCCGTGTCACTGGTGCCGTCGGAAAATTGCACTGTAACGGAGTCCCCGCGATGGTCGATAGAAGTGATCTTTTTGTCGTAGTGGATCGGGATCTGGTATTTTTGAGTGCCGGCCCGCAGGCACTCGACTGAGATCTACTCGGTTGATCCGAAAATATCCGAAACCGGTCTTTTTCTTGGCTTCTGAGGCTATATCAACTTCGCTCAAAACACTGCCAGATGTGGAGTGCAGGACGGTTTTTACATCAGTTAAAGATAAGTGTTGAAAACATCTAAACGCGAAGCAAACTTTATTATACTTTTAAACGTAAGAATTTTCGAATTTAGCTTTATTTATATAAAGTATTTGTTTATAAAGCATGTGATGTCGACGCTGCGCGGGAGGATCATGTCCCAGAGGTCAAGTCGGTGTAGGACACGCACGCCATCCGCAGGAATGCCCAGAGAGCCGCCGATACCTGCTGTTTCTGGGTTTCGCAGCTCGTAGATGACTGGACTCAGCTTATTATGTCGAGCTGGGCGGATGGCAGCTGCGAGGCCGGTAGGTCCTCCACCCATAATGATGACCTGTGCCAATTAGTGTGACCATCATGAAGGGACAAGGGAAAGAGACAAAGACCTTTTGAAAATCGTACATGGTGACTCTGATGTGAGGAAGCAAAACCGAGAGGAAAAATGAAATTATATATCAGTGGGCCCCTCCCAAAATGGCCTCCCGAGCTGTAGAGGTAGTCCCAGATGTATCTGAGCAACAAGGCTGCTACATTCTGCGGCTCCTTGCAGCCTCCGACATATCATGACAGATCGAGTTGCGGTCAAAAAGACGTTGAAACAAGCAAGGTTCATGCGGGTAGTAGATGGCCGTTGTAGTTTTGATCAATCTTGTTTGCAACATCTCTATATCGTATAGGCATTTAATCTACCACTGCTCGACGCTACACTGAGCGAAACATTCTAGTTCCGCAGCTTTCCCTATTTCCTTAGCAAGGAATGACTTTTACCAACCTTACGCTCCTACTGGAGGCCGTCGCTCAAGAGGGCAGCGGGCATGTCATCTGCTATCCGCCTCAAAGCACCACCGAGCCTAAATCGTACTCCTATCGCCAGTTGCTTGAGGATGCTCAGAGAGCTTCAAGGGCATTGCGCTACCAACCAGAAGATTTTCGTCGAGGCCGAGTGGTTCTTATCCATGTAGACCCTCACTGGGAAAACATTGTCTGGTTCTGGGCTGTCACGCTGGCTGGCTGTATCCCGGCCATGTCCACGTCGCTATCCAACAACTCGGCGGCACGTATATGGCATCTGGAAAATCTGGCTACTACGTTCAAAAATCCTTCTTGCCTAACCACAGCGGCTAAGCTGTCCGAATTCGGAGGACAAGACGCTAAGACTCCCATTGCTCTCGAGTCTCTGAACATGAACCGCGCCCCAAATGCAGAGCTCGACAACGTCTATCGCGGCGCCATGCCAGGAGATATCGCCGTCCTGATGTTGACATCTGGTAGCACCAGTCATGCTAAAGCCGTAATCCTCACTCATCAGCAGATTTTCATGGCGCTGCAGCAAGTATAAGGTGGTGCCATTGCCTGATAAGACTTCATTCTCAAACTGGATCCGCTGCGACCACGTTGCAGCCATTGTAGAAATCCACCTGCAGGCCGTCCTTGCGGATCAAGACCAGGTCATGTACAGGCTTCAGATGTCTTGTCGAATCCCCTTGCATTCTTAGATATCATCAATCGCCATCGCGTCTTGTTTCTTGTTTTATACTCTCGGTAAATGGCCCACTATGATTTGACACTGTGTCTGACATCCCGACAGACTTCTGGGGTGATCTGGACTTCTGGGGTGATCTGGACTTCTGGGGTGATCTCGTGGGAGGGTAAAGAAGCTGGAGGTTTGGCTCAGCAGGTATGAAAGATCGAGCTGGAGAGTGGCGGCGCGGTAAAGCTGGGGTAAACGGCGCTCGGAGAGGGGAGGATGGTGGAGGCATGCGAATATCATCTGTCATTCGGTCAGAATCGGTCATGTTGGTGGCAGGGGTGTGATTGTGTTTCAGTGATGCGATATTGGTGAGAAACTTACAGTAGTTCAAGGAAACTGGGCAATAACCTGTGGATTAGTTATTGATGAGGAAGGAGTGCTTAATGAGGAAGGAATGGTTAGGGAGAGAGATGATCAGGCTACGGCGGTCGAAGTCATGGGTCCCGCCGACAAATTCAGCAACATAATCAGTATCGTCAATATATGTGGATTTAACCCTGGTCCAAGTTTGGTCCAGCTTGTCCCTGGCATGACCCTGGCATGACCCAGGCATGACTCTTCTAATTTGTCTATTATTAGTTATATTTTTCATGATATGCTACTAATAATTGCAGTTACGTTATAAGACCTTTATAAAAGAGTGCTTTTCTCTATGCTTAGGCGCTCAACTTAAAATGGTGCGGCTATAGGGCTGCGCATGTACCCCACTATCCCAAATAGGTTTAGTCATATAATTGTACTTTCTAGTCCTAAGTGAATAAATCTTCTCACGCTCTATTTTATTCCCCCATCATCATCTTCTCTTTCTTTCTCGAACCAACTCTGTGTCTCAACCTCCTCTGTTTACCTTCTTCTTTCTCGAACCAACTCTGTGTGGTCAATATCTCCACCCCCTCCGTCTACCCCGGTGAAACCTCCAAGATGACGAAGAACAAGAACCAGAAGAAGAAAAATATTGAAACCCAGGTTTACCTCATCTGGAGGGAGTTTGGGTCATTTACGCGACGCTTGGATGTGGATCCTTCAAAGGCAGACCTCCTAGTCCCAAACCTTCAAGTCGCACTACAGCGGCAGCAGGAAATCCTCAAGCCTGCTCCCGTTGAGGAAGTGACGTGGAAGGCCATTGGAGATCTCACTCGTGACGAAATTCATGAGGGATTCGGCATTGCGAAGGAGTTACCTGTGTCCGACGGCCGACAGCCCTGGCCGCCTCGCAATATGATCCCAAGGGATATATCAGCCGGCTGCTGTAAGTCTTTCTCTTCATTACAACCGTATTGTGTGCCTTGATAGTGTTGTGGACTGCAAAACTAATATTGAAAAGTAACCTCAATCCAAAGCGTCCAGAAATACATGGCACGCTCATCACGGAATGAGGCTGCTGCAAGGGTTGTAATTGACCTTATTCTCTTTGACATTCTCGGCCAGATCATGGATGGCCACTGCGAAATTTCGGCACCTGGCCCCTCCACATCATTTCAGATGGAGACTAGCCTAGAGTCCAATATGGTTACAGTGAAGGGAAAGGACCAACGGTTCCGCGGGACGAGCGACTACACTCTCTGGTACGGCAATGGTGATGGGCCTGAAAAGGCAATCAACCTTATTATTCTGGAGGCAAAGGCTCAGATACCTGCGGCCAGTGATGGGCAAGCCCTGGGCTACATGGGTAAGTGTCTTCGAAATCGCATTTTCTCTTATGCAACTTCTAATCTATATATTGGCTCTAGGCTGCGTCCACCAAGAGAGACGGCTTAAGCCCGGCCGAAGCGCCATAGTGTATGGTGTCGTTACAGACGGCGAGGAATGGCGTTTTTGCCGGATTAACGACGAAGGAAGATATTCCTGGGATGTGGAGATTTCTGGGAAGCTGTCGGGTGATGTGAAGGGTAAGGAGACCGGTTATGCAAAAATTGCGACGCTCTTAGGCTTTATTATGGGGCAGGCCATGATTCTATCGCCGTACACGACGAGGATGCACTCTAAAGAGACATCCAGAGAAGACGACGAGCTAATGACCGGTTAGGATTTACTCTTTTTCTTATTAGTCCAGGTTACATGTTCACTCTGATTCAGATTTATTCAGTATCTTTTAGGTTTGTGGAATGACATGGAATAAGAAAGGCAGTTGCTTGAATCTTCTTTGTTCTTAAAGTAGTTCTGACTCATTTTTGGCTTTAATGAAATCCTCTAAGCGCTGTATCTCGGCAACTTTCTCTTGAAGAAGCCCCTCGAGTTTCCTTTTCTCGTGTGTGGCTTGGTCAAGGAGCTGGGTAAGCTCTTCCAGGGTTAAGGATGATGGCTTTTCTTTACCTGCCTATGCAATGACCATATAAGAGCTGGCAGGGGCAAGATTTGTGTCACTTTGAAAGCTGTAGCGTTTTTTCGCACTGCAAAGATGACAGTTGGCACAAAACTTTTCATTAGGAACACGGACACAACCGTCAAGAATCCCTTTGCCTTCCTGGCAGTGACGGCATGCTTGGTCTCCCTGTTGTAGTTCCCCGGTTGATTGGGCCAAGAGAGCCTCAGCATTGCACTTCTTCTGGGCCATCAAATGATTAAAAGAGATTCCCGTCCATGGTTCCTTCCCTTTACCAGTTCTTCCAGGTGGTCTGATCGTCGGTTCGCGGATCAGCGGCAAGAGACTCATCGAGTTCAGCAGCGTGCCCTTCCTTTGTATATGCCTTTGACTCCGTACCCAGGGCGATTCTTTGGCAAGGTTTGCCCATTTACCGGGGGGAACACTAGTGCCCCCAATTGTTGGGGAGGATGGTAGACTAGTGGATGACATCCCTGTATATATGTTAGTATAATCATATTTGCCACTTATAAAATGCAAATGGACCCCTGACATACTGAGAGGTTAGAGGTTAGAGGGGTGACGGTTGACGAAATGAGTGGGACGATTTAATGGTCTTCAATAAGGGACACCAAGATCTGCAAGGTAGAGAGATTTCGTCAATAGCTGGAACGGGCTTCGAGGAGGGGAAAGCAGACAGACTTCTAGAAATGAGAGCGGAGTTTTTAGGGGAAGAGGAAAAAAGTGTGAAGAAGAAATAAGGAAGTGGGTGACAGACAATATCCATTCGAGACTTCACAAAAGAAGACTGTTTCAAGGACCGCCCGTATGTTCGAGAATAGCCGTATATGCGATTTTACGCCGAAGTCCCTTTGTTCAGTCCCTTAGGACATGTGCTTGTGTTACCGGGTCAGGTGACCACTCCCGCTACTTTATGTCATCTCTACGGAGACTAGTTAGAAGAATCAACTATCTCAGACTGACGCACGCTCGTTCCTCTTCCTTCGTAGTATCTGGTAGTATGTCCCGCTACGGCCAGTGAGATCTCTTAGTTTTCTTTTGCTATTGCTTTTGCTTTTCGGTTAATTATCTTTCCTCCTATCTCTGTTAAGTACTTAACGCGAGGTGACCTAGCGTTACTGCGCCTTCTCCGCCTAATTAACGGAGTAGGCTAACCAGATTATTTTAAGAAGCCACTAGTATCTTACCCTCCTTCTCTTCCTTATTTCCCTAGCTTCTTTTTTTCTCTCCGTCGATTAATTGACCTCTTCTTCTAAGTCCTAATAGCGACTATATAGGCTTACCGCTATCCGGATTCAGAAGCTATAATAATAGAAGGCGCTTAGCGATATCCTAGACCGCTTACGTAATTAAGGTTAATACTATTAAGGAGAGTAATTAATTTAGCTATCCTCTAAGCGTATTAATTATATCTCTATAGATCAGAAGAAATAAACCTATAGCGTTAGGAAGAATTCGCTACGGAGATATATTAGCGAATTTAATACGTCCTCGCGAACTTCGATTAACTTACCCTTCCCTCCTAGTTTCTATATCCTCCGGATTAGTCCCTTTAGGAGCGTAATCTACGATTAGCTATCCGTGACTTTAATTTTACTTTTCGCAGAGCCTTTCTAGGCGTTATTTTAGGTAGCTAAGAGATATAAGCTTCTCTCTAAATTTAGCCTACTTTAGAAGTTCTAGAAGAGCCTCCCTAAGTTTAACTTCTCTAGAAGTTCCCTAGCTTTAACTTACTCCGGAAGTTCTAAGCTAGGCTCGTTAGCACTAGCTATATATATTAACTTCGGACCCCCTAAATCCCTTTAATCTAAGACCTTTCACTAACGCTAATTCTGTCTGAGGCTTATATCCGGATATAGACCTATCGCTAACTTTTCGGGAATACAGAGATATTTCCCTATTATCTTTATTATCTCCGGAGCCCGAGTTCCCACGATCGCTTAAGGATAACTATTGGAATATAGACCAATGCTACATAGAAAGATCTATCCTTATATTCAACATATAAGACCAGATTGTATTGATCACGTGACCAGATTTTTCTTCTATCAAAATGATGTGTTGACCACTTCTGATTCTGGTCCGCGGCCCTCCCCCGAACGATAGGCGGGACCATTTTCTTTAGGGGTAAATGGTCCGCCTTCAAGCATGAATAGTCCGTTCCTTCGGGGGTGCTTTCGGGCATGCCTTGCCCGCGGACTTCGACCATGGTCTTCGGACCCCGGTGAACAGACTTCGACCCTCGGTCCCCTTAAGGATAGGCGGACCACTTTCCCTTAGGGGTAAAATAGTCCACCTTTAGGCATGCATAGCCTGATCCTGCGGGGGTGCTTTCGGGGTGGCTTAGACCGTCGATCCTTAACATCATTCTTTTCGCTTCTCTTCGGTTCCCTTCTTTGCCACCTTCATTATGTTGCTGCCTAGTGTTTGTACGTTATTTATATATTATTCTAAACGTTATTTCTAGGCTATCCTAGCCTATAAATACGTCCTTCTTTTCTAGCAGAGAGAATCAAGTCAGTTCTACTTTCCTGAAGTCAGTTCTACTTTCCTGAAGTCAGTTCTACTTTCCTGAAGTCAGTTCTACTTTCCTCAAGTCATTATCCACTTTCCAAAGTCATCTCTACCTTCTTCCTTTGATCCTCAGGACTGTGGTTCTGCCTTCGTTTAGGCTATATCTGCTTATAGTCTATCCTACGACCTTTGACCTTCCACCTTTGTCTGGCACTGACAGACCCAGCCGGACTAAGGTTGATCCCACGGACTTAAGGGGCCACGATCTGCTTCGTGGTAGCTTCCCCTTATATCCCAACAGTTATGAGCCCGGATCTCGCTTCCTTTTGATATCTATTGCGGTCTTCTATTGAAGACTAGTCCTTCTGCTGCGGTCTTATACCCGATAGTTATAAGACTTGTGATCCAAAGCTATCGACGCCTTCTTGACTTGCGGTCTTATACCCGATAGTTATAAGACTTGTGATCCAAAGCTATCGACGACTTCTTGACTTGCGGTCTTATACCCGATAGTTATAAGACTTGTGATCCAAAGCTATCGACGACTTCTTGACTTGCGGTCTTATACCCGATAGTTATAAGACTTGTGATCTAAAGCTATCGACGACGTTCCTCCTCTTTTAGGCCTAGTCTGTGGCCTATAGACGACCTTCTTCCTCTCTCACTTTTCTCTCACTTTGCCTTTACCTTCTTGCCTATAATGTCTGATATAAGCAAGATAGGTATTACCTTGTCTGAGTCATCAGACTGGTATCTCTGGATTGGTCAAATTAAGTCTTATGCTATTGCAAAAGGCGTATGGGACTATATTGACCCCGATAATCCAATAAAGAGGGATATTCCTTCTTATCCTATTCGTCCTAGGGTTACTGATATTAACCCTAAAGCCCTTACCGATGAAGACCTAACTACCTCTGAGCGAGAAAGGTGGAGAGACAGACGAAGAGACTATGAGCTTGACCTTCGCGAATATGACCGTATTTCGGGTGCTATCTCTCAGATCTACCTTATCGTCCAATCATCGATCTCCTATTCAAGCAAGCTTATCATTCAGCACCTACCGACGGTCTATGAAGCCTTACAAACCCTTCAAAAGCGCTATACACCAACCACTGAAGCCCGAAAGCGGTCGGTCATCAAGAAATACCACCAAATGCGCCGAATCCCGCATTCTTTGACCATAGATGCATGGATTTCGCAATGCGAAAACACCTACGTAGAGGCTGTCCAATTAGGCATTGGTGAAGTCCAATCAAAGACTAGACCACTTTTGGACTTCCTAGATGGCCTAGCCTCTATGTCTCCCTCCTTCGCCGAATACTGGCATAATGAGATCAACCGGCTTGAATCTATAGGCCAGATAGACTCTATAGACTTCTTTACCTTGACAAAGAGGTATAGGGATTCTATTAGGCTTATACCGCCCAAACGAGCCTCTAATGTCCATGCGACTTTTCGAGAACATTCAGATAAGGACCAAGGCAAGAAGACCACCAAACTCTGCCTATGTAAAGGGGGTGTTAATGAGGGATATCATATATTCGATGATTGCCCTTATATAAACCCCTCTCTCCAACCCGAGGACTGGGAACCAGACTAATCTGTCCTAGACCGCTTTGAAGAGGCTTGCACCCATTCAGGCTTTAAATATGCATATAATAAGGCTATCCAGAAGCATCAGCATCAGCAGGATCAGTCCGACACCCACGTGGGTATGGTGACCTGCCTAGCTTCTAGGCATACACGGCCTAATGTGTGGGCATATGACTCGGCCGCAGACACCCACGTTTGCAATGATCGCTCCCAATTCGTGACTTTTTCGCCCTTTAAAGGCAGCCTCTTCGTCGGTGATACTAAGACCTCAATCCAAGGTAGAGGTCTAGTCTATCTATCCTTTGGTAACACCACTTTTGACCTCCATGAAACCCTTTATGTTCCAGGTTTCCATATGAACATTCTCTCTGCGCAGAGGGCGAAGAAAGGGGGTGTTTACCATAATCAGAGGCTCAATAGGCTTGAAAAAGAAGACGGGACCCCTATTTGCAAGACTTCGGATGATACAGGCATTACCCTCATTTTAGGGTATCAGGACAAGCCTATGCATAAGGAACAGATCTCCCTTGCAACCCTTTCACTTTCCCCTCAAGATAATGTCTTAGAGCCTATAGACAAGCATATGGACGAGCCTAGGAAAGACAATCCTATAGCTCTAGCATCAATCCATAACCCAATGGCTTTGCGACCTCTATCGGATAAGACAGACCAATCATCCGATAATGACACTAACAAGTGTGAAAACGAGGATAAAGACCATAAATACGATATCCTCGGCGACCTACCGCCTTCCCCAGACGAGTCAGAAGAAGAAGAAGAAGAAGAAGAAGAAGCGAGGCAAAACCAATGCGGAAGTGAGGATAACCTTACTCTAAACGGGACCGAAAACGCACCTTATTCGGGTGATTTTAGAGTAAATGACCCTTCACTTTATCCTTACCCAGAAGTCGAAAACGCCTCACTTCCTTCCGAACCTTCTTTACCGACCCGAATCACTCTTCCTTCCGATAACCTCGTCCACGACTCTATTCATTCTGATGACCTCCCTATAAGGCCTAGATTTATGCAATCCGTAGGCCTATGGTGGAAACGCTTTCCCATGACCAGACCAAGCCTTTTGCCTTATCAGAAGCACCAGCGGTTTATCGATCATCATCTAAATATGACCGATATCCAAGACACAATTGTCGAAATCTAGATCTATGAGACTATGTACGCATAGGCCTAATTCTATGCCTTATTCAGCTTATAAGTTCTGATAAGCTGAAGGGGGTGTATTGGAATATAGACCAATGCTACATAGAAAGATCTATCCTTATATTCAATATATAAGACCAGATTGTATTGATCACGTGACCAGATTTTTCTTCTATCAAAATGATGTGTTGACCACTTCTGATTCTGGTCCGCGGCCCTCCCCCGAACGATAGGCGGGACCATTTTTCTTTAGGGGTAAATGGTCCGCCTTCAAGCATGAATAGTCCGTTCCTTCGGGGGTGCTTTCGGGCATGCCTTGCCCGCGGACTTCGACCATGGTCTTCGGACCCCGGTGAACAGACTTCGACCCTCGGTCCCCTTAAGGATAGGCGGACCACTTTCCCTTAGGGGTAAAATAGTCCACCTTTAGGCATGCATAGCCTGATCCTGCGGGGGTGCTTTCGGGGTGGCTTAGACCGTCGATCCTTAACATCATTCTTTTCGCTTCTCTTCGGTTCCCTTCTTTGCCACCTTCATTATGTTGCTGCCTAGTGTTTGTACGTTATTTATATATTATTCTAAACGTTATTTCTAGGCTATCCTAGCCTATAAATACGTCCTTCTTTTCTAGCAGAGAGAATCAAGTCAGTTCTACTTTCCTGAAGTCAGTTCTACTTTCCTGAAGTCAGTTCTACTTTCCTGAAGTCAGTTCTACTTTCCTCAAGTCATTATCCACTTTCCAAAGTTATCTCTACCTTCTTCCTTTGATCCTCAGGACTGTGGTTCTGCCTTCGTTTAGGCTATATCTGCTTATAGTCTATCCTACGACCTTTGACCTTCCACCTTTGTCTGGCACTGACAGACCCAGCCGGACTAAGGTTGATCCCACGGACTTAAGGGGCCACGATCTGCTTCGTGGTAGCTTTCCCCTTATATCCCAACAATAACTTAGTTATAGCTTCCTCTAATATTAACGGTCTTTCGCAGAGTCGCGGAGAATTCGCGCAGATAATCGCCCTAGCTATAGCTAACGCTATTCGAGACCTCTATATTACCCTAGGACCTTTAGGCCTACTAGGCCCCCCTAAGACTCCCTAATATCCTAGGAGTCCCTAGTGCGGACGGAGCCGTATCTGCCTCCTATAATATCTATTAGAAGATTAAGGAAGTAGGCTACTTCTCGCTAGATCCTAATTTAGATAATGTAGTGGGAGAATTGGTGACATAATGAGCCTATGTGTGGCCTCAGGCATGATTTAATGTCTGCAGTGCATAGTACATCTCCAGACACACTTAGAGGGAGATAAGTTATCTACCTAATTCATTCAGGATTCACCTAATTTCTTCTATCCATAATACAGCATTAAGATTATCCCGCACGGCCGCAACAGGGCATCAGTACGGCCTCATCTAGTATCCCCTATACCAGATAGGCAGTGTGTGTGTGTGTGTTATCTAGTCTGCATCGCCAGATAGCCATCGAGCCGTTCCTATTTTATATTGGCGTCCCCGGGAAGGCTCTTTTGTTAAGGCATATTACTATACGAAGAAATACACACCTAAAGGGTGGGGATCGCGTTTGACCCTGAAGGCTATAAGACTGTCTGAGACCTCAAGCGGGAGACTATATTCACCAGTGATTACGACGGTATACAGTCGGTGCGGATAAACGAGTGACTAGCCGAGATATAGTGTTCTCCTAAATATACCTAGTTCCTACGAGGAATACTATTGGACTGGTATACGGGAGATACGACGGTGCTTCAGATATTATTAAAGATATAGCCTATCTAATTAAATACGGTGGCCGAGCAGGGGTACCTAGGTATTCGATAGCTATAGCACTCTACCACACAGATAATATTAATATAAATAATTCTATATTATAAATTATAAGAAGAGGAAGCGGCCTTAATAAGAAAAAGGGAGGAAGAAAAAAAATTATTAAAGAGATATAATTAAAAGTAAAGTATATAGAGTTAGTATTTCTTTTCGGCGAAAAAGCTATCTCTTTTCTATAAGTAAGTAATAGCGCACGGTACGTAAGGTATGATAGCTCCTAAGCTATCGGACCCTAAGGGTATTCTAACCTTTATAGATTACCGTAAACCTATATTAGAAAGATCCGAATCGACCCTAAGTAATAATAATTATATAGATAATACGGATTATAAGTATTAGCCACTATTATCCTTAGCTAAACCGCCTAATAGGGTATAGGCTATACCTTATCTTTATATAGTTTAAGTGCCTTATTTCTCTGTATTGCTAGCTTTAGGATCCCTAGGAGCACTATACTTTAATAAGACCGATATCTCCGAGTTCTAGAGAAGCTATAGGATATATATTTTAGATATAGTGTTAAAAGCGATAAAGATATTATAGGTATATTACCTTAGTACTACGCGAAGGTTATTAAGTCTTAGGTAAAGAGATAAGACTCCTAGCTAAGAAAGGACTAGGATACCTTTAAGGAAGCTTTCTTAGAGCACTTCTATAATAATAATAGCGAGTAGTAAAGGTATATAAAGATATACCTTTAATCCCTTATATAGGTTAAGCGAATAATATAGGATAATATCCGCTTATATCTTAATAAGTTCGATAATATCTCTAGCTATATCTACTTAAAAGGCGAGGTTAGCGATATAGATAGGGTAAGTCTCCTTATCTAAGGACTTCTGTAGTAGCTTAAGGAGAAGGTTATTAGAAGGTATTCTCGTAAGTAGTTACCGAGAGGGACACTAATTACCTATTCGGAGGTATATATAGTAATTAGGTTATATATTAGAGAGGAAACCGATATTCAGAGAATTCTTTCGACTATCGAATCTTCTCTGAGTAACCCTAAGCGTAACTAATAACTTTATCCCCCGTAGTAGTCGCTTATTATTATTACGAAGCCTTAGGAAAATTAGTAACCAATCGCTAGTTAGGTCTAGCGTTAGAATAAATAGGATAGGAAGCTTAGAGAAAATATAATTATAGATAGAGGCACTTACTCTTAAGCTATAGGCTAGACGAGATATAAGGAATAACGTTCGGTACGAGCCTAATAGAAGAAACCCTTCGAATAGCCTCGGCGCTAATCCTCTAATAAAATACTAAATATACGGAGGTATTTACTTCTCTCGACTAGATTAATATCTATCTATCCGTAATATATAAGGCTATAGTATTATATACTATAATATTATGAATTAGATAGTTTTAGGCACTATTAAATAACTAGGCCTAAGACTACGCGTGATCTTAGGATAATTAAACTAAGAAGCCTTTTAAGCGTAGTATAATAACTAGAAGAAGTAGGAGTTATATAGAGTATCTATATAGCTAAGTAGTAATATCGCTTATATTACTTTTCCTACTTACCCTTATCTTACGAACCTAAATATATCTATCTACTCTATTATTACTACGCTTCTTAGTACCGCGCCTATATAGGAGAAGCTTAAGGAAAGCGAGAATAAGGAAGTAATTATCCTATTCGGTGCCGTTAACGCTATTAAAGGCTATCCTATAAAGCGCCGCAGAGACTAGGATATTACTAGAATAAGGAACTCCCAGACTAACAGATTCTAACTATATATTACTAATACTAATAACAATAATATAATATAAGACGGATAGCCTAAAGAGACTTAAACTATATAGCCTTAGTAGGAAGCTACTCCGCTATATAGCTAGGTTCCGAGAAGAGTCTGCGGCCCTATTAACCTAGATATTATATAGCGAAGATCTTAGCTTTCGGATATTATAATATAAAAGATATAGGAAACTAAGATTACCCTTACGATCGGTGAGCTCGCCGGGTCTGCTCTGAAGATACGCGCTAGAATAAGTAAAGATATTAGTATAAATATTATTAACTAGCGTATTAATAAGATACTCTCGTAAGTATATACTTAGTTAAACTTCGTAGACGTCTCTCTCTCGAAGGAAGTAAAAGGTAAGATTAACTAAATTATAAGAGATATTACTAAGTATTATCGGGAGATAGGTAGTCCTATTAATATAAAAGATCTGGCCGCGAAAGTAAGCTACCAAAATACCTAGATAGTAAATATCTCGCCTATATCTTCTCCCTATAAATACTCCAGAGACCTCCTATTTATAATAGTTTCTGTCGGCGGATAAGTGGTTAAGGCGTATATCGATACTAGATTATTAGTTAAGATTATCCGTAGAGATATCGCCTAATCTATATAGGTATAGATATAGCTAAAGCCGAGGCTAAAGCTTGTTCCTATCGATAGCGGTGAGTTCGTAGTTAATACTTATATTAAGAATTTACTAATTAATATCGGTAATATCGTAACTAAGTCATATACTATAGTCGGGGATAGTTACACGAACGATCTCTTACTTAGTAGGATATAGGCGAAAGATATATTACTGTAAACCTCTAAGAAAGATAATAGGAGGGTTATCTATACGATATCGAGCTAGGACAGAAGGAAGCGCGTTAGCTTTAAAGTATATTATCCATAGAATAGGGGATCCTTCTATAAAGACTAACTCTGGCCTAAAGAATATAAGACTTTTAATTTAAAAGCCTAAGTAGGTATTCAGTAGCCGCCTTAATACCTATCTCTGTCCTAGCGGCTAAGTCCACAGAGACTATTTACTTAATAGCACTATCGAATACTATAAATACGATAATCACTAAAGAAGAAACTATAAAAATATATAAAAAGCGAGAAAATACAAAAATATAGCGATAAGAGAAGAAGAATTATATAGGGAAGTCGAATTACGGGGTAGATAGTTTTTTGGCCGAAAAGATCTCTCCTTATCTTAGTGCCTTATAGATCTAATATCTAACAGATCCTTGTTACCGCCAGAAGACTATAGCTAATATTATCTATTTTAACGAAGTTAAGTACTATATATCCTTTTTAGACTT